GACCAAGACCAAGACCAAGACCAAGACCAAGACCAAGACCAAGACCAAGACCAAGACCAAGACCAAGACCAAGACCAAGACCAAGACCAAGAACGGTCAGGCTCGGGACACTCTTCCGACGCAGGGTCGGACTATGAATTGCTCTAGCTGGTCCGGTTCGATACCGAGGCCACACACACACACACACACACACACACACACACACACACACACACACACACACACACACACATATACAGATATGTATGATCTGAACGTTCAATGGAGATTAGAAAAATGCAAGGATAGTTAACGACAGAGTTTGTAAATCACGAATGAATGAATGAGATCTCGAGTCCATGAACACACCGCACCATCACGCCGACCACTCCCATAAACCACCATCGGCAACCTATTATCCATACCTACCCTGTACACACGCCCACACTCCCAAACACACACCTACACCCTACACCCACGCGACACCCGCATGTGTGTTTGGTTTTTCCGAGTGTTGATCAGTCAGACGAGAGAGACCAGGAAGTCCATCAATTCAGATCCAGTATTCAGCAGTCAGTATCCTGAATCATTCTCATTTTGCGCATGGCCCCCTTTTTGCAGGACTTGTATGGCGTTGGTTCAGCCTGGTACAGACAGACCAATACAACAACGCAAATCAGCCGAGTTCACGTCAGTAGGCAAGGTGAGAAGCGCCAACCAGAAGAGCAGAAATCTCTTCAGTAGCTAGGCAGTTAATCCTCACTGATAATCAAAAGACAACGACGGGAACAAAATCAATCAGAACTTCAGGGACAATATCGACATGACGATCGTCGTGCCTGTTGTAGTACAAGTAAGACACTGATTGCTCACCAAGCGACATTGTCATCATTGTGATGATGCTATCCCTTGAAATATCATACCATTCAAAAGCTAGAGACTAAGAGAGTACCGTTCCATGTCCCCATTTCAATTTGGTATCCCATCCATCCCATTCTCACTTCAACCCAAGGCTAGCATACCAAGACGTGTGAGTCGAATTCCATCGGCCCTTGCTCGAATGTCACCGACTTCCTAATCGGTGTGGTCGAAGTTAACAGTACAGGAAATGGGTAGGTTGGTCGTGTCGATATTATTGGGTACGAATGTTCTCCATGTCGTCCACGGCTCGGTTATCGGGGTTATCAAGTGTTCACTGATACGGGTGTCAGTCCAAACACGATTAGCAGATGAACTCGATGTCGCTCACAGAAATCTCATCCATGGCATCATCGGCATTGGCAGCAGCGGGAGCAGCATTGCCATTATTACCAGTGGTGTCGGCAGGAGCAGCCACTGCAGAAGGATTGTTACCTCCCCAGTAGTCGGTCATCTCAGCGTCGAGTTCTTCGGCAGTCTTGGGCTTGGGTCGAGCACTGCGTGCAGCCCGCTTTCTGGCAGGCTTGCCGGCTCGTCCTTTCGCTCCGTCCTTGGTGTCCTTCTTGACAGCAGTGGCGGACTTGGGCTGTGCTTTCGGATTGGCGCTGGTCTTTGTCAGTGGATCTGACTTGCGCGAACTCTTTGGGTTTGCGTACGCGACACGATCCGCGAGAGACTTCGCTGGCGCAGGAGGTACGCTGCTGGCATCCACCACCAGTTCAATCTAGTCGAGGTCAGGCTAATCCATGGTAAAGATAGTCGAGGTCGTGCTTGCCTTCATTGGTCGCTTGTCAACAAGCATTCCATTGAGATCCTTGGCTGCCTTGGCTGCAAAGTCTGGAGATAGAAATTGAATGTCGGCTATTCCACGGCTTTGGCCATTTTGGTTGTACTGCAGAGAGACCTTCTTGACTTTGCCGACAGATTTGCTGAAAAATTCCTATTCGTCCCAGAGTGATCAGTAAGATGTTGACAGAGAAATAGCAATAGCAGGTTGGCAGCCCTCGTCTCCGGTACAAGTAGGTAAAAGATGTTTCGCCAGCATATTATCCCGATACAAATCCTCGTTAGGAGCATCGGCGAGTGCAGAAGTAGAGCAAACAGCAGCAGGTCAACGGTGGTCAGGTGCCAGGGAGGTCTTGTTGGTGGTTCCCACAGGGGGAGTTGGTGAAATTGCTGAAGCACTCCACATTATGGAAGGCTTGCGGTACTGTTGTGAACCAGGCAATTTCCAGTATTATAAAAAGTGTTGTGATGTTGAATACCGCCAGCAACAAGACATCTGATATTGCGGTAGTAGGATGGCCCTTCTCAGAGCTTCCAAGATGGCGCGAAAATGCATGGCGTCTGTCGAATGCGATTGAGGATTCCAGAGAATGGTTGAGGCTCTGGACAATGTTCTTGTGTCTGAAAGTGGCTGTGGCTGATGAAATAGAGGCAAACGGTTGACCAGAACTGACTGCTTCAAGCTGCGCTACTGTAAAAATCGCAAAGGATGATGCAAACTCGCCGATGCTCCATATGCAAGGTCAACGAGGGGAATCAAAAGCTCTTCAGCATATCGAACATCCTCAAGGCAGATCTGGAGTCACCAACAACACGGTGGCTAGCCGGCTGGGTGATACCATAAGATCATGGGCGCAGACGATGCCAAAACCAACACATTGCGATGTTACTCGGCAAGCGCGGTTTTGAATCATACTGCCCTGCCTCAAATCAAGCCAGCATTTTCAGCGTGGCATAGTGTATTTGGACACATCCTCTCCAACGTCGACATCTCTACTTCGCCATTCTTGTGTGCGAGCGCTCGTCTTGTAGCTTCCCCAAAGTTCGCGAAGGAGCGCGCATATAACAGATGACGGTGGAGTGGCGATGGAAAATCCAAGGTCGAAAGCCTCTTTATCAACATACCTTGATCTGGGCTTCGTTGACGTCGAATGGCTGGAAAGGATCAGCTTGGGCTCGATGACGAGGTTAAGTGGGCGACCTTACCAATCCACTGACGACAATCTTGCTAGATTTGTTTGAAGATGCAACGCCTGCGACAGGCTTGATGGCTGCCTTGACTGGCTTCGTCGACTTCTTGACACCACCGACAGGCGCAGTTGCACCGGAAGGCTTTCCCACCTTGCGACGACGAGCTTCACGCTTCGCCTTCTTCTGGCTTTCGATGATGGAATCGAGAGGTTGATCTAGCCGGCCAGACATCTTGAACGTGTAGATGGAGGATTGCAAGATGGTTTGTGCAGAGGTTGGGTGCGGAAGATGGAGTTGTCAGAAGCGAGCGCGGAAAGTCAGAAGGTATGAAGTCAAAGGAGTTGTGGTTTTGGCGAAGATGGAAGTGATTCGACGAATTTAGCTGGAGAAGTTGATGAATAGACGCGCAGAAGGTGAGTGACTGATTGATTGACTGATTGAAAAGAAATCAATAGAATACAGAATGAATAGGTAAGTGAAGTTGAGACGGTGATGAAGAATGCAGGCGCGAAGGATGACTGCAGCAATCTGTGTGTCGGGAAGTGAAGGCGCAGGGCGGGCAAAGGGGGAAGGAGCAGCAGAAGGCTCCAGCCTCCTTCAACTGTCACGCTATTCCGCTTTCGGAGCCCCCTTCAACTCCCCAATACCGTCAGATCACGGGACCACAGGCCGCAGCCTCGTTTTCGTATTCCTGCTATCACAGCGAGTTCTCTATTCACTTATTCGCCTATGCCGCTTATCGGATACATAGCAGGACGCAGGGCATCAAATCGCTGGGTACCTAGGTGGTCATTCATCAACGAGCATATCATTCATGCGTACCGAGTATGTCTCTTCCATAACATAAGTCGTCCCCAACGCCAAAGAGAGAGCCTGCCCAAGAACATCACAGGCGTACCCGAGTATGATTTCCAGATATTCCACTCCATACTCTGCTTCAACTCTTCAAGGCCTCCAAGCGGCCTCGCATCTGTTCTAGCTCGGCCTCGCGGTCTTCTTCCTCTTCGGCCGCGGTGTCCACTGGAAGTTGAGGAACCGGCTGTTCCACGGCTCCTAGTTTTCCCTTCAGTACCTCTCCGAGGACCTTGTCGACTTCTGTCTCTGCTTCCTCGTCTTCCCCTTCCAGTAGTTCATCATTTGGTAGCGAATCGCCAACCATCTCCTCAATTATACCAGCCTTCATAAGTTCCTGGCTCAATTCTTGCATGGTTCCAGTCAACTCAGGCAGCCGGACTAAAGTGTTGACGTCCTTCATGATACTGGTGCTGGCTTTCAAGCTGCCCTCGATCTTCCGTACTGAAAAGGCTTCATGAACTTGCATCTTCACGCTTTCCAACTGTGCTCTACTTGTGTGTAATCTTGCCGCCTGTTTCCGCACCTTAATCAACTCTCGAGCGAAGATGCGTGCGTCTGCCGCGCCCTGTGCCGCCTGTGATGGATTCTTCTGTGCCCTTCTGGACGCCTGTAAAATCAGACTTCTAGTCTTTTGTTCGGTGACTTTGAGGTTCGTGATGTCGCGATCTAGGGCCCGAACATTCTTGCGGATGATCTGGTCGCATCTTCGTTTCTATCTCACCATCAGCATCAGCCGGCAGGGATCTATAGTGAGCCAGAAGTACCTGTTCTTGCGGATCCGGCTTGAAAAAAACCGCCTTGAATGACTGCATTGTGAAGACAGTCGAGGGGATATCGGCTATGGATTCGTTGTGCCTGTGTGAGACCGCAAACACCTCGGCGTAGACTATTTACCCATGACGACACCCGGTCAGGGTCCCAGGTGAATGCCTCGGGCAGTGAGGGAGTGTCCGGTGAGAACGGGAGGAGATGTGCTGAACCTGGTGCAACGATCGCAACCGTGTCCAACAAGCAGCGATTGTTGTGTCTGAACGAGGACGTTGGCTTTGGAGGGCTGGATGTAGATCTATGCCCACTGGAAATGCGGATAATTGGACTGGCTTATGGGCGTCGCGGTTGGTGGGGGCCACAAAGGTTCACCCGGTATACTTTTGCAGCACTGTACGAGGACATCGTACAATGGTGGGAGCCTGGGGACGAGTAGAGGGGCTATGCCCATAGAAGGCACACGGGGATTCTTTAGGTCATGACTAGTCAGAGTTGCAGGCCAATACTGGCAGTACCTCCCTGACCTAAGGCGCAGTAGGGTCTTACATAATAGGCAGTGGTCTCAGGTCTGCAGGCCCAGGCATAGCACTACCACTTTCTGGCCGATTCGCTACAGTTCTGAAGAGCCTCGTCCTTCACACTTCACTTGTTGTCCACACAAATCGCTGAAGATTCTGAGCCCGAAAAAGATATCGTTCTTTCTTCGTCACTGTACTTTGTTTCCTCTCAACTACCCAAATACACTGCTCACTTTGCTCGTTCACGGAACTTTCCATCGAGACCAGCGACCCCTCCATCGACTCCAAAGTCACCATGTCGTCCCAAGTCACTCCGGAAGGTAAGGCTACTCCTATCACCCACGCTCTTGGACTCGAATGTTTTCGTTATCGGGGGGTTGTTATGTGATTCCTGGTCGGTCAAGGAGCTAACACGAGGCCTTGCAGTTCTATGGGCCCAGCGCTCGTCTTCCAGCGACCCCGAGAAGAACTACATCTATCTGACTATCGGTGTTCCTGATGTCCCTCCCAAATCTCTCAAGCTCGAGCTCACGCCAACTTCCCTGACTTTCACTGGTACCTCGGACACCAAGAAGACTACGTACCACCTGGAGATGCAATTCTACTCTGAGATCGATGTTGAAAATTCCAAGACGCATCACACTCCAGCCAACATTCAGATGATCCTGAGAAAGAAGGAACTCAAGGAGGAATACTGGCCACGTCTGCTCAAGGACCCCGCCAAGGTCCACTATCTGCGAACGGACTTTGACAAGGTAAGTTGGAGAGCATTTGCGACACTCCAGATTGATGCGCCTCTGTCTGACTTTGTTGTCTAGTGGGTCGATGAGGACGAGCAAAACGAAGCGCCTGAGGATGACTACATGAACCAGTTCGGTGGTGGTCTCGGCGAAGACGGTGGCTTCGGTGGTATTGACTTCTCCAAACTCGGCGGCGGCGGCGGGGACATGCCCGGCATGGAAGGCCTTGGTGCGGGCGAAGAAGGCGGCGACGATGAAGACGAGGATGACGAGGACATGCCGGATTTGGAAGAGGACGCGGAAGAGGGCGATGCCAAAGGCAAAGGCAAGGGGGCCGCATAAGCTACTGAGCTATTTGCGAACGTAAAGGCCGCCTGCGAAGCGAAAACAGACGGCCCTTCCGTTTCTATGGATATGTGGACATACGCAACTCGCCATCAACCCATTCTTTCTCTCCTTACTAGCTTGGTCTGATTCAACCAAGGCGGAAGGTTTCTAAAGTGTTTTTCCATCGATGGAATGTGCGCAGATTTTCGGCAATCCAAAACAAGCACAGAGCCACGAGATCCATGTGGACCTTTCCCTTGCAGCACGAGAAGAAGTCAGATCAGGAAAAGAAAAATCCAGAACATCGAGTTTGCTCGGTTCACACGTCTTGTGACTTTTTCATTCTCGAAACAAGATCTGCTTGATGCGGTGCACGGGGTTCTTGGTGTTTCGGCAGGAACAGAAAGATACATAGGTTTGCCTTAGCCAGGTAGTAGTCTCCCCCTTTCATACTCTGATATATATGTGTGTGTGTGTGTGTGTGTGTGTGTGTGTGTGTGTGTGTGTGTGTGTGTGCGCGCGCGCACACACGCAAAGGCAAATACAAAAGAAGCTCAATTCGATCACAGAGGTACACAGACTCTTACTCAATCGGGCTGGACGTATCTACGGATCCTCACGCAGCAGGACACGATGCTTTGACGGTACGACGACGATAGCCATCTCCCACCTCCCTGGGGTTTGAGCGCACGCCATCTGGATGGAGTGGTGTCCGCCACCGTTGACCGCAGTCTCGAACACAGCCTCGAGAGTACTTTTGTGTGCTCGCTTGCTGAAGATGCGGTGAGTAAATGCGTCCTCGCTTAGACGGTTGATGACGCGAGCGACTTGACACGCCTTGCAAACTCGACTTGTCGAAGGCGACCTTGCCGAGTCACAGCAGCCTACTATTCGTTCAAGTCTCTCGAGGATGGCCGGTGCGGTATCTGTACTCGTAACCCTCTGCCTTCTTCGACGACGAGGCCCATGTAACGACTTGGGCAGGGGTCTAATTTTAACGAGTTTCCGTCTTCCACCCGAGGCTAGCTTGCATATATTTCTGTGTCTGGTCCAGTGGGTGTCGGGGCCTGGTGTTTCAACGCCAATGGGCGGGTGACTACTGTACGGCAGTGTCTGCGGTATCGCGATTACTTGCAATTGAGTTTGTGCGAATATAGCTCGCTGGATGCAGATAGTCGAGTGGTTGGAGCCCGGAGTGACTTGGGAGTCTACACCGAGTCTCCGCACGAGCGCGGTGACGAGCTATGAGCCTTACGAATACGAATACGAGGACAGAGATACCGATGGCCATGGGGGGCTCCGAATCCAGGTCAATGAGCAGACGCGATGTCCATTCTCAATTCAGAAGCGTGTGGGAACGCTTGGGGAATCTAAGCCTTGCTCCGCGGTGTGAATTTGGGCAAGTGTCAGCGGTCCAGAGTCGCGCGGACGAAAGTCAAAGTGGTCAACCATGAAGGACACCATGATAAGGCCCGTGGCATCGGAGGTTGGCGTCTCTTTGCTCCCTCCGCCCTGCCTCGCTTCACGTTCCACGCCGTCGACCTGGGACTGAGAATGAAGGGGATATCCGATCGGGTGTATTTGAGAAAAACCCCCGAATCCGACATGAAAAAACGGCTGTCACTGTATAAGATCCCAATCCTCTCCTGACAATCCACGAACAAGCCAAGCGTCACCGCCGTCAAATATCGCAAATCATGGCTTCCCTGGCCGCCCGTGCTTCCCGGCTTCCTCTATCGCTCATCGGACTTCCGTATCAGTTTGGCCGTCGTGCGGCCCCGACAGATTATCAAATGGCACGGGGACCAGAAGTCCTGCTGGCGCCTTCTGCCGTGCCCGCTGCCCTCAAGGAAATGTCAACTGACATTGACCTGGTGTTCTTGGACGATCTGGACGACCCGAAGACTGGTCCAAACGATGTCCGGCCAGTCCTTCTCGGCGACCAGATGATCCGCCAGCTCCATCAGAACAACGCCCTTGCCGCGGCTGTGAGAGCAGCGCGAAGTAACGGTCGCTTCCCTGTCTGCTTCTCGGGCTGTTGCAACAGCTCTCTGGGCATCGTGGGGGGCATTGACGACCCAAATCTAGGCATGGTCTGGTTCGATGCCCATGCTGACGACTACACGCCTGAAACCAGTCCGACCGGGTTCTTTGACGGCATGCCAGTTTCCATCATTGCCGGAGAATGCTGGAAGAGGTGGCGGGAGAAGATCCAGGGGTTTCACGTTATTCCACCGCAAAGGATATCCCAGGTCGGCCTCCACGACCGGAGTGCGTACGCAGAAAGCCCAGGACGTCGCGCCGGCGTAGGTCACCTGGTAGACCCGGCCGCGGTGCTGCTTTTCGGCTTTGAAGGAGCCTTTCTGCGGACATTGGACCAAATCAAGGCACGCACCGATCGTGTATATGTACATGTTGACACCGATGTGATCGACGCAAAAATCATGCGGGCCAACCTTTACTGTGCCGAGGGCGGCGTGACCCCGGAGCAGATGATTTGGGCCGTCGAACAGATCGCTAAAACCGTGCGGATTGAGGCCCTGAACTTCGCCTCCTTCGACGCTGCCGTTGACCCGAACGCTCCAGCCATTCTAACGAAGATGATCCAAGGCATAGTTGGGGTGATCCAGAGGAGCCGAGCCTCGTGACCTTGAAAGCACGCAGCGCAGTCGCTGTGGCATGTTACCAAGCTACGCACTGGTACAGACCCTGTGGCAATCAAGCAAAAGGGACGACCAGTGATTCCTGGTATCCCTCCCTGGAGAATCGATATAGCAATAGGCTTCAAGTGCGCTGAGGCAAACCCGTGTACCGCCTGCTCCTCCTCAAAGGGTTACGATCTCGAACAGCACCCGTTGCCATCGCCTGCACTCCTCCTTCGCATTACCCTCTAGTCTCTGCCGCAGACCAAGCCACCGCCATCCTGAAAATGTCCGAACGCCTGGTAAGTGCAAGCTCAGGCTCGATCTGGGCTATCCTTGCCAACCCATCGCTTCGTGTACAGAAGTAGTCGCCAGTCCACGAAGCACGAGGCTTGAAACTCGACTGCGAATTCGTCGGCAGAACAGGCGCCGCAGCCCGCAAATACGGTCAATCAACCCTTTCTCCTGTGCTGTGGTCTCCCGGAGACTACTGCGATCCGGTCCACAACCAAGCTACACTATCAGAGCTACCCAGCACCGGCACCGGCAGCGTAAATGATGGCAACGACCATCTCGGGTCGGACTGGGCCTGGCTCGATGACAATTCCAGACTGGCGACGCCAACATGGCCTGTCTCCGGCCTTTTACCGACTGGGACTTTACATCGGGAAAACATTGTGTGGCCATGACCAAACATCAATAAGTTGCATTGTTCCGATCCTTCATTTTCTCCCACATGTTTTTTACACTATACAGTATAATATCAATGAACCACAAAGTAATGTACATTAGAGTGTTTGATATACCACTTACGACAAATGACCGTCCATCACACATCACAGTCTGTATACCTGTAAATATTGTCTCAGTGTCCTACGTGTTTGCTTTGTCCTTGTGGGGAGGGAGGCTCTGGGCCTCCATCCTGACACGTGGCGTTGATGAGACGAAGGTCATGCTGATGATCGAAGTCGGGGCGATGAGAGACTTTTCAAAAGGAGGAACGTTACAAGTAAATTTCGTGTTTACCCTCTTCTTCGCCTCTCCCACGCGCTCATGCCTGAAGTTGCCGCCGCGCCCTCCTCGCCTGATTGCACGGCACGCATACCTCGGTCGTATTCGTCGCTTCCGCTGGCCCGGCGCTCCTTGTCTAGCATTGCGTCAAACTCCTTCTGTGCCTGTTCACGAGCGAGCTGTCTGTCTGCTTCTGAGTTGGAGAATGAGAAGCCATCTCCACCTTCGCGTTGCTCGGATGGGCTCTGAGAGAAGCTATTCTCAGAGTTCACTACACCGGTAGAGCGAGAGGTGTCCCTCTGCCAATGTGACTGAGGATCTGGTTGGTGCTGCTGCTGCTGCTGCTGCTGCTGTTGGCCTTGGAAGCCTTGGTCCGGTTTCGACTGGCCTGAGAAGGGATTCGGGTTTGAGTATGATGTTCTTTGATTTTCGCGACGGATGCGCGCCCAGGAGCCAGGGAAGCCTTTCGATGCTGGCCCTGGAGTACTCATGTCTGGGTCATTGCCGGCAGTTGGAGAGGCGTCATCGTCGTCGAAGAAGGGTGAGCCTGACGACGAAGGAGACTGTGAGTCGTAGAAACCATCGCTCTTCGCTCGAGTGTATTGCGTTTCATGTTCACGAGGCGCCCCGGATCGGTTGCCCCATCTCGAAGAGGTCGACTGTCTTGCCTCAGGAGCCTGCGCTGGTGCATCTCCCATTACGCCAGTATCGGTGGTTCCATCTGTGAACGAGCTGTCGCCACTATACTGGTCACCACCGGAATAGTCAGTACGACCTGGGTCTCTGTAGAAGCCTTGCGGGTCCTGGTTGCCGTACTGGCCATCTTGGGTCTGTCCCTGAGTCGGAGGACGAGGGTTTTGTCTTTGGTCAGGGCCTCTATAGCGGTTAGCAGCTATGCGATCCAGCGAGCCCTTGATTTCCATCATGAGTCCCTTGGTGCGTTCGTCTTTGTACAGCCCGTACATGCCAAAGGTGTTGCCCGCGGCCGCAAACAAAGGTGAGGCAGCGAAGACGGCCAAAGCTGCCCAGACGTTGAACCTTGTAAATTGCCACATGAACTGCGCCTGTTTTCCTGTAGCTAATGCCCAACGTTTGGTCGGAAAGCTCTGGTACTCCTCCATGGGCCGAGGACTCCGGAATGGAAACTTCATCTTGTCGTACGTCCTCCAAGCCATCAGACCTCCAGCCACACAGCCCGTGAGGTTCCCCCACAAGCTGTAGATCGTCCTGTTCGTGCTGTAGAAGGCGATGGCCTCGGCTTCTGTCTGCGTCAATGGCCGGCCGGCAAGGTTTTCGGTGCCCCGTATGAAGTCAATTACGGTGATTCCCGATATTTGCGCACGCCTGGGTCCTCCGAAGAGCCATTTCCGTTTCAGGTTACCCATCGGGATGGACTCGAAGGCGAGTCGGTAGGTGCGTGGGATGCCTTTGAGCTCGTAGCCTAGCTTCAGCGTCTCCGGCTCGACTTGGATCGAGTACTTGTTGCGAATCTGCATGATTTCCGCAATCCCGCCTCCGGGGGACTCGCCTTGTTGTACCGGCCGAGCACCGGGGCCCATAGATGATGGGAGGGAGGATGAAGGAGGGCCTTGGGAAGCCATTGCGGTAGATGGGATAAATTGGTGCTTTATTGTTTGTGCGATGACAGGTAAGACAACCAGGCCATGACCTGTAGCAGAATTCAATGGATCAACAGCAGGCAGCAGGCAAGAAGACCTAGGAATCTACCTGGGAGAAGGTAGTGGTGCTGGTGAGAGGGAAAAGGACTCATTCCTCTGCGATGTTCCACAGACTTCAAGTGACGTCGCTACAGGTGCAACTCACCCCACGAAAACCCCGACCGCACCTAATGATATTATGATAATATCTGGGACTCACCACATCACCAAAAAGAATCCCGTCACCCTCGTCCTGCGACGACCACCACGGCGTATCCTTGATATTCTCACTCTCACCATCCCACCCGTTGCTTCCGCCTGCCAACACCACTTGGCTGTCTACCTACGTGTGGCCTGCGAAGCGTTTATTTTGTCTGCGCACGCCACCTAACCGTCGCCTCTTTGTCAATCGAAGTTTTTCAAATCCGTGCCTCACTATAAATCTTCCAACATGCCGCCAAAAGGCAAGGGGGCTGACCAGCCCAAGAAGGCGAAGCCCTCTGTGGATGACAAAACATTTGGTATGAAGAATAAAAAGGGTGGCAGTGCGAAGAAACAAATTGCCCAACTCCAGGCACAAGCCAAGTCAAACAAGTCACCTGAGGAGAAACGAAAAGAGGCCGAGAAGGAACAGAGAAAGAAGGAAAAGGAGGCGGCTGAAAAAGCCAAGGCAGAGGCTGCGGAGTTATTCAAGCCGGTTCAGGTGCAGAAGGTGCCTTTCGGCGTCGACCCCAAGACAGTGCTGTGCCAATTCTTCAAACAAGGGCATTGCGAAAAGGGCAGGAAATGCAAGTTCAGCCACGACCTCGACGTCGGAAAGAAGGTGGCAAAGAGAGATCTCTACCAAGATACTCGGGAAGGGGAGAAAGAGGAGAAGGAAAAGGACACTATGGATGACTGGGACGAAGAAAAGCTGCGCAAAGTTGTTCTCAGCAAACACGGCAATCCTCGAACGACGACAGACAAGGTCTGCAAGTATTTCATCCAGGCGGTCGAAGAAGGGAAGTACGGCTGGTTTTGGACCTGTCCCAACGGAGGCGACAAGTGCATGTACAGGCACAGTTTACCACCTGGGTATGAAGACGTCCATCTCCTGCTGGCTGATGATTACTGACAAAGTTGACAGGTTCGTACTCAAGACTCGAGAGCAGCGGCGTGCCGAGAAGGAACTTATGGACAAGTCTCCTTTGAAGACCCTCACGCTAGAAGACTTTTTAGAGTCTGAACGACACAAGCTCACGGGGACTCTGACTCCTGTAACGCCCGAGACCTTTGCCAAATGGAAGAAGGAGCGTATGGACAAGAAAGCTGCAGAAGAACAAGCACGAAAGGCCAAGGAAGCCACTGGGCGTGCCATGTTTGAAAGCGGGAACTGGCAAGATTCTGAAGACGAAGACAGCAGCGATGACGACGACGACGATCACGGCTCATTCAATCTTGAGGCGATGCGCAGAGAGACAGAAAGGATCCGACAGCAGAAGGAAGAAGAGAGGCTCGCAAGAGCCAACGGCGGGGTGGTCCCTGACGACGACAACGACGCTGCAGAAAGTCCAGCGGATGAGTCTGAAGGTAACGGAACCACGGAAGATGGCAGGGAGGAGGATGGCGGGGGACAGGGCTGAGAAGATGTTTTTGCTTCCAGTTGTTTTTATGACTTTCTGATATCACACCAGCGACATGTAGCGAAACAATACACAGGCGCAGACCCGACTACGATCAAGCTCGGTCGAAGCATCCGGGTCCCCGGGTTCATATATGAGGTTTCTGGGAGGAATGGAATGTCTAGAGCGAGCTACAGGCTTCTCAGACACGCCTGCAACGATGCACTACTAGGGACGGGCCTCTGTACTCCGTGCGAGGGTAAGGCGCTGATGGGTGGAGTGGTTTGCTTTGTTGACCTGTGTTGTGGCCGTCTATGGATGGGGTAGAGGTATGTAGATATTGATGCCGCTCGCACAAGAAAAGGAGCAGAACAGGAACGAGAACCAGACACATTCACCTAGAAGAGGAGCGTTGTTAGAAGGCCGTATATGATCATCTGTCTCGTAGACTGGGTATCCTACAATCTCGTAATCCGTAGTAACCGGGCCCATTTCCCCGCAAGTCCAATACAGTGTATTTATTCCCTACTTAGCGACGTTCTCGACTTCCTCTAGTCCTCTCGATGCTCGTCTGCTTCCTCCACCGCCAATCGCCTGATTTCGTCCCAGGTGCCAGCATTAGCCCATCCGCCGGACTGGAAAGGGTCGTGTGCTCATCCCTGGCCCTCTATTAACGCCTTTCCACCGGAACAAGGACTCTCTATTCCCTTGCTCCGTCACCACTCCAAACGAACCAAGTGTAATCCTCGATCGGCCATCCTACTTCTCGAGTTCTCGCATCTTTGAACCTGACAAGCAAGGCATTAGTCCAGAGCATAGATTGCTTCCCACAACCAGGGCAGAACCAAAAGAAGACTGTGTGCTCCAGAAGCACCGCCAAAGCAGGGCTCTACGCACACATCTCTCCCCACCGACTTCAATCACACCGCCAACATGTCTCAACCTCAAAGCTCCATTCCTGGGTACCGCCCGGCACCATTCCTTACGTAGGTTTGCCCGAGATCCTTTCCCCATGAAAGGCTCCCTCTCCGACCGGCACGCAGGCCTTCAGAGCTAACCATTCCCATCACAGACGCGGCAAGAAACTCGTCCTCCTCTCCGTCTTCCTCGTGCCCGTCGTAAGCTACGCATGGCTCAAGAGGCTCGAAGCCAAGTCAAAGGAGCAAACACGCCTCCTCGAGGAAGAAGGACGGCGTAACTGGATCCAAGAGAACCAACGCTTCAACAGGAAAGATCTCAGCGTCGCCGTGGGCAGGAGCGGTGGAGGCGTCTAAGGCTGTTGGAAGGTGGACAATGACCCATCACCAAGATATACCCATCTGCCAAAGAGCAATCTCGCGCATACCCAACTACCTACCTAGGTGCCTTGCACCGGGACAGTAATGGCGCGCCCTGCCGACGAACCTCGCATTTTCAGCGTGTTCCATCCGTCCGTCCATCCTAAATATGTACACTACTACGCCCGAAAAGAACACCTCCGGGACGAAAACGGACCATGAAAACAGATACCCTGCGTTATGAGACACGAATGTCACGTTTCTTACGGCCAGAAATGCCACAGAACAAGTACACAATACCACGACACTACGCGACACGACAGGCGCGGCAAGAGCAAAAGATGTATCTTATCAGGGTCTTGAACCGATCCAGAACCATCTCGACAGATGTAATGCCCATCAAGCTATATTTCGCTAAACTCTCAATTTCCGACACAACGTAACTTACGAGCACCAAGAATGGTTGACGGGCCATGCTCACAAGCTTCGAAATATGTCAATCACGCACTCGATGCTCGACGTGTCGAACTGGCTACACACATGTTCTGGAAACAAAAATCAAATCGAACTTCAGAATGCGGAATACTAAACTGCAATTCACATATATCGCGTCTACTCAATCGTCCGCCGAATTTTGACTGTTCCTAAAACCACAACTCACACAACAATGAAGTGCGAGACTACAGGTACCATACTGTAACTGTAATACCACATGCTGAAATTGGGGCATATGCAGCCGGCCATTTTATTTTCAAGTCGGCCTCAAGTTTTGCTCTACGGTGTGAGAAGACCTGAGACAAGACAGGACAGACCAAGACAGGACGAGACGATACGAAATAGCCTTCGCTTCTTAGACCATGACCCAAAGATATGTATTCCCCGTACATGTCAGACTTACACGACCCAATATCTATGACAGAGTCACTTGTCAAGGCGTTATTATCGTATTGTAAAGGAAAGGCACCTATTCGTCTTGACTCTGAATACCACAACTTCATTTCTCATTCATTACCTTTCTTTCCCTGTCCCTACGAGTATATCACTCCCAGCTAGCTCTCATCAGCCTTTTCCTCCTCCCGTGCACTATCCTCCTCGTGAAAAAGACCAACACAAAAGCTTGCGATGTCAAGGATCGTCAAGAATTGAACGGACGGCACCATACGCTGAGACAGACAGACAAGACAAAACAGCTCTCGCGAGCATGGTCTGGTCGATGATGACCTAAAATCTTATCTGTTTCTCTTTCCTCGTCCTTTTCATGTTTTTCGTTTTGGCCCAGTCGTATTCGTACGAAACGAATAACTCTTATCCCGGTGAGACCTCATTCCCCCCTTAACCTGAAACTCCCGTCCCCGGCACGCTGACCCGCGTCCCACATCTCATAGTATATAGGTAGGTTGTTTTTTGCAAATCTGCCTTGGTTGCGCTGGCATACATACCTTGACTCTTGATCCTTCATATCTCTCCCATTCTCATATAACCACCCTTCGGATTCCATTAAACAACATTTTCCACTTCATCTCCTCCTTTCTTCTCCTTCCACGCCATCCTACGAATTCACACTCCCGGCCGTCGCACTCGGGATACTCTCGTATGGAGCCGCGTAGTCGGAATTCATCCGCGGGCTCATGGCTTGGTTGTCATCACCCTTGCGTCCTCGGCTGGGACTTCTCACACGGCCGGCGAAGTTGCGGATCTTGCCCAATAGCGCCCCGGATCCGTTCCCACCACCGCCGTTGCTCTCTTGGCCCGACCTTCCGCGGCGATGGCCTCCTGCCGACGGCAGAGCCGCTGAGAGTTGGGCTTCTGAGAAGCTTGTGGGGATTGCTGACAGGGGAAGTGGTACGTTGGCTGCTTCGGATTCAAAGGCTTTGAGATTCAAAAGGCTGGTGGTCGCGAGGCTCATGGCTGCTGGCTTTGGCGGCGGTGGCGGCGGAGGCGGTGCCACCAGATGTTGAAGTTCCGGGAGAATCGGTGGCGGAGGCGAACCCATCTGCGCCGAGCTGTCCGTTGGAGGGGACGACATCACAGGCATCTGTGGCTCTCTGGGAGACGTTCGCACACGATCACGGGATGCACCTCGACTCCGCGAGGACGCACGTGCTTCGGCACCCTTGCTACTTGAACGACTCCCAGCAATACGATGGTCGTAGGCGGGGTGTTTGGGCATCTGGGAGAGAAATTCCAGCGACACAGGAGCGCGGGCAGACCCAGGCGAGCTCAGATCTTCCCGTGTGGGCGGGCGGTAGACCTCGCTGGTCAAGAGCTCTGTCCCACTGGGCGGCACTGGCAGTTTATTTCCGGGGACATGCTCGACCACTTGCATGGCTCTCGGAGTGGCAGGTCGTTGTTGGTTGAAGCCACCGCTTGTGTTGTCCCTTTCGATTGGTAATGGAGGAATCTGGGCACTCGTGATGGAACCATCGTCAGTATAAGCCCTGACCAGTGGAGGCATATTTCCAGTCGACGCTGATTTTACATGGGCACCGGCGTGTGAAGGTAGCGGAATATGAGGTACTGAAGGTCTGCGAGTAAGGGACTGCCTCCGAGATTCAAGCTGCTTTGCTGCAGACTCTTGTCTGCTTCGATCATTGAAGGTTTGTGGCTGACTTGAAGGCCTAGGCTCTTCGTGCGGGGTCCGTAGTGTAGGTAACATGTCTTGAAGATCATCAGGATGTGCACTGCGCTCGTAGCCAATCTCGCTTGGACGACGATGCCGCCGGTGTCTATCACTGCGGCTGGTTTTCCTGCTCAATGATGCTTCGTCTGCTTGTCGACTTCGAGATCTGACGCGTGGACGGCGACGGTCGGGCGAAGTGTCTCGTTTCGCGCTGGTATCACGTTGAGGTTGTCTGCTGGTGCTGCGGTGTAGCCTATGTCGATCCCTTGAGACAAGTCTTAGAGCCGAGTCCTTGTCGAAACGACTTTGTAGGTCCTCTTCCGAAGGAATCATGGGTCTTGGTGACGAAGGCGACCGATGCCCGGTTTTCTCCCGCCTCGACGAGCTCCGGCCTCTGGGGGAGAACAGCGCAGGGTCAGGGCTTGTCTGCCTGCTGGGAATACCACTGCCGCCCTTGCTCCTTGTCCCGTGAGTTTTCGACCGAGACCTGTGTCGATGCTTTGTGCCTTTGGCTGTTGAGTGAGACCCACGCCGACTCAGCTTCGACATACTGCCAGGCGTTCCGACTCGATCATAACCAGAAACGTTCGAACTATACATGGAATCGAAGCTCTCCACACTGGTACTATACATTCGCAGGTCTTCCGGAGACATTGGCACGGGTGAGGAGGGAGACCGCTTAGCAGCAGGAATAGTCCGTCGACCCTCGCCTGCGTCATTGACGGTGGCGGTCCTGCCCCTTCTTCTCTCCGATACATCGTCCCTGGATGTCTTGCTGGCGCTGCTGTAACCGCGTGCTCGTGCATGCTTCTCGTAAAAGTGTGCTTGATCAAGGCTGCTAATAAACTGATCAATACTTTTACCTGTGACTGCTGGGCTTTTCGTAGTATCCCTGAAACTTTGACCCGTGGTGGGGGGGCTGGTGAGTTCCGCATTGGTCTCGATCTGCGTGTTGGAGTATGTTCCAGTCGTAGCAGGACGACTGATGGGGTCCTGGTAGCTAGTAGGAGGTAGGTATTCAGGCTGAGAATTGACCTGTTTTACTGCCATCGTCTGGATCGAGAGACCCTCCGGTTTTCGGCTTTTGGAATCATTCCTCGGTCGTGACATTGAATCTCCGCCCTCTGCATTCTGAAAGCGAGCGCTTGACGCAGGGAACCTCATACCGCTCTGTGGACCGACGGCTGTTTGAGGAGTTTCCTTGACCGGGGTGGCTGAGGGTTCGTATCGTGCGGACGTAAGTAATGTAAGGCCCTGTTTAGATTTCTGCTGAGGATCATTTCCCGCCGGGGTCATCTGAGGCTCATCGTCATCCTTAGATAAGGCGATATCAGTAGGCACAGAGACAGATCGTTGAGGAAAGACATGAGGGGCTTCCACATCAATAGGTGTTTCGCCAATCGAAGTCAATCGACTGGGTTGGAAGCCGCCTGGAGTTGCAGTCTTCGCAGACAGAGCACTATTAATGCTGCGTATGTTGTTTAACCGATAGGAGCCCAAACCGCCTGGTGACAGAGCAGACCTATCAATTGCAGATTCCGCAATAGGCGTGACAGCCGCAGCAACGGTTGGAGTGCGGTCATCGGGTTTGAGGCCTGGAAACTTGAATTGATTATTAGACTGCATTCCGAACGAGGTAATGAGCTTCAGTGCCGATGTCTGAGGTGTTATCCTGGTCCCTTGGGCCGCAGCTGTCCGGTAAGGTGTAGGGGGAGTGGGCACGGAAGGCAACCTATGTGGCGGAGGCATCGCGACTGGAGTCGGAGCGTCGATCGTCCGCCGTCTCTCCAACATCTTTTGGTAGATGGCTGGATATTCGCTCGGCTCGAGATTCTGGAGTTGTGCAGGCAGCGGGCTTTGCATCTGCTCTATGAGAACTTTTGCTGGCTCTTGAGCAAGCATTCGTGCTTTTGGAGAGGTCCATGGGTCAGACGGTTCCACACCAGTGCAGGAGAAGCATCGGATAGCGAGAGATTGTTGGGAATTTTCCACCACATGTTCACCCCATCTGCGGACGAGGTAGGACTGCCGTTGCCAGTCTTCGGGGTAGATGAGGCACGTCAAGAGAACAGCGTCCATATACTGGTTCCTCGAGACATACACCTCAATAGCGTCGCTTCTGTCGCCGAGAGCGAGCATCAGAGTGGCTGCGGCATGTATGTCCCCATGGCTAAGCATCTTCTCGATGAAGACCTGAGTTATCTTCTTCGCGGTGACCTGGTTGCTAATTGTACCCAAAGTCAGCAGCATCCAGTCGAGCTTAGAATTAAGTTTGGTAGAGCCCATGATCTCCGCAAGGTAGTCAGGGTCTTCATCGAGCCATCTAGCAAGGAAAATTGCGTTCTGGCTCTGACTTGGATGTCGGCTCAGCTCGTCACGAATAAGGTCGTGAATGTCCTCGTCCCAACCAAATACACAACTCAGCATCTGTCTTCGAAGATCACTGGAGGTTAAATGGGTCTCATCGACAGTTCTCGGCGGTCGATATGGTACATCGTGCAGCCGGGCCCTAGTGAACGGAAAGAGGTCTACCAACGGCCGTTCTTCAGGACTCATGATAACTTCTTGCCTCAGGCGCGAACCTTTTCGGTTTGATCTCGAGGTAATTGGGGACTGAGAAACCTGGTTGGAGGTCGATTGAGACTGGATCCCTGTATCAAATGACGTCGTTGTGTTGTCGGTTCTACCGGCGGGCGAGATGATGTCGTTGATACTGGCCTTTATCCCGGATCTCTGTGAGCTGATTGTGGACTGAGGACTCGCGGTATTGTTACGCTCCGGTCGGGCGGCTTCAGATGCTCGTAACTCTCTCCGGGCACGGACAAGAGGAGAAGCGAGCTCTTCTTCGCTCTCGGATGTTGTCCAAAGAGGACCTCGGACATCTTCTGCTGGGGGTGTTGGTGGGATTGTGGTCGGCATATGTCGAACATTTGCGACCATTTGAGCGCGTTCAATATCATATTGTTGCACAGTGTAATCCGGGCCGACAGTGAAGAGCGTCCCAGTCGGTCCGTAGCATGCTATAGCCTTTACTCCTTCTATCGTTGGGATAGGATCGTAGGTGACATGCTTAGTCCGGACATCCCACGCCCAAGTCTTGCCCTCCGAGTACTGGACAATGCGACCGTTCTTGGACCAAGAGATCCAATTCCGGCCTGCCACATACACGTCTGAACGCTTCAGAACACGAATGACCCGGGGAGGTTCTGCTGTTGGCGGCTTTGAGACACTCCACACTCTGAGATCTCCATCTGCGGTCTGAGTAGCGAGCATATCAGATTTCTGTTTCGAGGATGAAGCATGCCACGTCAGAGTGATAATGGGAGAAGGGCCACGGGACGTCGTCAACGTGTGAAGAATGGTGAAAGACGGCTGCAGTGCTGCCAATAGGATGGATCCATTATTATACCTGGCAGTGTGTTAGGACAGTGCATATACCGCGACCTCGGAAACCTACCCTATCGCATACGTCTTGCAATCTGAGGATGGTGCTATTGCTGTAATGGGATCAAATATAGTGCGAGCTGATATATGGTCACTGGTAGAAGGTTCGAACAAGATTACTTCGCCTTTGACATTACCTGAGCAATGTGAGCGCGAGACATCCATGCCTGGGCCTGGGCCATGGCCGGGACCGGACCCATCAACTTACCAAATGCGATATTTCCATTTCTCATCCAGTGTGCAACTTTGAGGGGCTCATAGGATACAAAGCGAGAATGTTGCTCGCCTGTGAGCAAGTCCCACACTATCGCCGTTTGCCCAACATCATAGGTTACGACTAACCTGCCAGCGCCAGTCTCGCTGACATTGTCAGCGGAGATGAACTGGATGTCTTTGGTATGCTTCTCGAAGCGTCGCTCCAGGGCTAAAGTGTCATGATGCAGACACAGAACCACGGGACCTTGAGCGATCAACAAGAGGGATGCGGTCGAAGCACATGGATCGAATGAAGTGTCATCGGCGGCCGGCCTCGGTTTGGAGCTCGACGGAACCACGACTCCTTTGGCTTTGTTCGACACCGACCGCTGTCGCGAGATGCCTGCGCCTGCAGACATAGCCGATGAAGTTGGCTGGTTCGCGACTATCCGGGTATCAGCACCGTATAAATCGTACCAAACACCTCGAAAGCGTTGTGTGTACCTCTTTGGCTATGCAACTCCCACGTATGACATGGTTCCAACCAAAGCTACACCAATATATCCAGATAGTCGGATATTTCAATCTTGACTGGTTCCTCCGCCGTGCGACCAGGGAAGGATAGCAGCAGAAACAGTTCTTCTTGTGCAAGCGGCCGTCACCTCCAGATAAAGCCCAGTACCGCCGATGTAGCCGCTGGACAGGGTCGTTCTGCAGTGACCCTTAGAGGAGGCCCGAGGAGTCAATCGGCGGATACTGTGATCGAGTCAGGAGAGAAGCGATATATTGCGCAGGTGCGCATGTACTGGCCCGGCTACGGAGAAATAAGGACGATATCTGTGTGCCAAACGAACACATGAAACAAGATCTCTGGATGTGTAGATGCGCAGAGTATCCTCCGTTCGAGTACAGCCAGATGACCGGCCGGAACACCTGATCTCGTAGAGAGGCGCAGCAAAGAAAACAAAAGGCAAGTAATATTAGCAGCAATCAAAAGGTACCAACAGGCATGATGGAAACACGACTGTGAAGCTCTACTGGACCGCGGGCAGCTGATTGCAGCCCCGCCGCCCCCAGCCTGCGAGCCGAGCAGATATTGGACGCCATGGGTCGAATCATCAACAAGATGGACATCTAGCCCAAATGCAAGGTGATCTGAATGGAGAAATGGTCGAGGTGCAAGGAGGTGCAAGGAAAGGCGTAGTTGGTGGACGATGGACAGGCACAAAAGCTGCTCGGCGCTTACAATCTGGCGATTGGCGGAGAATCATGCGCTGTCACACACCAAGCAGCCTCGACGCCGCCAATCACTTTGTCCAGCACACTCAAGCATCGCTCTTCATGCCCTGGTCAAGCTTTCGTCAAAAGCATGAGTTGCTAGACCCTTGACGGGCAGCGCCGACTCCGTCCACGGGGACAAAGCCCACTGGCCTGACTTGCTACCCTCTGGCACCCTCTACCGCCGCGCCGCCGCCTCACTCCATCCTCGATCGAAGCCACCGTCGTGGCCCCGGCGGCTGTACAGCAGAGAGCATTGGAAGGATTATATACTCCGTATCGCTACGCCAGTCTCTCGATTGTCGGCTTATTGTAACATCTATCATGAACATCTACAATAGCATGATGCGGCAGGAGTGAGGTGATGAGAAGTTTTGCGAACGACACGCATTACACAAGTTTCTGCACTACTCGACGCACTATCAAGTGAATTCAAGTGAACAGGAATCATGGAGTGGTCGACGTCTTGGAGGTGAAGTTGGGATCCTGGGTTGTGCCTCCAGCTTGCAAGCTGTAAATGTACTTGCAACTTTGCATCGTCCAACAGCCTCCAATGCCTCTCAACCTTGCATCTGATATCCCCGGCTTGTCGCGCCTCACCTCTCAGGCGATCGGCTGTCCAGGTGTAGAGCTTCTCCACAGGGCATCAAAGTGCGAGCTTTAGGCCCCGGTGCGTTGTTCTCCCGCTGGCCACTTCCAGTGCAGTGAAAGCGAAAGTCACGCATATCGAGAATCTCCGCGGGAAATAGCACTATTGCCCGCCTGATTGCACCGCTTGCTCTCCATGGACTTAGTCCGGCCGCTCGAGTGAGTGATGCCAGGACCAAGACTCTGGAGATCCAAACAGGACTCCGTAGGGTATGCAGTGGTGCCGACGCATACCGCGCCTGACGAGAAACGCTTTACACTAGTCAATCTCGTTGTCGCAAGCGATTCTTGCCGAAGTTGCCCAAGTCAACTCCCATGATTGATTCACGGGTATCCCGTCCTATTGAACCGTGATTACGAGCGAATTGAGTTGCATCACCATGACCTCTCGCCATTCGCGAAGCATTTCTGTCGCCCAACTCCTGTGTGATGGCTTCTGCCTCCCCCGGAGCGGCGCGAGCCAGCAATAGGGCTCCAACGGAAGCCCTCCCCAGGGGGGTGGAGAAACATGGCGACACGGAGTTTCTGCATGGCTGGCAGATCAGCACACTCTTCATCGCAGCAGCGGACAATGACTGCATGCGCAACCATAATCACTGCTGTCAGAAAGCGTGGGCGTCACATTGGCTTTGGCTCTTTTGTATCCTGTCTCTGTTGCTTCATCACTTAGCGAGCGACACAGACGCCAGGTGCACAAAGCCTTGCCTCGAACGGCTTGACTATGCGAAGAGGAGGGTGAAGCTGCCATGGACTCTGGGTCTCTTTAGCGGGTGACCAAGAAGGCTTCCTGCATCTACGCGCCCACGCTAAACAATAGTTCTGAGCGCAGCCAATCGGCACCTGGACGCCTTGGAAAGCAAACTCGAAGCTCCCGGATTTTGACCCTTTCTAGACGAAATGTCATTGGGACTTCTCAACATCACTCGATAGCACCGTAGATAACGCTACGAACCTCGACTATCACTCTAGGTCACCCGCCGACAACCAGGGGGGTGTGCAGCTCTCCTACCCCTTGCCCAGCACCGCACAAGTGCTCGGACTTGCCTCGAGCACGCCACCAGATGCCGAGTGAATATTCTTGCTGCCCAAAGCAATGAGAATGAAAGACCAAAAATTATTGCGACCTGTTCCTGCGTCACGCCCAAGGTCCACGGCCGCAAGTTTTTCCTCGACCTAAATGCTGTGCTCCATGACGCATTTCCGCGTTTACCCAAGGAGGGAACTCTCACCCTTTGTATCCTGGTCCATGCAATCCCGCATGGGATCGTGGCACCTTTGACGAGCCGTCCCGGAATCTCGTTCCCGACGTTCGTCATTGAAAATAACGTACTCTCCGTACTTCTTATTGAAAAGTTCCTCTTATTCATGCACACTCCTAGACTCGATTCTATCACCGAACAGCCCATTTGAGCAGATGGAACGGCACGGAAAGACAAGTGTAGCACCTAGCCAGCTATACATGTGAATCATGCGCAATGACAATGTTGGCAAAAGCGATAGCCTCGTTGCAAAGAGCTTCCGACAGTTACACCCGCAACCACACCCCTGGTAGTTCTGTCATACTCGGATGTCGGCCCATCATGCAGGTCGAGTTGGCGGTGAATGAATTTCGAATCGCACTTAGGCCGTAAGTATGACAAGATTTCGCCGTCAGACGCCTTTGTGCCACTGAGAGCATATTTCGACATCATGCACAAGGTTGATATGTTGTTCAAATATGATTTGTCAACGTCGGCTGTGCCCAACTCAAGCCTGTACCTGAATGGTAAAGACATAGTTTGCAAGTTAGCTGCTGGATGGTCTCATGCATCGTGACTTTCTTGCACTAGACCTTTCTCGAATGGCGCGCACCTGACCTTCGAGAAGTGAGGCAAGCTGCAGGTCGAGGTAGGTAAGCAGACAAAGCACCTCTGTAAGTCTGGCTTTCTCATGTAACACTTCCGGTCTCTTTGGCGTGCAGCAACATGTCCCTTCGGCCTCGTGGATGTCGGAGCTCGGCATAGGTCAACTGCGTATGACGACAATGAGACCCAGTGACACAAGGTTCATATTCGGTCTGCGGTCACCACAGTGGTGACGTCCGTCGCAGAAGGTAGTTTGGCATCCGATGCTTCAAGAACGGTCACCAACATGGCACAGGAGTTGAGTATTTGTTCAATAATGCCTGTTGTGAACAACATCTTCTCCCATGGAGTAAGTAAGCACGCAAGCACTTGAAACCGCTTGAAATATCGATTCTCTCCGACTGCTACGCATGAGCTGTTGGGGAAGATTCATCCATTCTGCACCACCTGATGACGACGATGATAAGGGAATGAATGAACAGCAAGAGCTGACATTTCGCGTAGCAATCTACTGCTGCATGTTGATCTCATCCACGCACCATTGCTCTCTGACTTGGGGTCGCGCTTTAACCAGAGTCATAACTGGTCTCATCTTGAGCTTCAAAGACCTAGTGGAGGTTGTCGAATTGAGCAACCAACACTGCAGAAATTCTTTCCTTGTGCTCAGGGCAAGATACTACCCCACACGATTGGCACCCGGAAGACTCGCAGGGAATTCTGTAGACGTCAAAGCTGACGGCCACCGTGCCTCCCATTGGTACTAAGTGACCACCCTGCATCGGTCATGAATGTGAGTAATGTTTCATCCTTCATGTGCATTCTGCTCCTTGGGCGGGTTTATAGCTGTACAACTGGGGCCACTCCAGGCTTTGTGTACAATTCACCCCGGCAACTTTTGTGGCGCATACGTACACGATAGCGCCTACGCATTCAATTTTCATGCATGCTGTTGAGTGTTGTCTGGTCTTGATTATTCCTTAGCCATGGGATCAGTGACAATCTTGTGTTTAGATGGGGTGTGCTGCGAGGTCTGAGGTGACAAAAGCTGCTGGCTGCTTCTTTTCCAGACATCTTTCGTCCCTGGGTCTAATGAGGCTTTGCGATCCAATCCACGATGAATCTGTACTGGAGATGCTCGGAGAGATCATACAGCACCCGAAAAATGACCGCTTTAAGGGTTGAAGGCTGTCTCTGAAGATCGCTGTATCGATTCTCACTGCCACAGCGTCGCACCCCGTCATCAAATTCGAACAATTGTGACGCGAAAGTGATATGAGCAGCTTGATCGCCGGATATGAAGTGCACTTTGACTGTCCGTAAGACCACGGCACAATGCAAAGGACGGTTCTTCGAGAAGGGCGACTTGCATGCAACTGCCCATCCTCGGGGTTTCAATTCACGCGTTTTCCTCGTTGCTATGGGGAACCAGTAGATCAAAACTTCAAACACATACCTACATACGTGCTCTCAAATATGGGCATACATTATCAAGAGACTAATTGTGAGTCAAGACTGACATTGTGACATGTCCCAACGAGATGGAAATTGATAGTTTGTATGGTTCCAACTCTCTCGGATGAGGATTTTAGGCTGGGGAGTTGATATGAAAGTAAGAGGAATTTAAAGTTTGGAAAGTTGTTATAAACCGCCAATGCTTTGATGTCGGGTCACGAAAAGACAAGCGACTTCCGAAAGAGGCAACTCAGGGTACCGTTTTTGGGAAACCTCTGATGTCATTGTCGTTCGATGAGGAAAGTTGCAGTGAATCAACTTCAGCGCGTTGTACGGCGGCAAAAAGTCCAATAAAACGAAACTTGGGCCACATCTTTGTAAGTGATCTTTGCGAGGTAACTGCGCCAGATGCAATAATAATACACCGATGTTAATAAACAGGTCAATGTCGCAAGGAAAGGAAGCCACAGAACAGCCCTCCAGGGCCAGGAAGCGCAGTGACCACCATGCACAGCGGATGTAACCGAGATCTCCCCTGCGAGACGGTCCGAGGGCTACTAACGCGATCGAGATCGATGCTTCTTCTCTGGGTCACTCTCACGGTACAAACCATGGAGCACGATGTACCTGAGCTTATAAACGTCACGTCGGGAGATTAGACAACACCTGGAACACAGAACACTCCAAGCGACGAGACGTGCCGGTTGTCAGAAGTCAAAGATTCGAAAACAAAACAGATCTGCTCCCGTCCAAGAGTACATGAGCAGCTGAAGAAGTTATTCAACCGAGCAACACGGACAAATCAAAACTCGCCAAAGGCTGGGCCGGGGTATGAGATCGCAGATGGTGTGCTTTCCGATCTTCGATATGCAACTGCCAACAGCTGAATCTGGAGAAACTAGTGCACCGAAAAGTGTCAGCGAGATTGTGCACGTCAAACAAAGACCCACGTCAAAAAGGCCAGCCCTGGCTGGTGGTGAGTCCCAAGCTGTCAGATTCGCGAGCTGCAAGTCTGCATCACCGTTGCGCGAAGTGGGAGAAGTGGCGTGCGTCAGAAGCAGCAACTGACATTCCCTCGAGCAGCCTGGTGGTGAGCCATCTGTCATGTCATTGTGTCACGGTTGTCAATCCACTGCTCCACCCGCTTCCCCGCGTCCGCCGTCGCCTTCGACAGGACCTCAGCTGGGTCGACAAAGATGGCCTGTGTAAGAAGCAGCACTAAGGAAAAGTGACGGCCGTGACAGCCTTCCCACCTACGTTGGTGGATTGTACGTCAAATCGCGACTTGCAAGCTGTTGTAGGTGAATTTATCTGGTATCTGGCTGGCATTGCCCGAGCCAAGGTCTTTTGGTCTGTGTAATAACTTCGGATCGATGTGTTCCTAACCGGATCTGTCTATTGGTTAACGACAACGAAGTTACCCTCCAGAGACACCTTGTGTCAAAGGGTCAAAGTCAAATGTTCTTGTGTGTTGGTGTTCCCCTGAAGTGCCTTGGGTCTTGAGACGGGCAAAGCAAGCACATGCTTGCAAAAGTGGTAGCGTCGCGTTCGCGTCGTGTCGCTGGCCACGAAACAGGCAGCATCTCCGTGTGGCGTACCAAGTGGCTGGTGTGACTTGTGGACGCATGTCGCAAGTGGCTGAGACTCGGCGTTCGGTGTCTCTTCGGCCTCATCATCGGCATCCAGAGTCACGTGCATTTCAGCAATGTCACATGCAAACCATTCACCTTTTTTAGTACGCCGCGGTCTGCTCCATTCGCCCGCCGGCCTTCTTCGGTGTCTTTCCCCCGAGATACTTCCAAGATGCAAATAATTTACTACTCGTATTACCCACATTGCCATGTGGCATTCGAAATGGAGACGATGATCGCGTGGAAAATTCTAGCGAAACAAGTCGGTCCTTCCATCCGCAGCGCAACAATGCTGGCGATCGTTACTGTACTCCATAGCCACCCAAAGTTTGACGAGATGCTACTCGCGCGAGTAACCTAGGTGTGTCCACAAGCATCGGATGTATCGACAATAGATCCATGTCAGCGTTGCAATTGAAGATCTCTGCAGAGTGGAAAAAAGGGGGGGAGTTTCCTGGACGAAGCTTCTCCTGCACATGTGAAAAAGCCGGCACAACGAAGTTGGCTGGGTTTGTAGAAGGTCTCCCGGCGGATGCGGGCGCGTACTCGGTGCAATTGCCAACACCAGGAAAACTCCGAGCAGGATTAGATTACCCCTTGCGAGGACATTTTCAAATTCTACTTTGCTTTTTGCTTGCGTGTTGAGTGCTACAATAACCCACCCACAATTACCTTGGTCCGCGTCGACTCTGTGCACACCGGTTCCATCAATGAATGGGGGATCATGGGTATTTGCGAAATCGGTCCGACTACAAAGGAGAATTATTGTCGCTGAATGGGGTACAAGTATCTTTCCCCCCATCAAAAAGTCTACTTGAATAAATAAAGCGGCTTGAGTTTACGCCTGTACGCACAGGCGCGGACGCCTCTTCTCTTTCACACACCAAAGAAAGTTGTTGGGGGAAGCCTCCCCCCCGGGTGGCTTCTACCGAGTATGTCATTGAAAGCAGTTCTGAGTAGGAAAAATGCCCGGTGATTATTGATTGTTTCTCCGACTTTTTGTAACAAGCCAAAATTTAAAAAGAAGGAGGTTGGAGATACGAGGAGTAGAGTTACCTTACTATTCGTAGCGACGGGGAAATATTGGATCAACAAAAGGTTACGAAAACAAGACTTTTGGCTATGCTGCTCTCTCTCACTCTCGGTGAAACCAGAGCTGCGGTAGTAAAGTGACAGAACAGACACCCCCAATACAGGTAACGGGCGAGGGAACCCCAAGACCAACGGCACAAGAGTAGTACCACCGACGGTTTCATGTGCCGTGGTGGTAGCGGTGGTCAATACGCAGCACGGAGTAGTAATGGTGGTTCACTAGTTAGTGACGATGGTGATAGTGGCGGTGATAGTGGCAGTGGTAGTGGTGGTGGTGGTGGTGGTGGTGGTGGTGGTGGTCATGGTGACGACGGGTGATCATGATGATCGCTTGACACCATCGATTACAACACCACATTGGGGGGGGGGGGGGGGGGAGAGAGAGAGAGGGAGAGAGCGCGAAAGAAACAGAGAGAAATGACTCAGGCTGTACTACAGTACCAACTCCAAACGCTGTCCAGGTAGTCATCTGGACGAAACAGCCGAATGACTCAACCACATGGCCGATCATTATGATCAGGTACGGAGTTACGAGTTCTAACCAGTTGCGAGAATAACGTGGGGAGTAGAAAACGAGAGAACGAGATGGTGAGAGTGAGAAGTGGGAGCGGGAGCCGCGCCCGCGCGTGGGATTTTGATAGTCACCAGCAGGTACAGTATCTCAGTTACCTTTCTTTACCTTGTCCAACACTGTTCTGTTCTGCTGTTACAATTACAAGAAATGTGCAAATACTGAATAATCGCGGGATCTAATCTTTAGCACTATGAGCTTTACCAGAAATAGTTTGGTTGAAACAGCGTAAGCTATCCAATTAGCTTCATTCTGCAAATACATGAAAATTGTGTCATTTTCATTACGCCGTATACTGGCTGTCATTAGATCAAATATTCAACGCCAAAGTCGAGAGTAGCACCGAGCACGTGATTATAGCCTTCACCTGACGACTTTCCATGAAGGAAAGCACCTCGGGATTCTGACGGGAAACTGCGCTCTTACTGACCGTTTTTCGCGGGGTGATTGTGCTGATCTGTTTACAACACTTTTCAAGTACATTTTGCAGTGACTGTTGCTTCCAGCAGAAACGGTTAGGGCCGTCGAAATGCGTTGCGATGGGTTGACCTTAACGCCGAGTTTCGAGCAAGCCTAGGACCGATTAAAAGGTATTGTAAAAGTGACCCCTTTAACTATGGTCGGGGCTATCGAGGGGGATAAGCCATATCCCTTGCCCGGTAGAGAGGTAGCGGCACCCCGGTTGAATACGCTGACATTGATCGGATTCGGTTAGTTGACGCCGGTCCCGGCCATGAGGGCACCCGGTTCCGGGAATGATTGCGAGATACAATATAAAAAGAGAGTGAGACTGAGCTCCCGTGGTTTCTCTTTGCCAGGGCCCGCAGGATCAACAACGCCAAACATTCCACTCACATTGCACCGCGACGCAGAAGCACAGCAACCATGGCCGCAACTGGCGACGACAAACCCAAGCCCTACCTCCCCTTGGCCGGCGGCGCCGACGATGGCTGGTCGAAAGAGGACTCGGCGACGGCAACCTGCTTCTGCGGCGCAGTGCAGCTGGCATTCCCCACCAAAGGCCCCGGCTTACTCAGCACTTTTGTCTGTCACTGTACCGACTGCCGCAAGATCACGGCATCCATGTTTGCTTCAAACTTCAGCGTCGCGGATACACATCTGACCCATATCCGCGGCCGCGACAACCTGACCGCGTACAGCCAGTCGCGTACCATCGCCTCGGGCAAGCTGATGACCAACTATTTCTGCTCCACCTGCGGCACACTCATGTACCGGGTTGGCGAGAGGTTCCCGGGAAGGAGTTTCTTGCGCATCGGGACAGTGGACGATTTCAATCTGCACGAGACGAGGCTGCGGCCGAGGCGCGAGATCTTCGTCCAGGACCGTGTCAGTTGGCTGAGTCCCGTGGAGGGCGCGCAGCAACTTGAAGCACAACGTCCGAGGGAGTAGGTCCCTCTGCACCGCTTTGGTCTGTAAATTACAGGATGCTTTTCTACTCTCAATCCACTCGTCTCATCGCCCGTTCGGAGACTCAAGTCTAAAAGCTCTCTCTACCTGTCATCAGATCCACTAGGTATTCTGACTCCAACGACAACCTGCCTCCCCCACAGTACTGGCGGCTGCGTCTCCGTCTCAAATACCAGCTCTCCCTCCAACGAGGTCAACCATCTCCTTGATGGAGGAGACCAGGCCGAGTTCACTGCCTCACACCGGAACCCAGAACGACATGACTTTATACGTTGATATTTCAGTCCTCTGATCGCCTTCAATGATACCACCGCACCGTCGACGGACCCTGTTCATTACTCTCGTGCTGGAAAGTGCCGTGACACCCACCATGCGATTCTGTCGATTCCAGCGGTTTTGAGGTTGTAGCACACCATTTTCGTCAGTATGTCAAGAATCGGTGATGGTGTTCTGGATATATCGATACTTTCGGTCACCGGCCAGTGTAGCGTTCTCATCGTCTCTTAACCTTTTTATACAGTGAAAGTGATCAAAGAGAGAATGAGCGTAAAATTTTGCCCTGTCACATGAAGCGAGCTAGCTGATCGCTCCCGGCGAATCCAACATCGAATGCATTTTGGTGTCGATCGCACAAGCATGGCCATGCGAAGGTTGTCTCACGCAATCCACCGACAAAGACAGTCGCATTGGAGCAATTACAGAATCGACGCGTTCGTGTCGTGTAGGGAAGACTTCAAGCTGTTGATCTGAACATCTATCCTCGCACTTCCGAGAGGCCCGCGGAAAGACGCCAAAGTCAAAAACTACAGTACCTAGCGACACCCGTTCAAATGACAACCCTCTTCTCTCAAAACCAGATCAGAACTTTTCCGGTTGATACATAAATTACAGGTAGAGATGATTGGACTGTGGGAGAAACACGCGCTCAACCGCAAGAAGTAAAGTCTGAACAACAAGATGGATACTTTCTAACTTTATTTGCATTAGTCCGGTGTCCATCAAAGGTGACTTGTTACAGAATGTTCATTCCTACTCGTACAGTACGTACCTTGGGTTCAAATCACACGGCTAGTGAACGAGACGCAGTAGCATATGTTGTTGCCTCCAGTGTAAAAGATGCCCCCGTGAAATTTGCTTCGAAAAAAGTATTCCGTAATCAGCCTAAAGAGATGCCTCTACCGGGGCGCTTCCACACAGTGACCACCTGTACCTACTAACCTGAGCCGAGGAAGGATACGCATGTGTTTTGCCCTTCATTTGCTGTTAGCAGGCTCTTGTCCTGGCCCCCCCCGGGTGGACAGTCACCCCCGGCCAAAGCACCAGTCACACCCATCTACTCTACTGCACACAGTAAAAGGGAAAAAGGAAAAAGGTACATTGGTCAGTCATCATCCATTATTAATCAGGCTGTGGGTGGTAGGGGTTACTAAGAACTAAAACGGTACTGTGCAAAGTGCCTCGTTCGGTTGGGAGAAAGAATGAATTTGTCCCGGATAAACGATTCGATGTCTGTTTTCTTTATTAAAGCACCGACTACTAATAAATAAATCCTTTCCGCGAGTAGTTAGTAGGTGTAGGTGAATGGCGGATGTGCCTCTACGAGTAGTAACTTGTATCTATCTACGCTTTCCGACCGACCTCGGTTTGCCCATGGGGAAATTAAATGTAGGGTACCTGCGAGCAGTGCCTCTGATGACCTGGAACATATCCGACACTGTGGTGTGTACTCCGAGCGTCCGACGACATGAATCCGACCCGAATCTCTACCGGTACTGGACCTGAAGTTCCCCCAAGTAGGGTAAGTAACCGGCCGATCATCCTTTCAACCGGATTTAAATGACACCAGCCGAATGCTCTTTGGAGTTTCGGTTTCCCACCCACCCACCGACGAGTCAAGAAACGAAGTAGTAGGGTAGGTAATGATGATGATGATAATATCGTCACGTCAGTGGCGGTATGTTATACGAGTAATAAGTGTGCTAAGAGGGAGTGTGAAGGCGCGGAGTCTACGTACGAGCACCTCCAAGAAACCCCCCGGAAAAGGGAGCCTGTGCGGAGGTGGCGATTAAACAAACCCCGATTTCGCAGGAACCAAAACAACCACCCAAGTCAGTCAATCGACCGACCAACAAACCTTACCTACAGTACAACCACAAGAACTTTGGACTGCAGAAGATCTTCTTGTCTCTCTCTCTCCCTCCCTCTCTCTCTCTCTCTCCAACCAACAGAAACTTTGTTTCTCGGTTCTTCCGTCTTGTGTCAATAATGACATGACTTGCATGACTCGGTTCGCCTGTCATCGACCCGTTCGACTCAGCGACGCGGCGCTTGTGATGTCGTCGATCGCCTAACATTTCCAGCTGGGACCGACGAGTTGACAGGTTTGCTTTTCACCACTCGTAGCAACTCCTGCTTACTAGGTCAAAATGAGTCAACACTTTGTACCTAGGTACGGACGTAGCGACGTTTGTACACTGACAAATGGATCCGTAAATAGTTATCGATGATCCTGTTTTCTTTGACATGTGCTCTCCGTTTTTTGTCACTCCTTTAAACAAACAGACAAGATTAGACGAGAAAGAGAGAGAAGGGGGGGGGGGGGAAAGAGACGACAACAAGAGAAAACCACTCGATCGGCAATCGACACCGATCAAGCCTTTGATCAATCTGACCACCATCGTCTGAGATTTGTATTGTAGATATTACATGCATAGTAGATGCTCCGTAGCGTGCCCGCGGATACAACAGATGCTGGGGCATGCTGCTACTTGCTACCTTAGGGCACCTAAAGTTGGGCATCAAAAACAGACCACGGTCACGAGGGGGACTCATCAAAGTTGCCTGCAGGTAATAATACGGCGGACGCCTCCTTTTTTTATTTATTTACGGAGTAAAGCCAGCCAGCCAGCCAGCCGGCTGACCACTTCTAGCAATACCACCTTGACCTGTAAAATGGATAGTAAATAAAAGGGTGGCGAGGACGCCGACGACGACAACGGAGGGTTGCCTATCTGCCTAGCTTGACTCCTTCCTCCCTTTGTCGTGTTTCTCGTTGGGCGCGACTGAACGAATGATGATGATGGTGATGATGACGACGATGATGATTCGTTACGTCGGGGGAAGGAAAAACGAGGCGAGCGGTCTCAAAGAGAGATGGAAAGATGGCAAAAAACCAAAAAAAACCAAGGAAAACCAAAACAGGGTTTACAAACGCGCGCAGGTGACCTGACTGACTACTGTCCATACCCAAACTTACCCCCTTATCAGTACGTACCTTGCCATATCCAAGGCAAAAAAAAATAAGAACATGTGCAAAAATCAACAGCCTTGTACCGTAGGCAGTGAGCCGCCCAACAGTCAACACATCTGTTCACACTCCACATCTCCATAGAAAACAATTTCACTTTCGGAACAAGTCCGTTTGGACTGGGTGTTCAATACAAATCAACGATAGAATTGATTGAAAAATTAAAACTACAAACATAAACACTATATTCGTCCATCGAGGTCACCAAATTCCTGGTCTGATCCTCGGGAGCTTGGAGAAATGTATTCATCCAAGATCAACATGTCATAGCCCGTGAAAACAAGGCCGTCAATAGTAAACGGGGGTATCGTCAAGAGCCTTCATACCCGAAGGTATATGCAAAATGTTGCCCATGTGTTGTTCATTCCCATCACCCATGAACAACATGATTCGCTTTCGCTGAAAATGATCAAAATCCAAGTCAAATAATACAACATCAAGATCGTAAGATGCCCGAGAAGGTTCCGAGTCATGGGGCCAGCCCATAACAGAAGTCGTCGACTTTGCACAGCCCTCACTGAGGTCCGTTAAGGCTGCTCAATCCACGGCGAACATTTGTCTGCCGTCGCTTCAGTGTGCTGGGCCGACGTGACTTTTCTTCACTGGGGCCAGCGAAGCGGACTGTCTTGCGTCTTGACCCGGCTTGTTGCTGAGAGGCGGCCTCCTTCTCTTGCAGATCCCGGAGGAAGGCAATCTGCTCTTCGGTGGTGAGTTCCTTCTTGGGAGGAGTCACCGCCGGGATGGTCTCGATTGGTAATGACTCGGGGGTGCAGAGAAGGTCGTCGTCTGAGAGGTAGGAACTTGGCTCGGCACCAAATGATGACATGCACGACCTGTAGGGGCTAGGCAGCCATGAAGAGTTGCTGCTGTCGCGTCGCATCGCCACCGACGAAGGATGCGAGGTGACTGTAGAGGAGGCATTGCTGTCTGATCGGACGAGGCCTTGAGACGATGGCCACGACGATGTCGGCGACGCACTCAAAAGTGCAGAGTATGCAGAGGTGGGAGCGTACGAGGTATAGTTGTAGCATGAATTGGAAGTGGTGGAGTCGCGCGAGTCAGAACGCGACATGGCCACCGATGTCATGGCTGGCGTGATGGTGGAGGTGGGCGATGAGAAGAACATCTTGTATGATGGTATCAAGTACTCCGACACGCGACGCTGAGGTCCAGCTTTATGAGCTGAGATTCCGTGGCGGATGTGGTGTTTATGATGGGTGTGTGTAGCCAGGATGGTCAGTCGGACCTTTGTTTTGCCCTTTGGACGGAAGTAGGGCCCTAGATGAAGGGATGACTGCTTTGCGGGCGGTGATGCAATATTGACACGGAACGGGAGGCGAGCAGGAGACGGCCTGCAGTCGGTTAATAATACTAACGACCGCGCGCGTTTTTGCCGGGGTGCGGTGACTCGGACTTGGGCAGAGATTTTGATCGGTGGGTTTGCCGCGGAATGAACCAGGGTGACTCTCGTACACGGTAGCCGGCCGACGTGGTAGGCTCCAAAGACTGGCTGCGTAGATATATCGCTCAGTGTGACGAACTCACAGGCGTTTGCAGCTCGCTGTTCGCAGTATGCCCTTTGGTATGCTGGAGTAGAGTCGAAACGGAAGAGGACCAGAAGGGCTTGGTGGATATATGTGAATATGTATCCCGAAGGCAAAATTGATTAAAAAGTCAAAAACTGACTGTCGCCCCCTTCCCCGTGCTTCCTTTTGATTGAAGTCTTATGGATGGATATCGGTATGGGTATGAGGGATGGCGAAAACCCGGTGTGGTCCCTAGTTCGGATGCGACTGTGACCTCGGTCGGTCCAGCTCGGGCCTGGGTGGATGCCGTGTCTCTCGAGGGATCGGAAGGACAGATGGGGCGCGGGTATAGCTTTTTCGGGCGATGGGGGTGAGAGAAAGTGAGAAGTGTGCTAGTCCCGTCAAAACGCCAGTCCGCTGCCGGGGGCTTCGATTCGATGGGTCCAACAGTCTTGTCACTTTTCTGGCACCGCTACCATGGTTCCGCGATGGAGCTAGAGCACCTCGTAGGGGAGGCTGGTGTACGCGGAATGCGGCCCTGGCACCGATGGTTTCAGCCCAAACAGTGAATGAGCGCAGGGGGGCGTCTATACTGGCTAAATGAGAACAGGGAGTATGGCCAACAGACCAAGTCCTTCTCTTGCCAGCTGCCAGGAGAGGGCGCTTCTTATGTTGATAGAGGCAAGGGAGAAGCAGGCGTCAAAGGACTGACCCGCGCCGAGGGGGGATGCGTTTGCGGCCGTCTGGTTTGGTAGGCTCGTCCGTTCAGCGTCCACCGTAGAGCGTCCAGCTGGCATGCTCTGCCCTGGTGTTGGAGCAACGGATGATGTGCAATGCCTGGTGCGAGGCCTGGTCTCTGGGTGGATGGGGTCGGTCTACTGACCGCCGAAAGAGTCGAAGCGTAAAACCAGTCAATGAGCTGTGTCCAGGAGATGGAGGGTTTCGTACCAGCGAGAGGGCCTGAGAGACGGGAAGACCCTTGCTCGCCTGCGCGTTCACCGTCAGTTCGCTTGCAAGGGGACTCCCTTAGGTGGCTGACGGGGCCGCACGGATGGCGCCTGACAGACTGACAGTGGAAGCACGGGGCGAGATCGATTCTCGACAAAAAGCAACGGCGTCCTGCGAATGGAAAACCCCACGTTGGCAATGGGCGACAGGCTGCTAAGCCAGGGCACACAGGTCAACCAACGGGTAAACGGCGGCCTAGAAGTGTCTCGGTGACCCGGATGGCTAGCATGGCCAGTCCCACGCCAGCGAAGGAGTGTCGAGTCGAGATTCGTGTCTCTGCCTTTTTGCGTAGTGCCGCCAATGGGACTGCGAGATTGGAATGGATCGAGGCAGTGAGGCAGTGAGGCAGTGATAATCATGGGATGAGACACACATTGTTGGCGACGAGACAAGTGGGATGCACGGTGAGCACCGAGACCCTACGAGGAGAGGTGTTGTTGCAGTTGCACAGCGAAGCACAGCACAGCGTAACAATTCTCCCCCGTGTCTAATAAAACACAGTCATACCGCTGAACAATCCCAACACCCATAGGCCTATACAACAAACACCAACCAGCACTGCCTCCGTACGACTATTCGCGTTCCTATCCAAGGCCCGGAGGGATTACGTTACTCGCAAGGAATCAATAATAGTTCATCCCGTGCCACCCTCCCCGTTCATTCATTTTCCCCCGGACAATAAGCATGTCGGACATTCTCGACATCGGCATCGTAATCATTGTCGCCAGCTTTGAGCATGTCCGTCAACCCACCCCGGAGATCTGCCATTTCGTATCGTTGCGGTGAGTTCTCAGTGATGACTTCAGCAGCAGGGGTTCCCCTTGTCGTGTGTCTACAGTCAGCGGTCTAGTATAGGCCAGGGAGGCCCAAAACAGGCGAGAAATGTGGCTCAGTATTCTTGCCTCATCCCACCTCACGCCTTGTTTCTTGCATACCGTTCAGATGCATTACCCACGCCCATGAGCTGTCATGTGCAGCGCCCAGCTGTTCTGACTCACAGTTCTCGAGCGATTGCTGCCCAAAAGATGGAGTGCTCGTCCTCGGAGAGTCGTAGGCAGTCCTTAAGCTTCCCCACGACCCTCCAACATTGAGGTCGGTGGATGTCGGGCGCCAGAGAATATAGTGTAGACCATCTACCGAATCAAGACAAGCAGACTTGTTCCCTTCCGAGATGAATTGGTGGACCACTAGGACATGCCCTTTCATCTCGCAGAGCGACTCCCCAAGCCACCCCGGCTGTCCATGTATCAAAGCAAGCCTACCGACGATCCGTCCGGAGGTACACTGTATGGTCCATGTTCGGCGTGTGTAACAGGCGACTAAAAAGCCTATTGTCACAGCCTTCCGAGATTGTTCTCTCCCTTAGCGAAGGATCCGGCCGCAATATGGCGGTTGAATTCCCTTGGACTGGCGCTCCACTTCCAATGATCTGGGAACGGGGAACGACGGGAGAGACAGCTCAAGCTTCACTTTTCGTCGAGGTGAAGCACTGGAGCCCTCGACCTACGAGTACTAGATAGTTAGTCGGAATTCCCCATCCTCGGGCAGGTATCGGCAATTGAGCCAAAGTCCCCGGCAAGTCTCGTCTCGGGGGGCCGCCTGGTACTTTGCCACCAATTTTTCGCTGAAAGGTACCTTGACCACCTCAGGCCTGGACATGTGAAATACCCACTGGGAAATTCCCCCAGCCCTCGTGTCCCAATCCACAATGGTCAAATCTTTGGTGTCGCATCCGCCGGTTTGTCGAAACCGCTCCCTTTTGTTGCGCTTGGCCCCTGCTACGCTCGTCTCTTTGATTCTGCTTCCGCGCAGACGGTGCGATGCAGGGGTTGCTATCCAGTATCAGGATGTTACCATGGCCATGGAATTTCCAGAATGAGAAGAGAAGAGTTTTTGGTGGGTATTTCCAATTCCCAATCGAGGTGTTCCGTGGGTAAAGGTCCAAGCGGCCTAGTTAGTATCTCGATTGCCAGATACAGAAAAAACTCGGTGGTCGTCGGTGTGAGCTTCGCAAACACTTTCCGATACAATACTCAGGGTCTTCCAATAAACCCCACCGGGGGATTTTTTCTATTGTACTGGAACGTGGCCGACGACGGGCCGATGGTTGAGCCGCGGGTGCTGACGCGGCCACCTCCCGGCCTCTGTATATACCGAGCCCAATATGGATGAATCACATCTGTGAGTTTTTTCATGTAGCATTACGATATCCCAATGGTGAGCAAGGTCTCATCCGCTATCACTGTTTCCTAAGCAAATAGATGTTACATCTTGTCGGTTTGCTCGTGGATGATTTTTTTCTATGTTCGGGGTGTGTACGCCGAGGTAGTCTGCTACAAATAGTCGAGGCTCCAAATAGAGGAGCACTGTGGTAGACTCCGCCGACTCAGTGTCGACGAGTGGGACATGGTCTGGACCGGGATAAATGACAGACAGCAAATGAGACGTTCCTCACTACCCTTACTGTTCTCACTGGCAGGAACCAAGGTGTACCCCTAAAATGGTCGATGGGAGTCCAGGTTCCTCGCTACAGACCCGCCAAATGTCCCTGGTGTATGCACAATAACTCGCGCTCGATACTCAGGACTAGACCAGCAGTTCCCGCGTGTTGATTCTTGATTGCTCTGGCAATTCCACACACTTTCAGCGGCTCAATTTACGCAACCAATTTCACTGCAGGACGATACCCGAGAGCGCATCGCCCGATGTGGCCAATCTAGGAAGCTGATACCGAAGCCGACATATGTATGCTTCGCATCCTGCATGCCATGATGAGGCTGCACTAGCTCAGATGCAACTGCGTCTTCAAAAGATTGATGGTTCAATAGGAGACCCTGGTGTATCTGCATGGTCAGCAATGAAGCGACACGCAGCTGGCTCGCAGGCAGTTCTGCCCTGATCATTGACCACTATTTGACACTCCAAACCGAGACAGCTGAAAGGAAGAGTATAGCATCTGCAATGACACAGCTTTCCGGCCGCAGCGCAGCCCAGTCTGCTAGTGTCGTTCAATCCCTTGTTTTCGGGTTCTTGATTATCCAACTGGACATGGATGCGGCTCCGATGAAGCCCAATTGACCTCTTCGTTGGGTGCCGCCCGCTTCCGTGCCAAAGCTCTTACTTCCCAAAGCTGTCCCGGACACCGTGCTCCCCGGATTCTTCCTGTTGTGGGGAACCTTTACGAGCTCGCATGCCATGTGTGCGAAATCGCCCACGACTGCCGCAAACACATCCGGGGACTCGCCTGGCCAGTAAAGTGTCAGGTTTGGGGGATCGTTTAGGGACAGCCTTTGCTAGTTTTCGTGCGGAAGAGATCGTTTTTCGTGGTCAAGCATGCACCCCACACAAGTGCTTGAACCCTTGTTTACGGCGATGATCCTGAGCTCGAATTCCTAGTTCTGACTTTGGTATGCGCCTGCGTTGTCCGGAGCAAACGGTGGTGCCCCGGGCTGCACACGGCACAACAACGTGGAATCTCGACTTTGACGGATGGTTTCCTTGCGGTGGAAAGTGTGGCACGGCTCATGCTGCCCGCATCTTGCAGCTGCAAGAGCACTCTAAACCCCGAGCTCGGAGCTCGCGGGGGCCTATTTTGCCGAATGCACGTGGAATGCCTTGTCACGTGACCAAACATATTGGCATTCGTCTTGCCTCGGCAAATATTTGCAGGGTTCAAGTACCTCCGAAATGCGGGGCACCAAAATAAACAGACCAGCTCCTGGCCGGGACAGATGATGTTGGAACTCACGTCTATCTGGATGTCTGTCAAGACATTCTGACGGCAGAAGAAGGAACGTTGTGGATGGGGTCTCGATTGCAGCGGCAAGTGGATGACCAGTACCTTTCTCCCGAGGCTGAGGTTCCGGCATGCTGTTGGCTTCTCGCACCCATTGAGCATGAAATGACTCCGCTACTGTTGTTGAATGGCATTCTCCTCGTGCGATTATTAACTGGTCTCTGAAATGGGGTTTGTGTTCGTTGTTGCTGATGTGACACTTGGGGAAATAGCTGCTTGTTCTCTACCTCCCAAAAGTGAAAATATACTGCTCTGAAGCAGTTTGCCAGGCAATTCAAAAATTCCATCAAGATTCTCAACCCCTTCGTCTACACTTACTACATGAACCTTTTTGCGACTTTGACTCATGGTCACACACACCAGATTGGTGCCTTTATCATCAAGGTAGGTGGGCCTGGTGATCCCAAAGGAAGCGATGGTAAGGAACGCACCGCACTTATGGCACAACACAACAAACGGAATAGGCTCCCAGTGAAGGCTTGTATATCAGCATAAGCTTGTACAAGAGAAACCATCGGACAATGTAACGTTTGTCTCAGGTTGAGCCAGGACGGGTGAACCAATGCCCTGTCTACCATGAGTCGATGTCATCATGGCCCATGGTGATGCTCGCCCAGTGCATTCGCCTGGGTCTCCGGACGCTAGCCCAGCAGCGTCCTCATGGGGACAGTCGAAGGAGTTTGGAAGAGATAGTACGCTGTCCCTGGGTTTGATCTACTGCCCTTCCTATCCTCTCGTACCGCAATCCTTCAAGACAAGGCAGCCGGCAACCAATCTGCTTTGTCAATTCCCAGCAGGCCAGACTGTGAGAGCCGATGCAATGTCTGCACCACCATAGTAACAGTCACCTATCCTATATTGTTACGTTTGTCGTGTACCAGCGTGGCAGCGGCTTCACTCGCCAGCACATCTATACAATGCAGTCACTCCCCGCCATCATCAGATGTGAAGGAGTCGCCACTGCCTTCACGCTGGCGTCTTAAGTAGCATGTATGGATCATCTGACACTTTGTACTCTGTTCTTTTCATCGATGCCCTTTGATACCCAGGAGCGAACAGGAGCGAAACAAATTCAACCTGTTCACAACCATGCCGGACTATTTCTACGCCACTCCCGAGTTCCCCAAGGCCATTGCGCCCTGGGAGTGGTACCAATATCCTCCGATCGAAGCTGGGGCACCGAGACCGTGGTCCGAAACACGATTAGGCAATCTTCCATCGTTCCTACTGAAGGAAATCCTGGTCTACCTCTGTGAAGCCCGATCTGATCAATGCGATGTCACTGCCCCGAACAAACCGAGGCGAGGCGAAACCAAGACCCCGTTTTCATACTTTGTTCGACACACTACTGGCGTACTTGGGACATGTTCACAGCTACGAAAAGAAACCCTGACCTTTCTCGCAGCGACGACCATCCATACCTCGCGGGAAGTGCTCGAACTGCCATCCTTGCCAGCAGAGATCGGCCGACATAACGTGACGTGGATTCAGTTCCTCAAGGTGGACACTCACTTCTTCCTGAAGACGCGGGCTGAGCGGCACTTCCCTGCCATTTTGGGCTCTCTTTGCAATGATCTTCCGAATCTGATGCGATTCCAATTGATCAGTGACTACGCAACCAACGCTCGCCCCCTTGCACATTCCGAGACTCATGATTTTGCAGCAACGACCCGTTACGAGCAGGAGGTCAGAGCATTGTTGCGCTTCGGAGCATTCCTGATCCTACGGCATAAGAATCTTGACCTGTTGGTGTGGCCTTGTGACTCAGGTCCGACATATGAGAGCGGCCAGCATCGGACGAGGGTATACATTGATGTCATCGCGAACACGATGAGGACTGGTCGTCAAGCCTGCCCCAGAAGGACCCACCCTGATGGAGACGAACTGGAGATGGTCGAGGTGAGTAATCTTTCAGATCATATCGCCCTACAGCTGCTAACATTGCGTAGGATCGCATTCTAAGCGCTACAAAACTGCGTCGTTACCTATGGGCCGAACTCCCAACCGTCCCTTTCAACGAGTTCATCATTTCAAGTGATGGTTTTTCTTCTGAGATCGACGAAGGCCATAGGTGCTTTGCAAAAGTTGACGACGAAGGATACTGGTATTCTCGTAGTCAGCACCGCGAGAGACCCAGATTCGTTCCCGTCGATGGGCTGATCAGGATGTGCCGCAAGCATTGTCAGAATGTCTGTGGCGGTACGCAAAGAGAATAGCGGCCCATATTGTGTATGGAGAAAGTGGTCAAGTCGGGACTCAGGACCTATGAAGTTGGATCTTGTGTTTGAGGCGCCTGCTTGCGGAACACGCTGGGATGGAATCGGGGCCAGGACTTCCATCAATATCAATTAACGGTGTCGACACCGGCGACTTGGAATGATTGACGATTTTGTATTGCGAGTTGGATAAAATCCACGTTCTTCTGTCTCAGCGAAGGCGTAGGGTGCAGGAGCAAATGTCGGTGTCGCTTTGGTGCCAGTATGATGTCGCAGTCCAGAAAACAAGAACTAGCTCCAACGTGGCGACTGCAATGAATCAAACACCGTTCGGAACCACCGTCGTGAGGCTAGGAGCTGGTACCTAAATCGTAGCGTCGTTCCTGATCCTAACGGTACTTGCCGTCATCTGAGATGTCCTCCATCGTCGTGCCGACGTAGGCTTCTCGATGTTGCATTTACACAGAGTCGTGACGAAGGCCAATGTAGATCAATCCTCTTGTAACCATCGATACGCCAGATCATTTCGCCCAGTAAGAGATGGAGCACATTCGGAATGAAGCCGGGAGACTTCAGAAGTCTCCGCCGAACTGCGTGATCAAAGAAGGCTCTAGGACATCTAGACTCTCGACTACTCCGGCAGCAACATGTCATTTCGTGCCGTATGTAACTCGGGGCAACGTTGGACGTGGGCTAGATGCTCATGGAGGGCTACTTGAGTTGGCACAAATAGAAAATGAGGCCACGCTGCAGGTACAGAAGATACGGCGGGTCTCTGGACGACACCGATGAAGGGCCAACGAAAAAGGGTCAACGCAGGGAGTGACTGTCAACTACTTTGGAGCGAGGACACAGTGCAAGACCCAGTACCGAAGGTATCAACTCCTCATGATAGATGCGTATGTTGTTGACCTGTCACGGTGCATTTGAGTTCCGCGAAAAGTGACACCGTCGATCTCCATGCCTAAAGCAAAGGCCTTTCAGGCTACTAAGTAACTAGTATGTGTACCGCAGGGAAGGTCGATGCGACACAGATTCATCTCGAGGTTCGCCCGCCATCAACGGAGTGCACCAGCCGGTGAGCGCAGGAGTTCTTCCCAATGGGCGTCCTGCAGGTCGGAGCATCTTCATTTCACCATTTTGTGAATTTTCATTGTTGGGGTCCTCGTTCAGGCTCACAACTCTGGGTGAACGTCGGTCCGGCATGCCAATTCAGTGTATCAATGCATTTCTCGAACATAGTGCACGAAGGGGTTGACGGTGTCGGTTAGGTGGGACGATTGGGCACAGGCGAAGAAGTCTGGTGATTGTGTGGAATGCGCGCAGTCCCTCGGTATGCTGATGGGCAGAAGAATGAGTTTCAAAATATCGGACCAGCTTGCAAGCGACAGCAGCACAAAGCAGTTGAGGCGCCCCAGGCGATTGGACAGTCGGCCAAAAAGCGACGTCCCAAGCTAGTATGCCCCTCTGAGTGCAGAGCAATTTAACCAAGGCGTGGGTAAAGGTCGTGGTGTGCTTGGTACCTTGGTCCAAGACATTCGGCCGAAACATCGGCCATTTGTACTGATCATCAGCGCAGACTGAGCCCGTCATCACGTTCACTCGATACTCGAGGTAAATCCGCACATGATGCTATTGTCGAGTTGACGTGGTACTGAAGGATCTCATGCGGTGCGTGAATCAACAGCTGAAAAAGCAAGTGGAAGGAGGACGGGAATACACCTGCTTGGAAAGATCAGTTCGAGATACCCGTTTGGAAATGGTCGTCCGTCCCGGCCTGCGGATAGTCGTCTCCCTCCCTGTGTGACGCCGGTGCCTTGTAATAAAACCATATTCTCTAGGTGACACACCGCGAAGGATGAGGCATCACAGGAAGCGCAGACCCGTACCTATAGGACTGGTCTTGGTGAGACCATGCTGGCGACCCTCGCGCCATGCCATGCAACGTCTCACTGATACTGCAGATAGGATCCTGTGAGAAAGGGACGTTGGTTCCGGACGGGAGACGTCGATCCGGGATCCGATAGGGCAGCATGTATTTGTAGCTCAGGTACGCTGTTGGAAGGACGATGTCGTCGGTACAGTATGGACAGGACGGTCGTGGGTAGCTGAAAGCGGCGAACGTCGCCCATACCAAGAGTCTCGTACTCGGGAAAGTTGTTACCTGGTACTCCGTAAGAGCAAGAATAAAGGTGGGACGGAGATGCTCGGGAGCCTCGATATCCGGGCGAGTCTGGGCGGATGGAGCCTGGCAATCTCGCCCATCGGGTTTGGCACTGGCTGCCTGATGCTCCCTAAAGGCGTTTAAGTTCCGCGTAGCGAGGGGCGTGTCTTTGGGCGGGCTCGGTTTCGTATACCATGCCCATTTTAGGTCGAAGTCCACAGCACGCAACTCAGCCTCCCTCGTTCCCACGAACCACTCCTTCGTACTCGTATCCCATCTACGCATCCTCGTCTCCTCCCGTTGCCTATCAGGCTATCTGGCCCATCGTCGCATTCGGATCCAGGCGAGGCCAAGCCCATCAACTTGCTCGTTTGACTCATCTATGTCACTACGAAAACGAGGCCACCTACGCTGTTGGACGCGCACGGCGCAGCGCCCTCGGGATCCTCCCATAGCCTCAACCAATGAACGATTAGGCGAGATTGAATGCGAGTAGGGGAAAACAAAAGGTGGGAAACAAAAAAACATTATTGCCATCGACATCATGCTAAACTCTCCTTTTGCGCCAATCGCTGTCGCCTTGTCCACCTCGTATTCTCTCCGCCGGCTTCCGTCCGTGTGTATCTCACTATTCTCAACTTCATATTTTCTTCCTTTAATGTTCTCTCTGCCTTTCTCTGTCCTTTGGGTTTCTATCGATATCGATTTCTCGTGAGGGATATGGCATGCTGATTCACAATATCTTCCCCCAATCTTAGCGAGACCTCCTCGGACCCGTTTCCACTGGGCGAGTATTCCTCTTGCAACATGTCAACCTTTCTCGCTGGTAACATAACCACCAACTATGATCGAAGTCGCCGAACAGTCGGGGCATCTCCTCAGGACCCGGCTGCAGACTACCCCTATGCCGACAAGACCTTTTCAACCGACGGCGGACCGGTGGTAGACGACAGCCAGCAGGAAAACAGAGAAGTGCGCGACCTTGCACGACAATACTCACGCACTTCCACAGAGATTGGCTTTCATCCTTTTGACAGCGCCGGCGTCGATTCGGAAGTCGATCCCAACTCCGACAACTTCAATGGCCGAGCATGGACCAAAGCGATGCTGAAACTCCAGAAAATGTCTGGCCAGGAGAATGTCGGAAGATCTGCTGGCTTCGCTTTCCGGAATCTCTCCGCCTTTGGCTTTTCAAAGGGTAGTGACTTCCAAAAGACGGTCGACAATTACATTCTAGCTGGAGCCGATCTTGTCCGGTCTCTTACTGGCAACAAGGGCCGTCGTGTTGATATCTTGCGCAATTTCGAAGGCGTGGTACAGCCCGGTGAGATGCTGGTTGTGCTTGGCCCTCCCGGATCCGGCTGTTCGACTTTTTTGAAGACAATTGCGGGAGAGACGCATGGCTTCTCGCTGAGCGACGACACCTATATCAACTACCAAGGTAAATTGTGGTTCTCTCCGATGTTCAATGATCATTTACCAATCATATTTTCCCTCTAGGTATCAGCTACAAGCAAATGCACCACAACTTCCGAGGCGAAGCTATTTACACAGCTGAGCAAGACATTCATTTTCCCATGCTGACTGTCGGCGACACCTTGTTGTTTGCTTCTCGTGCCAGAACTCCGCAAAACCTGAAGCTTCCCGAGGGAGTCACCAAAGGCATGTATGCAGCGCATCTACGAGACGTCGTCATGGCCACTTTTGGCATTCGACATACCATCAACACAAAAGTCGGCAACGATTTTGTCCGTGGAGTCAGCGGTGGTGAGAGAAAACGAGTCTCGATCGCTGAGGCCACTCTCAGCGGTGCTCCGTTACAGTGCTGGGACAACAGTACCCGAGGTCTGGATTCAGCCAATGCCATTGAATTTTGTAAAACCCTTCGAACATCGACTGATTTGAATGATACCACTGCGGCTGTGGCCATCTATCAAGCTCCTCAGAGTGCCTACGATTACTTTGACAAAGTTATTGTGCTCTATCAGGGCCGTCAAATTTATTTTGGGCGAACAACAGACGCTCGTCGCTACTTTGAAGAGATGGGTTTTGAGTGTCCCAAGCGCCAGACAGATCCCGATTTCCTCACATCTATGACCAATCCAATTGAGCGTATTGTCAAGAAAGGGTTTGAGGGAAAAGTGCCACGGACCCCTGACGAATTCGCAGAGCGTTGGCAAAACAGCGAAGCCCGTCGACAACTTCTCAAGGAAATTGATGAGTTCGAGACGGCCAATCCTATTGGAGGGCCAAATTTCCACGCGTTCCAACAGTCGCGGCGTATTCAGCAGTCCAAAGCCCAGCGCAAGTCTTCTCCTTACACTCTGTCCTACGGAGGTCAAGTCTCACTATGTCTATGGCGAGGCTTCAAGCGACTCAAGGACGACCCTAGTATCACCATCACCCAGTTATTCGGCAATTGTGTCAATGCGCTTGTTGTTTCCTCACTATTCTACAATTTGCCAGCAAATAGTGATTCCCTCCGTGCCCGAGCCTCACTGATCTTCTTCGCGGTCCTGCTCAACGCTTTCGGAAGCGCCCTTGAAATCCTCACTCTCTATGCACAAAGACCAATTGTTGAGAAGCATACCCGTTATGCACTCTACCACCCGTCGGCTGAGGCATTTGCTTCGATGCTTACAGATATCCCGGCCAAAACTCTCAACGCTATCGGATTCAACTTGATTCTTTATTTTATGACCAATCTGCGTCGAGAACCAGGCGCCTTTTTCTTCTTCTTGTTCTTGTCCTACGTGCTCACACTGACTATGAGCATGTTGTTCCGTTGTATTGCCTCTGTGTCAAGATCCTTGATTCAAGCACTGGTACCGACGGCAGTATTGATGATTGCCATCGTTGTCTATACTGGTAAGCCTCTTCTAGAGTATCAAGCACTCCAGATCAACACTGATCCTCTCTAGGCTTCGTCATTCCTGTAAATTACATGCACGGTTGGGCTCGATGGGTAAGCAACCTCTCAACATTGCAACGCAACAATCCGCTAACGTGCCACCAGATCAATTATGTCAATCCGACTGCATACGGCTTCGAAGCCTTGATGGTCAATGAATACAGTCACCGGGACTACCCTTGTTCGACATTCGTACCTCCAGCGCCTCAATTTGGGAACGGATCCTCGGTCCGCCAGATATGTTCCGTTGTCGGTGCTGTCGCAGGACAGACTACGGTCAACGGCGATGATTACATCGGCATCTCGTATGAATACTACAGGTCGCACAAATGGCGAGACGTCGGAATTCTCTTCGCCTTCATGATCTTCCTTCTGGTTGTGTACTTGGGAGCTACTGAGCTCATCCAGGCCAAAAAATCCAAGGGCGAAGTTTTACTGTTTCGTCGAGGTCATAAGCCCGCCTTCCTAAAGGAGCGAACCTCCGACGATGAGTCCGCAGCTACTGAACCGTCTGTCGCGCTTGAGCGCCAGCAGACTAAAGACGAAGAATTGACACGTCAGGTTTCGGCAGTCATTCAGAAGCAAACGTCGATATTCCAGTGGAGAAACGTGTGTTATGACATCAAAATCAAAGGTCAACCTCGGCGCATCCTCGACCATGTCGATGGTTGGGTCAAACCGGGCACCATGACAGCTCTAATGGTATGTGTGGATCAGTTCTGGGTTTGCGTGTCGAGATCTAACCGACTGTTTAGGGTGTTTCAGGCGCTGGCAAGACCACTTTGCTCGACTGTCTGGCCACACGCGTTACCATGGGTGTCATCACCGGAGAGATGCTGGTAGATGGAAAGCAACGTGACGAGTCGTTCCAACGAAAAACTGGCTATGTGCAGCAACAAGATCTACACCTACAGACGTCCACCGTGCGAGAAGCCCTTCGATTCAGTGCTCTATTGCGACAACCACGAGATGTGCCACGAGCTGAGAAGATTGCATATGTTGAGGAAGTCATCAAACTGCTCGACATGCAGGAGTATGCTGATGCAGTCGTCGGCGTTCCGGGTGAAGGTTTGTTTCGTCGTCTCAAGTGGATCAGTCCTACTCAGGACTAACCTTTTGTTTAGGCCTCAACGTTGAGCAGCGTAAGCGCTTAACCATTGGTGTTGAACTGGCTGCTCGCCCCCAACTACTCTTGTTCCTTGACGAGCCAACTTCAGGCCTTGACTCACAGACATCTTGGTCCATTCTTAATCTCTTGGAAAAACTTACGAAGGCTGGCCAGGCCATTCTCTGTACCATTCATCAGCCGTCTGCCATTCTTTTTCAACGATTTGACCGACTATTGCTCCTGGCCGCGGGTGGTAAAACGGTCTATTTTGGGCCTGTAGGCAAAGACTCCCACATTCTGATCGATTATTTCCAGAAGAATGGAGCTCCCAACTGCCCTCCGGGGGCCAATCCGGCTGAATACATGCTTGAAGCTATTGGTGCTGCACCTGGTTCTCACTCCGATGTCGATTGGTTCGAAACCTGGCGGACCTCGCCTGAATATCAGGAGGTTCAACGTGAGCTCGACGAGATGAAGGCGGAACGATCACAGATCGAAAGACCTGAAACCGCAAACAAAAGTGATTATTTCGAATTCGCTGCTTCTTTCGGTCTGCAATTCTGGGAAACTCAAAAACGAGTCTTTGAACAGTACTGGCGAACACCTGAGTACATCTATTCGAAAATGATTCTTTGCGCGCTGACTGTAAGGACAAGTTCGTGCTAGCTAGTGTTTATTTGCTGACATTAGTCCAGGGTCTCTTCATTGGTTTCTCGCTCTTCAAGGCACCCAACACTCAACAAGGGCTCAACAATCAGCTCTTCGGTATCTTCATGTTGCTCGTCTTGTTCTCACAGCTCGTTCAACAGATCATGCCATTATTCGTCACTCAACGAAGTCTTTACGAAGCCCGAGAACGACCATCCAAGACCTACTCTTGGAAAGCCTTTATGCTCTCGAACATTCTGGTGGAACTTCCATGGGCGACTCTGGGAGCGGTGGTCTTGTTCTTCTGTTGGTACTACCCTATCGGCCTGTACAATAACGCCGCATATACCGACTCGGTCACATCTCGTGGCGGCTTGGAATTCCTTTTTGTGTGGGCGTTCATCTTATTCAGCAGTACTTTTGCTCACTTTATGATTGCGGGGATTGAAACGGCAGAAGCAGCCTCTAACCTGGCCAATGTACTCTTCTCCTTATGTTTGCTGTTCAATGGTGTCTTGGTCGGACCAAACGCCATGCCCGGGTTCTGGATCTTCATGTACCGAGTCTCACCCTTCACCTACTTGGTCTCCGGTCTCCTTGCGAACGGTATCGCTCATGCACCAGTGTACTGTGCCAACAACGAATACCTCCACTTCAGCGCACCTTCAGGTCAGACCTGCGGCGAATATCTGCGACCCTACATCCAGAGTGTGGGCGGATACCTGGTCGATCCCGATGCTTCGCAGTGTCAGTACTGTTCCCTGGATAACACCGATACTTTCTTGGCGTCGGTGAGCATTCATTTCTCGGAAAGATGGAGGAATTTCGGATTGATTTTCGTTTACATCGGGTTCAACGTGATCGCCGCAACATTCATCTACTGGCTGGCGAGGGTTCCAAAGGGCAAAAAATATGCAGGCAAAGATGAGCAGAAGGGCCTGGTCAAGACTGCAAGTCATGCCTCAGGAGCACCACAAGTCGACCATGTGTTTGAAAAGGAGACATCAACGGACAGCACAGAGAAGGGTTCATCAACGCCTGGGCAATCGAAGGCCGAAGACGATGGGCCGCCTCCGAGGAACCCCCCAGAGATTACAGAGAGCGAAAAGGCCCCTGTGATATATGAGCCCATCAAGACTCATGTTGATGACCCTTCGTCGCAGACGACAACGGCGGAAGAGAAGGGTCATGATGCATCTGGTGCTGCGACATCTTCGGATCGACCTGGCCCAGAACGATTCGTAACTGCGAGCGAGTTTTGAAAGTGATGTGGGAGCTAGTATGGTTGTCTTGAGCATATGTGTACCATGCTACCATTTCGAAGCAGTATTTAATAGACTCTGTGGAGGAATGCTCTGAGTCGAAAAACCTTGTTTGTTTGCGGTTTCACGGAAGCTGTTGAAGTTTCACAGTGGGCGATAGATCTAGACAGCGTTGCATCTTAACGAATCCCCATTCAAATTCTAAGGACTCACCGTAACTAGAATGTCATGCGTACGCAGAGAGAGTTGCGGAATGTCTACGAGTTGTTTATTTCCCTTGTGCTTTCGTAGGCCACAGTGCGGTGGAAATAGCTCAACTGTAGCCTCGCACCAAGACGAGGCTGAGAGACGGAACACTGATGAGTGTCTCGCTCTCTCACTGTCCCCAATGACACGGTGACCTTTTTGCCTCTACGCTACAACGTACTCCGTACACGTACTCGTACTCCAGACCCCCAAGCTGCGCATTGTCTCGACTTACCTCGAAGCTTGTCGCCAGCCTACTTACCACTCACACTCCTTGGCCCGCCAGACTTGCGAACTGAATTAATCTCACACGTCAACCTCTCTGGCACGTTACCTCACAAGTAAAGCTAACGAGGACACACCCGCAGCCAGAGGTACTTCCAACCTCCACCTCGAAGCCCCCTAGCTGGTGGTCGTCCAGCTGCTCTCCTTGACGACTATTGTTCACCACTTTTCATACCTCGCTCGCTCTCTCTCTCTCTCACTCATCCAACCACATCCAACGACCTTGCTACCGAAATCTTGGTCTTCAGGAGGTTACGAAATTTACCTGCCCACGCACCCACGCACCCATCGAGAGACGTCAAAGGAGAAACAAACAGCGATGATTTCAGACTCCCAACTCTACTCCCTCGCCATCTTCCTCGGCTCGGCGGCCATGCTCATGATCGTTCTCTACCACTTTCTCGAAATCAACGCCCAAGACGACGCCGGGCTCGAGACGAAGCTGACGAGCGAAAAGGCCGGCGTCGGTGCCGTGAAACCTGTCACCGTTGCGGGAGAATCCCAGTGACACGGGGGCGGTTGTTCGACCTGTCTCTTCTTCTTCTACTACGCAGCAGTAACATTACGAAAAACCTGCCTAGGGGGTACAACACAGACACACAACCTGGTACCGTACGGAGTACACCTCTACGTCCACGTCTATCGTACACCCATCCACTCGGAAACCACAAACCACGGATGCAATTTACAAACTACGACTGCCGTGCCATACCCTCCTAGACATTTGACACCTCAGGTACTCGCGATAGGTTTGAGATTTCCGGCGGGTCGCGCACGGAGAGGAAAAAGCCAAAAGACACCCCATCTCCAACTCGTCCAAGCTCTTGACCTCGTGGGCTTTGCAGCCTCTCCCCCCCTCAACCGGGTTGATCCTGCCTGCTGTCCCTTGCCGAACCTTGTTCCATCCTCGGGAAAAGTATCCGCCTCTTCATTCTCATACCGATCCTCCCAACAATCACCACCGCCGCAGGACCAGAGAGCAATAAAAAAAAGGAACAAAGGACGAGAAAAAACAAAACGCAAAGGGAACAGGGAACAAAAGGACAACTTAAAAAGGAAACGGAATGAGGGAAGAGAGAAAAGGAAAAAAAAAGGGCAAAAATGAAATAAAAAGGGATGGGGAGGGGGGATGAGGACGAAGGATGAAGAGATAGACCGAATTTCCCAGTGTCCGTCGTTTATCATCATCCCAACACACCCTTCTTTCCGCGCCCGCGCGACGCAACAAAAGGCGACAGGAGAAGAAGAGTTGCTGGGCGATTTGGAGTGTTGTTCTGAGCCATGGGATCTATCTAATACAAAGTTCCCCCCTCTGGGGATCACGACTTGAATACAGTATCTAAATGCAAAGACGGAACGTGACGAATGGAACAATAGAGTGACCACGCACATACCAAAGTCGAGCAGAGCGGGAGACGAAGTGATCCCTACCTAGGTAGTCAAAACAAAGCAGCCAGTCACAACATGGCTAATACTGAAGAATCGAGAGTCTACTACATGTGCAGTCAATGTGTGCAAATCACCACGGTCAAGCGTATCGATCCACTCAACCTTGACGAAGCACTTCGAGACACCTAGGTACTCACCCTTGATGAAGCCACTTCGGTGCCCAAAGCTATTTGAACAACTAAATCCTACTTGATCTAAGGCAGTCAGTCCATGCTCTTGACAAGACACCGAGATCGACTTTCGAATCTCTTCTTTCACATTCTCTACTAATGTGACTTCGTATGCTTCCGGCGGACCCCGCTACGGGCTATCACGCACTGCAGCCCTTCAAATTTGAGCACCATCATTCCTAAATCTCAACTTGACTTCCACATCCTTGTCTGCAGTCTCCATGGGTTGGTCCTGTTTAGGTTTAACCCCCAGGTTTCGCACCTGCAATCAAGTGCCCGTCGAGACTTTGTCTCGTTTGATCTTCTTTAAAGCTCTTATTACATTCTCTCATGCCGCGCTCGAATGCTTCCGTCATTAGATCGCTCAATAATCAAAATCCACGACCCTGGCGAGGCCTTGGTTTTGAATCAATGTCTTCCTCCTCTCTTCGGTGACCAATATAGCCCCGGCTCTTTCCAATCCTGGTCCAATACTGGTTTTTCTGGCACTCATGGCTCTTAAAGTCTCTTCGGCAAGCGCTTTAGGGCTGTTCTTGGCAGTTTGGCGATGTGCCCTCATGAAGCTGCGCTGCGCTGTCATTTCGTGGTCGTCGGAATCCGCTTTAATAAGGGTAAAAGCGTCCGGTTCGAGATCGCTTTGGGTTTTCATTGATGACACAGGCGTTGTGCTCCGGCCGTGCTCATCTGAAAGGTATCGGGCTCTATCCTGGGCGATAGTCTGAGGGTCTAAGTAAGAAAAAGTTCTAGCTTCCTGTATAGACTTGGGATCGAACAAGAATCGAGAGACATCGAAATTAGACGATGTATGCTTACCAATGTGTTTGGTAGAAGGACCATCCCCATGTCTCAATGCGACATTGTACAGGTGGTCCTCCTCGATATGTTTGAGCCATGCCTTTTTGTCATCGAAGGACTTTGATGCCGTGACCAATCCAGACGAATCCTCATGCAAGTATCGGCATTTCTTCCACCAACAAAGGTATCCATTCTTCTGGACTTCATCTGCTGAAGGACAATGAGCCCTGCTGACGTGATGTTGCAGAGTCTCAAAATTGTGTAGGTGGGCAGCGCAGAGTCTCCATCGGCATCGGAACATGGGGTTGGCAGATTGTGAAGCTCCAGTGACAGCATTTGGCGCGGACGTGTCTGCAGCAGGTTTCACCGCAGCGACACTGCGTTGGCCATTTTTGGAACCCGGGGGCCGTCCACGCTTCTTACCGGTTGGGAAGATAGAAGTCGCCATTTGGGGAACTGGGTTTGCGTCGTCTTCAGTACGGATCGAGGAGGAGCGGACAGAGCGGCATCGGTCAGGTGTTTGGGTAGCTGATCTGATACTTGAATCCCGTCGGCGACGTTTGAGTGTGTTCTTGTCCAACTCATGCTGGCCAGAAGATGCCTGCGCAAGTGAGGACGACTCTGAGTCGCGGTAACGGATCGTTGGAGTGAAGTGTTGCCCTTGCTGCGGGACTGTTTCCCCCTCAGGCGCAGGTACATTACGCTTGTCCAGATTCGGTAAGCGTGGCTCTGGTGTCTTTTCATGCCTCTTCACTTTATGTCCAAGTTGATAACGAGGAGGCTCCATGGGAATCTCGACTAGTGCCACCTGTGGCGCCTCGGGTCCTCCAGGATCAATAGCATCCCAATCAAAGGTGCTGAGGTCGGAGTCAATGTCAATAAGCCTGCCAAGCAACCCAGCCATATGCGCATTCAGTGGCCTCTCTGTTGGATGTCTGCCGGCCGCAATCAGAATATCCCTTGCGACTGTCTTTGGATTATAGTAAGACTTCTGTAAGGCCTCATTCTTGTTGATTGGTTTCGCTTGGGCCTTGTATGACTTTCTTGTGGTCGAGACTGGGGCTGGAACCGTGGAAGACAGAGCCGTGCCGCGTCCTGACCCTTGTTGTGGCATCTGTTTGGGGTTGAATGAGGCGTGAGTCGTCTCTGTAAGTATCGACCCATTCGCGAACGACCCCTGAGGTTGAAACTCGGTAGGTGGTGCTGTCGAACTAATCTGACTTTTCTGATACTCCTCGAAGGGGTCATGCTCTGGAGATGCACTGGCAACCTTTGCTTGTTTATGCGACAGGACATAATCTTCGTCATCGCTTAATGCCGTCAAATCCACGATCTCTGAAAAGTCGCGCTTTCGTGCCATTGCTTCCTTGGTGCCCTGTGGTGGTTCCCGCCGGGCGATCTTCATTACAGCAGATGCATCAGGCCTAGCAGCCCTCACTAAAGCTCCCATCGGAAGAGTCGCACGGTACATAGATCCGCCTGAGGGAAGCCCATGATAGCTCCGAGGAGCAAGCGGCTGTGTGCTCCCTGGAGGTAGAGCTGCATTGATGGGATGGACGTTTGTCTGACGCATTGATTGAAAGCCGGTCGGTGGCGGTATATGTGGCGCAAGTGGCCCAAGAAATGGGTGCGGCCCAAATCCGGATGAAGGCGCAGCTGGAAGAGTGGTCTGGATCGGTTGCACTGTTGGTGGAATCTGCTGTCCCGGTGAAGTATGTAGCTGGGCTTGAGATGGCGTCGGTGGACCCTTCTGCTTGGGCTCATTTAAGCGTGGCACCTTGCTCAAAAGTTGACGTGCAAACTGGCCTCGCTGAAACTTGAAGCCTCTTGCTTCTAGTCTTTCGCAAAGGTCAATATAGCTTAGATTTGTTTCGAGCATCTTATGGATATCCGCTAATGTAATCTCAAGTCCCTTGTTTGCTGGATTTGATTTCAAGGCATTGACGGCGGCTTCAGCCAGCGCTTTTATCGTCTCCTTAGGCCAAACTGTTCCCCCGTCAACCGCTCGCGGTGGAAGTCCCTGAGTGAGAGTAGGCGACTCTAAAGAGATTGCCTGTGACGCCTTCGCCGATACTAGTGCCGCAGCGGGCTGTGTCCTTGCAGAGGGATGAGGTACGATAGGAGGACTGGTAAGATTATCCCCAGGCTGTGAATCCGGCGGGGGTGCTGCTTGAGCAGATCCTTGTGATACAGGCGCAGGAGTGCTGTGAACCGCACTGGCACCTTTTTTCACGTTATAGGACGTCCGTATCCGGGGATCAGCAGGAAACCGTCCCAGATCAGGCATGCCTTCCGGGTTATTTTCCACTATAACCTTGTAGCCGTTTAAAGGCACTGATGTCGGCGCAGGTGTCGGCTGCTGGAATTTGGCGGGCGTTCGATCTTCTGTAATGGTTGGAATGTATTTATTTGACGGAGATGATGGTCTTGTAGCTTGGACCATTTCCGGAGAAGGAGATTTGGGCTGCAGAGAAGCCGTAGGCTTTCGCAGATCATCCCACAGCTTTTGGAACAACTCAGGGTCTTTACTCCGAAATTTTTTCATCTTCTCCATCATCGCCTTCAGCTCGGCTGCCATGTCTGGTTCAGAAGGTTCGGTAGGTTCAATAGTCAGCTCAGTTTGGGCAGCGCCATTGCTAGAGATTCTTTGACTGGATAGTGGAGGTTCAGGTTGTTGTTGCTTCGTTATAGGGTTTGTAGCTTCCGATTTTGCAGGGGCGGTCTGCGCAGGGGCAGTTTGCGTCTGCTTTGCCATCTCATCCTTGCGTCGTTGTTCAGCAGCAGCAGCTGCTGCAGCTTCCTGGAGCTGTTTGGCGGCAGCAACTTCCTGTTCCTTTTTCTGCACTGCTGCAGCTGCATCCTCAGCCTTTCTTTTTGCCTCTTCTTCGGCCGCTTTCCGCCTTCTCTCATGTTCTCTGGCGTATGGATTGAAGACTTGTGCAGGGTCAATGTAATGGGGCATCACATTGTTTGGCTCCATTGTCGCGGAGTATTGTGACTGAGAGTATTCCTCCATCGAGTGCGTCACAAGTCTTGAGATACTGTTGTCCTGTGGTCTTGGTTGTTGAAGTTGGTGCGAAGAAACCCCGAATCCTTGACTCGGAGCACGTACATTTTGGCGGCTCGGGTCCTGCGAAATTTCCTGTCGTTGGCCTCGCTCGCTGTTCGTCTGATTCGGCTGATGAGTCTGCTGAGCTTGAGTGGAAGGTCGCCTTTGGGATTGAGGCAGGTTTGATTGATAGAAAGGTGAGACCGGTTTTTGCGGTGCCGCATCGGTGGGTAATACACTAGAAGCTTCAAAAACCGGCGACGCCGATGCTTTGGAATATCGGCGGCTGACTGCAGCTGCAAGAGCCGTAGCTGCAGCAGACATGTGTGGCGACTGACTAGGCACCGACGAGGGTTTATTCTGGTACCCATAGCCAGAGGGCCGGTTTGAGTTGCTATGGAGTACATTGTTCTGGGCGGCCGGAGACATCGTATGATCCGGTCCAACTGCGCTAGAATACATCAATCTCGGAGATAAACTCGATTGCTGGTTATGATTCCCCTGCCGCTGAGGTCCAGAGTCATCCAACCCTGATGCATGCACCAGGCTGTTCAAACCTTGCGTCGTCTGATTCATAGGATGTGCCTGGTAGTTCCCTTGAATGGCGCTCACCAGTGATGTATGTGATTCACGTACCGACGACTGCCGTCTATTGCCAAAACTAGATCTTTGCGCGTTTGCATCACTCAGAGATGAGTCGCCGAGTTGCTGTTGACTCGGAGTACTTTCAAAACCCTGTTGAGTCTCCCCGGCCCAGTCATACGTCGAAGAGTTGTAGTGAGCCTGTCGAACGTCACGCGGATATGAGGCTTCGTTAGCATAGGTCTCGCTCGTTGATCTCCCATGATTGTACGTATTCTGGACGCTCTGGCTCTGGCGCCGGCTCTGGCTTGGATTCTGGCTCCGGGCAGTGGGTTCGTAGTAAGTGTCGTAACTAGAGAGAGGAGGATATGACATGTCGAGGCGAGCGAGCTTCACAAGAAGACGGAGAGGTGTGAGCCAATGCTATCGTATCGGCTTCGTTCCGTCATCCCCGTCCTCTCGTTGTATGATCGCAGCGTCGCAATCGGTCGATGTCTTCCCACGACGATCGCCCGAGGAGATCTGGCACTCCAGGGACTCGCCTGAGAGAATAAAGGCGCGATTTCGCGACTCGCGAGCCGCAGGTCGCATATTCAGACTCACAGATCGAAAGGTGCGGCAAGTCAAAGTTACAGACTTACGAGTAATGAATGTCTGGAGGCCGAACGAATCTGGGATGGACGATGGACGCGCAGGTGGATAAATGTGGAGCAAGCAAGAGACAGACAGCCCTTGTACGGATCCAGCAACTCGCGCAGCCAAGCCCGGCACCGTTCACGTGATGTTCAACTCTTGGCAGTCGCACATCGAAAACTTGCGGGCAACCAACGAACCAACAAGACCACACCTCGTTGTCGACACTCATTCTCACAATCGTCAAACCGCCAAAATGACAAAGATCAACCACGGTATGCACCCTTGTTGGAGACTGATTTCTGTCATGTATCTAACGGAGTCGCTAGGTCTGGCTTCCTCGAGGCGCAAGTCTCGCAAGCTTCACTTCGATGCTCCCTCGCACGCTCGACGAGTGATCATGAGCGCTCCTCTGAGCAAGGAACTGAGAGAAAAGCACAATGTTGGTCCTTCCGCTCCAACCCCTTCCTGACCATCCCTTCTCGCATTCGTGGACGTGGGAACTAGGACTCCGGGCGAAGAGAAAAAAAATAATCATCGAAATCGAGAACACGAGGGGGAAAAAAGTTTCTGGGCTAACACCACATGAAAAATACAGGTCCGCAGCATTCCCATCCGAAAAGACGACGAAGTCACCGTTGTGCGAGGCACCAACAAGGGCCGTGAAGGCAAAGTCACCTCCGTGTACCGATTGAAGTACCTCATCCACATCGAACGAGTGTCCCGCGAAAAGTCCAACGGTCAATCCGTCCCCATTGGCATCCACCCCAGCAAAGTCGTCGTCACCAAGCTCAAGCTCGACAAGGACCGGGAGAAGATCCTGGAGAGAATCTCCAAGGGCCGTGAAGCCGTCAAGTCAAAGTCGTCTTGATTTTCCTGTCTAATGCGAAGAGAGAAACAAAAGAAAATGGGTATTCTGAGGGGTGATGACAAAGTCGAAAAGAGTTAGAGTCGTGCCATGATTGAAAAGATATTTTTCCTGCATCTGTTTCACGACGGGCACCCGCTCTCTCCTCGACGGAAGAACGAAACGAAGCGGAGTGGAAGAGAATAGGACCGAGGGCAAGAAGAAACTCGACAAGTTTTTAGAACCGATTCCGTCGTCCCTACATACCGCGCGTGGCGTCTCAATCTTGCATGAATGGAAACAAAAATTGAAAATCCGACGGCCGATGATCCTACTGTCATCATGCCCATTGATCTCATTACTTCGAAAACGCAGCAGACTTTTTTTTTGTGTTTTGATGGCCCCGAATGACCTTGCCCCTCTTCTTTTGCCAGTATTATCTCCTTGCCTACCCAATCTTCGTGGTTGAACAAGGTATACGGCTGGCGCAGATTGATTTTCATGCTTGTTGTGGGCATTTTGTTCTTGCAAAGGGACAATTTTTGCTCAGCAAGCATGGTTCTTTCCGGCAGACTGTCTACGAGGATACGGTCCGATGAGTTGCAGGATTTGATGGCGAGATACAAACCCCGTTTCCAATCACTTATTTCTGGTTGTTGGTTTCTTTGCCCTCGACCCTTTTTTGCATCTTATTGCATCGCGTGAGGCGTGCTTTGACCGCGAACCGAACCCCCCAGCACATTGTATGGACGGGTTGTATCTTCTGAACACGCTACGAATTACCGGAATGTGGGAAGGTGGTCCAGGGAAGCCACTACGTGATGCTAGTAGGACAAACTGGTCGTGATGATGATGGGCAGGTACCGGTCCATCTGTAAGTGACGGTCCAATTGATGTCGCCTAATGAGCGACAATGGAAAAAGAGCGCAATCAAGGGCAGGTCGTTGGTGACTTGGGTAGGTATGGTAATCTTGAAGAGGTATGGTAATCTTGAAGAAGACCGTCATTCAATGTCCTCTTCCAGAAGTCCACCAAGCCATTCTCAGTATCTACAGGTGTGACAAAGGCACGGATACCTATCATTAGGTCGTTCGCCCGTACCGCAAGCCGAAGTTCCTAAGGTACTTTCTTCCCTACCTTGACGCAGGTATGTAGGTACGAAGGTACAATACCCTTAGTTAGACTGTAGGCAGCGGTAAGTATATTGCATGGCTATCTAACCCGTGGGGTGTCCGTTCTGCCTCAGGCTTTCTTTCCCATTAGCTCCACAATCCGCACGTACGACGGAGTACGTGTGTAGTCATAGTCTCTCGCGGGACCATACCACTCCCAACCCAACTCGTCGACAGTCTCCCATGTCATCAGAACTGCTTGCTTCGAATGCCATTCTCACCGGCAGCATTCATGGCGCCGCGATTCGTCTGCCATGGATCCTGGTCGACATGTTCAGCAGAGGCGGCGGAGGAACCAAAATCTGCGCCCGTGATACGGCTCACGTGCCTCTTCAAGCCTTCCTCGCCGTCGGCGTGTTCGGCATGGCCGCCGTGGATCTTCTGCAGACTGTCGCGCATGAGGAACTCGTAGTATCCCGTTGCGAAGATGGTGGCAGGGACGTTGACAAGGATGCTAATCCAGGCGTAGCCGTTGTCGAAGGTGAAGGCTTCCTTGCCGAAAAAGATGGCGGCGACGATCCTCGTGCCCAGGTCCCTCGCGAGGTTCGTCGAGATGGTGTTGCCCGCGAACCCCCACACCATGGTCGCGTAAGCGATGCCAATCGTGAAAGGGACCGACACGGCGCTGACGAACGGGTTCGCTGGGTCCAGGCACGTCCAGATGATGATGCCGATGTAGCTATCGACAAACCACTCCTGCAAAAACAAATACCCCTGGTTCGTCTGGTCCGGGTTGGGAAACGGGCAGAGAATGCTGGCCACCCCACCATTGTACACGGCCGTGCCGTGCTCACGGAGGTCGATCGCCTTGGCCGCCTGGATCTGAGGCCAGTAGCAACCCATCAGCACCAGACCGGCCATGAAGGCCCCAAAGATCTGGGAAAAAATGTAGTGTGGCACCTTCTTCCAGGGGAACCCCTGCCAGATCGCAAAGCAAATCGTGATGGCAGGGTTGAAGTGACCACCGGAAACCGGGGCGCATGTCTATATTAGCGAACAAGCACTCGATGTTAGCCCCAACTTGTACATGAGTTGGTGTATATATATAGTGTATCCCGACAAAATTCAAGGGAGGGAGAAAGAAGGAAGCCAGGAAGAACGAACAAGAGGCATTGGCAAACAAACAAACAAACTTACAATAATCGCAAAGGCGATGCCTATAGCAAATGCCCAGCCGATCTGGAACAGAGACCCGAAGATGCCCACGCCGATCTGCCCAGCTACCGGGTTGGTCGTCGCCAGTGTGAAGGACGCGACTGAGGCGATTCCAGGGAAGACGTAGAAAAACACGCCAGTGGCCTCGGCCATCATCTCGCGCAGGATGCGAGGTCGCTTGTGCTCAAAGTTGAGTTTGCGCTGCGAGACCGGCTTAGGGGCCACCACGTGTCTTGTGATGTGGCGCTGGAGCGCGTCCGAAACTCCAACCTCAATGTCATTGGTGTGCATTCTGGCCAAGTCATGGCCGCCATTGGGCTGAGACATGATATGGCGCGCGCTCGCTTACTCGTCGATCACCCGGATATGAGGGAACGCTGAGCACCACGAGGTGATCAGTAAACAACGAGAGGAAAGAAAGCTCCAGAGAGATTGGCCAACAAACGACGAAAATCTGGGGTTGGAAACGCGAGTTGAAGAGTAATCACTCACGCCCACAAAACCTGGGGCAGCTGAGGGTTGATGTACTCCGTATGCCCCATGGGTTACCGTTAACTTTGTGGGTGCTTCATGACTTGCCTCGGTCCCAGATGCCTCGCAAACACAGACGCCGTGGGTCAACAATCATCATGAGATCCGGGTTTGCCGTACGTGCATGGAAAGGGACTGGAGATGAAAAGGGACTCGAAGGAATCAGGGCTGATCATAGCCATATTGAGGAGCCAGGATAGTGGAGAGACTGGGTTCTCGCAACACTAACAATAGCCTTCACTCCCAGTAGCCGTCAACGAAGATTATGAGCATAAAGAGGGTGGACCGTCGTTGCACTCGTGCATCGAACACAGATATGGAAGCAACTTACGTCGTCATCATGAGGCAAAGGGAACCCTCAGCGCCACATACGGAACGTGCTAACAAGCTTTTGGCTGTGTGCCATGATTTGATTAGCGAATCGAAGCCAAGCTGAAGAAGCTTTGGGTCGCAGAGAACCCTTGCCCTGGAGGCGTCTCTCAACGGAATGAGGCAGGTAGATGAAAAGATCGCAGATGAGCATCATAGACCAAGAATCCCTGCAATCACGAGCTGGGAACGTGCGAGGAAGCTGTCGGGGATAGTGCTCGATCGGTTGTACCTCCGTAGACCGGGAGATTGATGGGACATCACCGATTCACCGTCCGCACGAAGTCGCTTCGGTGGCGGAGACAAGCTCCATACCCCAGCGCCTCCGCTAGGACCTCTCGCCTGTGGGGTAAAAAGCGTTCAATAGTCCTCGGCAATTGGCCTTTTCGCTGCATTATTGAGCGTCTTCCGGGCAAACTCATGCCGACATGCTTCAGGCCACCAACGTATGCAGCAGGACTCGTACGGTCGTCTTCCGCAATTGCCGGCGGCACTTGAACTTGTACGAGTATCTGCAGATCAGCGCAGGGTGCTTGGTAAGCGTACGTACATAGAACCAAGAGGCGCGCAACATTGTCAGACGTGTTCGAATATCGGAAGCAAAGACTTCCGATGTCAGAACTGGACGCGATCGGGTGATACACATGTAGGCAAGTCGGATGCACGTGCGAGAAAGTAGAGACCCAGAGGACCAGGGAAGATCTGCTGCTAACGCGGAATGTCATTCGTTTCAAGAGTATAACTGTATATGGTATACAATGTCGGCTAGACTGAGACTACCACTTCTCAATGTACGGTCGAATGTCGAGCTCATTCGTGAAGCATGTCCTCGGCTGGGTATGGAGATACCAATAGGAGTCGGCAATCTACAATACGAAGTCAGAGTCAGCAGCGTATCTTCAAGAACGAGGCGGGTCTGCAGGTTTTGCGCGCTGGAAACTTACCGCTTCAGGCTTGATCTTTGCATCAGGATGGTCAAAGTGGTAGTGCTTGGTTCTCTCGATATCAATGACTCCATCGATGATGGCATGTGAGACGTGAATGCCCTTGGGTCCGAATTCCCTTGCCAGTGATTGTGCCAATGCTCTCATGGCGAATTTCCCCGACGCAAACGACGCACAATTGGCTGATCCCTTCATCGCAGCCGTTGCCGAAGTAAAGATGAGTGTTGGTGGATGTTCTGGTGACCTGTTCACCGTGTCGAGAAGCAGGGGCAGAACCGCCTGCGAAAAGAGAAAGGCCCCCCGTCTGTACATTGCCAGTCAGCACAATCACTGTTGTTGACAATTGCCTTGGACAAGTTCGACGTACCCGTTGGCTTCCCACCCTGCCTCAAAGTCTTCCTCGGACAACTCTAGGAAGGGCTTTCGGACGAATCTTCCACCAACATTGTATATAGCCGCCGCCAGTGACGCTCCTCCAGTCTCTTTCTTCAACTGCTCAAATGCACTCTTTACGCTCTTGCTGTCTGAGCAATCTGTGCTGATGCCGATCGCTTTTCCGCCCGCGGCTTCGATCTCTTTAATCAATGGCTCATAATTGGCAGGGTTTCGTGCAAGGAGGGCGACCGAGTAGTTCTGGGCGAACCGACGAGCGACGCTGGCACCTCTAGCGACAACAGGTCAGTCGAGTGTTGGCCTGGTCATCGTGAAAGACAGACTTACGTGCCTGGTCCAACACCTGCGACCACAGCCCATGCCTTTTGTGACGACATTATAAAGGACGATGTGAGTCTCTGAACCTCGCCGTTGAGTCTCTGTTGAACAAGTCGCGGATGTGGTATGGTCATACAACGGCAGTGCCTTGTTCTCAGAGGAATGAGAAGAGGGTTTCGTCCAAGGTGTTGAGGTACAGCAGATATTTAATCTGGATACGAGAGATGCTCGCTGTTTGCTGTGTGTCCATTGATAATCCAACCCCACAATGATGTGCTCGCGGGTTACAAATCGGATGGGCATGTCATCTTGACGGATAAGTAATCGACGTGGCCGGAGACTGAGTTGCTACATGGAACTCGGGTAAACCTGGTGGGGGCTGGTAATGGGTATTACGCACCCCAGGGGTGGTATTACGCACCCCACCCCCTTTCGGTTAGCGTCACTCGGGTAACCTTCCTTGTCAGGAATAATTCTCCCTTGCACCCTCCAAGGCGCGCCTATTCACAGCGTTCTAGGCTCGCGTTCTAGGCGGTGTTTTAGGCGCCCTAGGCTTGCACAATATCATGATGCTAGGAACGATGCAAGGAATGATGCAAGGATCGATGCAAGTGATGCTGTCCCAGTGCTAGTTAGAGGCGGCTCTCACCTATTTTCTATGGGAGTTCCTTTCGCCGCGCATTGCGCTCCACACCTAGTCTAGTCGAAAGGTCATGGTTTCTGGGATATGAGTTGACTGTCCTCGGCCTCGTCCTCTTCCTCCGCGGCCTGTTCTTGCGCCTGTTCCTGCGCCTCCGCGGCCTCTTCTTACGCCTGTTCCTGCGCCTCCACGACCGCTGTTTGACTCATTCAGACGTCTTCTTGCCTCCTGATTGGCCTATTCTATTGCGGCGTCAGTCCGCTCAGGCTCAGTCAACATCCGCCTGTCATTCATATTATATTGATGTCGCGGGATAATATCTAGTGGTTGCGCAACCTCAGCATAGTTGAATGTGATCTCTTAGCATTGATCTAGACGCCAATAAACGTCGAAATCCTTAACCTGTAGAGGCTCCATTAATTCAATGCGTGCTCAGATAATATGAGGATATGAAAGGCTCCATCGACGCTTGAATGAGCTTGTGCAAGGTCTCTATATTATTGAAGGAGCTCATAAGGTTGCGGGTATTGTATTTATATAAATATTATGAGGCTTGTATATCTCTTCCACCTTGAGAAGTATATAGATTGATATATAAGTGACCATAAAGGCCCATAGTTGACTAGTGAACTAAGGCCTTCTCGATTGGTTGTTATTAGCAAGTTTTGCTATAATCTTAATAGTTATATCTTTATGAATATATTTAAACTGTCGAACGATAGTTAAGATATCGCTTTAAGTGCTAGATAAATGACTCTTTAGCACTTAATGTATTCTTTCTAGACATAAGGTTGTGACATTACCAAAATAATGATAATTATTGATGAAACAACGCCAAATTCCTTGTTGTCTCATGAACTAAATATGGAAGAGATAGTTATAGATTTAAGGCTTAAATCGATAGTCTCGTTTTAGTCTATTCTAGGCTTTATTAGCGAGATCCTCAATAGGTATATTAATATATTTTCATTAACTATTTATGAGACGCTTTAGTTGGACTTAAATCTTTATAATGTTCTTATCGATATCTTCTTGTGTTGCAAAGCCAAGATCTCGCTAAATGAATAGTCTCTATATCTTCTTAGCCTTGCTTATAATTGCCTTATTAATATACTAAAGATAGAGTAAATACGAGATAAGTGGAAAGACAACCTTAATAGCATTAGTAAGAGAATAAGTGGTGTCTATGATGAGAACCCGTGGAGATAAAATTTAACAGTGTTTAAGGATTTTAAGAAGACTTCTTAACACCCACTAATAAGTGGTTTCATCCTCCTATCTAATGAATACCGATCCAAGAAAGAATGATTCATTATTTGCCATCACACTAATTATATTGACCAATGGTATGTTGAAATGATTGATTTTATATATAGTATCTATCAACAAAATATCAGGATAAAGTCAAAAGAGATCAAGACCTTAATGATGAAAAAATGCGAGGCCCTCAAGTTTTAAACTCTTGATATTATATAGAGTTCAATATTGTTATTGCTCTGTGATTACTAGAAGAAATGCCTAAATAGGTGTTCTATCATTTAAGTCAACCTTTTCATGTCTCTTACACTTATTAGTTATATCCTGACGAGTGATAAAGATATTATAAAGAGAGTGAATATATAAGATAGTTAATTATATCTCGATACCCTCAAGAAGTTGTTTCTTGATAAATTTATTGACTTCACCCTGTCGACCGCGTCGGCGGAGGCTTGAATGAGTTAAAGGCCCTCAGGATAGCTCGTGAGAATGCTCTTGATGAGTATAGATAAGTCGCTATGGGGAGCCTTTCATAGAGCGCTTCAGCACCATTCGAAAGTGACAATTCCGAGTTAAGGTGCCCTTATATCGATAAACAACATGACTGGCGCTTTTTTTTCTGTTCCGCGGGTTGGCGCGATCACAGACTAGATAGATTTGATTGATTTCGCCGTTGACATGGAGACGACCTCGTCGATGAATACGAAGGCCATATCCACGAGGCCCTGTCCACCTATCTAGGAACTCCCAGGCCTCCTCAAGTGAGTGAAACATAGTGTCACTAGGCGGGAGCGCAAATGGAATCACAGGGCCCTGTTCCACGGCCTCTTCACGAGGCGGGACCGCAAATGGGATAGCATGGCCCTGTTCCTGCGCCTCCGCGGCCTCTTCACTAGGTTGCGCGCCGTCGAGAGCCTCCGGGGCATCTTCCTGCGCCGCCGCGCCCGCCGCGCCCTCCGCGCCCTCCGCGTCGGAGTTGCACTCATAGAACTCATCATTTGAGGATGTTTCATAGGCCAATAGGGCCTCCATTTCCGCGGCTAGTTGGGCGGGGGTCGACATGGCTAGACGGCGCAATGATAGACGCAATGATAGACGCAATGATAGACGCAATGATAGGTTGTTGCGAGCAAGGAATATGTTGTTGAGAGGGTTGTGATCGAGGAGTAGGCAGGGATAGCATGGAAAGGGGTTTACCTCAGTTGTGCCAAGACATACGCTAACCTAACTGGGCCGCGCTAACCGCTTTAGGTGGGGTGCGTAATACCACCCCTGGGGTGCGTAATACCCATTACCGTGGGGGCTCCTCGCCTATTATCTTACTAAGAAGTCTACCTAGACTACTACTACCTTAGGTACTTGGAGTAACTCCCTCCGCCTAGGCAAAGCCTGAAGCACGATTTTAAAGGCATACCTTGCAATCTGACACTGCAATGAAAAACTATCTCAACAATTGTAACTATGGATTCGCTCAGTATCTTTCAGACTCATCACTCACTCGACTACACTCGCACTTCACTATGGAGCTTGCGATTTACTATCTCCAAAACGCTGCTAGAAACCCAGTGGTTGGTGAAGGTCCCTGATCCCCTTCGTTTTCAACCTTCACAACCTTTGGTCCGTCACCCTACACTATGTGCAGGCTGAGTTGCGCGTCCTAGCAATGGGCCTGCAGCCTTCCTTCATGACGCGTCAAGTCTTGGGAAAAGTCTTGTTCAGCCATGCAAAGATAGACCTCACCATCTCCTGCGTAGCACCAGTCTGGCAGTGGTAGCCGGCAGTGCCGTTGAAGTCATGAAGCGTACCCAAAGTGCCCAGAGCTTGCTTCAGCGTCGCAGGCTGGCCAGTCACGAAGGTATCGAACTCGGCATTGCCGATGAAGACGGGCACCCTGATCTTACTGACGAAACCGCCGACCTCAAACTCCTTGGCCTTGGTGAGGAACTCGGACGGCGAATGCGTGTAGAAGGACCATAGACCCTGGTCCAGACCCCAAGCGGTCATCGTGGAGAGCTGGTTGGTGGCGCGCCGGTGGAGCAGCTCCCTGTCGAACTCCTGCTCCTTGCCGGCCTCGTACAGGGCGAGGACTTCGGTCGGGATCGGAGCTATGGCGCTCTTGTAAAAGTCCCAGATGCCGTCGATGGCGACTACCGCCTTGATCCGGGGCTCGAAAGCCGCCACGCGCAGGGCCAGGAGGGAGCCGAACGAGTTGCCGAGGAGGGCGAGGCGGTCCCCGTCGACAACATCTGCCTTGTTCTCGTACACCCAGTCAACCACGGGGGTGCCGACGTCCTCCCACTCTGGCATGAAGCCGATGTCCTGGTACCGGCGCACCGTGTTCTGCCCGGGGCCCTCGTACGTGATGCAGTTCCAGCCTCGGAGCACTGCCGGCGCACAGAAGTTGTGGTACGAGTCCTCCTGCGCCGCGTCGAAGCCGTTGCCCACGACGAGAGTGGGCAACTTGGCTGTCTTGTTCGTGCTCGCACCGTACCAGATGGCTTCGATGGTGAAGTTCTGCTTCTTGGCCGGGATGCGGATCCGCGTCCCTGGGATGGGCAGCGCTGCGATGGCCTTGTTGAAGGCGCTGGTCTGCTCGGCCCACAGCGTCATGATGTCCGGGTTGCTCCAGTTCTGGTGGATGAGGAAGTCCGCACGACGAAAGTAATTCGACGCCGAGAACCAGGTGTCTCGGACGTTGATAGGGTCGTAGGCGTTCTCCGTATCCTCGGCCTGGTTTTTGGTGTAGTTGGCCAGTTTGTAGAACTCCTCATAGTACGATGTCATATTGCCGGGCTCGACGACATTGGCGACACCAAGGACCGGGCTAATGTCCGACCCTCCAGTTAGGGCCAGGCCGAGAGGAATCAGGAAATCGAAGTTGAACGTCGAGTCGGTGCTCAGCGGCAGGGTCGGTGCCTTGGAGGAAGAGGAGGAGTTGCTAGCACCGGAGACAGATTGGAGGTGCACCAGCGCAGCCAGAAAATGCACGCCGAAGATAGATATGAGCCTCATTGCTGCTGAAAGAGCTTAATTGTTCTGGAGACAACCACAGGAGTGGACGAATTGCTCGTTGCAGTTTCATTTTGTTCATCTGATATGTGCCATTTGACCTTCTTATATCACTATCCTTCAGTCCGATGGAGGAGGGAGATACCAGGCCGAGGCAACGTATGCAATGCACTCCATGCTGAGTGCTGCGAGCCAACCTTGCTTCTTCACAGGACCGCAATGCTTTCACGCTATGGTGTTGTTGATCTGCGATTTAGTTAAGCTTCGGGTAAGCATACGCTGTGCCGCTAATCCGTATCTTGGGCCTCTTTTGCGACGAAACTGCGGGGAGAAACGTCCTATTGGATCGGAGCACTCTCGGTACCCCGTACGCCGGGGACACTGATGACAAGGCTCCAGGCTAGTAGGCAGCAGCTTGTTGCAGTGACGACGATAAAAGCATCACCGGAAGCCATATCTGGTGCTTGTTTTGCGACCCAATGGCTTTGGGCTAGTAGGCTTACTGCCCTCCCACCACAAGGTATGCCCAATTATGGTCGATCCGGGCGGTGTCTGACGTGTAAGCGACGGCGCGTCAAGTGCGACGAGGCACGGCCAGCATGCTCGCAATGCCGCGGGTTCGGAGTTGATTGCGAAGGCTACTTCAAGGAGTACGCCTTCAGGGACGAGAGCCACAAGTTTACTCCCGCAGCGCCCCTAAAAGTCTCGAAGGTGCAGGGCGCGCCGGTCCAACGATCAGGTGAAGTGGGAGATCCCAGTCGGTCCCTGCTGACTGAGGCCGATGTCGCCGTGCCCTTCTTCCTTGTGCACTACGTTGTCATGGGCCGCAGCCTCGCCGTCACCCGCGGTTTCTACGAAGTCTTGATGCCCATTTCCAGCTCTCAACCTCATGACTCGCCGCTATCCCTGGCCGTAGCGGCTGTTGCGGCAAGGGTCTTCTGCCTGTGGCGCCACGGGGACGGAGTCCGAATGAAAGCTCATTTGGAGCCGTACACCAAGGCCGTCGCTTCTCTTCGCTCAGCTCTCAGTCGTCCAGAAGACCGCCGCAGACCAGCTATAGCCCTTGCCGTCCTGGCACTACACCTCTACGAGAGCATCAGCGCCGTCTACGATGCGCGCTGTCCAACCCCTGTTCACCATCAAGGTGCGTTGTCCCTGCTGCCCATCATGGCGTTGGACAGCCCGGACGGTGATTTCAGCACCTACGTCAAGGGTTTCGTACTTCACTCAGAGATCTCGTCGGCATTGCGGCAGAACAGGTCGATCCACCCCAGCGTGTACTCGTATGTAAATAGCGAGCATACCTCATTCCTGGTACCGGGTAACCTGAGCTCGACTCTGGACTCCATAGGAGCGTCTGTCGCCGAGCTTCAGGCCGACTACGTGCGCAGAGTTTCACCTCACGAACGGCACGCATCTGGCCCTTTACTGCGGCATCAGTGTAGTGTATGGATCACAAAGGCGACACAGATCGACGAGCTTCTGCGGGACTGGGCTCGAGATGTGCCAGATCATTGGCGGCCGGTCAGACTCACGGGTGGAAAAGACTTTAGTAACTCGATCGCAGCATATCAGTCCGCTTGCGACATTTATCCATCTTGTCAGATTGCGACTTTGTGGAACTTGTGGCGATTCCACCGCCTCTTGCTCCTCAAGATCACCATCGTGGCAACTCAAATCATCTTCTCAGACTCGCCACGGGGCGGGCATGCAGGAAACGAGCGGCTGGTGACCACGACCATGAAAAGCGCCACACAGGTCAGCTCCATCCAGGAACTGGTGGACAGCATCTGCCACAGCGTGCCTTTCTACCTTGGCAACCGCACCAAGCCGTCAAGTCTGAGCGACTTCACAGACTTGCAGATCCAGTTTCCTAGCTACCACCTAATAGCACCGGATGATGCGAGAATCACCGGAGGGCAATTTCAGCATCGTCACAGTCTCCCACTGTCAGTGGACGAACACCACCGCCACATGGTCGCTTATGGTGCATGGCACATCGTGAGCCCTCTGAGCAACTTGCTGACCCTGTTCTCGGATGACCACGGTGGACAGCTGCTGGGAGGTCTTCTCCGAACGGGCCAGCAGGATTGGATCCGCGAACAGTTTTTGCGGGTCTGCACCTTGGTTCGCCTGCCCATGGACCTGAAGTCTGCCGACGGCCCAGCAGCAGAGAGTCTAGCGAAGCAAGTGAGAAGAGGAGCCATATTCATGAGTGGCCCTTAGAGGACAGCACAAGGCTGACGCCTACTACACGAGCAGTGCCTGTCAATGCAGAGATGTGTCCGTCTTCTTGTCCATTGAATGTGTCGAGGAACAGCTTGTGCGGCATTTGCCCTGTGAGATTTGGGACATGTCATCGTTGCCCTGCTAGTTTAGCCGCGCAAGAGAATCATACATGGATCCTTCGTTATATATGTGCTAGTTGAATGGTTTTCTCGGATTTCAACTTCAGGTCAGTACAAACGAAGAAATCATTTTTCTCGCCCAAGACACCAAACTCAACATGCAGACAGCAGTGGATTGAAGGGCTTGGAAGTGCTCGCAGTCACACATGGTCACCCCGGTCTGGGATTATGAGGAGAGCCTTTTGTGACAATTTCAGCTCGGGCATGTGACAAGACACCAGTGATGGAAAACTCACAGTAGGATGTGTATGTAGCACAGGTCTCTTACCAGCAATTCATCGATGCACCTCTTTCCGGAGTGTCTGTATGGTACAATTACCCCCGTATCGTCTCAACCATTCGCAATACCATACCTTACCAGATCATGATAGAATTTGACATGACATGCAAACCGCAGTGTAGGACCGCTTTGGAGGGGAGAAACAGGTTCCCCCTACTGTACCTGCATCCCAGCCGAACCGATCCAGCCAACCATTTCGGTAGATAGTACGTAGGTAGATGGCATAGGGAGGCTCGTAGGTAAAAGTCTTGTCCAAACATCCCCCCCTGAGTTCTGCAGCGCCTATCAGCCTTGCCTTGCCTTGCCCTGCATTCCCGGTTCCAAATAAAAGGTCAGATGCGCCTTTACGTGCAGCCCGAACGAACGGGGTCTACCGTTTGACACAACCACCTTTGACTCGTGCTAGTTTGAGTGGGCAGCCTGCATACGACGACTGGGGGTTCGGGATCGGGGTTTCCGTGCATGTGAAACCCTGGCATGAGTTCGATCTGACTGGTTATCCGAAGAAAAGCGACAAGTGGCAAGTGACCAGTATGTCAAAAATTGACGGCTCTGGACGGGAACCAAGGTCGAATCAAGCACCGGTTGCAGTTGTGGTCGCAGGCAGAAGCGCGCAAATGTGAGGGTCGAGAACAAGGGCCGAGGACACTATCGCCGTCTATCGGTCGTCACGCCGGATCCGTGCAGTATGCCTGGTCGAGTATTGGTTATCACATATCGAATCGATACAGCACCACGCGGCCCGTAGTCCGTAGTTCGTAGTGGAAGAGGGAGGGGGAGTGGCTAACAATCCAGCCGTCAAAGGGGGCGAATGTTTCAGAAATGCAAACCAAAAGTGCCACGTCTCAATGAGGCCAGGCGCCCCAGGCTAGGATCATTCCCCGCGAAGCCTCGTCTCCAGTGCTACAAGATGCTACTGTACTTCTGGTTAGGGAGCCCGTCGCCTGCAGCCTGTAGGTGGTGGACGAGTATCCGGATACGAGTACCAAGGTGTCGAGACCCTCGGGCAAAACGACAAAACAACAAGACCCTACCAACCCCCGTCACTGGACAAGATCACGACCAGTCAATGCTCATCCTCTCGATGCTGAGTTACTGTAGGTCGCGATGAGTCTTCGCCTTCACCCATCCAGCGTCGGCAGGATACAGGAAGTTCTGCCACGGCGGGCTGGAAACACTTGACACATCATTGTGAGTCGAATATTTTTCCTCACCGACAAGCGATAGGATGGAGAGCACCAAAACGCCATCCCGCGAATACAGGCAACCATTCAAATACGAGTACGAGGTCTCTTGACCCTGGAGATGTGTGCTCGCCACACACCCATATACAAAAACACCGTCAATGACCGGGCGCGAAGAGCACCAATCATGCCGAAACGGACATACCTCGCCGCAGCCTTTTCCCGGAGATGCTGGGGTGAACTGTTCGCTGTCGCTGTTATCGATCCGGATACATTTCTGCGCACGGAGTGATCACTAAACGCCGTCATGGGCATGTGAACTACATCCATCGCCAGCGCGCGGGTGTCACACCCACCACCGGGCATCTTCACGCATGCGGACTGGACCAGTTCGTGGGTGACACACGCCTGTAGAAAAAACAATCATACAAGGAAAGTGCCTCGGGTACTGTAGGTAGGTGGTATACCGTTGTCGAGCTCATCACGGCGCCTACAGAAGGTTATACAGTGTGTGTATGTATGGGTGGATGGATGGATGGACGGAAAAGTTGAGTTGTGAGTTCTAGTCATGTTCGCGCACTTTTGCCCTTACATGGTAAGAGGCATGAGGGACGGATATACCTTTGATACCTTTGGTATTCATGTTACTTGCAGATGCATTCTTTCTGTTTCTCAATATAAGACCCCGCCAGTGCCGAAACCAGTCCGACTGACTACGGAGTATATCCATCTACATGCCTGGATTAACATAGGTACCCTAAGGTAAGGTATGCGATGCAGTCGGCAATCAAATGGTCCTGAGTTCATCCAGTCGACAACCACCATCCCTCAACACGGGAGTCCTAACCCTATCTCAACCCCTTCAGGCCTACCAGGAGTAACACACCCTTTGTACGTACCTCTCTTTTTTAAGCGCCGACCATCCCATATTGGAGATCAAGTTCTACCTTTGGAATACAAAGTACCACCCACACCCATCCATCTCGGCCCCCTTCCTGACGTCTGTGCTGTACTTGCACATGTTTTACCCTGTACGAGTAGGTGAGATCTCTTTGTACGGTCCAACTAGTAAAGTACATGACTACGAACTCAAGGTATCTGACTGGACCAAGCACCCGCCCAATGATCAAAGTCCGCAGAGAACGACACGGCGACAGTCGACCTAGCTAGTAGACCTGAGGGGGTTCACTGAGTAACGAGCCTGACTCAGGAGCACCTACGTCGACACCATCTTGACATCTCCAATGTGACATAACTCCAGTACGCCGTACGCCGTACGTCTTTCCCAAGTTCCAACCCCCTTCCATCCTACAGCATTTCTTCCCACCTCATCGGTAGCACACGGCCTGTACACATGACCAGCTAGTCAGCCAGCCAGCTTGCTACTAGTAACCTAGTCATCAGTTACTCACGCCGTCCCGATGATACGTATCACTGCATTAGGTTCTCCCTACCTGATCCATGGATGGGTGGGTGGGTAGGTGGGTGGGATTACTCACCCACTTACGGCTGAAAGAAAACCCATAGGTAGAGAGAGAGAGAGAGAGACGGAGTGAGTGGGCAAATGCTCTCGCTCCGTACGGTTCGCATGATGCTTGCATTACATTGCATTCTGCTTCGTCATACCTGTACGCGCCCCGGGCATGACTTTAGCCAGCCAGCCAGTCTGACTGGTGAGCCAGACGACCCAGTCAATAGCCGGGTCGGTCGCCGGTAGACAGTAAGCGGCGCAACCACCCAGCCAGGCCTCACTAGTTAGGTAGTTAATTGTACCAGCTGGATAGTTTGGCCAGCGTCATTCCTCCCTCTCCCTTTCATCGCAACGTCCACTGTAAGGGAGTAGCTCCGTACTCCGTACCGGATACTAACTAGTCAGTTACCTACCTCCGTACGGCCCCTGTTTCGTAGGATATTGTAGAAGATTAGTCAAGTAGAAGCTGAGAAAGCATGCAGATAACGGAGTAGTTCCAAGTCCTTAAGGTAGTAGTCCTCTACTGTAGCTCTGCTTCTTCTAACTAGTTCTGGTTCCAGTTCTAACTAGTTTCTTCTCGAAGCATGCCAACGAGCACCCCCCTCGAACACCCCCTACATAGCCGACCTACTAACTACTATCGGTACTTCCGTACGAAGCAAACAGCTCAATCATTCCTCCCAGCTCGCCCGACGGAGTACTAGGTCCATCGTAGGCGCCGAGATTGACGGCTTGTATTGCCATGTAACTTGTACGTAGCATACTTTGAAATACTCTTTTAAAAAGGTAGCAAACAAAGACATGAAAAGAAAAATTACGTATTATGTATAACATCCCAAGTATCTCCTAGCTACCTTAAGACATAATCAGTCCTCCAATACGATACAAGTCCTGTATGTCCATAAGAAAGTAAAGAAATAGGATTTACACGGCATGCTCAGCTACCCTGGTCCTACTGCACAAGGCAGTAGGAGATAAAACACGCACCAAAACTCCAACACCAAAAGTCCTTCGCAAACAATTTCTCAGAACCAAAAAATATGGTATAGCCGTCAAGATCAAGAGAAACACCCAATAAGCTGTCCCAAACTCGAAAAAGGGGTATCGTGCGAAAAGATCTGACAGAAAATCAAAGGCAAAAACGCCCCTAGACCATTCCCACCAGAAACAGCAGCGAAAGAAAAACAAGACGCAGACGACCATGCCCATGATTCCGTACAAGTACAAGAGTCATTTCTCCTTTCACCTGTCATCATGTTTCGTCCTTTCATGGCTTCATGAGAACTTTTGTTTAGCCTTTTTCGCTCCAATGTCCTCCGAAACTGAAATATTATCTTTTTGATTACCAAATGCTTGCCTCGCCATTGCTCCCTGTTGTTGCCTCGAAAAGGGAAAAAGAAAACAACACCTAGCGAGTGCCGGTGAGTCTAGCTCATGCCCATGACTCACAAACCTTCCATACTAGCAAGACGGGGAAAACGAGGTTGATGCGTATGTTGTTACAATTGCGGCCTGTCGGCCTATTGCGCGTGACAAAAAGTACGCAACGATCATTGATGTTGATGTCGAAATGTTGTAGTTGCGTGTGGCAAAGTCGTACCCAGGCGAGTACGTACAACTATTTTGCCACACAATCGAGAGATGTCGAGAAAATTGCCACCTGACCTGTGGAAGCCTGGCAGGATAAGGTGTCGACGTAAAGTGGGAAAAATCTAGGCAGCCGAGGGACGACGTAGGGTGTCCTCGCAATTGACATCGAAGCGCATGTTCCAAAGTCGCACCTGGTTCATGATATTCTCAGTCGACTCAAGGTAGCGATCGCGTCCGAAGATGGAATCGACAAACTCAGTGCCTGCCTTCTTGCCCATGGTTTTTGTGCCGTCTCGCTTGGCAGCCTTGAGCATGAAGTGTTCGCAGTCCTTGAGAAGGGCTTTGAATTTATCCCACATCCGGTGCCCACTGACGATGAAGTCCTCGACGGTTTCGCGCTTGTCAAGGTTGCGGATGCGATCCACACATTCTTCGGCTCGCTTCATCTTGCCTGCGAGTTTGATGAGAAGTAGCCACAGCTCTCCAGCCATGTCGGCCATTGGCGTCGAGGCGCCATGGTGGAAGACGGTCCAGTCGTAAATCCACTTGCCCAGTGAATTGGCATCGAACACGCTGCCGAGAAGAATGATGGGCAATTCCGTCGGGTCCCAGTGCTTGATGGAATAGCCCGCGGGGATGCCAGCACGGATGGCATCTTCCTCCGTTGCCTGAGGAGCTGGTTTGGGTTGCGACCTGATCTTGGAACGAGGCGAAGGCTTGCTGGCGGTCGAAGCTCGTCGTGCCCTCGAGCGTTTCGGCTGCTCATCTATAATCTGTTCCTGCGCGTAGTAAAAGTAGGTGTCAGTGCTTGGCTTCCTTGCATGCTTTGTTTTCGGTTTTGGTGGTTCTCGATAGATATATGTAGGCTGCATTCCTGCGTCTTCAGCTTCGTCGTCGTAGATGTAGACGGGCTGATTCTGCTTGCGCGATGCGGAGCGGGTGTGATATCTTGAGGTAGGAAATGTATTGTAGTAGCCCTCGGGCTTGCGGACCTTGTCCTTTACCTCACTCACATAGATATCATCGCGTGGTTCTGCGTACTGCTCATGGGGTGGTGGTGAACCGGCAGGTGAGAACCATCCTCCCACCCTGGGCGAAGGATTATAGCTCGCCTTTCGAGAATGTCGTTTCGGAGTCGTTTCGTATTGTGGCGCGTAGTGTACATATTCCGCGTTGTGATAAGGCGAGGATGTTCCGTAATACTTGGTATAATGCGACGGCGGTACACCGTAGTGGTAACTCATCTTGACTGAATAATCTTCTGGTGGGCGTCACACCTCACTCCTGCCCCTGTCCGCAACAGTCTTCCCCCCGATCGGGATCTATGTCTGTCTGATATGGCTCGGCGATTCCTCGAGAAGTAAGGTAGGTTCGGAAGATGTTGGACTGGCTGAATATCATAGCGTGAATGGCCTCTGCCGGTGGTTGGGCGTGTTGCTGGGAATTGAGCCTCGCGACTCAATTTTGGTCAATAGTGTAGAGAAGTTCAATCGTCGTCTCCGCTGCTGCGCGATGACGTGCAAAACTGTGCTGTTGAGAGGGGAGAAGAAGAAGAATCCAGATGGCTGGGAAAAAAAGTTCGCGAGATATGTCTCTTCGGGAGGGGGAGAACCAGCCAGGAGTGGATTCTTGCTAGGGGCCGCGGCACAAGGCTGCCGGCGTGAGTCGATGAACGGCGCGACGGACGAGTCGTTCGACTCTTGATCGAAGCAGGATTGTCTTTTGTTAGCCCTGAGCGACCGCGCGTTTGATCGCGGCTGAGGCTTGTGACTAATGCTGGCTACTCCAGGTGATGACTGGGAGGTGGCGGAAACGCCTGGGGCCAGCTGGAACCTGCTGGTAGAATAGACCAATCGACGAGCCCATGAACCAGGAGAGTGGTCTCTCTGGTGAAGATGAAATTGATTTTCGGGTTAGATCTCTCAGGTTGGGAATTCAGGGGCAAGAGGGCAATTAAAAAGGACGAGGTCGGCTAAGGGAGGTCCCTGCTGAGCAATAATGATGGTGTGGTGCGTTGCAGTGGATGCCTCATCCAACGCCCACGCTATAAGACAGGGATGTGCCCGGAGCTGCTCTTTGACGTGTGTGGGCCCAGAAGGACTCCTCTTTCACGCTTAGACCAGCCCCTGGCGAGCGAGGGAGGGGAGAACTTGAAGGTGAAGGAGACCGAAAAGACCTGGGTGGAGGTCGTCTCGGTAAGGTAACGAACCGTAAATACGAGAGCCAGCAGGTTTGGGCACGGCGAGGTATTTGTAGGCGAAGATGGGATCTGTTGACTCTTGAACAGGCTGCGAAGTGGCTGCGGCCTTTCTGATAGACACGAGTCGGTCGTAGCCTGGCCAGGCGATGCAATAGAGCGTTTGAGTGGATTTGCCGCTGAATAAACACCCAGCGAAGATGATGGAAGCGGCGAAAGCGAAGGCGACGACGACAATGACAACAGTGGCGAACAACGGAATTAAGAGACTGACTGGAAGGAGTTAGAGGGCAATAATAAGGAGTCAGGGATACCGTCAATGATCATAATGATACTCATCCTGTAAGCTGTTCTCTATTCTGGTGCACAATTCCATCATCTATCCGTCCATGGCCCGTTGCACGATGTCCGGCTGACACAGATCCATCTCGCGGGATTAACTGAACCTGTGATGGTGAAGGTCAAGCAAGGTGTAGCAGGTACCTGCGGGCTATGGGCTGTAGCCCGCCGCCCGTAGAGTGAATTTCTAGAAGGTCCGAGGGCAATGACCACTACCACTAGGTACTCTTTTAGGCGCGCCAGGACTCCCCCCGGCGCCCGCAACATTATTATTGCGGCTGCACCTGCGCGTCAGCTTACGCATTATTTCCTCAGCCAAACCACATGGCCCGGTGCCACCATTCCTATAACTGCTACGCTCCGCGAGACAAGTCTCCTCTTCTGCCCTCTTCCTTCCTCTGTCCTGCGAGATCCTCCGCTGCTCTTCTAGAGCCATCACTGGTCGATTCCAAAGCAGATCTCCCGCTGGCCATCACCGCTCTTCTCGTCTACGGTACGAGTTTCGTGTTCGTACCCGACTCCGACTGCGTTATTCCGCTATGGACGGACAAGACAGGTTGCGTTGTTTTGACACACCCGTCTTTTCGGCCACCAGAAACAAGATTTGACACACGAAGGAGCGGATCGATGTGAATGATTTTGTGGATACTAGTACAATAGTCGAATGTTGTCCCTGGTGGAGCTCATCAAAAATTGATACTTCACGGATATCAGGTTCCCCGGGCCTTGGTCTGTATCCAAATGTTGAGCACCGAGATCTAGTCTCAACCGATGCGCGACGGATTCTTTAATTGACTGCTTCGCTACCAGTCCGATGGGGAACTGGTAGTGAAACATAAACAAATGACTAGTTAGACTAGCTGCGCCCATGGCCAACATGTCCTACAAAATTCACCGAAGCTTAACTCTCTGGATTGCTAAACAACCCAGCTGAACCCTCGGCAGGCAGATCCAATCAATCTCGGGTCATGCAAGATGAAGCCTTGTCAGATTCCTGATTGACTCGCAGTTGCCAACTTACCACTGGTGCAGCTGGAAGGACCAAAGCTACTTAACCTGCGGCTGGCTGAATGGACTGCAGTCGTCTTGGTGATCACAATATTGCTTGATATGTGACCTGTCTGCGCGCTGTTTCAGTCGATCCGTCGAACACGTCCAGCTGAATTTGAGCTTGATGTGAGCGTACGGCGGCCAATGGCACCCATCTTGGCCCCGTCGGACATCGATGGAACATGGCATTCCTTCGTGGGTCTCACGTAGTCGACGGTGCAAACGGGGAAAGGTAAGTACGATGCTGTCGAGACAATAGTAAGTTGCACCGGTCCAGCTACCTACGGTTGAGTGCACGATGGCAGGCTCAGTCCGGCGCTGGTCGGGGGTCACAGCCGGCCAGCGTCACAAGGAAATGTGCCATCCGATACCCGTGTACGCTGAGCGATGTCCACATGATTCTGGTACAAATTCCTTCTGGAGCCCATTCAGCGCCTGGAATGCCTATATCGACGCGCCTGGGCAGCGTTGCTTGCGAGCTGCCAGGAATGCTTTTGGGAACCTTCAATCCAGGTCAAACTTACGGTATCTCCAGTATCAAGACGGCTGTCAACATTACCTTACGACTGATATTCTGGTCGCACGTCTAAAGAGTTTGGGGGCCTCACTATTGCGCTGAGGAGGACGAGTGAGAGGCTGCCAACTCATTGCTGCGCGCATGAGCCTCGGCAAGGCTTGGGCAGCATCGCGGCAATTTTGGACCACTCTGGCTGCTGTATGTCTCCTGCTAAAGAGATTCTGCATCAACACCGCTTCGAATTATTCTCCTAGGCTTTCTTATTGCTTCGCGTATCTAGAAATGAGGCAACTGTCCATGACCCGAGCATTGCCTAGTTGCAACGCCCCGAGCCGCTGGCATCTGCCTTCTTGGAGCCCAAAGCGTCATTCTCGATCCGCTGTCCGGCATTAATGACTGACTGTTCACGGTTGAGAGAGAGGCCATGTTTGTCCACTCACAACAGCGCTTCCCAGTAATCACTGCCGTTGGAATTGGAGCCTTGCACATGTCACCGCAACTGGAACCACAAACAAGGTGGGCTTGGCCGTCGACGCCCTTTGCAGGGAGGCACGGCCCGATGGGGACTCTTGACACTCTACGAAACATATGCATTGTGAATTTGTCTGATGGACTCGTCAGAGCAGAACTAAGCCTCACCGCTTGAGTCGCCGTTGCGTAATCCCCTTGCGCTATGTTGTTATCTTGGGAAGATATGAGTCTTCTCTTGCACTGGTCTATATCTTCTGCGCAACTATTGGCTGTTTTCCTTTCAGAGAAGCAGTCAAAACCGTTCCTTTGGCCTTCGCTCGGAGTTGAAAGGGACACTAATGACGCTTCGCAGTCTCATTTTTGACACAGACGTGTGAGGCACCGCCAGGCTCCACTGGGAGGGACTTCGGTTGTCGTTACGGAAGACTGAGGCGAAGCTGCTGAGAGCAGAGTCTTCGGAATGGTTTTATTGCTGCCCAAGAGAAGTCGGGCAGAGCTGCTGCCCTCGAACCGGACAATCTGAGGCCAGCAGTCAGTTGGGCATTTCGAGTCCTTGCACCAAGAACTGAATGACGGATGGGATAGTTGAAGATGATTGCTATGACTCGTGGACAGTTTCGACAGGCTTCAAGTATCAACACTGACTGATGACAAGGATGACTGAAGCGCCGCTTTCTCCATGGTTGATGAAGCAACAGGAACTTGAGTACCTGTTAGGTTTTTCCGAGGTAGCTACAATGGTAGCTGCGTATTGCGTGCAAAGCACTTACGAGCATTTTTACAAACCCTTGCAAGATGTACATCTGGTAAGTACCTAGTAACGAGGAGTTATGTAACTTTACCGGATGGGGCGCGGCGTATTGTGTACATCCGGTATTTTGAGATACTGGGCATATCCTCGCTTGTTGTCGTAAAGTGTTTCGAAGCAAGTTCCGACGGTGCAGAAGTGGAAACTCAAAGAGATAGAGACAAGGATAATGACAGGCATGAAAGAGGGCTGTCATTACTCTGTGCCAACCAACAATATCCGTCAAAGGAACAGATACGAGGAAGTGTCTCACAGACGCGAGCATTTTAGTGAGTACCATTAGGTTCTAGACGTGGCCAATATCAACACCCCTCAATCATCCGTCACTCTGTGGAGGTGTTGAATGCGCGTAGAAGACAGGTTATTGATTTATTATTAGTTTATGAATTAGTACAGTCGGTATGAATCCGTGTGCTGCTGCAGCAGCTCTGATCCTGGACGTCGTGGTCTGATAGTTGACAGCCTATAGATAACAGGGTCACACCGAGGGACTCGGATGTTTGGGGACTCCTCTTGACCCATACAGCCTGGAATTCAGCCTAGAGGAGGGCAATTATGCTTGCTGGGCAGTGGGGAGGCAGGTTGGGGAGGGGAAGATTTGAGCTTCAGGTACGGAGTACTTGTACTCCATACCCGTAGTTCATTGTCGATGGGCAATCGCAGATGAAGATTGTCGCTGTCGATCCCCATGCCAGTGAGTTGGTTCCTGGACTGCCATGAGGGCGGCAGTCTTGTCCTTTGGCTCCTCGCACTGGCAGTGAATTCTCTCAATTGACCTCTACCGTCTACCAACCCAGATGCATCAAGGAAATTCAAATCGCAATCACCCGCACAATAGATAGCGTAAGGTGATCGCTCCGACTAGACAAATGGAGCATGGGAGCACCGAGCTTTGGAGCGCGCGAATGGAACATGGGCTCACTAAAGTGCGGGTTGACACTCGATCTGGAGTCGAAACTTCAAACGGCGAAGTCGTCAATGCTACCCCGTACCGTTTTGTCGAGAACTTAATTACTCGTAGCATCTTACCTACTAAGTTAGTTGTGTGCTTGCTTGTGCAACTCTTCTCTTCTCCAGCCACGGATAAGGTACATTGCGTGGTTCTCGCCCTCGGCCGCCCTAGCTGACCTCATACGGCAGTCTTCTCCTGTCACCACCGATTGGCTCTCCAGACTGCCACAATCGCACTGATCCTTCTCCCTCCCTCTTCATGCAACAGTCAATTGGCTTCTCCCTGGCCCGGAGACGTTAGTGGCGGTCGCCATTTCCTGCATTGCAGATCTCCCTCACACTTCAGGTCAAGCCATCTACGAGTATGAACCCCAACCCGTACGCTCAATCTCCGTGTTTGTGACATCCTCATCCTTCCTTCGAATCTTATCCCATGCGAGCGCATTTGCAACCGTCTCTCTATAGCGCACTACGTGTGATATGTTCATGCTTCTGGACGTCTGTCTATATGGAGACGCAGAGCGCTTGAGCCCTGTCCTGACCCAGGAACAAACCAACTTCCGCTTTGCGACGCCGAGAGTGACGTCGTCGTCCTTGCATCACGAGCTTTTGCTACTGCGACGCCCAGCGGCCTAATCAGCCATACATAAGATGTCGGCGGTCCAAGAACAGTCCCAGCCTCTGTTGCGGTCGGTGGATGCTCCAAATCAGCCAGATGCTGGCGCACCACGAAAGAGGAGGAAGCGTGCCCCGGCTGCTGGAGCGCCCGATGACTGCTTTACATGCGCTACCCGCAAGGTCAAATGCGATCGCCGGAGACCATATTGCTCCAAGTGCCTGGACGACGGGAAAGATTGTGCCGGATACAAGACCCAGTTGACCTGGGGAAACGGCGTCGCAAGTCGCGGCAAGTTGCGCGGCTTGTCGCTACCAGTTGCTGGGGCTCAAAACTTCGCCGCTGCTCCCACTTCGCCCCCCAAATCAAGACGGCGAGGCTCTCAGCAACCCCAGAAATCTCAGTTTCATGGTGACGCTGGGCAGACTGTCTCGTCAGCTCCGTGGCCAACGATCTTGGCTTGCGGCCCTACCTCTGTAAACAGCAGCAATGCTGAGTCCAATTTCCATCAACACACCTCGTCATTCCCTATGCCTATTCCGCACGCAACAGCATCCTGGGCGACGGCAAGGCCGGCAACGACCGCGCCGGCTTCCACTGCCATTGAGATAGAGAAAGCAGACTCGTCCGATCCATCTAACGCTCCCGGCTATTTGACATCCCCTCCTCTCCCTGGTCATCAATTCTCCAACGGCTTCAAATCGGATGTTGGATATGGTGGAAGTCTTTCGTCTCGCTCATATCCCGATACTTCTCCTGGGCCCACATACTTTCAACGGGTTTTGAGCCATGAGACTCTAGACGCACGAGGTCCATCACGCGCTTTCCCACCCTCCCCTCATATGCCCACACCTTATGCCAGGCTTTTTTCTGATCACGACGCGCTCCCAGTCTCGGCAACTCCAGAAACGCGTCATGATGCTAATGATCGCTATTCTCGATTGCCTCCTTTCCAGGAGGACTCGGTAATCACTGACCTCGACAAGCATTCTGCCGCTGAAGAGGTGGATGACGTCAACCGCGCTTACAATGATCGGTATGTCGCGATCGACGAGGGCTTACTCGTCATGTCCCCCCGTTTGCCGTCCAACTACAGCCTACCCATATCACCCTATGCTGGTATGGGTTCCATTGGAGGCACTCCACGCATACAGTACTTGATCAAGTACTATACAGAAGTCATCTCACCTGTTATAGTGGCGTTCGATGGCCCTTCAAACCCGTACAGGACACATATTCTGCAGCTAGCGGCGAGAAGTGATACACTTCAGCATGCCATAGCTGCACTCTCAGCCAGCAATCTGAGACAACGGAGGGAGAGTGGTGCTCTGTCAACTGGCAAGACTGACCCTGCTAGGCGATCCTCCTTCGCCCACTTGACCCTGACCCGTGAGTCGTGGCAAGAAACGAGTATGTTGTCTCCGCAAGACCAGGCTCGAGAAGAGGCACTGCATAAAGGGATTGCTATTCAATCTCTCAACAGGCAGCTTGCAGATCCTGTCCTCCGAAAGGACGACTCAATCCTGGCTACGCTCTTGATTTTGTGCCTTTTCCATATATGCGACTCGGGAATAGCTAAGTTCCAGACTCAATTCGCCGGTGTAAAGAAATTGCTTGGCATGCGTCAACATGATCTGGGTCTGGATACCAAGGAGGCCAAGTGGTTCACGAGGATGTTTACGTGGTTCGATGCGATGACCGCTACGGTCAATGATCGCGAGGGACAACTTCAAGGCCATCACTTGGACGTTTCGGCTTTGTCTGATGAGGATTGGGCTTTGGAAAACCTGGCTGGCTGTGATGGACAGCTGTTCAAGACCATTGCCAAATTGGGTCGCTTAAATGTGCTAAGCCAGGGCAAATCCGTCGAAGAGACCGCAGCACTTGTCTCGAGGCCCTTGCCACAGATGTCTTTTGGAGGTAACCTCGACTATAGCAACTTCGATGGGAATGGGTGGATGAGAATGATGGAGGATGAGGATCTCTTCTCTTCCAAGACCGCCGACCCAGACGACAAGACACAGTTCTGGCGCGAGTGGAGAGATATCCGCCAGACTCTACAGACATGGCAGCTCGACACCACGATGTTTGACTCCTCTAGTCCAGAGGCACGGCTACTTTCCCACGAGCAGCGTATCGACCTTGCCAACATCTCGGAGTCGTTTCGTTACTCAGCACTTCTTTATACGGAGCGCCTTGCAAATCCAAACGTTCCCAGCACGGATCAGTCGATCAGATTTTGGGTTCAGAAGTGCCTGACTTACATTAAAGCCGTCAAGTCGGACGTGTATTTACTCTGGCCACTTTTCATCACAGGAAGCGAATGCGTTGACGGGATTGATCGTCAAGTCATTCGAGAACGGTGTCTAGATATCCAGAAGGATAGTGGATTCTTGAATAACAAGAGCTGCTTGGAGCTGCTGGAGAAGGTTTGGCAGCGTCATGATGAGAAAGCACGTGGATTCTCCCCTGGATCGGAGATGATAATGGATTGGATGGACAATAGTAAGGACGAAACAGGATTCAGGTTCACGACCATAATGAAAATGGAAGGAAATGAAGGAGAGTATATCGTGGTCTGATATATGTGTATATATGTACCCTGAACTGTGCATTATCCTCTACCATTTTGATTCTGGAAAGGGAGCGAGGCCGCTTCTACCTGGCACGTGAGCCGCAGGGAGCCTTGCTGACGCCCATTCGCAGAACCCAGATTGGGCTCAAGGGTCCTGATAACACGATGCGACATCATGTTATAGGTTTAGCAAGGCAGACTCTACTATTAACCCACAAGAAGTTCTTTCACAGATGCCCCCCTCATATCCTTCACTTGTATTCCGCATGGGCCAAGGTCAACCCCTGAATTCTCCATCCATAAAGTTCCCTTGCTAGACATCGATCATCCAACCTTGCTAGCTCCGAATATCTGACCACTTTATTAGATTGACTTTATGGTGATCGCATCCAACGTCCTCGTCCATCGCGCTTGACGCCTTTCTCATCTTGCGCCCTCCCGCCTTGCCTTTCTCTTATGCTTCCTCCACAGGTAACTGATTTCGAAGCTTGATCACAACTCTCGTCAAAATGAGCTGTTCAAGTAACGACAAACCGAAGGCGGAGGAAGATGTCTTTGAGCATCTCAGCGCACCGGTCGAGTGTGTTCAGGATTACGTTCCAGGTGGACTGCATCCTGTACATCTTGGCGACATGGTCGGCCGGTACAAGATGTTACGAAAGCTAGGTTACGGCGGATACTCGACTGTCTGGCTTGCACAGGACAGTAGGCAAGTCCCCCATTATGTTCTAAGTTTTCTTTCAGAAATCTAACTGATAGTTTCTTTAATAAATAGCGATACCGGTGGGTATGTGGCGCTGAAAATCGTTCGAGCGGATCGCGATTGCGCAAAAGAGATTCAGTGTTATGATACGCTACGGACCAGTTCGGGTCGACATCCAGGTGCATCTTATATCATGATGCTTCTGGATTACTTTACCATACAGGGACCAAATGGCAAGCACGACTGCTTGGCTTACGAGGTCCTAGGCCCCAGTATTGCGAGTGTGGTGCGCGATTCTGATGGCATGGATACGACCGCTTATCTAACGCTTCCATCTGCCCGAAAAATCATATATCAAGTTCTCCTTGCCCTTGATTATATACACAGTGTTGGACTGGTCCACGGGGATATCTACCATGGAAATGTACTCTTTATTTTGAGGGATTTATCGCAAGAATCTTCGGATGATCTATGCCAGCCTCACTCTCAAGTTTCCGCGGACGTTAAACGCATCAAGGGTTCTCGGCAACCAGGGGATATTCGACGTCTTACTCTGGACTGGCCATTAAATGAATTAATCTCCCCAAAAGGCGATGTTAAGTTATCAGACCTAGGAAATAGTAAGTTATATCTACTATAAATTTTACATGCACTGATCATTTACGCAGGCTTTTTCAAGCACGACCCGCCAAGCAAACCAGAAGCGCCATTGGAATATAGAAGTCCAGAAATCATACTGGATAACCGGATTTCTATGGCGCAGGATTGTTGGGCGTTTGCTTGCTTCGCCTACAGTCTTCTGACGAATACATCTTTATTCGATTTGGCTTTTCTATACGACGAAAACGCTCAGAACGACGAACACCTTCTTCAACTTTTCTCGCTTCTTGGTCCGCTCCCGGCTTGGCTTAAGCAGAGCTGGCCACGTTACGATGTTTATTTCAACGAGAATGGACAGCCTCAAAAATTCATTGTGGATGACGATGCCTTTTCGTACTCAGAATTAGACGACTTACCAGAAGAAGACCATCAGAGCACGCCACAGGACACGGAGAGTGACGGTCACCAACAACAGCTTGACGAAGTCCTCTCGAACCGTAATCGTCTAGGGAAACCTCATGAATTCTTCGATCCTGACCTTTACCCATCGATCGTGACGCTTCGTGAGCGTAAGCAGCGTAAAGCTCGAGAAGATCCTAGATCATTAGCAGATTTTGTGGCTCTCTATCCACCGCTCTCAGAGAAATGGTCGTTTGAAAAGCACCCTGATATGCAATCTGCGGAATCTGAACTAGCGCTCGATTTCTTACAGGGTCTTCTCACATACGAACCCGACCGACGTCCTTCCACCAAAGAACTCCTACAACATGCTTGGATTCGGACATACTGTGCCTCAGATGAACAGACTGTCCAAAAGGCAGAAATACCACCGAGGAACAAGAGGAAGAGGTCGACAAAGGCTAACGAGTCAGAATCAGATGAAATGTAAGACGAGAACTGTGGCATTCCTGAGGCTGCCGTCGTATGAAAGTGGTAGGCGGGGAACACCAGTGGGAGAGAGCGCTTGGGTCGGAAATCAGAGCTCCGGAGGAGTCAGATTAGATTCTACACCACGAGTGTCCGGGGATTGTCTGATTCTGGCGGTGATTCTGAGTTCGTTCGTGCGTACGGATGGTGGCCAGCAGCTTCCTTGGGCTGCTCGGTCGACCGCTTCGTTGCCTGGCACGCCGACGTGTCCAAGACTTTATAGGAGCTGAACCTCCCATCCTTGATCGCAGAGCTTGTTGAGCCTTTGTATGACCTCAACCAAGTCGTACTGTCCGGAGTGGCATTTGAGGCTGGCCATGACTTCGTTGCCATACAGAAGAGAGGGATTCAGTTGGTCCCCCCCACCAGCAACGTAGCAGGGTATCCTCTCAGGGGTCCCAACCCTCATCCTAAATAGTATAGTTGGAAGACTCCGTCTGTAGTTTTGGAAAAGGGCCCTGGTACATGAGAGATATCGTTCTCTGCGAAGGCGCCTCCCAAATGAATCGGATCGATAGGTGAAGGTTGTAATTAGACTAAGCGTTTAAGTGGATGGCATCCTGCACTTGGCAGCCTTGTCCCGCAAAACTTGCAGCCTTGCTGCAACAACTTCTCCATAGACCTGAATTGATCGTCCATCTTTGTTTGGTCCTCTATAGTGCGCGCGTTCGAGATGGCGAACCCTTCGAATCCGCCCTCGGGCACTTCTACGCCTCGCGCTTTTACCAGCCACAGCACTACTGCCGAAGAGCTCCTCAAATCACAGACCGTTGGACTGGTCAATCTCGCCGATTTTCGAAAACGACGTGCCGATGTGCTGGAGCAAAAGGACAAAGAGGCGCGTGCTGCAGGGGCAAATACACCCGACGTTGAGGATAGCGATGAGTAAGATACTCCTGTTCTTTTTGGGCCCGCTGGTGTAACGAGCGGGGACTAATTTACCAAGCACAGAGCGGTGACGCGGCGATCGGATCAACCTCCCAAGAAAAAGAAAAAGAAGAAAGCAGCCAAGGGCCTGTTGTCTTTCGGCGAGGACGAAAACGAAGATGATGGAAGCGGAATATCTACACCTGCTGCACGCAGTTCCCGGACCTCAGCCGAACCGTCGCCTGAGACGTCGGGCATTGCGCGGAAACTGACGCCGAATCCGAAATCTGGGTTACCACCGCCGCGGGCGTTGACGAAGGCTGCACTCGCTGCGGAAGCAGCGGAACGAGAGAGGCTGAGAAAGGAATTCCTCGAGATGCAGGAGGCTGTGAAAGAGAGCGAGATCGCGGTGCCGTTTGTGTTTTACGACGGCGCGAGTATCCCCGGTGGCACTGTCAAAGTGAAAAAGGGAGATCATATCTGGCTGTTCTTGGAGCGGTGCAGAAAGGTCGGCGCCGAGTTAGGCGTCGGTGGGAGCGCGAATGGAAGCGGTGCGACTCTCAAGACCATTGAGAGCAGCAAGAAGCAATGGGCCCGTGTCGGCGTTGATGACTTGATGTGTGTCCGGGGCGAGGTTATTGTACCGCATGTAAGTTGCAGAACTCAACTGTTGAGAAAGATGAGACGGTCTAACGTATTGATAGCACTACGAGTTCTATTACTTTATTGCCAACAAAATACCTGATCCGTCGAGAGAGGGTCGACTGTTGTTCGAGTACTCGAACACGGTCGTCAAGAAAGACGAGGACGCACCATTGTTGCGTGTGCCTGGGCAAGAGAAAGAGATCGAGGGACAGAAGGACGACCCGACGTTGACAAAGGTCGTGGATCGGAGGTGGTATGAGAGAAACAAGCACATTTACCCAGCCAGTGTATGGAAGGAATTCAAGGTTGGCAAGGAGTTTGAAGAAATGTCCAAGGGTAGAAGAGATGCTCAGGGGAATGCTTTCTTCTTTGGTTGAAGGGGAGCGTCCAGGGCAGTCTTGACGACGCAGCGGAGTGATTTGGGCCCTTCTGCACTTGTGTCGTTCGCTGGGCCCTCAACGACTGTTTGGGACTGAATGCTTCTTCTCCCTCCTTCCCTCCTCCTTCCTTCCTGCGCCTCCCCGCCCTAAGGACTTGCTGGGCAAGACCACCTTCGATCGCAATTTAATACTCGCTTCAGGTGGTTCCTTTGCTGCCATATCAACACCTGACGATTCCCCCGCTCTTCAGCGACCCTCTACCTGTCCTTATTGGAAACTGCCAACCGTCAAACCCTGGCTCCGGAAGATATGGAAAACCCTCTGATCTGCAACAACTACCTTCGCCAAACATGTCGGGCAGTCTTGACGCGTGAAGCAGTCGTTACAACGTGCTTGTAGGTATGAGACTACTAATATCGCGTCGGTCCTAACATCTTCCAGACACCTTTTCTGTGTCAACTGCGCACAGAAGGCAGCGCTATTGGGCTCCGCGTTGGACCAGCGCTGTTGCCCTGCCTGCGGAAGCAACCTCCCTAATCCTGAAGATGCCCATCAAACAAGACTGAACCCTACCGATAATTACAAGGCAAATGTCCTTAGCGGGTTTGACCCTTTGACCATCCTCGACATAGCCTCGAAGGCCATGTCATTTTGGCAGTATCAGAGTGCACAAGACACGTGAGGAAATCCAGGGTCGGCGAACCATGGGAATTCTGACTCTAGAGTAGAGCGTATCGGCATAACGTGGTGAGGGCTCTCATGGACGAGTACTCGAATCTCGAAGCAAGAATGGAAAAGGCCTCCCATGAAGCCAGGATTGAGATTCAGACTCGGCAGAAAAAGTTGGATGGTATGAAGGCCGCAGACGGTTGTTTTTGCCCAACTGACAAAACCCAGACCTCACAATGGAGTACCAAGATCTGCGGAAAAGACACGAGGAAATGGTCGCTTCTTATCGAGAGAAGGACCGTAAGCTCAATCAGACCCAAAAACTCTACAATGCCCTCAAACAACGAGCCCAGGCTGAAAACATGTTCCCTTCTTTCGCGTCGAAAAATGTTGAGCAGACATTGCAGTCGATCGAGAGCGCACGGCGGTCCGATGCAGGGTTTATCAAGCCAGACATGCTCCGTCACGAGTTTCCCCCTCGAGCCACGTCGACTCAGCTGGGAAGTGGCCTGCAATCGAGAGGGGACACACAGAATAGCATTGAGCAGCTCTTTCCGCGTCTAAGGTCTGGAAACAGTGTGACTGGATCTGTTCAAAGGGAGATGTCATTCAAACGGACAGTTCCGGGTTCTAACCTCCGTAAGTGTCTTCGCGTCGTTGTCAGCCAGTGTTTGCTAATGGCGTCAAGCGAAACCTGGACCTTCTGGCACGCTGTTGCTTAGAGAAGCGCTGAAGACCAACACTCGGAGTTCCGTTAATCCATCCCAGCTGCCGCCGGTGGCTGCAACGGATAACACCCAGCCAGATCAGCATATACCAGGGTCTGTTCGAAACCGGCCTCTCCATGCTAGGAAGGAGTCCATTTCGGTGCAGAGCCATACTGAAGCCTTACCTAGTGCAGGGGCTGGTAGACCTGGAACGGCTGGGCTGAACGATGTGAATCACAAGTTTGATCAAATTGCTGGTCAGTAGGTCTTTTTATGGATTGACAGGGCTAATAATTCTTTACAGACAAGTTTTACCATCCGCCACTACTATGAATGAAGTTACTAAAGGACATGATGCTGGAACTCAAAAAACGGCTGTGAGTATTTAGCCTCTGGCTCGACGTTACGATAGTTGTTGTATGGACTCTCGAGCTCGACATTCTTTAGTAGTGATGGTGTTGGCGACCTATATGGACATCTTAAGTAGCAATGTTACAGTTGTGAGTATCTTAGCAGCCGAGATTTATACCGGAAATGTCATTAGCGAATCAATGGGTGTATTGTTTCCGACTCGTCGAGCCATGCGAGACGAGGAATTCGAACTTCACCTGCATCGGAATCATGTTTCGGCATTTATCAGCGGCATCGCTCGTTTAGTTTATTCGGCCGCCCACCCACTTTGCTATCGCACAAAGTCAATCATGGCTGTCAACATGCCTTATTGTTCCCATAGCTCTGGTTTCAAGAGTATATGTATCCAGTATGGGAATCTCCACTGCGGCTGAGAGCGTTAGCAAAGAAGAAGATAACCATATCGAGCTCACGGTATCCGATTCGCATTCTCCTGCAACAATCGAGAGTCAGAGTGAGGCTGCAGTCAACAATGAAAGGAGTCCAAGTACGCCGTCTAAAGCTTCCAAGGTGTATGTTCCCGTCCCGATGTTCCCTTTCAAGTTGGCAGGTGAGCACCTGGCCAGCAGCCTTCCCGACACTCCTCTATGGGCTGCCTAGGTTTGTACCTAGGTAGTAATCATAAAGTTGGCGTTTCCCTCGACTTCTGAATTCTGGATCATACCTCTCTACTAACTTCACATCTCTTCTTTTCCAGACGACAGATTACAATCGTGCTGGCGGGGTTCACCGTCACTGCAATGACATGTTCCATCGTCTTCGCCTTTGGCGTATACCAAGCACTGTACGAAGAGATGGCCCAGACGCCCGACACGCCATTCACTTCGGTCTCCTCGGCCAAGATCGGACTCATTGGTACCCTCGCGCTCTCGCTGATGACCCTGGGCGGGCCGTTCGCCATGTCGTGGGCGAAGCTCTTCTCGCCCCAGATCGTCATCAGCGCAGGAGGTGTGGTGTTTGGAATCGCCTTCGTCCTCGCCAGCTTTAGCCAGCATGTGTGGCAATTTGCCTTGACGCAGGGCCTGCTGGCCGGTGTCGGGACGTGTCTGTCTTACGTGCCCACGACCGCCGTGGTGCCAACTTGGTTCGACAGACGCCGCGCCTTCGCGATGGGCATCACCATCAGCGGCACCGGCGTGGGCGGCATGTTCTGGCCGCCCGTCTTGCGCGCCCTCATCACCCACGTCGGCTTCAGGAACGCGATGCGCATCTCGGGCTGTGCGTGCGCGGTGCTCGTCGTGGTCGCGGGGTGCGCGTTGCCCTTTGAACCGGGGTTTAGAGATCGAATGAGGCCGGAGGCACCTATGTCCTCGGCCCCGTCCACATCCACGTCCACGCTCACACCGAGGACGAACAAGCCGCGCGCTAGATCGACGACGATGACGATTTTACGCCGCATGATGACCCTCCCAAGACTAGATTCCGACGTCGCGTCTTCCCGAAAATTCATCGCGCAAGCATTCGCCAACTTCGTGCAGGCGGCAGGCTACTCGACGCCGCTGTTCTTCTACGCCGCCTACGCGCAGAGCAGGGGGTACAGCGCCAACGCAGCCGCCAACTTCATCTCGAACACGGGAGGATCGGATTCACCGAAGAGAAGAGCGCAAGATGGGCCGCCACCTAGCGGCCCAGGCCTTGAGGAAGTCCGCGTCGCGAGATGATCGAGGACACAAAATAAGGCATGAAGTTGCCGGACGTCTGTGATGGGTTCTTGTACTTGGCCTTCCATGAAATCCATAACAAGGTAGCCACGACCCCGCTAATCCTCGAAGAAATCGTGGACCTTTGGCACTCGGATTATGTTTTGATCCAAGATGTTATAAGCCATCTCCTGACTCCGCGCTTCATATTCCGTCACTCCGAACCCAAACTTGACGACCAAATTCTCGCAGAGCCTGAGCACGTTGTTTCCATATGGCATGTGAAAGACGAAATTCTCTGGCTCTGTTGTGTCGCACCTACGGATGATTTCTGCTTCTGACAATGTCATTTCGTGCTGTTCCGCAAAAGCGCTGCTGAGAGGGGCGTGGAACACGAATTGCGATAAGAGCAAGCAGATGATGTAGCCGGGTATCGAAAAAACAGGCTTTGACAAGGCCGGAAGGGGGCAGGATTCAGAGGCAGATAAGTGTTTCTCATATAGGGAGGATGTCTCTTCAAGTCCTTCGATTTACTTTTCTGACATGTGTACCAAATACATAATAAGGGGGCACTAATAAGTAGCTAAGTTGATCTGGAGGGGGTCATGCTAACACCGTCGGTGGCGTGCGATCACGTGAGTCCGGAGCAGTGTGATTCTAGCGTCGGGTTCGGTACTACTTATTCCCGACTGCCACATTGGCTTACATGCTCTTACGTATATATAGCGGCATATATATAGCGGCAGGTCACTCCCTCACTTATAGTTAGTCAAGCAATTTCTTCACGCCGCCACAACCACAGCAGCCCGTCGAGCAAATGTTTTTATGGAATCCGACCATTAACTTCCGGTCCAGGGACCTCGCGACGCGATGTGCTTCAACCACAAACCTCGATTGGCTTGCCCCTCAGGCAGGCGCCGGTTTACGACGATCTCTTCGTACAAGGAATGACAATATATTTCGGCTGACGGATCGGGCATGATTTACGGGATCGACAAGAAAAGAGTTGCAAAGCAATACTTGAGCGTGAGCTTCAAGCATATGCACGTCTCGGCTCACATCCAAATATTGCGATCTCTCTGGGTAGTCTGCAAGATAGATCGATAATATTGGAACGCGGGCAGTCCCTTCGGGAGATGTATCAACAATCACGTGCGGACAAGATTCCATTGCATAACAGACTTCGCTGGTTGAGGAAAGTTGCAGAAGGTCTCAGATAAAGGGTATTGTCCATGCCGATGTTGGATGCTCTAATATGGTGTTGACAAGAGCCAGTGGCCCGCCGAGATTGAGGGGATCCGACTGCCTGAAATTGATTGACTTCAGAGGTGCCGGTCTTGATGGCGGAGACCGTGGCTCCGGTGGTATATTTATCGACGATCAACACCAGAAGTAAGCAAGCAGACGGACATTTTCGCGTTTGGTTGTGTGATATACGAGATCCTGACCGGCAAACACCCCTACCATGAGTTCAAAGACATCGATAATCGGTCATGCCTTGTGGAACAGTTACATCAGGAAAACCAATTTCCAGATACTAAAATCCTACCATTGGGCCAACTGATGCAAGGCTGCTGGCATGGCACCTTGAATTCTATGATCGAGGTCATTCAGGCGTTAGAAACGGCGGACTTCAGAACCAGGACGGGTCTGAGACCGCGCTCGAGGAAGAGGAGACGTGGATACTAGGCCAGCAAGCTATGGAGATATCTTGCTTGGAGAGGCACTCTGGGAAGTCAGAGAGCATGTGGCTGAACATATTGCTGTCGTGAGGGCTCAATCACTCGGCTGGCGTGTCCGTACCATTTGCGCAGCTAAAGACGCATCTCCATCCTGAGCGATGAAAGGCGCCACAGTAACGTTAGGAACATCCTCTGTGGCTCACAACGCCGGCTCCATGGCTGATGGTGGTGGAACTCCGAACTAGGGCCTTTCAGGTAAAGACTTCTTTCTCTCTTTGGGGGTCGAACACTAAGCCGCATTTCATTCAGGGCGAGATGTCTTGCTGAACCTCACACTACCAGGCTACGAGGACAGTTTCGAACAGCTCAGAAAGGAACATTTAATAAACTCAAACGTATCCCTGCTCTGAAACGGCGGCGGCTCTCTTCTGAGCAAGTTATGGAACCGCGGGTCTATTAGGGCGTCTCCATTAACTTCTTGCTAGAACAATGGAGATGTTCCGAGATTTGTTCCTCTCTACTTTGTCAGTATTTCGGGGATTTCAGCTTATGTAACGCAGCGAGCTGACTGCGGCTGAAAAGCAAGAGAGTCTTCGGCAGCCAGCTCGTCTTCTCTCCCTCAACTGAACCGGTGATTTGGTGACTACACTTGATCAGCACAAGAAAAGGACGGCGCAGAAGTTGCTAGTCTACTTTATGATCTCACCGAGCCACGGGGAACACACATGGAAATATCCCGATGTGTGTCGTGGAAGACACTCAATGCTAGGAATTTATTGCGTAACGACAGACATTCCTGGATGCGACTTTGATTGATGCTTCAGATCAGCGCGGAATGACAGATTGACTGGATGACATCCATGACTTTGGCCACTCGCCCCTCTGTTTCACACGGGCGATCCTACCACCCTCCAATCGAGGGATTAAGTCGCTCGTGTCGGCTTCCAGTCTCAAAACGGAAAGCACTTCTCAGATTAGCACTGATCCCGAAATATGCCTGAGTAATAAGCATATATATACAGGATCAAAACCGCCTGGAAGCTGAGCCTAATGAGCATCTCACAACAGTATCGCCTTTACCATATCTCTTGCCTTTCAATCTATCTCAAACGATCATCCAACCATAGTTGCAAACATGCTGTGGAAACGACAGCCCGGTTTTGTCATCACGGCCTTGATGCTCATCTCCTCGGCCAGATCCACCTTCGCCGCGCTGTGCTATGCAGACTTCCAAGCTCAAGGGTCCATCCCAGCGGGAACCCTCGACGAGCATTCTTTTGACCTCTACCCGCCTTTCACCGTCAAGACCGCAGACCTCCAGGGTATTGCGAATGGTCTCCGCACCTCAACTTTCAGTTCACCACCGGCCTTCGTCGATTCTCGAGGAATCAATCTGCCGCACTTCAACAACGAGAACTTCCATCTGGGAACCGCTCAGGTGTGTTGGTTCAACACCGACTTGTTCCAATCCACCCATGTTGCACTCTCGGTCGCGGCTGACGACGTGGACAACATCATCGGATCGTGCTGTGCCGGCTTGGAGGACTGTCCTGGAGGCGTGTTGCTGCAGACGGGGGACACCGGCCTCAACGTCACTGTTGCCGTACAGCCTGCCGGAGCCGCTTGCTGAGAAGACACGGAAAAAGAAAGACATGACATGAATACAGAGAATGGGGGTGCCCCTCCACTGTTGACCAGACTGAATACTCCAGAGTCGACAGGTCTGGGCACGCAAAAGAGGGAAAGTTTGAGGCCATTTCAAGTCAAACACTGTCACGAGCCGCGGATGTTTCCTTCACTGGGCATCATCATCTCATTGAAAAAAAAAGAACCGATTACTACACGGCCAACCTACGGAGTACTCGGTCAAACAGGTCTTGACAAGTCCTGTCAACACTTTGCATTTTGTTACTAGTTTTACGTTTTTCAGTCACTCGTTTACTATTTATATGAGCCGTTCCTTTCTTTTTGTATCATTCATGGTCTATTTAACAGCGCGCTGGTCTGAGACAAATGCCTCAGCCTAGGTCGAGAGGATTCCTTCCTTGCGGTGGCGAGAAAAGCCTCCACCGGATGATTTACTTTTGCTCTTCGGCTTTGCCCTGTATAGTAGATGGGGAATTTGGAATCGACATCCTCCTAGTCATCGAGGTGAGACTATGGGCTTTCTTCCCCCCCCCCCCCCCCCCGGGTCCCCAAACATCGCTTGTTTCTGTTAGTTGTTTAAAAGGAACGAGCCATCTGTGGAACAAAGTAAGACCGAGGCCATGACTATTCTCCCAATTGTTCTTAGTGAATACTACTCGGTTGACCCGTGACGGGCAAGTCACACTTCTTGAAAGTCTTTATGTTTTTTTGTCAGGTCGGCAAGGTGGCCCAGAACTTCTCAGCTTCCTCGTTCAAGACGAAATCTAGCCAAATAAACGTGGACAGAGATTCGACTGTACTAAACCAGCTTCGCAATCGATTCCTGTCTCGAGCAAGCTCGAAATACTGTGTCTGAAACCATTTTCCATCTTCAATGTCCTCCGTACTAATCCCACCAAGCATCATCGACCACAACAGTAAATCAGTATACTGCGGAACGTTCCAAAGTTGAGCTTGCAACCCAGAACACAAGATGAATTTTAATCGTGTCGCCAGCCGTGTTTCGACACCGGTGGCGGGCGACATGGGATAAAGAACCAGGTTGTTGTATATGAGTAATGATATGCGGATGACTTCATAGAGAAAGCTGGGAACGTGTACTGCGGCACATTGACGACCCCGTCCGTATTCTTTGTCTTTTTCGTCCGGTCCGACAAGCAATGGAAGAGGATCGAGATCAAGCACAAAGTACTGCGCACGGTTTCTCAGTTGGACCATTTCCGCCATGCGGCTCGTGATATTGTGCTTGTATATTTTCAGCATCGCGGTAGCCTCAGCCACGGCCAAGATTGCCCGCTCAAGCTCATGACCGCAGGGGAGGTACTTTGTGAGGGGAAAAAATGCCGTTGCCAGGTCATTGTCGTATGTCAACAAAGCCGTCGCCACAAAAGGCCGAACGGCAGAAGATGAACAAGAAGCAATCACCGTGTTCTGCCACGGCCAAGTGGGCTTTCGTGTTTTTCGCGAGGCATCAATCAGATCGTTCCTGCGGAGAGGTCAACTTCTGCACACACACACTGAGTTTCAAGGGGACGGCGTTTGCTCCTACAGCTGCACTACCGCGGCAAGGTAGATGGAATCCAGCGCCTCCAACCCTCCTTTCAACTTGACAAGCTGTACCACCGCCCGTCGATGGGATTCCAGAAACGGAGTAGCACTCCACATATCGAGACACTGTGCGGTGGCGAGTGGGGATGAAAATCGCGACACTGGATGATTTGCGGATTTCATTGGAAGAGCATGGCAGCAAGAAAGCGACAAAATTGATCCAATAAGTTCGTCGGGGACATCGCCTCGCGTTGGCTGCGGAGGCATCGAATCAATCAACTCGCGTACGAGCGTGGTTGCTGCATGGATACACCTGAGCCTCATGGACTGGAAGACGTTTTGTCGTAGGCTTGACATGCGGAGATAGTCAAGATTTGTGGAAATGACCAGTATATAAGAATGGTATGCCATTTGCGAAGATTGCATATGCGCCAGATAAAGAGCATTGACAGGATTGTAACTTCCAAAGTGGTGGCTTGGTGAAAGATGTGACCAAAAGTGCTGGACGGCTGAGGGAAACATGAGCAATCAGCACAGCCCAACGATATTTCCTTGAAAACGTACCGTGATCCAAGAGTTCAGATACTTGAGGACTGTCAGCAGTATCGGTTGCGAACGGATCCGAACGGTTTTGACTCAGCCAGGACACAGGGCTCCATTCATGTGAACAAACGTCCCCGCGAAACGTGTCATACTGGCTCGGGTCAGGCGTAGGAACAGGATGGGACATGACGCCGTAGTCTTGAGCGGCCGGAGAGCCCTGGAAGATGACTTGGGTGTAAGTGAACGGTCATTGATCATGGTACTTTTTCCACATTTAGTCACCTCGTTGTGCTTCACCACGACTTCAACTCTTTGCCGTCCTAGAACTCAGCATTCAGCCTGGTTCAAGCTTTTATATCCTTGTCAAGGGCCCTGGCGACGCACGACGTACCTGGTTGTTCGGTATCGTGGAGTATGCTGATGTTGTATGTTTGTACGGCTGTCGGAGGCCTCAAATCGTCCCCCCGGGCTTTCATTTTCTGCGCTGGCTTCGAGCGATTTCGATGGTACTTTCCCACATGATGGGAAACTTGTCTACGAAGCTCTCGGCTCTTCGTGTCTTCAAGGTTTTTAACGTTGATGAAAGAGAATCTTGATCCCTTTTGCGGCGACTGTCGAGACATCGTAGACGAGGGTAGATCAGTGCGGACCGTCTGCGAGACCGATCGACAGGTTAAGCTAGCGAATGCAATTGTTTTTATTCAGTAGTTCTGAATCTTCGCTTTCGCAAAGTGCCTTATTATTAAGCCCCCACTGAACTCAATCTCAAGGCTAATGTTAGTGACTTTCACAATCTCAAATCAGGGCGATCCGCTCTACGAGGCGCTAATGAGCGCCTTGTGCCGCTTGCGGACCATTTTCCCACCAATGGGATCATGGTGGGACCTCGAAGTACTTAACCGAAACGGATAGTACTTCTAGAATGGGATCTTTCGACGGACCGGGGCGCCTCGTGGACAGAAGAACCGATATGCAATGCCGCCTGGGCCCTGGCCATGCCACTAAAGACCAAAGGTCAAAGCCTGTCTTGTCCACGGCGTCCTGATACGCGAACCTTTCTGTGGCAGCGGTGTCTTTTAGCGATGCCACCGGCCCCTCCTTTGCCTCCTTCAAGTTTCATCGGTGCTCAAAAGAAGGGGAACAGACATCGCGATGGAGCATTTCCAGGTACCCATTTATGATTCATGAAGCGCTCTGGAACTGCGACTATGAGGACTGATGCTTGGGGGCCGAGACCTCAACGACATTGGTATCCTAAGGGGCACTTCACCTGCCGCCAGACCCCAGATCAAGTGCAGAGTTCTGGAATTGATGGTTATTGCTAATCTAGGTCTCAAGCCTTTCACCCCCCAAATCTATCACTTGCTCAGATCCTCTACATGGAACTCTTCGAAACTGAAATTTGAAGAGGTGTGCTACTCTGCTGCCCTGATCTTGTCGAGCCCAAATGTGCCCTGATAGGCAACTTTGAGATCTGAGCTGCTCACGATATGATCTTTCTGCGCCTGAAGATCATCGACTGACCAGTTGGCCGAGACGAACCTGCCACTTAAAAATCGAGCAGCATCTGTTGCCAGCCAAACGCATGTTCCCCCGACCAGTTCCGGAGTGTCTTGAGCAAAACGCTTGAAAGACTCTGCATCGCTGTCAGTGTGACTTCGGTATCAGTGGTGTGCTATGCGCCACTTACCATTGACCATGTCAGTGTCGACGACGCCTGGCTGGATACTCACAGCACTGACATTACTGTACTCAGCGGCTAGATAGTCGACTAGTTGTAGGCTTGCAATCTTGCTAATACTATACGAAGACCAGGACGGGACCACAGCCGTGGCCAGCCCTGTATTGAGGGTGATGACAGTTCCTTTCTGCTCTGGACCAAGCAATTGCAAAAAGCCCCGGGTCATCAGGTACGTTCCTCGGACGTTGGTCTCGAAATCTGCCCACCACTTGGCGGGTGTAGAGTCTCCGATCAAGGCCACTTCCGTGTTACTCCCCGCATTGTTCACCAGGACGTCCGCATGACCCAGAGTGGTTCGCACTGTTTCGTAGAGGCTCGTCACCGCAGCCTCGTCCGAGATGGAAGTTGGAACCAAGAGCACCTTGATGGATGGATTGATTTCCCGTACGACTGCTTCAGTAGCCTCGAGGGATGCCAGGCTGCGTGCCACCAGAACGAGAGCTTTGGGTCCAGCCTTGGCGAATGCTGGGACGATCCCACGTCGTCCAATTCCAGCTGAAGCCCCCGTGATTATGATGGTCTTGCCTGCCTGTGATAACTTGGATGAGGCAGGGTCGATTGACGGGTACTGGTCGCGGTAGATGTGAGGAGTATAAGCCCCTGATGTGGCCCAAAAGTCTGGCGGAAGGTTCTCCATTGCGCAGTGTCAAGGTCAAGATCAAGGTGGTCTTCTTTTGCAGGCACAGCGGCAGATCAATTCCGATATAGAAATTCTTTGCTCGGAACAATGTTCTCGACTCATGGAACCAGAGGTACATGGGCGATAGTTATATGCTTTTTCACACCCGCCCACCGCCGTCCTTTCATCATCCTGCTCAGACAACAAAACTTGAGGTATGACCAATTCGCGCGAGTATTTGAACGCGTTCCGCACATGCTTCGTCCAAGTGTAGAGGACATATAGACCCTCTAAGCCCGAACAGGGAAATACTTGTGATGTTCCGCTCGAACATATGTCATCAGGCGTATGTCTTCAAGGTCAAATATTTGTAAGCGCGGATCATTGAACGCCATTAATGAGGTAGGTCACCATTCAAATGTCTCGGTCGAACATTCTAGCCTGGGAAGGTTGTTGATGAATAGTCTCAGTATACTAATAACTACTGTTTCTTCTGTCACCGTCTGCGAGAACCATACCACAGTCCGCTTGTGCCTTCCTGTCGACTTCTCTTGCTCATGTTGAGTGCCCGCTGCTGCTGAAGTCTCCACTGGACCCATAAGGGCCGGCCCAAAACTTCCCTAATGTGACTACGGCGAGGCTGAGCTTACTGAGCCAGCATGATTGGTTAAAAGTCTTAACTATATTGGGATAGCTTGTTTCGAAGTCTTTAACTACCTTGGGATGGCTTATTCCAACGCTTTTCCACGGCTCCATCGTAAGACTTCAGGCTCTGACCAGCGCGATGCGTTTCCCACTTGATATTGCCTTTGACCCTCATCTAGCCTAAGCCGGCTACTTGCTTCTGTTCTGTCTCTTGCATGCATCCGCAAACACCTCTACGTCGTGCGAAAACATCGGAGATGCAACAACCCCTGGTTTTTGTGCACAGCGAGCCAGGTCTCAGAGAAACCAAGACCAACCGTCGCATTGTAGCAGCTCACATTGGCAAGTATCATCGCAACAGGTCGAAACCCTCGCAATCGCGAGGCAAGGCTGCCATCAGCTCGACATTCAATACGAGAGCCGCATCTCTCGGAACGAAGAACGATGCAACGCGAACAGAAGATGAGGATGCTTGCATCTTGTCGCATCCACGATATATACCTACTTCTTCTCCGGGAATGAATCTGTCCCTGGAGCCTCACAGACTCGACCCCTTTCAAACGACCAGCGTCTGTCTCACACCTCAAATGGAGCCAATCTTTATGTACTATTTCAACACCATCATGCCGGTGGTAGAGCCGGTTCTCGGGGAGAGAAATGAATACCAGCAATGGTTGTTTCCGTTCGCGATGTCAGAACCGGCTCTTCTCTACGCAATATTGTCGTGCATGGCCCACGACATTGAGCAAGCGTCTGGGCCTGGCTTCGGGTTTCCGACCAGAAGGTCTTTGTACACGGAGCGCTCTCAGTACAAGCTGCGTGCGACAAGATCGTTAAACGAATGCCTGGCGGATCCGATCAGGGCTGTGAAATCGTCAACACTGATGGCTGTACATTTTCTCCTTTGGGATGAGGTAAGTCGCAGGACTTGATACTGTGCCCCCTCCCTGAGCAGGCGAGTTTCTTACCCTCTGGTGGCCTCAGATCTTTGCGGGGGGAGAACTAGTGCAGTTGGAAGGAGTACAGCAACTACTCAATCTGCGTGGCGGCTTTACGGGGATACAGCGCAAGGCTGTGGAGGCTATTACAGTGTATGTGAAGAAATTCCTGCTCCCGAGCTCCTAGCTGCACGAGAGAATAACAGCTTGTAGTGGTTCATTTTGGCGCGCCATCCGGACAAGAACCAGGCCGAAGCTATCTGTCATCACTGACCAGGCCCCCATGTCCTTGGAGCGTCTGAAAGCCATTGTCACACAGAGCGACGCTACGGCCTCGCTACTCGGACAAGGCTTGGTGAATTTAGACGTCGGTCACGATTTTGACCAGCAGATGCTTCAGATCTTTCGTGAAGCTATGCTTGTATGGATGTAAGCCAGCCCAAAAGACTGAGAGATAAACAACGCAAACTACTATATTGTTTTGCTGACTGGAGACCAGATGTTTTGAGCAAATCGGGATCCAGCGATTCACAACGGACGAGAAGCGATCGATTAGTATGATGCGGTTGAACATAGATCATCGCTTATTATCGTATCCCTTTGACTATGTACAATCTCAACGCCCGGTTCAAGAAGCTTGTCGGCTCGCCTTTATCCTGTTTAGCAATGCTCATTACAACGTCATCCAGCCTACGAGCGAGATCGCACGATGTTTGGTTCAAGACCTACAGGCTGCTTTGAAGGCAACAGACTTGTTGTCCCTCTGGGGAAATGCATCCCTCACTCTGATCTGGACCTTGTTTCTGGGTGCCCATCTGAGCTTTGGCCAGCAGGAAAGGCCTTGGTTCGTCGCCATGTTGAGCAGAGCGGCGAGGAAATGCGACCTGAACCGGTGGGAAGATGTCCGGCGGTGCTTGGTTTTGTATTACTACTCCCCACGAGTCTTCGAGGCATCCTTCCACGCCATCTGGAGTGAAGTGGAGATCCTGACCACTTTATTGAACCCGGTGGTATAGATAGACAAAATTGTACTTCAGAAGTGCCGAGACTTTAGACTCTTCCTGATACCCATACCATATTAAACGGAATACTGGTTGATGTCGGCAGCCAGGCCGGATACGTATCCACTCTCGGACCTCTATTGACGTTGTATTACAGTGATTTCGTAAGCGAATTCTTATTCTCCAATTATCAATGGTTGCTGGATTCTCTCCTACCGGGCCTTCCACGGACTGTCCAGCTCGGACTTAGCGGAACCCCCTAATTGACAGCCTCATCAAACGTCAAAGATCTCTTGAGGATCTTGGAACAGGTGAGTAAACCCTCAGTTCATCCGAGACGGTCTGATATCAAGCCGTCAGGTTGACCTGTACGGAGTAACAATCACGCCGACACTGGTCATGATGCTGTTGCCGGCCTATAAAATTCATACACACAACCAAGACATAGAGGCAATGTGGCATTGGCCTTCACACTTGCATCATCCAAGAATTCGGTCCACTCACAGCCACTCTGGAAACGCTCATCGACGCCGGTGAGCATGAAGGTGATCATAACCGGTGGCACTGGCTACATCGGCCAGCAGGTTCTGAGCCAGTGCCTTCAGTCTCCCTCGATAAAATCAGTTGTTTCGCTTTCTCGACGGGATCCCGGAGTTCGTCATGAGAAACTCGAGATCATCCTCCATGACGACTTCTCCCAGTGCCCGCCCAAGATCCTTTCGAAGATCCAAGACGCGCAAGCTTGTATCTACTGCCTGGGCACCAACATTCCCGTGAAACCAGCAGAGCTCAACCGGAAAATCAATTTTGAATATGCTCTCACAACGGCCAGGATTTTTGCGGGCTTCGACCATTCCTCTCAGCCCTTTCACTTCGTTTACCTGAGCGGCGCTCTGCCCGAAAAGGATACGGAGAAACACCTCTGGTTTCTCGCAGAGAACAGAAAGATGAGAGGAGCACTCGAGAACAGTTTGCTACAACTTGACTCGGAGAAGCATAATCTGGGTTTCAGAGTCTTCATCGCGCGGCCGGGCTTCGTCCAGCCCCGTGGAGCTGTCGTCAGGACCTGGTTGATAGATTATGTCGCGAATGCTATAGTCATTTCGGACCTTGCAATTGCAATGGTTCGCTTGGCAGTGGAAGGACATGAACGGCCTCTGGTGGAGAACAGGGAGTTGAAAGACATCGCCAGACTGCGATAGTAGCCTTGGTTCAAAGTTTCTGCGAGAATGTTTACCGGGTCCAAAATCCAGTTTCCCATACCCTTGTTGGCTCATACTGTAAATATCTCTATCTACCACTTAAATATAATTAAATAACTATTTTCTCTAATCACTGCTACGTCGGACGAACTCTTATTCAACTAGAACAGAAAAAGGGGCCGGTTTTGGGGGGGCATGAAAGGAGTTGGAAAAAGAGGAGGAAAAGGGAAAAGGAAATCAATCTGTATACCTCCAGTGAGCAAGAAAGGCATCTACCACATCTGAGAGCACAACCACCAGATGCCCACCAACTACAACCCCTGAAACCCCTCGCATAGAAGATAGACCCAATTGAACGGCAACAAGACAGGCAACGCTAAAACACTAAAACAACAACAACAACAACAACAACAACAACAAAGCTACCCCCTTTTCCACGAGACGTGTTCGCGGAACCGTCTGCGAATAGCTCACAAACAACCGGTGCGAAGCGTAACCAACATGAGGAAGAAGACAGGAGTAGGGTTTCTCCCTCTAGAGGGTTTTCCCTACTTAGGAATGTAGTGCCCCAACATAAGTTTAAATAGCTTAAGGTGTGTAGAGTAATCAATCAATCAACTATAAGAGATAATCGTGTTGAAACTAGTAAGTTAGCGTTATATATGAGTGACTTGCAGACTTGTATGTCTTCAATGGAACTATTATGATTGTCAAGACGATAATCCATCAAAGCACTGCAACCAGTTTCGGCGCTCAAATTCTGTGTGTTGTTCGTAACGAAGCATTGCGTTTGTTGAAGCGGCAAAAACTTCATATACAGGCCGCCGAAGGGATGTAACTCTCAATATAGAGAGCCCCCGATATCAAGTCGGTTTTGATCCGAAGGATATAAGTTTTGGACAGAGGACACACTACTGTTCCTCACGCTCATCACTTCGTACCTTTGATTCAGAAGGTGAGTATTTTCAGTCTGGTTGCCTTACATCAAGCGGTGTTTTTTCTTCGACACACATTCATCCACATTTCGCCACCGAAGCAATTCAAAACGGACGTGCGGCAAAGAAACTCGCCATGGCCATCTTTGGTGACCTGGCAGTGGGAAACACGGCTCTCATTCATCAAGTCAGTCTCCTCCATCCTCTGGTGGCTCTTTCTAACTGGAACAACTTACTGCTACGCAGATCTGTGCATCAACATGCTTCATACCCAGAAGGATGGCTATCACACTCAGCAGCACGTGAACTCGGAGGTACTGGACCTGCTTATCATCGACACAGCAGAAGCATTGTCCCGGGGTCATCTCCAGATTGATTGCGCCATTGTTCTATTCATCAGTGCTTCTAGAATGCCTTTGTAAGGGTTGCAACATTTTCACAATGGTTCGACGAATTCAACCAACCAGGGGGTTGAGTGGCGTCAGTTAGAATGCATGTGGGCATTGATCGGCAAGAATTACACCAAGACCAGGTTCAGCAACTGGCCGAAAAGATAAGAGCTCGGCCTTCCATGCTTTGCACGAGAGTATACGACTTGGCGAGAATCCCCTGAGAGATACTCTTGCATCACTTGCATCAAGTCATCAAATGACGTGACATGCGAAGCTAGCCCTGTTGAGACGGCAAAAAGGAGCTGTAACGCGCTCATCGAACTCGATTGGAAGACGTGGCATCATGTACAAGTGGGTGGCATGAACTGGCCGGCACCCGTCTGGCCGCTCATCCAATGCTATATTCATTTGTTCGTTGACAACCCTCCCATGGCACATTTTTTGAGTGAAAACTACCTGAGTAATTTGATTCTACTGCTCAATAAGTATATGCGCTTATATTAAACGAAAATCATGTGTGAAGTGGTTATAGACCAGTGTAAACAATGAAAGTTGACCCAAAGATTTTGGGGGGGGGGGGGGGGTTCCGGTCCGTTCATGCCACCCTCTTATGTTAAGCTAAATCTGAGGCTGTCTTGTTATCCAAAATTGAATCTAATGTTTCTCACCTTCCCAAATTATGATCGAGCTACCGAAGTTCTGTACCCTTGTCGCCTTTCGCGGAATGCGACTCGAGACAAGATATACCAGGGAGACTGTAAGATTAGCGCCGTCAAAAGCACTGCATGAGCTTGCGTTATCACTTGTGCAACCCTGCTCTAGATCTAGTCCTAGCAACTAGCCCCTCGTGTGATTTATCTCAGCCAATAAGAACTCTTTTATTGTCATGGGATCCTGATACCGTAGTAGTCGGTTGTGAGTAGCTCTGTTCTCCAGTACTCTAAACTAACCTAGCTACCTTCAATTACGGCTGGTAAGGAGGTCTAACCGAGGTATGTGTAAAATTACCTCCTGGAGACTGCATGTGAACCGCTGTCACGCTTCAAGGGATCGTCGCTTGTGGCGGAAACGGATCAAAGGAATCTTCGAGATTTCCACGGAAAGGAGCAAGTTTGCGAAGCATCTACACAGAAAGCTCGCGGCGCTTATCTTTGACGGCATCAACGCAAGCTTGCCGAGTATCCGTACATTATCTAGTGAAATAAATACGCTTCTGGACGCGCGTGTAGTACAACACTCTTGTGTGTACTGTACTCTTTGATTGCGGAAAGGCGCTTTGTTGATCGAAACGGGGAGGTAGTACTTCTTATCTCCCAGAGCTCAAGTTTCTCGGCAGTGGCGCGTGGGAGTGTAACAGCATGGTCTGTTACGTCCCGAGAACCACTGATGTCGGCTGATGGCGCCCAGAAGTTTTGTAGACCTTCCTATCTTGGTCAAGGTCCGAAGGACTAACACGCGGAGAGCTTTCCCGCTAGGCAAAATTAGGACTAGCAACATCCAACCGTATATTGAACAAGCTCATCAATTTGAAGCTTGGTAAAAGCTTCCAGTGGTCGACTAATCTTTATCTTTCTCTTTTCAACTCAGATTCCTCACCGTTACATCCGTGGTCAATGTCTAGCGATTTCTATTTGTCCAGTTTGGCGATTATCGTCTATCACCTGGACCTGCTGGTGGGCAACTCGCAATAGTGTCATTCTTGAGATGCAACCCTCCACCCCAGGACGCGTGTGCTTTTGTCCCAAGAGCGATAAGTCGGAATACTGCCGACTATGAACGGGAGGGTGCAAATGCATGGAAGTGGCGAGGTTGCCCCTGATGCCCCAAGTATAAACTCGGCTGGTTTCGACCTCGATCCTGGCCCTGACCCCATGATCCGCAGCTGCCTGCCCAGTCTTCATCTTCTCGTCACTTGCTCCCGGTTCGGGTTTTGGAGCTGACAACCATGTCCATCACAATGAAGGCGGGCCAGCTTGGCCTCAGCACAGACGCGCCAGAATTACAAGAGTTACAGGATGGGAATCTTCGACAGATGTCGGTTGATGGCAATCATCCAGGCCTAAGACAAAGATTATGGGGCTTGGCAGCGCGTATGGACCCGACCGTCACCTTTGAAGAGTATATGTTTTGGGCAAAGATCGAACGCGAGATGGAAGCCGATGAGCAGAAGAAATACGTCGAAACTGTCAAGAACGATGGCAAGCTCGGCGGCTTCAAGGCCTACTTTTTGGGTGCTCCCAAGAATGTTGTCACCGAGGTCACCCCAGAAGTTGACCCCGCTGCGCCCACCGAGAAAAATGGAGAAGCAGGCAAAGATCTCGTCTTGAACCCTATTGCTCCCTCGCAGACCCATGATTTCGATGCTGAATGGCGCCGGGCAGCACGAGCCCTTCGAACCTCTGGCTGGGTCACCGTCTTCTATCTGGTCACGACGGATATACTAGGTTGGGGCCAGACGCCTTATGTCTTTGCCAACGCTGGCTACAATGCAGCGATTGGAGTCTTCGTTCTCTTTGGTGTCGCCGCCCTGTGCTCCGCACTCATGATCTGGCAGGTGTTCCTTGGTCTCGACTCTTCCCGGTTCCCTGTCCTCAGTTTCGGCGACCCCTTCTTCCGGCTGTTTGGCCCAAAGACGCGCAACATGATCAATATCATGCAGGCCTTTCAGATGTTCTGTACTGTGGCTGTCATCGTTCAGGGCAATGCTCAGATCATGTCTCAGGTCAACGGAGGTCACATTTGCTATATTGTCATCGCCCTCATCAGTGTCTTCATCGGAATCGCCTCATGCGGTCTCCGTGCACTCAAAGAGGTTGGTTTCTTGGCGAACTTTGCCGTCTGGATCAACATTGTCAGTTTCATCATCATCCTGGTCTGCGCGCCTAAATATGGGCCAGACCCTACCTATGCATTACAGACGACACTCCTCAAGGTCGCCGAACCGGTCAAAACATTCTGGGGGGTTCCGCCGCCTCAATACCAGCAACAGACCACGGACTTGTTTGCCGCCCAGTTCAACGGTATCGACTCCATCGTCTATGCATACTCTGGAGCACTTCTCTTTATCGCCTTTCTCTCCGAGATGCGCCACCCCATGGACTTCTGGAAGGGTGCTCTGCTGGCTCAAATCTTCATCATGGTGGTCTACGTTATCTTTGGGGCTGTGGTCTATACCTATATTGGACAATACGCCGTCTCGACCATTTCGCAAGTTGTGAAACCATATTCGGTCCAGGTTGCCAGTAACATCTTGGCCTTGGTTACTGGCTTCCTCGCCGTGTTTATGTACTTCAATGTGGGTATGAAGGTTGTGTATCTTCACATCTGTGAGGAAATGCTCCACATGCCCCCCATCCACACCAAAAAGGGCTACCTATTCTGGCTGATTCTGGGGCCTATGTACTGGGTTGTTGCGTGGGTCTTCTCCATGTCGGTACCCAACTTTGCCGGCATCACTGGTCTAATCGGTGGCCTCTTCTCTCTCAACTTCACCTACAGTATTCCCGCCATCATGTGGGTCGCGTTCGTCATTCAGAAAGGAGCGGTTCTTCCTGGTGAAGGGTTTGACCCTTACACCGGCGAGACTACACGTCACGACCACGGTCTCAAACGTTGGGTCCGTGGAGTCCGGAAGACGTGGTGGTACAGCATTCCTGGTATTCTATTCGCCTGTGGAGGGTTGGCTTCGTCCGGTATGGGAAGCTGGGCTGCAATCCAGGGTCTCAAGCAAATTTTTGGACCCGGTGGTACCATTCAGACTTCTTGGGGATGCGCGGGTCCTGGTTAAGGTGATACGTACTGCTTTTCCACTGGCCGATGATCCAGGGCTGTATGTGAGCTATACATTCCATAGATTGCAGAGTGGAAGGAATACGAGCGGTTTCGAGCTCTGCTTTCGCATGGACCGGCTGCCATCAAAATCTGCTCGCGACGGCAGTAGTTTCGACAAGACTATTGGAAAGAAGTAGCTCCCATCAAGTTTAGTTGTCTGGAAGACTGTCCCAGTCGTCCGTACGTGGTCCCGAGCATCGTCTAGCCAGCGAGAAGAGTGGTCATGAAATAATTCTGCCAGGAGGACGTGGTGTAGAAAAGTTCTTTCCCGCGGCTATTTCGGTAGATCCATGAAAAGTTAGCCTGCATTTACAAGCTCTTCACGCCGCTACAACCACAATAGGGTACATTGGCGGCCTGCTTCACACTTCCACTCGAATGCGCCCAAACAGTTTGGAGTTCGCAATGATCCTCGATCTATCCGCATCGGGTCAGACGTCATACAGGCGCTGACCTGCTGTGCTGGTTCTGACAACCCTCGCGTAAGGCTTAGTGCGGCTGTGTCTGCAGACTACTCTCCTAGGGCGACTGCAAGATGCCAAAATGGAGCTCCAGCTGAAGATCGGGAGGAAAACGAGGGAAGTGTGACGATGAGGGAACAACACTTAAGTCATGCCTACATTGCTATTTTTCCTCCTCTCATTCTGGACCCTCAAACTGTCCTGGTTGTGCAGCTTGTGGCTGTCATTATCAGCGAATCACGCAGCTTCTACTCCGCAGTAGACACGTACAGTTACGAGCCCTCGCGCCATCACGTCCAGCTCGCGATCAGGCTGAGATTCGTAATGATTCCATTTATCCTGGTCGGTGGCTGCATTGATTTGGCGGCGCCAATTCAGTATCATGCAGCTGTTCCCAGCGAGGTCTGCCACTACGGAGAAGTGATCGGCTGAAAGTTGCTTGGTCCTGCCCTACGGTGAGACTGCGCCATGGAGGGGTGTTTTCAGCCTGACCGTCCTGGTATATTTACTCGAGTAATGGCCCTTTCCCAGTTGACCATCGCAGCTTGGTCCTCCGTCCCAGATGAGAAGCCACCTAAGTCTGCGCTCCCGCAAGTCTACTTCACTTTTGAGGGAAAATGGGTGATGTGCTCTTTCCGACACAGGAGAACCCTGTTGCTCAGGACGAACCAAACGCCGCATGTTCTGAAAGTGACAAACGACTTCTTGCTGCAGTTTTGGACAAGGAGCTCAAAGAAGCGGAAACGATTCTATCTAATTCTGATGTCAAGCTTGATGCGAGAAATCGCTTCGGAGAGACAGCCTTGCACATCTCCTGCCGCCATGGCTACCATGCCGTTGTGGAAAAAATGTTAACAAAGTTCCCCGACATCAATGGCAAGGACTACGACGGGTGGACACCACTCTACAGCGCTTCATGGGGCGGAAAAGCAGATATTGTTTCCTTACTCCTGTCGAAAAGGGGCCCACCTCCAGTTAACAAAAACCAAAATAAGACCGGTTCGAAACTTGATGGTACAAAGAGCGGTAAACAACTCCCCGTTACCGGCAGTCAGATCGAAATCGATTCGGCAGATCCCCAGGGGAGAACACCTCTGCACATCGCAAGCTTCTGGGGTTATACAGATGTTGTCAAAGAGATTGTGCGATACAAGACGACGAACCCCAATATTCATGACGATGAAAAAGATTTGGATATGAAGGATGCTACAAACCGTACGGCGCTTTACATCGCGGCTGAATCAGATTATTCAGATGTAGTAAGAGCATTATCCAATGCCGATGCTACCGTTCTTGTTGATAGCCGGACCGCTCTTCATCTGGCATCCGAGCAGGGAACTCCGGAAACAGTGGAAGCCATTCTCGGCCTCCCAACTGGGTGGGATGCCCTGACAATTAGAACAACTGATGGGAAGGATGAAATCCCACTCCATCTCGCAGCTCGCCAGGGTGGTGCTTCTATTGTCGAAGAGCTACTCAAACCGCGACCTGATGGCTTCCGAAGTAGTACTGACGTAACCAGCGGACAGAATGGGATCGTCCTGGGGCAAAAGCCTGCCAAACGTGCTCCTGATCGCTGGCCAATAGCAGATCAGATTCGAGCTGAGAACTCTGACGGCAACACCGCTATGCACCTGGCAGCCGAGGAGGGCCAAGCTGACGTGGTTAAGGTACTTCTCCAGCATTCTGGGAAAGATATATGTCGAGATTTTTTCAACAAAGCTGGTGAGTCGGTACTACATGTCGCAGCCAAAAAGGGGCGTTTGAAAGTCGTACAAGAACTCTTGAACCAGAAAGTTGACGTCAATCAAGCCACAAAGACTGATAAGAACACATCTCTGCATCTGGCTGCCGCGAACGGCCATGCGCAGGTCGTGGCTGCTCTCGTCTCAAAGATGAGTCCAACTGACGTGGAAGAGTCGAAAAACGCTGCTTCGGAGACTCCCCTTGGCGCAGCGATTGCAGCTAAACATTGGGATGTTGCTCGCAAACTATTGGAAAAAATTCAGAAAGCGGACCTGGGGACGCTTGAATCCGACGATGCACTCTTTTCTGCTGCTCAAGATTCCACATCACACGATATCGTCCAGCTATTGCTGATGAAGAAGTCGGAGGGCATGAAGAAGAGCTTAGAAGTGCAGGAGGCGAACGGAAAACACTCTGAACAGAACGATTGGGGTCCACTTCACTGGGCAGCATATTATGGAAACGGAGTAGTAGTCCGATCGCTCCTTCTGAGCACTGCCTGGACAACACGTCAAATGACAACTGCGCTCAAGGCTTGCAAAGTCGGCCTGGCAGAGTTGAAAACAGTCCCAGCACTGGATATCCTCGACAAGCCTAGCGAAGAACCATCTCGTCTTGTGGAACGTATGCAGGCCTCGGGAAAGGGGAGGGATTCTCTATTGGGTATGGGTTCATTGGGGAAGACTAGGCAAAGCGCTCATGGCATGACTAATCCTCAAGAGCGCGAGATCGAAGAAAGATATGCACTACCCCTGGATATGCTGCAAGACCCTCCATTTCTCGAAGCATCCGATCCCCAGGAGATATACGAAAAACCTGAACTAAAGGATGACGATTTGAAAAACTCAATCGCCGACTTCGATGCTACTGTTGTGGATTTCTATCGAGACGGAGATAGGTCTGGACTTCTACGTCGGTCTCGCAAGGTTTGCCAGGTTATATTCGATGAGGGGCCAGATAAGATAATGGAAAATGCAAGAGAGACTCTGAATAACTTGAACAGAGAAACTGGGAAAGAGAAAGGGTTCAGTGACAAGCATCTCCAATTCCGATGGATACACTTGCCAGCGAACAATGTAAGTACTCTCTGGTCATTCCTTCATAACTATTCGCTAACTTTTGGGTAGCTCGAATGGATGCAGGTAAGTACCGGAGTACGAAGTCTCCTTGTACGACAATAACAAGCTCCTCAACAGGATTTGACAAAGAGGATTTATGTGGAGCGAAGACGGCCAAAAAAGAATTACAAAGAGGTGGCAGACTTCCTTCGGCGCAGTTGGTTCGAACTACCGGAAGGTCCTTCAAATGCACGCTTCATGAAGCCTGGGTGCAAGAAGGAGGCCTTCCCTCTTCTATCTCATAGTCAAAATTTTGCAGATGTATCAACTCAAACATCTGACTCTGATGCGATGACGTCCAGTACTGGAGAGTGGTTGCCAACTACAATCACAACACCACACAATGAAGAAACATCACAAGTATCGTTCCGCAAGCTCGCCTTGTATGTGAGTATTTGCCTTGACTTGAAACTTACACTGAGTGACCGTCTTCCTAGATGCCATATTTCACATATGCCGACTATACCCCAGCCCAGGCTTGCTCCAATCAGCGGTCCTCTGGTTCTGACATTGGGAGCGATGATGGCTCCGTGCTGGGAGAGGATCTAAAGAAATATCAGAGATTATTGGAAACCTATCGCGACAAGATCATCCACGGTTCTCGTACACTGGACGAATCCTACTATGAAAATCTTTCAAACATGAAAGAGCGAAACGAAGATCAAGTCGTCACGAAGTACTTTCAGAAGCACCCCCGGCACTCGCGGGAATCCGGCTACGCCCAAGACGGAAATGTCTGGTCAGGGCGATCTGAAAACGGAGCAAAAGAACAAGATAAAGCAATCACAATCTTGAGGGTTGATCAACTATGGCTCTGGGTAATTGATCACCGTCAGTCAGAACTTCTCTTTCTCAAATACAGTCATTGACTCATTACCTGCAGAGACGATCATTAGCAGCTCGACACATCGCCTTGATCATAGGGAGGACCCTGTTTTGGAAAAGATTTTTGCCTATTTAAGAGAAGAGAAAGTTTCCAGTACGGGCAGAAAAGGCAAAGGCTTGCCATCTACAGTGGACGATATGAGCAGGTTCATCCCGAAATTTTGCATCGGCTTTTTCAATCACTGTAACTGGAAAGGCGAGTTGGACATCGACAAGTCCATCTATCAGATGTTTGCATGCTCAATCAATGAGGAGGTATGTCCATTGCGAATGTCGGCATACAGCCAGAATTTGATTACTCTTCTCATTTAGGCGAACGCAGAGTCGGAGCTGTTCGATAACTTCAAGACCAAGATGACCGACATCGTCCAGAAGATCGACGAGAAGAACAGGAGAGAAGGACGCAAGATGTCCGAGCATTGCACAGATGAGGCCACCAAAGTCCAGAAGACTATAAAGGCGGACGACACGACCTCAGGCGAGGAGTTGACATTCAAGTCGATTCTGAAAGCAGCAATCCAGCTTCAGCATATCAAAGATATCCGAGATGAACTCAATAGTTTGAAATCAATCGTAACTCAACAGAAGAAAGCTTGGGACGACCTGTTGAGTGAGGAATCGAACAATGCCGATGCAAGGACCTCTGCCAACACCCGGAGCCCTGCAGACTATACGATTGCCAACATTATGGAAATGGACAAGGCTGCTTCACGCATTCAAGAATCTGTACGTTAGGGAGACCTTTTCAGAGTCCGGCTGTTCTGGTTTGCTTTGCTCTGTTGTGTTCTAACCGTGACCCCTTTTGCCTAGATTCTCGATGTAATGGGCCTCGAACAAAACGAAGCGAGTATTAATGAGGCTGTCTCGTCGCGGAACCAAGCACAAGAGACCATCGAACAAGGGAGGACTCTCATGGTGTTCACTGTCATCACAATCATCTTTGTAAGGCGCAACAGTACCAGCATCAGCACCAGCATCCATTATGGTTGGGGTGGCCAAATATTCTGACTCTTGAGTGCTCTGTAGCTCCCATTATCGTTTCTCGCCTCTCTCTTCGCTCTGGACATCACCGACTTTCCACGAGCATCACCCTCGGGGAAATTCACTCCTGGCTGGGTTTATCCGAAGTTATGTAAGCGATGCCTTCTTCTTCTTCTTATTCTTCCGTTCTACGGGGGGTCCTCGCAGGAACACTGATCAGGTTCACGACCAGTTGGCATTACGGGTGGCATTACAGTGATTGCCATCTTGATCGCGTTCTCCAGGCCGCTCCTCAGGTTCTGGTCGACTGTCCGGAAGAAGCTCCCTCCTCCTCTGGGCAATGCCAGTGCGGCAGCTCAATCGTCACGGGGCGCTGCAGATGTCCCCAAGGAAAGCAGGGACAAGCGACAGCACAACCTGCGCACCAGCTGGAGATGGGCCCGTGAGACAGACGTCGAGAAGCGAGCACAAGCATCTTACGACATTGTGGATGTGGACGAAGCAGACGATGTTGTCAAAGAACGCGCACTCCTCCATAGAATGAGTTCAAGCTTTCATAATTCCAAGGCCGCGCTACATGAGCTTGGAGTCAAGGGGGCTTTGAAAACCATTAGGAACTCGACGAAGAGGGAGGCATGACTAGTGAACTACCTGAGATAGGGAGGCGCGTTAACAAGGCGAGGAAATGATCCAGACTTTGAATGTTCAGGATTGCTTGGTTGGGTTCTTAGCTCGGCATATTATAACGAGTCACTCACTCGTGCGCTCGCGCACACAGAGGGAGGGAGAGAAAGCGCAGAGTTTCCATGATTTTGGTCTGGGCCAGGAGTTCTTGTTGTCTGGTGACTAAGAAGAAATAGTTGTTTGTCTAATGGATCTCGAAGTTTTCCCCCATACCCAGCGGCATTTTACAAGATATGTGCCTCAAAAGCACACTTTCGATTTCGACTGTTTGTGTCGTTTGGTATCCCTTTTTGCAATCATAATGACGATTCGTAGTAGTATCACAATGCCCCCTCCCTTAAGGGCGAACCCAACACCCCTTAGTTGCCGCCCGCCCATGCTAGTAATGTTCAGGTGAATCCGGATGACGAAACTGTCTCTACCAATTCCTCCTTCCACCTTTACCGCGCCCTCGTCCGAACCCGCCGCCGCCGCCTTGGTCAAAACCGCCACCCCCAAACCCTCCGGGGCCTGTGGGCGGTCCGCCTTGACCCACCATCATACCACCACCTCCAGCACCAGCACCCCCGGCAGCCATGAACTGCATGAACTGATTCGGGTCCATGGTGGTCGGGTCGAGGCCCTGAGACGTCATGGCGGCGAACATCTGCTGCATCTGCGCCTCGCTGGGCATGGCCATGGCGGACATGTCTGGTGCACCTCCACCTAAGCCTACAACTCCGCCTCCACTCGCAGGGCCGCTAGCACCACCAGGCAGGGGTGGCATCCCCGGTATACCACCGGCTCCGCCGCCGGGGATCCCTTCCACGAAAGCCTTCATCTGTTCGGCCTGCTGGTTGATCTCCTTGATCTCTTTCGGCATGGTCTGCTGCTTCAGACAGTACGAGGCCCACGTGAACTCGTCGAAGCCGTAGTTGAAGTAGTCTGTGATGTCTGCGCCGGGCTTGCGCCACGGCTTGGACGACTCCGAAGGGAAGTCGAGGTCGAAGTCGGTCGCGAGGATGGGTTTCCCCGTCGCGGGGTGCACGGGGTTGCCGTTCGGGTCGAGCTTGGAGGTGTGGCGCGCCGGGTAGTCGGTGCCTGGGCGGTCGTTGGGCGGCTGGGAAGTAGATCCCAGCCGTTGGTGGTGGTGTTGTTGTTGTTGTTGTTGTTGTTGTTGGGAGTCGGTGCCGGTGGCCGGCGTGCCTGGCTTGTTGATGATCGGTTGAGGTGTCGACGACGACGACGCTTTCCGTGGGTCCGCTGATGTGGGAACGGGTGTGAGGCCTGGTACCACTCGTTTGGATTGTCTGTGGCAGGACAAAACAAAAGTCAGCAAAAAAGAGCTGTGGGTTGTACAGAGATGAGCACCGAAGGGAGAGGAGACTGACGATGCACCGGGATCAGGTTTTACTTCTTCCTTTGCGTCTATTATGAAATCGACGTCGTCCTAGAGCAGGGACGTCGGTTAGTACAGTGTCCCATCCACAGCCGGGTAGACTGTTGGCGGCAGGGGCAGGAGGCTGCGGTTGTGGGTGACATACATCGCTGTCCTCGACTTCCTCGCCTTCTTCTTCTCCGTCCTCGACGTCTTCCATCTTCACCTCCGCGTGGTGCTGTGCGCCATTCGTGTCATTGTGCTCCGGGTATATATCGTCTTCGTCCGAGTCCATCATCTTGTCTGAATGCGTGGGGGGAAATGAAGGGGCCGAGCACGAAATAGTTAGATGAGTGGGAGTAGATCGCAGGAGGAGCCCTTCGGCTTTGTTATGTTCGTCTCGACGAGGCTGCGCTTCTCAGCCTCGTCCCCGGATCGTCGACGCCGCTTAGGCAACTTTGCCGATTGGATTCTTCCAGAAAAAAAGTTCCCATTGCTACTTGGGACCTTTGGCATCTATTTACTCCGAACTTCCTCCTGCATCTCTAGTATACCTCGCTGTTGTCACTGCGCGAAGCTCCTCGACTTTTTTTTTGTCAAATAAGAACCTCATTCCCTGGACGCGTTTGTCACACATCATTCATTCAAGATGGTGAGTCGCTGAACGCTTTCCGAACAGCCGCTCTCTCACGCACCTCGGAGCACGAAATACTAACGGGATCTACCCATGCAGACAACCGCACTCAAGAGCATCCGATCCCTTGCCCCATTGCTCGACCGAGTTCTGGTCCAGCGCATCAAGGCCGAGTCCAGAACTGCCGGCGGCATCTTCCTCCCCGAGAGCAGTGTCAAGGAGTTGAACGAAGCAAAGGTCCTTGCTGTCGGACCTGGTGCTTTCGACAAGGACGGAAAGAGAATAGCCATGGGCGTCAAGGAGGGCGACAAGGTCTTGATTCCACAGGTATGAGGAAAGATCAGAATTCCACCCTGGAGTGTCGCGGCTAATGTGTTCCCGTAGTACGGAGGCAGCCCCGTAAAGGTTGGCGAGGAGGAATACCATCTATTCCGAGATTCGGAGTGAGTTCTGGTCATGACAAAGTGTCGGAAGTGCTGTTGCTGACGAAGAATAGGATCCTGGCCAAGATCAACGAATAGAATTAATATATCCAGTATTCCGTTTTGGGTGCTGGCGTTTCGGCAATCATGTACTATCATATCCAGAACAGGTCATCGAACGCATCGAACAAAAAGCCATCATATTAGCGAATTGTACACCATGTATTATCAGTGTAACTCCTGCAAGGACGTGGATGCGGCTCTACGACGTTAAAATTCTGGCAAGGCAAGACGGGGGACATGCGAATGCGGCACGACCATGCGCATAGTAGATCTTGCTGATTGCGTTCATACGGTGTAGTTTTCACAAGAATAATTTCTCCACTCAATGTCAGCCCATATGATGGAAAGATTTCAGGTGCCGGCTCAGGTATCAACCCCTTCCACGCGATTTCGAGCGACTTTGATCTCGCACACCGTCGGTCCCGGACCCCATCTTCGCTGGTGACATATCAAGTTCCAGCCCACGCCCGATGACTTCCCTGAAATTCAACCCAAAGTCGCCCAACATTTCCTTTTCGTGGCTCCAGACGACATCCATGCATTCTCTCCACAACTGACCCTGGCGTTCTATGGCACTAAGTTGTCGCACGAGCAGCGTGTTGAACGTCTCGAGATGACCGTTTGCCCACTTTATACATGCACTGATTGTTGTGGGGGCAAATGAGGCTTGGTAGATAAGCACCGTGTTCTTCACAATGGTGAAGTAGACGTACGAGATGGAGAAGACGTATCGATGAAGGTCGCCGTCGAAGACGCATTGTCTGGCTCGCTTGGTCAATGTCTCGCTGCGGGCGTTGAGATAGATCTCCCGTGCTCGGTCCTCGAAGCCCAGGCGGATAAGAAAGGACGTAGTGCGTTTTGTAGCTTCCATGAAAGATGGTGTCTCGATCAGTTCTCGGTATAAGATTCTTGCAAGCTTCGCGGCACGCTCATCAACTTTGACACAGATCAGCTCCTGTGCAATCGAGTTACTTTTGAGACCTTTGGCGATCTTCCGTAGTTTCTCCACCTTGTCCACGGCTTCGTCAAACCGCTGTAAAGAGATGTCGATGTCGAGATCATCGATTTGTCCTTCGACCCAGCGAAAGTTCTGCTGTTTCCCATCGACTTCGATGAGAATATCAGGCTTGTCTTTAGACGAGTTTATACTATCGAGAATACCAGTGTTCGTTGCAGAAGCTGGATCTCGAGCAGCAAAGTAATTTAAGCTCTCGCTTTGAGTAGGTTGTTCCTCTTCACTTTTTGTAGCCTTGCGGACATCTTCGCTAGCTTTCCTCAAAGCCATCAGTAAGCCAGTTTTCGCCTTCTCGTCCCGCTTCTCGTGCCTATACGTAAGCGACCGACCGGAGGACCTGATGGTCAAAGCCGACGCGATGGCTTTTTCTTCGGCTTGAGAGGCAGCTCCGTTGGCTGCCATGTCAATGATTTCAATATCTTGGAGAGGCCAGCACTCCTCAGCCACAAGCTTAGTGGGTGCAGGGCCTTGTTGAGGAACATTGGGATCGACACGTTTACGCTTCTTAGACGCGACAAGGAGATGATCATTGAGCAGGACGATGTGAACAGGACGCTTAGGCTTCCAAGTCGCACTATCAAGCTCGATCCAGCTCCCTGTCTCTGCCACAATATGACGACCGGGTGCAGCGGGTAAAAATTTCTGAGATTTCTCCACGTTCTTCCACAGTGCTTGCAGTTGAATGGTCCACATCTGTTCAAGATTGGCAACGGAACTCCTGTTTGCTTGCTTCCTTGACTGCGAATTCGAGTGGCTGAGATCAGGGGAAAGTGCATTGTTGGTATTTCCTGAGCTGCTATGGCCAATTGTACTTGTGAGTTCCGACATGAGACTCTTCAAAATGGCCATTTCCGCCTTCAGCTTTTCAGCCTCTTTGCTTATTTTTATGAACGATGTCCTATTCTGGTATACACTTTGCTGAAGGTCTGCGGAATTCCTGTTCTTGAGACGCTGCAAATTTGTCTGGTATTCTTGAATGTCGGCTTCGGAGGCATTAGACAGGAGATCCGTGACATAACGTTCGGCTTGGAGATTCGGATCACTCAGAATGTCATTGTCGACAAGGAGGGGCCGTGAAGACGATGCCGTGCCAGGGCGTCGCGGAGATGCGGCTCCAGAGCGTCGCTTCAGGGCACCGGGAAGCGTGGGAACAGGGGGGGCTCCGATATTGCTGAAGTCGGGCAGTTGGTTATATCGCGTCGAATAACGCCTTTTGACCAGATCAGAGGTTTCGGTAGGAGCATTACGGTCGCGTGGGGGAGCGAGACTGGCACCCCCTTTAGGCTTCTGCTGCGATGCTGCTGCTGATGGCGCCGCCGGGCGAGTGATGCCTGGACCAGACGCATTTTGAGGAGCACTTATTGTAGGACGGTCTTTACGCTTCTTTCGCAGCGTCAGTCCCCGTGTATCCATCGTGGATGCCAGAGGACAAAGTAGTCCAATGGCAATGTACGGCCGTGGTTAGAGGCCACAATAGATGCCGTGACATAAATAAGGGACGCAGACAGTAGTACGGAGTTAGACGACGAGGTTGGAGCGAGGCTGCGAATCACGTGCTATCTGAGTCTCAGCCTTGTGCTGGCTCTTTGAAACCTTAGGTAGGTATGTATTGTTTATACCCTTCAGCCAGTACCTGTTAATGAGTATGATTACTTCATTACCTCCATGGCAAACATTACCTGAAGTAATAAGCAATTGGATGCAATCCCACAAAGTCACTAGCAGCATGGAGCGGGAGAGACGAGGCTGCCGGGCCATCGGAGTTTAGGTGCTTGGCAGCTACGCAAAGAGCCTTGCGCTTGCCAGCAACTTTTGGATGGTTCAGGGCCAAAGCTGGGAAATTTCCCAGAAGCTGCATCACCATTTCTTCATCCCATCACATAGTATTGCACCACATTCACATTCAGCGCCAACTATTTGCCAAATTCGTCGCACCTCACATTCTTCAGATCAGTGACTTATATTTTTCACTGCTACTTCTGCTCGGCCCGACCTGAGGCAACTCGGTCCCACGCGCAATCACAATGAAGACATCGACGATTGTCTCGATATCCGTCGGCACGGCGGTCACTGGACTGATCGGTACCTGAGTTCACCAGTGTAATAGCAAACCCGTTTATTCTGACTAACCTTCCGACAGCGTACGCAGCCTATTTCGACTACAAGCGGAGAAACGACCCTGAATTCCGGAAAGCCTTAAAACGAGAGTCCCGCAGACAAGCCAGAATAGCCAAGGAGGAGGCTGAGATCCAGGGGAAGCGACAAAGAGAAGAGGTCAAGCTGGCAGTGCAAGAAGCCATCGAGGAAGGCTTCCCTACAGACGTGGAAGAGAAGGAGGCGTTCTTTATGCAGCAAATAGCCCAGGGAGAGGCTTTGGCTGGAGACGGTATGTCTTCCTCGACGTTTTACAAAGATTCGGTATTTAACTGTTGCGTAGGTTCTGACCCCGTCGGTGCGGCACTCTGTTTCTACAAGGGCCTCAAGGTCTATCCTGAACCTTCGTCTCTCATTCGCATTTACGATAACACCGTTCCGAAGGAGATCCTCGAAATTCTTGCAGTCATGGTCGCTCAGGACAAGAGTCTCAAGGTGGGCGATTTTGGTGCCGGCAGCGACAGGGGTTCGGAGAGCGGACACGGAGTTGAATGAGTTCATACGCTTTGAACAACAGCAACTTTTGTATCAACAAGAATTCAAGCGTCCATGTGGAATGGATGCCTCTTCAGAACCTTGCCCAGGAACTCGCCTCTCTGTACGACTGTTGTATACCAGCGCTAGGCATGATGTTTGAGCTTGTCAGGATGATATACATTGTCTTGGGGCATAATTCAGTGGTCACTCGACTGGTGATCTCTTCAATGAAAAGCTTTATCCGAATCATGGCCAATTGCAGATTTTTCTGTACAGTCGTTGTTTCCCTGTTTATTGTTCTATTGACTCATCAAACATTGTGAAGCCAGCTTCTCAGCTAGGATCATGAGGCAATGTAGGCTCTTACAGGCTTCGGAAATTCCCCTGACTACAGCAGAGACGTTCGGAACATCTTTCTATGCGATATATTACAGGTTGGCAATGGTCGGTAGCATGGCCGACGATACTGAGGACCACATTCCAACTTGTTCACACCTCTAAGCCCTAGACTGGGAACCTTGAGTATCGATTTGGCCGCCGACAAACAATGCAAAGTCTAGACTCTGCAGCAAAGCCATCTAGGCTCATTCGCCAGCCTCGAAGCGTGGGGTTTCTCCCGCGTCTCACTTTACCATTGGCAGCTGTGTAGATTGGACTCGCCATCATCCTCGTTAATGAGGATTCGCGGACTGCATGGCAGGTCATCGCGCATTTCCGGACTGAGGCTGTCATACAATATTGGAAGGCGGATACTTCCGACCACCTGTCGCTGAGAACTGCCTTTTCCAGAGCTTCTTGGTACTTCAAGATGCATACTTGAGCGCTAGGTTACCACGACTATGTTAAAAGGCGTACAGATTTATTAAAAGGCGTAAAGGGTTGAGACCCTTAATAATCGGTGAATCTTACCTTTTGAAATCAGTCTCACGGTGAATCTCCTTAGTGACGAGGGGCAAGAAGAGTTGCCATATCTCTAGATAAACATTATTGTCCCCTTGCACCGGTTTTGTTGGATGCAACGAGTCGTGAAGATGTCGCAGACCACACCTCATCCACTAGACCCCTTGACACCAGAGGAGATTTCACAGGTACGCCATATCGAGTCTTTGACATCCAAATGCAAAAGCTGACCAGCAGACTGCCAATCATGTCCGAAGAGCATTTCCAGGAAAGGACGCTTACTTCCGAGTCATTACGCTGTCCGAGCCACCGAAGGCGGACATGATAAAATATCTGGAAGCTGAGCATGGAGACTATCTTCAGACCATCACTCTTCCCCGTCTAGCCATGGTGCAGACATTTTTGGGACCACGGGACAGCAGCCACTACTACCAGCTCAAGGTGGACGTGGAGACCGGCGGCATCGTCGAGCAGAAGCAGCTGGTCGGGTGCCATGGCCACGTGGACGCGACAGACATGCAAAGGGCGGAGCGAGAATGCCTCAACGACGCTCGCGTCCAAGCAGCCATCAGGGACATGAAGCTGCCTGCCGGGGCCGAGGTCAAGATTGAGCCATGGACGTACGCGACGGATGGGATGAACGACATGAGCGAGAAGATCACCATGTGTTACTTCTACATGAAGCTGATCGACCACCCGGACGCCAACCATTATGCTTATCCTTTGGATCTCTGCGTCGAGATGTCTGGAGATGCTCGTGTCTTGCAGATTTTCTACTTGCCCCCGGGAACATCAAACGACATCAGCACGTCTGCACAGGCCTACGACGAGAAAAAGATCCATGGCAGTGAGATTGAATACCATCCGGACCTGCGCACAACCCAGCGGACAACCACGAAGCCATATCGAGTTTCTCAGCCAGATGGTCCCTCGTTCCAAGTCCAAGGGAACCTGCTGCAGTGGGAGAAGTGGAGATTCCGCGTCGGATTCAACTACAGAGAAGGGCTCACTCTGCACGATGTGAGGTACGACGGGCGCAGCGTTTTCTACAGGCTATCGCTGGCGGAGATGTTTGTCCCCTACGGAGACCCTCGTATGCCGTATACACGAAAAGCAGCATTCGATCTTGGGAACGATGGGGCAGGCTGCACGGCTAACAATTTGCAACTCGGCTGTGACTGTCTGGGACATATCAAATACTTCGATGGGTGGCATTCCACATCGGCCGGAGATCCTCTTAAACTTCCCAATGCCGTGTGTTGTCATGAAATCGACGAGTAAGATGGCCTCCCCATTTCAGTCCCTGTGTGACCCTCTGTAGACTGTTCGCTGACTTGACTCGCAGTGGGATCCTCTGGAAACATACAAACTTTCGGACAGGGAACGCTGTCGTTACCCGCTCACGAGTGTTGGTCCTGCAAACTATCATCACAGTCAGCAACTACGAGTACATTTTTGCATTCCAATTCGGCCAGGACGCTTCGCTCCATTACGAAGTACGAGCAACAGGGATTGTGTCGACGGTCCCGATTGGGGTGGGGGAGAAAGTACCGTTTGGAACCGCTGTCGCTCCTGGCGTGCTGGCCCCGTACCATCAGCACCTTTTCTCGCTGAGAATAGATCCGGCGGTTGCAGGATATCAGAACTCGCTCGTGATTGAGGAATCGCATGCCATGCCCATCCAGGATCCGCAGGTTCACAACCCGTTCGGAGTCGGCTACACGACCGAATCACGCGTTGTCGAGAACGAATGCGGACTCGACCTCGATCATAGTGTCAACCGGGTTTTTAAAATCGTCAACGAACAAGTCATCAACCCCGTGACTGGTGGGCCGGTTGGATACAAGCTCGCACCATGCTACAGCCAGTTGCTCCTGGCGCATCCCTCGTCGTATCACGCGAAGCGATCCGAGTACGGCGCACACGCAGTCTGGGTGACACGACACAGCGACGACGAACTGTTCCCGTCCGGCCACCACACTATGCAGTCCCTAGGTGGGCAAGGGATCGCGTCGTGGATCAAGGATCGGCAGGAAAAGAAACAGCCGACCAGTGTGAAGAACTCGGACATAGTGGTCTGGCACACCTTTGGGTCGACGCACAACCCGCGGGTCGAGGACTGGCCGGTGATGCCTACCGAAAAGATGATTGTGGGCATGAAACCGGTCAACTTTTTCACGTCTAACCCTGCCATCGACGTACCTGTGTCGACGCAGGAGACGAATCAGAGCGTGCTTGTGGAAGGGGTGGCTGCCATGCCGACGAAAGGGCATTGCTCGAAACTATGAGTATGAGGGTTGCACGACACAGCTGAGGAAGGCCATTATGTGAGTGCCCTGATTACTGAACTGAAAGGGACCATGCATGAGTCCTCCTGTTCGTGCGGTAGTTAAGATGGAAGGTACTTTGCATTCTTGAGCCGGCGGTAGCATTCCAGGCAGGCGTAAAGATTTGTAGACGGGTCACGCATAGGTATGCGGCTCCGAACGTTGAGCTACCTGAGGTTCTGGTGTCAAGACGTAGACTTAGATTTAGACATTCCAAGGCTGTATCGAGGCCTGACCGAGTTGGAGGGCCAGTAGTTCGTATGGTAAAGGCACGAGATAGACATGGAATAGACATAGGTTAAGTACGAACTAAACTAAAACATGATGCTGGAAGTAGTCTTGACCTTCGCCTTATCGTCGCACTTTTGCTTCCGTAGGTAGGCACTGCGACGTCTCCATACTTACCTACAAACCATATTCATAGATTTCTTTCCTGGAATCAATGGTACTACTGGGGGGAAAAAAAGAACAAAAAAGTTGATCGCCAGACAAGCTTGAAACTTCGCGTATCTTGTCACGGTGTATTCTCACGCCGCCAGCTCCGGGTGGAAATGTCTCTGCAGAATTGCTTCCCTCAAGTGTCATCTCCATTGCTTAGCGCCCCGTAGCAATCGTGGTTTACACACACGAGTACGATGGACGACCCGAAGCTCCGAGCAAGGCACACATGCACAAGTGGAATGTGAAGCGACGCCCAAGCTAAAAGGCAACCTCCTAAATTTATGACCACGACAGCCAAACGCCAAGACTGCGATTGTAAAATATGTACCTTCTTAATTTGAGTGGGGAACAAATTGATACCTAGCAGTGCTACTGATTAGCACCAAGTCACTAATTTACAGTAAGAGCCCGTGAATGTTCCAGTGGTAAGCCTCCACCGTTAGTATCCTCAAATTCCTGACATGCTCGTCGCCGCAAGTTACAACCCAAGCGTCCATCACATTTGGCGAGCTAAGCGATCATGGCGATGCGGACCGTCGGACGGGCCAGTGCCAAGTTGCTCCTACTCGTCCTGGCTCTATCGTAATCTAGAAGAGGCTATTCTTTATCGGCAACGATTCACGAATGCTGGATTGTGTTCCGCCGGCTCCCAGATTCGCACGGGAGATGACGCTAGTAAAATGAGGCCGGCGGGTTGCTGGTTTGGGATCCCCCCCCCCCTCCCTCCTCGAACCATGGGACCATTGCTAGCCAGCATTAGCCGGCCAAATGCCACTCGAGAGTCGTTGTTGGCTTCACTATATTCCTACTGCCCCTCCATTGTTGCCCGCTATCCCCATCCCCCATGGGAATTCAATCAAGTTTATGCTGACTGCTAGGACCACCGCCACCGGGGGGGCCAAATCCCGTTTGAATTCCTCGTACACGTCCAACTGCTTGACAACCGTACCGGAGTGAATAGTAATCGTTTTAGGGTGCACGGAGGACAGCGATTCCTGCTCACATCAGATTAAGGTATTTACAGGTACATAGTATCCAGAACAAGTCTTGCGGCCGAAAGGCATAGCGAGCGGGATGGCTGACCTGCCACGGCAACCTAGTACTACATGTTATCTCAGGAAGAGTATCGTGCTCACCGGGCACAAGCGTGGGAAGTTTGCTTCAACAATAATAATGCTGCACTGCACATCTTGAGATCTCATACCACACGCCAGACCACCGGGTCCTCAGCTGGAGTAACAGTTGCACAGGTGGTCTGAAAGACTGAGTCAATCTCCGTGAACAAGTACCGGTCGACCGCGTATCCGTCCATCCTGGCGTTTCCCTTTGCTTTTCCGCTATTTCGACTTGCTCGATGCGTGAACCGTAGGTAGAGAGGAACTAGTCTCATTAGGCCGGTTTCTGGCTGCGGTTCAGCGGCAATAGGCAATTGATGCAGCACCAGCCAAAGCCAACCGGCTCTGGATCTCCATCGACTGCGGGCATGTCATCTTTTCCCTCGTAATCGGCCACATACCCCTCTTTCCACAGCCACCAGGAGATCCATCGCTCGCCGTGCGTCAGCCAATCTGACAGTCCTTGCATCTACTAGAGAGTCAGTCGTCAGTCCCGTTGGTCCTCCCAAAACCCCGCAGTTGGCGAGGGTCTGACGGAATCACGGGCTCTCGACGGTCCTCATTGTTCTGACAGCCGTTCGGCCAGTGGGAGAGATGGACATCGGAGCTCCCAGCTCCAGCGGAATCCCTGCCCAGTGGTCCCGGCCCATAGGAAAGTAAGAGTGAAGGTCTCGTGGTGGGTACCGTAGCACGGATTCAATCCCTTTCAAATTCGTTGCTTTCCCCGCGCTACCAGCATTTTGCGGTTTAAATAAAGGCAACTGTCCCTCTCTCTCGTTCTACTTCCATTCCCTATCACAGGACTTCTCCTTCTTACTCCAGTCTTCTTGTGATAGCATTGATTTTGAATCATCCTGCAATCATGTCTCTGTTTACCAAGATCGAAACCCCCAGCATCACCTACGACCAGCCCATCGGCTTGTACATCGATGGCAAGTGGGTGAAGGGCACCGAGGGCAAGACCTTCGAGACCATCAACCCCTCCAACGAGAAGCCCATCGTCGCCGTCTACGAAGGTGGTCCAGAAGGTATGACGCTTGTGTTTGTTGTTGCACACATCGACGGGTCGTAATCTACAGCCAGCTGACACGCCTGTCTCTCTAGATGTCGATATTGCCGTCAAGGCTGCCCGAAAAGCCCTCAATGGCGTCTGGGCCCAGACCCTCCCCTCCGTCCGAGGTGCGATGCTGACCAAGCTCGCTGACCTCTTCGACGAATACTCCGACACCCTCGCCGCCATCGAATCGCTCGACAACGGCAAGGCTCTCTCTATGGCAAAAGTTGATGTCCAGCTCTCCTCGGGCTGCCTCCGATACTACGGTGGATGGGCAGACAAGATCCACGGAAAGACCATTGATACCGACCCAGAGACCTTCAACTATACCAGACACGAGCCCGTCGGTGTGTGCGGCCAGATTATCCCATGGAACTTCCCACTGCTCATGTGGGCGTGGAAGATCGGACCTGCCCTGGCCACCGGTAACACTGTCGTACTGAAGACTGCCGAGCAGACTCCTCTGTCTGGTCTATTCGCCGCGACCCTCGTCGAGAAGGCCGGTATCCCCGCCGGTGTCGTGAACATCATCTCCGGCTTCGGTAAGACCGCTGGCGCGGCCATTGCCTCGCACATGGACATCGACAAGGTTGCCTTCACTGGCTCAACCGTCGTGGGCCGAACCATCCTCCAAGCCGCTGCCAAGTCCAACCTGAAGAAGGTCACGCTCGAGCTCGGCGGCAAGTCGCCCAACATTGTCTTCAACGACGCCAACATTGACGACGCCATCTCGTGGGTCAACTTTGGAATCTTCTTCAACCACGGTCAGTGCTGCTGCGCCGGTTCCCGCATCTACGTGCAGTCGGGCATCTACGACAAGTTCGTCGAGGCGTTCAAGGAGCGGACGGCCAAGAACGTAGTCGGCGACCCGTTCAAGCAGGACACCTTCCAGGGCCCACAGGTCAGCAAGCTCCAGTTCGACCGTATTATGAGCTACATCCAGAGCGGCAAGGAGGCCGGCGCCAAGGTCGAGACTGGCGGCGAGCGCCACGGCGACGAGGGTTACTTCATCAAGCCCACCATCTTCTCCGGCGTCAGCCCGGACATGAAGATCATGCAGGAGGAGATCTTCGGCCCGGTGTGCACCATCAGCAAGTTCGAGACCGAGGAAGAGGTCATCAAGGCCGGCAACGAGACCACCTACGGCCTCGCCGCCGCCGTCCACACCACCAACCTCAACACCGCCATCCGCGTCGCGAACTCCCTCAAGGCCGGCACCGTCTGGGTCAACAACTACAACATGCTCAGCTACCAGGTCCCCTTTGGCGGCTTCAAGGAGTCTGGCATCGGTCGTGAGCTCGGCAAGTACGCACTCTCCAACTACACTCAAGTCAAGTCTGTGCGTGTCCGTATTGGTGGTGCTATTTTCGGTTAGAGGGTTGCTGTTAAGAAGAACGAAAATAAGAAGAATTAATTCCCAAAAAGGAGAATCGATCAAATCCGAGAATGAATGTCAGCACAAATATTGATAACATACTGGACACAAATCGCACAGGAAAGCCACGCAATGCGCAGGATATGAGAACGAACGAGGTCATCTTTTGGACTTTTTGACTACAAATCAAACGAGTCAAGAGTTGGCACAAGGATGTATGTATGTACAGCAGATTAACGAGATATGAATAAAAAAACCATCAAAACCATCACACGGAACATACACACATCTATCCATTCATTCATAGATGCATGCATGCATGCCTACCTCGTTCTGGTCTGACCACTCTCTACCTGTAGCTTTCGAAGAGAGGTCCTCCATACAAAGGACAAGGTCGATTTACGGCGTATGGTGAGCATAGGGTGCCTGACCTTAGGTACAGTAGGTAGGTTACCCCCATGTTCCAGTGCTCGTATTGTACTGTAAGATGATGTTTGGTTGGTCCCGTGGGAAAAGGGGGGTGGGTGTGCCGATACCTATCAATCTATACCTATGTATCACATCACCCACTGCCCGCCACCACGTACAATGCGGTCTGATTACTAGGTACCACCCCCGTACTTACTTAGCGAAGCTGGGTATCTACTTTATCTGGACTCCCCGATTAGGCACAATGCTACTCGTGCGGTCAGAAGTGAAAGGCATCTCGCCCGAGAAAAAGTCGCCTCCACGTGATTCGTGCCGTACTCCCACGTTGGTCCCTGGGTACCTACGTCCTACGTAGGTAGGTATTTAATGGATGCACGCACGCGCTCTCTAGAAAATGCCCGCATGATTCGGGTGATGCGTCAAGTTCGTCAAAGCCGTGTCCTTCTTTGAAAACCCGACATGACCAGAACGCAGTGTCCTTGAACCGACGGTTTTCGCTCGTCGTCCCATCATCGTTCTATCATCGGATTCATCACATCACTAGGCACTGGGGCCATCTTCACTGGGACCCAGCTTCAACCGCCCACCGCCCACCACTATCCACATACACTCTTCTCCTCTGGCTGAACCTCAACCGACCGCCTTGATACGCACTTCCTCGATTTTCTCTTCGTACGGGGCGGGGTGGAAGCAGCCGTGTCTTCTTTGGTTGGATCATCCTCGTCGACTCTGAGCGTTTCATGCGGCTGGCTGCAAGATTGCTCTGGGCTCCGAGATTTCAATCGTCCGTAAACGACAACGGCAGCAAAGAGCAGCAACAGCAGCAGCAGTTGTTGGTAGGTACACGAGCCATCGTGGCGGAAAAGGAAACCTTGACGAAGAAAACAAACACAGCCCAAAGCCGTGACCGGAGCCACCGTTGATTGAAAACTCGCGGTACAATCTCCGTGTCACCAGTATCTCCATCTCCATCCATGGACAAGCGCAAGTCTGATGGCACGAAGATGGAGGTTGAGCCAGAGCAGCAGCAACTCGACGGCGACCGCAGGAGCTGCAGCTGCGGCAGCAGCAGCACAGTACCACAGTTAGCGGAACTATCGAGCGACGATTTTCAAGCATATAATCGGTTGGCTGAGTTGATGAACCTATATGTCAGTGTCAACCTCTTTCTATTTCCCTAGACTCCACCGTCGGCGTCGCACCAACAAAACTGACAGCACTCTCGCGCCCTCTAGCATAACCACTTCAGACGTACTTGGAACATGCTGTACCAAATCTGTACATCTGGCTCTCGCCCCGCGGGCGTCTCGATCCGGGCGTGCATAACTCAGGGGTTGCAGCTCTGCCAGTCTTTGACAATGCACCATACGATGGAGGAAAGGTACGTGTTCCCCGTCCTCGCGGAGCGGATGCCACAATTCCGCGAAAACGACCATTTGATTTCGCAGCATGAAATGATACACGTGGGTCTGGTCAAAATGGAAGAATACCTCGACACTTGTCTGGGCGGGGAGCGCGAGTTGAGATGGCCCGAAGTGAAGGAGATCATGGATAGTTTCGGCGAAGTGTTGTGGAAGCACCTTGACGATGAGGTTGATCAGTTGGGCGCGGAGAATATGAGAAAGTTCTGGACCAAAGAGGAGGTCTTGTCCATGGATTGGTAGCCGATGATCTGGGTGCGTATTTGCTGTTGCGTTACCAAATCGTGCGGAATGGAGAGTTGGCAGGCTTTATTTTAAGAAAAACATCTCTTCAGAGTAACGAGAAGAACAGTATGGATAGTAGAAGAAGGACGTCCATCACCCATCAGACCAAAAGCGCAGCCTCGATTTTGGGATTTCGATCTCGGGAATCGGCCTCTCTGTTTTGGATTCTTGTTAAACCTCGTCTCGTTCTAGGAACCCAGGGTCGTTTTGTATCTTTCTCTCGAACTTGGCCCACCAGTCCTGGAAACTCTTCAGTGGGACAACTTCGATGCCGTTGGCCGTGTTTCCAGCAAAGCTGGCCAGAAAATTAAATGCGTTCTTGATGATCCGCTGGGCCAGCACCTTTGTGTCCGGTGGTCTCTTCGCGAGGGCCGTGGAGCCAGAGGATTCTTGCAGCTGAGCCATTTGAGCTTGAATGTTCTGGACGGGCTCGACGGAGATGCCGAGATTGATCTCCCCGGCGGCAAGAGAGTCCGGAATAGTCACCTTGAACAATGCGGATGGTTTCTCGTTGGCGATGGCGCCGAGGAACTTGAAGCCTTGCTCGCCGGGCAGTTGCATGTAGACTCCGGCTGCCGAACCCGGCGGCAGCACTTGATTCGGGTGCATGAAGACGCCGACATTGTGGAACGGTGGTGAGGCTGGAAAGGAAATGGCGAACTGCGTTGGAGAGATTGTGCTCATCTCTCCAACCACCGGTCGAGCTGGGATGAATACGCCAAACATAGCTGAAGCCTGGTTGTTACACCAAGATGTCTTTGTTAGGTAGTGTGCCGGCGTGCATGTATTAGGACAGGCCAGGCCTTGCGTGGAAGCGACCTGTTATTGTTTTATTAGGCCGTTTGGAGTGTCCGGAGGGCAATGAGGAGTAGAACGACGTAGCCACGAGAAGTTATAGTTATCCTCTGGTGAAGTATTGACGTGAAGCCGTCCTCAGTTGGCCTCGAGAAGCGGATGGGAGTAGTGATGTAGAACCCTCGCTCATCTTCTGGAACGAGCTATCCGGATGTGGAGTCGCACAGGACCCAAATTCCTGGGCTTTTACGTGACGCTTGGAGCCGAGCTTCACGTGACACTCGGCTCTCCTGTGATCACGGGTCGTCCTTCGAAGCAACCGCTACGAGTGCCCGAAGTTTGCACGCAGTAAACAGGATGAAGTTGTGCACCTTATCACTTCCTAAAGACATGCTTTGGACATTCGGAGCTCTGCGTGCAGGACTTGGACTTGTCAACCGCCACGGTTTTGACTCCACTGCTTTTTGCCTGCCGGAGACAGTTCAGCTCCCGCGTCAAAGCCTCTTCTTCTGATGGACGGTACTCGATTTGGCGCTTGAGCGATTCGATTGCTATGCCGGAGATTGTCAGACTCTGCCTGAATGATTCGGTCACAGGCGATTTGCTTGCCTTCGGATATCTTCTGTTTTGGAAGCTTCGGCTTGGACGACGTGTTGCCCATGGTGGTCCAAGCTGCTCACTGCCCTCATTCACTACTTGGAAGGCGTTCGCTACGCTCCCTGATAATCCCCCAATGCCGCAATTTCCACCCACAGAGAATAACTTTAATCGTGGTTGACTTGGTTGAGGAGGTACACAAGATGTTGATACTGCCGGACATTAGTGATACGGGCATGCACAATGATGTCACACCATTTCACTATAGTCTCTTGCGCAAGCAATGAGCACAGAAATTCAAGGCGGCAGTACAGGCCAGATTCCCTCGAATTAGTTCTACAATTCGAGATGTATACGATGAAAATTGCCATGGCGATCAGAATCGGAGGAAAATGTTTCGTACCACTCGAAGGATGTCATACGACGACTCGGCGACTTCCCAGGCCAGCCGCTAACGTGATCAGGGGATGTCTACACCAGCACCTACCTGAGCTCTTGTCATATCCAGTAATGGCACGACCGTGCAGTTACACCTACTCATCCAACAATCATTTCGGTATCGACTTTGTGCCAAGGATGGATGGCGCGACGGTCGCAACAGGGAAGAACAGGGCATGGGTCTAAGTTCATGCCGAACCTGGTTAAGTACACGGGTGACTGGATGGCAGGAAAGAAAAGAGGATGCCGACTTTCTGGATGAGTGGAACGGCCGAGTCAGAAAGCTGGAGAGCAATCCCTCAATGGTATTATGCGTGGGACAGAAGACACAGAGCAGAGCCTTGCAATGGCAGCCTTTTACGAAGGAGGATAGTTTCAGGATGTAGAGAAGCTCCCCGTAAGATTTTTAGGCAACGAAATCCTGTCATAGCACATGCACGACCCTAGAGGTCACCAAGGGAGGGCGAGCCGCATTCCACAGCGCAGGAGCAGTTACACAAGTATCCCGGCGATGCCACGGTAATGATGAGGAAACTGGTATGTGAGGCTGACCCATCGACAATCCGAATACGACGGTGGCCGGTGGAGAATCGATGTTTGCAAACCAGGGCTGTTGTTCTGTATGGTGGAACATGAGCCTCACTATTTAGCCAGGGAATGAGTGCTGCTTAAAAATCCGGTGCTCTTGGGCGTCACCAACGTGATCTTCACGGGAATATCTAGGCATTTATAGGTACCTGTACCTGCGAGTTATAGTTAGCTTATTACCTGTGACTCAGTGAGCACCTCGCCCGGAAGTATCCACGCCGACTTTGCACGGAGAAATTGTTGCTTCCTAAGCAGCCTCCCCACACTCGGTGCCATTTGATTCCCAACTCCGAGTGCCCGGGGCATTCACAACCACCCCAGGTCCATTGGTTGGCTGGTCAGTATAGCAGCCACCACATGTTGACACCCCTGTCGATGTCCCTTTTTCACGAGATTCTCTCTTGATCTGGCCAGTCAGAGGCAGAGTCGGCGCAACTTTCGTCCTCGCTGCCTAGCCTACTAGCCCGTTCTCGTATTGCTGAAGCTGAAACTCTCAATCCGAACACGACAAAGGATCCCATTGTCAACCTTCATGACATCAACATGTTAGGTATATAAGGGAGCTGGAACAAGAGGCTCCGCAATCTGCAACTCAACTGTGCGCAGCATCTGTGTGCACTTGCCACCCTGCCGCCGTGTGATTTGTTGCTCCATACTGCAGCAACAAACAAAAGTAGAACAAAACGACATGGGCTCTCACGAGAATCATGTCGGGGCTGACACGACGACGACGCAGCCAGTGAACAACCCGGCCGCGCACAAGGACGAGACCCTGCCCGATGCCAAAGCGCCAGCCGTTTCCTCATCAGCCTCTTCTATTTCGTTGACCGAAAAGTCTGGCCAGACCCAGCCGCAAGAGAAGGACGGGAACCTCTCCACTGAATCTTCCCAGAAGGACGTAGAAATCCAACCGGACTCTGGGGCCGAGGACACAACAAATTACCCGCGCGGATTCAAACTCATCACCCTCATCATCGCTTTGTGTTTGGCTGTTTTCCTCGTCGCTCTGGACCAGACGATCATTGCCACGGCGATTCCCAAAATCACGGATCGGTTTAACAGTGTCAACGACATTGGCTGGTACGGCAGTGCCTACTTCCTGACGAGTACCGCCCTGCAGCCCAGCTTCGGTCGCATATACAAGTTCTTTCAAATCAAATGGGTCTTCCTCTCGGCCATTGGCGTTTTCGAGGTGGGATCGTTGATATGTGCAGTCGCCCCTTCAAGTACGGCTTTGATTGTCGGGAGAGCCGTCGCTGGCATTGGGGTTGGTGGTATCTTTTCTGGGGCCTTGGTCATTATCGCTCACTCAGGTAAGTCGATCCATGCCGGTCGGTCGTTGCCCGGTAACACTGCACCGCAATTGCTGACAGGCCTCCTTTTTATCTAGTCCCTCTGATACGCAGACCTTTGGTATTTGGCATGTTCGGCGCAATGTGGGGTCTCGCCAGTGTCGCCGGCCCGTTGTTGGGCGGCGTCTTTACTGACAAGGTTTCGTGGAGATGGTGCTTCTACATCAAGTAAGCCCCTTCCTCGTCACTTACTCTTCGTACGCGTAGTACTGACAGATCGAAAATAGTCTCCCGATTGGTGCTGTTTCCATCGCGGTCGTCCTTTTCGTCCTCCATGTTCCTCAGGATCCCAAGCTCTCTGAGAAGCCTATCCTGAAACGGATTCTCGAGTTAGACCTGATCGGAGCTGCGATTCTCATCCCTGCCATCATCTGTCTGCTATTGGCCGTCCAATGGGGTGGCTCGACCTATGCATGGAGCAACTCTCGCATCATCGGCCTTTTCGTCGGTGCCGGACTCATGCTGATTTTGTTTGCCGTCTCGCAGTGGTATCTGGGCGAGGCGGGCACTATCCCTCCCCGGCTATTGAAACAGCGTACCTTGATGGCCGCATGTGCGTTTGTGTTCTTCTTCGGCGCCGGCATCTTTATCCTGATATACTACCTGCCTCTCTACCTCCAGAGTGTCAAGGGGTCTTCACCCACCAAGTCTGGAATCCAAATCTTGCCCCTCATGCTGTCGACGGTCCTCACTTCGATCCTCGGCGGCATCATGGTCACGATTCTCGGTTATTACACCCCAATCCTGATCGCCGCCAGCGCACTCATGACGGTGGGATACGGTCTGATCTCCACCTTCACCATCGACTCGCCTTTCCGCGAGTGGTTTGGGTACCAGATTTGTGCTGGCCTCGGTGCTGGATTTGGCTTCAATCTCCCTCTCGTCGCCGTGCAGACCGCCCTGCCGATGGAGGATATCCCTCAGGGCACCGTGCTGCTCATGTTCTGTCAGTCGCTCGGTGGCGCTCTCTTTATCGCCGTAGGCCAGTCGGTCTTCTCCAACGGTCTTGTCGAAGGCGTCGCGAAGTACGCTCCAGACCTCGATCCGCAGCTGCTTATCAACACCGGAGCTACGGCGATCCGGAGTGTGCTGGCCCAGATGGGAATGGAGGATGAACTCCGCCAGGCCATCGAAGCGTACGTGTACGCTTTGAAAGATTGTTACCGCGTGACCATCGCCGTGTCGGGCGTGTCATTCATTGCAGCGTGTTTCTTAGAGTGGAAGAGTGTGAAGAAGGAGAAACGCCCTGGTGCCGAGGCCGTGCCCGCTATGGGATGATGCGGTTTTCTTTAACCCTCAGAGGACTCAAAAATCTTTCGACTCCCAACTCTTGCATATTCATGTCCAGATAGACTTGCTATGAAAAGCATTCTCAATGCCATGAAGGTTAGACTAGACGCATTTGGTTTCACAAACTTCTGTCCATTTTCCTGGAGGCAAGCTGTCACGAGCTTCGACGTCGTCAGGCTACCTGGGACGACGGCATATAGCTCTAGCAGAAGGAGACTCATCGTCTATATATCAACTCTGAGCTCGATGGGGCCATCAATACTACTACTAACCCACTACGCGCCGTGGTCAACGCGAAAGGCGATTGAGGAGTGCAGGTACAGGTAGTCAGCCTCGTCACGTGTAACGCCAAGTCTGGATACTTCGGTGACATTTTGATCGCCTCTGTTTTGAATCATTACTTTCATTTTCGCCAACTCCTCATCAAATGCCCATTGTGTGCGACGACCAGTATCGCAGGTCTGACTACGTGCGAGACCGAAGTTGGTTGGCTCTAGTGTCTCCGAGAAACGAGACCTTATCCACACAATTATCCATCATGCGAGCAGGTCTACCCTCATCCACCACGTCCGAGAGGGTACGTACCTAAATCCAGGTACATAGTTTGTCCACCACTCTTCTTACCCCTGTGAGTTGTGTATCACCTCTGAAAAAAAGACCTGCCTACCTACCTGTCCGTTCTGTATGAGCATCGCAACCTTACTGCGCCCTCGCATCTCACTACAACCATGACATCGTCGCCGAAAACGACCACCCCGGCGACCGGCGCCGTCTCACACCCCGCTCACGCACTGCTCTCTCGCGCCCACTCTCCAGACACAGCGTCGCGCATCTTCACCGACAAGGTCCGCAACAAACCGCTTCTCCTGCAGCCCACGTCGTCGTCCGACAGGGACAAACGCGCTCTCCGGCGGCACATCCGGCTCCGCAAGAAGGAATACCACCTGCGCAAACGCAAGCCCCGGCCCCTCAGCGCAAAGGAGAAGCGCGACACGGGCGTCTTCAAACTGCACAAGGACGAGATCAAGTACGACGTGTACGTGAAGCTGCACGAGCTGTGGAACGCGTACATGCTGGAGGTCCTCGGGTACACCAAGGACGGCGAGGCGGTAGAAGGCAGGCTCGGCAAGACACTCACGGCGCAGGGCGGCGCGGGTGGACTCTTGGCCAGCGCGGACTTCCACGGCGCGATGCTCGAGGTCGTCAGCGCCACCGACGTCGGTAAAGTCGGACTCAGGGGCATCGTCGTCCGGGACACCAAGTACACCTTTGTCCTGGTGACGGAGCGGAACAAGGTCAAGACGGTCCCGAAGCGGGATTGCGTCTTTCGGTATCGAGTCGACCTACCGCGGCTGCCGGGGGGGGAAGACACGGGCGCGAAAGAAAATGAAGACGGACCTGAGAAAGATGAGGACGGCAAAGAAGGGGCGCAATCGGCCCGAGGGGACGCAAAGAGTAAAGCGCAAGCCGAAGCGTCCGGCGCCAGAGCCGGGACTGGGAGGAGTGTGACCTTCGAGGTGCACGGAAACCAGTTCGAGTTCAGACCGGCCGACAGAGCGAGCAGGAAATTCAAGTGGAAGGTGACGGATTATCTTTGAACCATCTCTACGTCTCGCGCGCTATTTTTTGAAATGTGTAGACTAGGAATGACCCAACGACCAACGACCCAGCCTGATGAAGGATTGACGAATGAGGAATGCAAGGAACGTACATTACATTACAACGCAAGTAATAATAACTCGAACGCTCATGAGCTGACCGGTACTCGGTACTAGCTACATAGGTAGTATCTTACTTGAAAGACATGGGCGCATACAGCACCGCACAGCACAGATTCTTGATCTGACGCCGTCACATCTCGACTGTCCTATTAGGCAATATTGAACTCGTCGGCACCCTTGCCCATCATGAGCGCCCTGTTCTTCCGGATCTTCTCACGCATCTTTCTTGCCGCATCGTCAGTATCGTCCACCTCGTCGATGTCGGCTGCCTTCTGCTTCCTCCTTCCATCGTTATCCCCGTCACCGCTTGAGGGTCCACCGGTCTCCGAGGGCCGTCCTCGTTTCTTCGACTGCGCACCACCACGCTGACCCACGACGTTGACTCGTCCAGGCGGATCGCGCAGCCCAAACGCCTTCGCTAGGTGACCCAGGTGCAACTCTTTAATGTCAAAGTACTTCCTCTCTGCCGCGACGTGGGTCGCATAGGCGCGAATGTGTGATTGAAACGCTCGTTTCGCGAGATCCTTGTTATGTTGGGCCGAGAGTATCCAGCGCTCCACTTCGAGTTGGAAATTTGTGGCGATGGTGTCCCAGTTCCCTGCTGCCGCCGTGCTCTGTGCGTCTTTACCTGTTGAGGAAGAGGAAGTCTGGCTGGCTTTCTTCGTCGGCAGGATCCCCGATAAAGGGCTGAAACCCTTCTTCAACACATCCTCCGCTGCTTGGTGCGTGACGTTTCGGCTCGTGTCGGCATCGGACGAAGGCTTGTACGACTTGTGCAGAATGTCGACGTATCCTTCCTCCTTTCCCGGGAGAAGGAACACGACAGCACGGCCATCTCGACCGAGACGTGCCGTTCGTCCTATGCGGTGCAAGTGATCGTCCGAACTGAACGCCGGATCATACTCGATCACCAGGTCAAGGTTGGGCAAATCAAGACCACGAGATGCAACGTCCGTAGCGATGAGCAGAGACGGAGCAGTGGTGGAGCCGAAGTGCCGGACGATGGCTGTCCGGGTGGCCTGCGGCAGGGAGCCGTGGAGTTTGTAGACGGTTATTGGATTGGCTGGGGTGGAAAGAATGGGTGAAGGAGAGATTGCATCTGCACTTGGGTCGATTGTGGGAAGTTTGGGGGTTTGCTTCGTGGAACGAGTTTTGTTCTTCTTGGGTTTCGTCTCGGTATCGGAGTCGCCGTCCGAGTCGGAGTCAGAGGAGGTTGAAGCTGGAGGAGTCGGTGGTTTTGATGTGGTCGTGGAAGTAGCGTTGTCCGTCGTTGACGAGTTCTCACTCGAGGAACGTGTTAAGACCTTGTAATGAAACTCGACCGAGTCGGCACAAGAGACAAAGATAATGGCTTTCATGACCGAGCCTTTGCGTGCAAAAGTCCGTTTGAGCAGAGCTGTCAGCGTGACGAGTCGTAACTTTGCAGCTGTGACAAGATAAGACTGTTTAAGCTGTGCTGGGGCCAGGAAAGCTGACCCGGTACCCTCATCTTCACGGTCAGGGTCGTCGTCAGTTGACTCGCCCTTTATCAACACGGCGTCTTTCAGACTTATCTCGCCAAGCTTTTGGACGTTCATTTTCAGAGTCGCAGAACAGAGAACCGTGGTGCGCTGAGATGGCAAGCCGAGTCTGCTTGAAGTGCGCTTCCTCTCGTCGAGCGTCTTGACGATCTTGGTGATGTCTTCCTCAAAACCAAGATCCATAAGCCGATCACCCTCGTCAAGAACAAGCCAGCGGACCGTGCTGACATCAAGAACCTTGGTATTGTCAAGATGATCAACCAGTCGGCCGGGAGTGGCGACCAAAATGTTCAAGCCTTTGCGCAATCTTGCCTTCTCGGACTTCTTCTTCTCACCGCCTATTACTGTGCCGGCCACAATGTAGTGAGCACAGCCGAGTAGACGTTCGAGAACGACCGAGATCTGCTTGCACAACTCTCGCGTCGGTGCGAGGATGATGGCAAAGAGGCCTGAGTCTCGGTGCACCGACGGGTCCTGGGAAGCATGGCCGGCTCCCTTTTGCGATTCAGCCATAGTAATGATCCGTTGGACAATTGGCAAAAGATATGCGAGGGTCTTTCCAGAACCAGTCTCTGATTGTATAAATGCATCGCTGTCTTCTTTTACCATCTGTGAAATTGCTGCCTTCTGAATGGCAGTTGGGTTTTTGAGGTTCATCTTGGTCAAGAGGTGCGCAGCCACTGTGGGAGACAGGCCGAGTGAGGTAAAAGTGTCTATGCCATCGACGAGGGGCGCGTTGGACGGCACCGTAGGTTCCTCCTCGGTGACTTTTTCTTGCTCCTTTCCTGTGGCTGAGACCGACTTCGGGTTGTAGCTGAACAGGGACGAGATAACCTCGCGCGGACCTTTCGAATGTCTCGGGTCGTAAGATTTCTGGACGTTGCCCACACCCTGGGCTGCGCCAGGAGTATAGTCATTGTCACGCCTTCTCTTTGTAGGTCTTGAGTCCCCAAAGTCTTCGGCCTGCTCCTTCGTCTGTCGTCGAGGATGTAACGGTACTTTGTTCGGATCGTTCGAGTCTCGAGGCCCGCCTCCTCGTTGAGCCCATCTTTTCACTTTTAAACGGTGTCGCCATGAACCCCCAGTGAACTTCTGGGCCTGTGCACTGACGGGCTCCCCAACGGTGAAGTTGAGGAACATGCCATCGTCTGCCATGGTCAAAAGCTGGACCCGGTACCCGGTGGCCTAGAATACAGTTGGAACAGAAATGCGCGATGGCAGAATCTGGAACTTTTTTTAAGATGATGCGGGGAGATTTTCAGCCCCGATTTTCAGCGTCCGCTGCACTTCAACTCCAGCCTTCTGCATACCACGCCTGCACTTCTCATCATGAACACTCAGCATGCAATGAGTCAATAGCGTTGAAGATGAGGCAGCTGCCTCCGTCCAACTCTTCTTCTCTCTGCTTACCGACACGTCCATCGAGGATCTAGGGCCATGGAACTGCCACCTGTGCTGCAAGCCTCGAAGCGAGCTCTCCTAGCTAGACCAGCTGTGAGCCGAGTTCTACTCTATAGCAGACAGCCATGTCTTCGCCTACACGCACCTATAACGCGATGGAACTCCACAAAGGCTGATGTCTCAACACCTTTTCCGGTCTTTCGAGATGTACCGCCCCTTCGACAAGTACGCAAGAAAATGTTTCGAGAAGGCAAAGAGGTGGGCTTCGTCGCTACGATGGGGGCACTGCATGAGGGCCACCTCTCCCTGGTGAAGCATGCTCTACAAGAAAACACGGATGTATTTGTGTCCATCTTTGTCAATCCCACCCAATTCGCGGCGCATGAAGACCTGGACTCGTATCCGAAGACATGGGAGGACGATCTGCAGAAACTCAAACAAATACAGGATGAGCATGCAGCTTCGGCAGGGCCAAATTCAGGATCTAAAATCAGAGGCATCTTTGCCCCTACTGTAAAGGTCATGTACCCAACTCTCCCACCATCGTCAGATATCGCAGGTCATGGATCTTTCGTGACCATCACACCATTGGGCAATCAACTGGAAGGCAGTTCCCGCCCCATCTTCTTTCGCGGCGTGGCGACCGTGTGCACGAAGCTGTTCAATATCATCCAAGCCGATCGTGTGTATTTTGGTCAAAAAGATATTCAGCAATCGGTTGTGATCAAACGCATGGTAAAAGACTTTCATATTCCCACAGAAGTGCGTGTCATACCGACCAGCCGGGAGGCAGACGGTCTGGCAATGAGCAGCCGGAATGTTTATCTCGGAGAGCGAAGGAGAGAAGATGCCGTCGTGCTTTCCAAGGCACTCTTCGCCGCAAGAGATTTATATAACTCTGGTGAACTCAGCGGCAAGAAAATCAGAGATGCTGCGTACGAGGTCTTCGCCCAGGAGTCGATGCTGAGAAGGAAAGATGGCAAGTTAGGAGGAAGTTGTCAGATTGAGATCGACTATATCGCATTGAGCGAACCGCAGAATATGGCTATGATCCCAGACTTTGCCAAAGTTGATCCCAGCCAAGGGGCTATTCTCAGTGCTGCAGTATATGTACAGCCAGTCGACGAGCCCAGGACTGAGAAGGAAGTCGGGCAGAGGGTAGTGAGGTTGATCGATAATGTCATCTTGGAGCCACGAGAGAAGGCCTCATAAAATTATATACGGGTCATGGGTTCAGTTCACCGTTCAATTTCAACTTTGCACTGAGTCTTGGAGACTCCAGAGCTCATACGATGGGTGTTTATTTTCCTCTTGCCCTCTTCTCTCTTCCTCCCTTCCCTGCTCCCCTTCCCTGCTCCCCTTCCGGTCTCTTCTGCGCAATCCACACCGACCCACCACAGCTCAAACTCGAATGCTACCGGTCTCGAATTGCGTATCACCTCTTCGATAGACCCCTTCAACGGCGGTTCAAGTGCCGGGCATACGAGAAAAATTTGCCAGGAAGGACTGAGGCTGCTTAATTGACACCTCAGAATGTAGTTCTTGATTCGGTTTACCAAATCAGCTCCATGGAATGGACGTCCAGGCGCGCGATCCCCGTCGAAGCCACTCTCGCAAATTAACAAGCCTTTCGGTTCATGATTGACCGATACCATGAACCGTGAGGTTGCTTGGTGTCCTGTTGGTGGACTGCGGTGAACCCGTTGGTGGTTCCTTTGGAGGAAGTCCCAACCACGGTGGACAGGTTGAAATCGACACATCACCTCGTGCAAGCAAAGTGCCTTCGCTACCTGTACGATTCAACCGTTTCGGTCTGAGCACAACGAGATACATCCAGCCTGCTGAAACAGACAACATCTGACCCAGATTGAATGTGTAATCATGTCAACCAACAACCCCTGCCTGTACCTATGGGTCATCAACCATGAGTGGCATATCCAGCCATTTGCTCAAGGTTGTGTGGTTGTGTGGCTGGAGTAAACTTCCAATGCAGACAGGACGTCGAAAGATGTCTACGAACAAATGTTCAGTAAATGTCCCAGAGAGATATTTTACCGTCTTTACCACCAGCGGCAATCCAATGTACCTTGCGTGCTTTTTCTTCTCGTTTGCGTTTGATAATCTCAAGGGCTGTAGGCGGTGCGAGGATCTCTTTGGACTGAATACTTGGGTCTGAGTCCGAGTGTTCAGTAGGAGTAGTCGTATCATCGAGATCGAGATCAACGTCTGCGAAGCACGTAGCGTAGCAGCCTTGTTGATGCCATTGCAGGACAGCCAGTTCTTTGATTGTCCGTGTCGAGTAAACTCGAATTCGCGCGTCCCACCCTGCGGTCGCGAATATCTTGCCGTCCGAGCGAATGCTGAGGCCTTGCTGACCGGCATGCTTCGTCTTCACAGATTTCTCGGCTTGGGTCTCCAAGAGTGTCTCGGATGGTGTGTGTGGGATGTTAAGTGAATATCTAGCGATCCACGAGTCGACGCCGGAAGTTATGAAATAGTCATTTGAAGGCGAAACGTCGAGCGACAATACCGGCTGTGAACTAGGATGCGCCTTGGTTAACATGATCCGTTGCCAACCCCCCTCGTCGGCGAAACTTCCGCTACGAGCGTGAACCATGACTCTTCCGTCTTCGTATCCGGACACCACGACAAGTCTGGAGCTTGCATCGTGGAAAATGGAGACGGCCATTACCATGCCCGTCGGGGAGCCCTGAATAGATGCAATCTGCGATATTCGTCGCTCGGATGGGAGCTGGAAGATGTCTATACCTCCGGAATCGAGACCGTTGGGAGAGGCTATCAATTGTGGCAGGGCCGCCGTATCCGAGTTGCGCCCAGGCGACTCATTACACATGGAAAAGGCGCAGAAATTCAGAGCATTGACTGACATTGAGTGCAGAAGCCATGGCTCACGTCGAGCAACAGTCGTTTTGTCACCAGGGAGATTCGTACTCAGACCGGCAAGGTCTTCGTCTTGGACCTGCCACACCCGTAGTTTGTGATCTCTTCCATGACTATCGGCTGTCAGGTTATATATTGAGACAAGACTTGAGCATTGGTCGACTGCGGACTCACCTAACAAGTCTCTTGCCCGTCCACTGTTTTATCGACATAATGGCACCTTCGTGGCCTTTCCAGACAGCAACAGGTCGCTTCGTTGCCAGACTCCAGATGATCAGCCAGCCTTCACCGTCGCCAGATGCGACGTACGTGTTTCGGCAATAGAAGTGAAGGGCATGGATAGGCGCATCATGGCCACGAAGGACATAAGTAGGAACTGCTGGTCGGTCCATGGTTTATGAAATGCCATGAACCCCTGTATAGGGGATGAAGGTGCGACTAGGAAGGTTTGCCTATGTCTTCATCTCTCTTGATTCACAGGCCATCAATTAACATACATAGTAGCCGCTGCACATTGTTGACGCTGACCGTGACAACTGATGAGGTAGCAAAAAAAGCTGTTAGCTGTTTCGCATACCCATATCCGGATGGATTTGGTATCAAATTTCCATTCAATCATAGACCCCCGGCAAGACACCTGGGGTTTTTGGAAATGAGGAACAAGTTCAAATGACTGCTCGTTCTTTTCCGGTGTCATATAAAACAGGCAGCTTTTTTGGTCTTTGGTTGATTGACACACGAATTTCTACGGCATGAACCTCTCTGTTGTGAAGGACTTCTTTCAACATGCAAAAAAGACAACCCAGAAAGCCAGAGAGTGTCAAAAATAAATTGCCAACTATCGGATTCGAACCGATGATCTTGTCATTTTTTCGTCTTGTGGGTTTTCATACGAGTGACACGCCTTACCCCTGGGCCAAGCCGGCATCAACTTTGTGACAAAATTTACGCTCTATAATTGCCCACTTTAATAATTAACTAGAGATAAAAAGCCAAGCTTGGGCGATCTGACTCTCGCGAACTCTTCTGTTTCCCCACCACCAATCATCCAATCTTCCCCTGGGCGTACCCGTCGACGTAGTGGTTCTCTACACACTGTCAAACGCCTTTATCCTATTGTCAATTCGCATTATTGCTCTAAGTTCTGTTACGAGTAGGTTATTGTCAAGGTCAAATGATTCTAGCCGCAAGGTTTGTCAATAGCAAAGTGGGCCTTTCGAATCGCATTCTCCAGAAGATTGGCCTCCAGGCATCACAACTTAAGACATCCACCGAGATAGCCTCGCCGGGGCCCGTGGGCACCCTCCCGGGAGTGTCTTTCTTGTCGTCGTCGTCGTCGCCACCACCTCCGTCGGGTGATCGCCAACCTTCAGAGCGACCCGAGGATTGCGGGTTGTGGAGATGAAAGACGACGCTGCTGGAGAACGACGGGTGTCTTTCAAGTTACAGAATGATCTACTCCATACGGCGTACAACACTGACTTGACAGCCTGGGAAGCAACTTTGAGGCTGCGTATCCCGGTGTGCACGGTAAGGACGTCGCTGCGATTAGGGAGTACTACATATGTTCCACCACTCAACAACCTCGCTAATAACTAGTAGCACTCGCAGGTGCACCACTGCATCCCCTATGGTTTGACCTGGCTCTCTGGCCAAGAGCAGTATAGACTAGAATTTTGGAGCCGCTTGTGAAGAGGTCGTCGAGTGGTGAGACAGATGTTGTCCGTATCTCAGTGGGTAGTCCATCCTCAATCGTCACTTACCATGTGGTTCTCCCTCGATCACACCGCACCCACTCAAGCCTGCTCCCGGTACTCCTTTTGATAGCGACCCGATCTAGTATCAGGCCAGACTACAAACTACTTACAGTGAAGCGATTACAATCGCTAAAAGGGGGTCGGTTGCCTAGGGAAGGTATTGTCTGTAGCTGACTCGAAGCGAGAATATCGACTGCTCCGTAGGCACATGTTCAACTCCGTCGGACCGGATCATGTCGGTGTTCTGTACCAAACCGTGGTCAGCAAATGGTGGTTACCCATCACCCATGGCTGAGATATCGTAAATTGGTTGAGAGACTAGACGAGTCTACGCCCACACGCCTCGTGGCCAAGGGAGCTTCCGTCCCCCAATTTGACTAAAAAAACGATGGCCACATTTTTCCCTCACTAGTTATAGCCCTACCGAAAACCAGTTCGCAATTATTAATGTTTTCGGTGGCCTTGATTTGAAAAACCGTTGTGCGGGGCCGGAAGCTAAAGCCCGTCAACTATGCCTGCGATGGGCTCAGAACGGTCTTCAGAATTTTCGGAGTCCTCCTGCACTCAAAAGAGCGTTGCGGTCTTTCAAGAGCAGCAGACTTGTTTGTGCGTGCGTGCGTGCGTGCGTGTGTGTGTCTGTCTCTCAAGAAATTCCTCGCACGTAGATAGACCTTCAGGATAAATCTCGGACGTAACTCGCCTCGAGGTTGTGACATAGTCCTAGGCTGCTTACTCCGTGGGAGAAACTTCCGATCGCCTGGACGATCCCAGTCTTCGTTTCGATGCAGGAGCACAGCGACGATAGGGAGGGATTTTGACTTTGGCTAACATTCTGCGGCGCATCACACAACCGAATTCTGAACAAAACAAGCAGCTGCACAAGCGAGTGGTGCGGCAGACTTGTACAGTCAAGGCTAGAGCATCGGAGTCCTCCTTCAGCTGAAGAGTGCTCGTGGGAGCATGCGCCAATGCCCTTCCCCGGGTAAACGGTGTCGAAATTTCCCGTCAACTAAAAACCCTCGGGCTCGATAGTTTCAGCCACATGACTTGCATATGCTGGCGAATACGAGACTAAGTGCCACGTGGGAAAGGGCCACGAGCTGATCGAGGCGAAGGGCATGTTTGAAGCGAAGGCTATGCCGTTCAGAGAGGATGGCGTGGTTCGAAAAGGTCCAGAAGGGTGCATGGTCGGACACGCCGAAAGCTGCTGCAAGGAGGGGAGCCGGGGTTGTTTCCTAGAGAGGAAGACACATGCAGAGACACGCACCAAAGGGGAAATGCCATTTTGTTTTGACAAGCAGACCAATGCAAGGATTGAAGCGACCGTCGACCGGCATATTCGGATTTGTTCTGATCGTCAAAGTGTCTGTACTGCATGTGGAAAAGTAAGACCACCCACCCACCCACCCTTTGGCGAGACTTCGAGCCTCGAGCTGAAAAAATGACGGGCAGGCGAAGACGAAGAGGGATAACGGTTTCAGGTGGAACGTGCCACCTTAGGCGGCTGGACTTTGCTTTTCTGCCGGACCATTCCGCTTTGGAATCTGCAGGCCTCAGCACGACAAGGGTGCGGCCGCCGACGCCGGCTAGATCGTCATCCATAAGCGAAAATGCTGTCATCGAAGAGCTGAAAGGAGAAGCAATAAGCGCACGTCACCCAGGTACACGGTACATCCAGGGACGATCAGGTGGGAGCGAGACCGAGATGAGCATTCTGCCATGAACATCAACAAGAGCACATCGACAGGGGTTCCCAAGTCAGGAACGGACAATTCTCATTTTCGCTTGTTGTCGACTGCCGTTGACGAGTTAAGTAGAACACTCCATGCGAGCTCGTCGCCGCCGTGGCCTTCCTTTACCTCTTTCTGGCATGGAATAAGACTCCGTACGAGTACAAGATAGAGAGCGCCCTTCTAGACTCGCCCTAGTTGCGGTGACAAGCGAGGTGTCTGTCTACTGCAAGACCACCTGCGTCCAAAACATCACGGCGGGTGTGCCTCGATGGAGGTAGGTACGAGTACTCGTACAGGTGTTGACAGGAGGGTCTGAGGGGGTTGTCTGGTTGAGATTTGTGGTTTCTCTTGGTCGCGGCGTTGGTTTCCTCAATAGTCTGCGGTTTCTCAGAGGCATATCCTTGCTGTGTGGGTGAGAGTTTGATGAGCATCAGGCTGGCAGGCGTCCAGTCACAGCCTGAGGACCGCCGACGACGAGGATGGCCGTAGTCGCTGGTGTCCCTCGAGCGTGGTCTGTGTGGTGCGTGTAGTGCTGCATGCATAAGCCCAAACTGCGCGGCCCCGTATTGTAAGTTTTTTAGTCCATCGACCCCGGCTGCGTGAAAAACCCACCGTCAATCTTTTCGGCCTGTCCTTGAGATTCCCTGTCAGCCTGAGGCATCCCTGTTCTCCGTCTGGTGTTTGGCGACCGTCTATGCTAGTCTGGGTCCCAAGAAACATGTCCTCTGCCAATCACCCGGCTGCATCTGGCTTTCGTCGACCCCGAATCTCTAGCTAGAGTGCTGTCAAACCTGAAGCCAGTCACCAACTCTTAGCCAGAAAAGCCACACCCTAAATCCCAGCAAGGAGCCAGAGCCCTGGAACTGCGGATCGACCCTCGATGATGCCGCGGGAAGCCAATGCGGCAAGGCCCTAGCTACCAGCGTCCAGAGCCTGGGCCTTTGATGTACGAGTACAGACGGACGAAGAATCATATCTATGCGACCTGTCCGCCGTCTGAACTTTCCATGGCAGAATCTTCATGTTCTTCTGTCAATCCAGTCCCTACCACACAAGTTGGATAGGGCTCTCGTGCACTCGTCCATCGTCAACTGGTATGTCCATCTGTTCCACTTCCTCCCAGATCTACGAGTATATCAGCGAGCCCTGTCAAAAATTGGTGGATGGTGGATGCCGTCATTGGTGCAGCGAGACCCTAGTTCGGCCCTCGTGCAACAAAGCCCTGCGAATCCTTTCCACCATGACACCCTCCCCTTCCCCGTACACCTGCGACACGGTGGGCTTTGCATTGCTACAAACTCTGACTGCAAACACCCTTCTTCCCTTCGAGCTCTGCCTTCAATACCCGTTGCTCAGATGTATCTGGCTCACCAAACACTGACTTTTCCCCCCCAGCACATATCTTCGCAGCCACCTCCACCGCCACGGTTCCGGCATCTTACCACGCACGACATTGTCCCCCAGGTGCCGGCCTCTCGTCTATCGGCTCTTCACAGGCGCAGAGCTGCGGTCCCCTCTCCTGGCTCTGGCAAAAAAGTGAAAAACATACGGACACGGACAAGGCCAATGGCGCCATTACTACAGTAAATACTTCAAGCTGGCGCATCATTATCCTTCAGCGTACTTGCCCACGGCGGCCCTCCCCTTCTCCAGCACCTACGCATCCTCGATCGCTACTAACACGTACCACAACGACCCCTTCTACTCGCGCCAGTCGCAGTTACCACAAGAGCAAGAAGTTGAGAAGCACTACAGACCGAGAAGGCGCACCCTCTTGACGCCGCCTTATGCGGGCACAGATGCAGCAGGCCATGACCAGATTTCTATGACCAGGGCTTCGTCGACCAAATCGACACCCACTTCTCAGACCTTGCAACATAGTCCTACTTCGATGACTGAGCCTGAGGCTCCTCCCCAGGCAAAACCTGAGACTCCACCAACCTCTAAGCCTAAACGTGTAAGAACAGGTTGTCTTACGTGCCGTGAGCGCCATCTCAAGTGTGACGAAGGACTACCCAATTGCCAGAATTGTAAGAAGTCCAATCGAAAATGCAAGCGAGGGGTCCGACTCAACTTCATTGACATTCAGTGCGAGCGGCCACCACATCTACTGCCGCCGACCCACGATTGGGAGGTTACCTTCCAAGATGACTCGCGCGATATTGCTTCGGAATATCAAGGTGGGCTCGAGAAATACCAACCTCTTGAGCCCGAACCCAAGCGACAGAAACTGAGTGCTGCGCCTAATATCAACTATGATTATGGTCAGGTCACAGCTCCGATCATCTCTCATCAACAGCTCCCCACATCACAGTCGTTCTCACATCCATACGTCGAGCAACCTCAGCCAACGTATGCTGCTTCTTCTTCTGCTCAACCGTATGAGACGGCTGCAAGTCAAATGGGTTCATATTCCGAACCTCAGCAACCTGTACAACGCTCATATGAGCCGACAATGATGCTAGGTTCTGGGACAACACCTGTGCCACCCCTAGAGAACCGTGATGAAGTCCTGTACATGCAGGTTTTTGTCGAAGAGGTCGGCGTGTGGATGGATTCGATGGATGCTGAGAAGCACTTCTCCCGCCTTATCCCCTTCCAGGCCTTGAGGGAGCCCATGCTCAAGTACGCGCTCCTGGCATGTGGAGTGCGACACCTCACCCTGGTCAACGCTTCCTACCCTGAAGAACACGCCTTGAACTACTACAACAACGCAACGCAACTGCTCCTGAAGTCTCTCCAGAACCCTGACAGGAACAGTGTTCTTTGCGCCACCACAGCTACCATTCTCAACGTCTACGAGGTCATGTCTGAGAAGGCTTTGCAGCGGATGAACCACATTGCCGGTGCACGAGCACTTATCAAGGAATGTCGTTGGGATGCCCAAGCTACTGGCATAGGGTCTGCCTGCTTCTGGCTCAATGTCGGACTCGAGTTGTTCAGTTGCCTCCATTTCAACTGGGGCGTTGCTTGGGACCCCGATACATGGGGCATCGACATGAACATGTCACCTCAGCATGAGGGAGGCAATGAAGACGACTGGACCCACAGAATGTTGTGGATCTTATCTAAGATCACCAACTTTCGTTCTACAGCACAGCAAAGATATCAGGATGCCTCGGTTCACGCAGAACAGGCACGTTTGCACCAGCGCCATCAACAGTGGTTAGGTCTAAAACAGTTCTGTGACCGCTGGAACAATTGTGTCCCGCCAACAATGCATGCAATGGCCTACATCTCTCCATATATGACGAATTCGAAGAGCGCCTTTCCCGAGTTGTGGTTCATTAAGAGAACGACAATTGTGGCGAGACTGTTCTATCATACTGCCATGGCGCTTCTCGGATCTCTCCACCCCTACGAGCACATGCAACCGCAGACGGCGGAGCAAATGCAAGATATGCGTCTCTACCATTCAAGGCAAACCTGCGGCATTGTGGCACATGTTAAGGATCGAGGTGTTGCTTCTGCCTCGATCCGTTGTCTTGCTGTGGCTGGGGAGCACCTTACTGTTCAGCGGGAGCAAGAAGAGGTCTTACAGATCTTTGACAGGATCAAAAAGGAAACGGGTTGGAGAGTGACCTTCATTCACGACGATCTTAAGGAGAAATGGGGTTGGAACAATAACCCTCCGGAATACAGTAGCATGGGCTCTGCACCTTCATACTATGCTGGACCAAGTACTAATCCTGCCTCCACACCAGCGTCGACGCCTCCCCGACCCAAGTATCCGACCGGCATCATTAATCCTCTTTACAAGAATGCCGACTTCTCTGCCCAGAATCCACCCTACCAGGGTAGCTATGTCCCGCCAAGTTCAGGGCATATCTTGCATAATACGCAAATGTATGGCTATTCTGGCATACCTACCATGATGCAGTCTTGACAATGATATGATCCCCCCTCGATTTCGCCGCCATGCTTCGGAATACGTCGATCGACGCTTTATTTATTTTTCAGGTTATAACTTTGGAGCACGGCGCGTAAAAGGACGCTTCTAGATTTAGCGATGGACCTGAACATGGATTTGTTTTGGATTGAGTCATGGCAAAAGCTGCAATTATGGTAAGATGATAAGACAACAGACTTGGGAGTTGAATGCTTCGTCTTTTCCGGAAATATGAGATACCTTGTGCAGCTTTGTGCTTTTTTTCATGTGCAGGATTAGCGAGCGCATTTGTTAAGAGATGGATCTCCTCCTGAAGTCCTTATGAGCATTTTTTTGAATACTCACGACGTCAGTATGAAATGAACTCATGTACATGTCTTTGTAAGTTATGCGACAGTACACTGACAGGAAGAAGTATATACTTATACCACGTTGCCATTGCATTGGTCCCGAAGGCATGGGAATGTACTTCGCATTGTATAACACCTACTGAAAGAAATCACAACACATTGAAGCCATATGTATATGTCAGGGTCGTAAGTGTCAAAACTATCATATCCACATTGCTGCGGAAGGTCGAACCGTACCGCTCCGACACCATACGACTACACGTAGGCCCGCCAGGCGTTGCACTCCCCCCTTTTTTGGGACTTTGACTTTCTTACAATCTTTAATCGACGTCTCACTGGAGTCAACGCGTCGCAGCAGCCTCAAGTTTGAGGATTCGAGCGGCCGTGTCGACCGCGGTCTCCTGTAAAGTGCGGAACTTGATATCAAACACCGAGTCGGCATCGTGGGTGTCGATCCTCACCGGCGTCAAGGTTTCGGAGTCGTCATTGTTCTCGCCAACCCGACCCTTTAGCTCTGGTATATTGGCGCGCAGGGCGTCGGCGAAGTCATTGAAGAACATGGGGAACCCGACTATGAAGCGCCTGTTGGCCGCTTTGGGGTTGGTGAGGGCTTGAATCTGTAGCTCTGCTAGGTCTCGGACGTCGATCTGTGGTGGCGGCGGTGGTGGTGATTAGCACATGAGAAGAAGATGAAGAACGGACAGACAAAAAGCAAATTTTTGTTGTTGTTTTTAAAACAAAAAACAAACAAACAAACAAACCAGTTTGTCAAGACGACCGTCGTGATAGATACTTGTCGCAGCGGGACGGGAGAACTTACATATGCCGGAAACATGGTCGTCGGGACCTTCTTGTCATCCGAGGACGTGGCACTGTTCATGATGGCGAGAATCTGCGAGTTGCTGAAGTTGACCTTGTCCACGCTCGTGACGTTTTGCTCCATGGGTCCGAAGATCAGAGGGGGCATGAAGTTTGTCACGGTGAAAGAGGGATGTTCGTCTTGGACGAATTGCCACAATGCCTTTTCGGCCAGTTTCTTGCCGACGCAGTATGAGATCTGGAAAAATCAGGCACACACGTAAGTAAGCAAGCAAGCAAGCAGGCAGGCAAGAAAATAAAGCAGCCCGAGAGAGAATGAACGCATGGTCAAGTTGAGCGAAGAAGCAACTGTTTCTTTTTTTTCGTTGGGTTTTGCTCTCCGGAAGGCGCCCAGTAGAAAACAAAGTGTTCGAGACTGTGTCAGGACTTACATAGTTGTGTTGAGCCTTGATGGCATCCTCGCGGTCCAGAGACAACCACTCGTCGTTCCCAAAGACGCGCTTCTTGACGTCGTCCTGGTCGCCCAGCGTGATGGCGTTGATGCTGCCCGTGACACTGACGGCCTTCACGTTCTTGCCGTACTGCTTCGCGCTGGTAAGGAGGCCGACGTTGCCCAGGACGCTGGGCTTCTCAAAGTGCTCCACAAAGTCGGTGTTGCGCGGGTCGTCCAGCAGCGGCGCCGCGACGTGCACGACGTACTCGATGTCGTCGTGCTCGCGGAACACGCTGTCGAACGCGCCCGGCACCGTGAAGTCGGGCACCGCGTGGATCGTAATATGATCGTTGGGCCACTCTGGGTGCGCGGCGACCAGGGCCTCGGCCGAGGACGTGTTGCGCACGGCCAGGATGACCTTGTGGTTGTGGGAGGTGGACAGCAAGGCTGAAATGACGCTGGCGCCGACAAACCCGTTGCCGCCCGTGACGAGAGTGGTGGGCAACTCCTTTTTCTCAGACATTTCGAAGGCTTTCTTGCTTTTCTTTGTGGTTTGGCCTTGGTTTTGCTCGCCTTGGTCGCCGAAAATTTCCTGGATTGGAGCACAAACTACGATATGGGGTCGTACCGCCAAGGATCGAGGTGTTGCAAGTTGTTTTGTGTTGGACGACGGAAGAGATGCTGGAATGTGGGAGAAGTATGAGAGAAGTGGTGAAATGAGCGGTGGTGTGTCTCGTCGATGGCTTTATATACTCTATTCACCCTCATCGGACCTACAGATTTCGTAACCCTGACGGAATCAAGCGTCTCTTCTCTTTTCCTTGGGAAAAAGCCACTTGTAATGCACTCTGCACATTGCACACCTCAGGCTAACAGGCTGGAAAGAGGGGTTTGCGTTCGCAAACGCTGTGTAGCAAGCAACACGAGCAGTCATTGTTGAGATCGGACACTGCCAGCCTATCCCAGGACTCGGTGAAGAGCGATGGCATATGGCGCAAATGACTAATGCGGTCTGCTTGGTAAGTCATAATGCAAAAGGCCCCGGGATGGGGGATCATTGGCTATAACCGCCTATTTGATATGTAGTCGGACAGGGGTCTGTGGAGTGGCGTTGTCCCCATCAATGAACACCCAAGCACGTTCGCCGTGGAAAATAAAGCCCCCTCGACAAAATTCACTTACCAATCAGCCGAAAAAGTACAAGTTCCTCCTCAGAGGATCAATTACAGCTGTACAACGCTGGAATACTTTCCGCTCATGTGTTCAAAAAGGGTGCAGTATTTCTCAGCTCTTGCAATCATCGCTCTAGCCTGAGCAGAAAGCGAGAGCAGGTAAGGGCCACAAGCGTGAAATGATATCGTGTCAGTCTTACTTCAGCACGACAGAATAGTAGTGCTCCTTGGCTGCATCTATGATTGCTTTGACCTTTGCTCCCGGTACCTTTTCTTGACGATCGTAGGAGTAGAGGCCGTTGACTTCCTGCTCGATATCGTACCTGTTACGGAGCATTAGGAGAGAAGATCAATTTGTCAAAAGTGGCGTGGCCTAGTCTTCAAGCCCCAGCAGCGAGAGGAAATTGGAGAAGACAGAGGAATCTTGCAGACAAGATAGGGCTGAGGCAACTTACAACTGGGTGTACACGAAGCCACATGAGTGCCCGCCCTTGACCACCGCCATGACAAGCTGTTCAAGTCTGTTCAGAAGGTCCTGAGGGTCTGCAGCAGTTGTATAACCCCAATCTCTCTCATTGACAAAAGCTCCTTTCGCTGGAGCAATATTGACACCTCCGAACTCTGTGCAGATCACAGGAGCGCCTTGCTTGTGCTGCGCACCTGGATCGATACATACAGAGCCGGCATGGATCTGTTTTGTGAACATTTCACGATCAGACTTCTTGTCGAGAATGCCACCTTCCAGTTTCGAACAAGATACAGCCAACTCAGGAGAGTCAGCATAGTCATGGTATGTTGTCAGGTCAGTGAGGACGTGCTCCCAACCACAATTGTCGTTGATTGGTCGAGTGGGGTCGAGTGTTCTGTTGTACAGGTAGGTAGTTAGTCGCTCGTCCCATGGTAGGCAGAATGCGACTTGCGACGTACTTTGTCATATAGTATAGAGACCGCATATGGTTGCGCTGGTCAATGCTGCCCTTCAGCGAAGGATAGCCCCAGCTCTCGTTGTTCGGCGTCCATGTCACAATACACGGGTGATTGATGTCTCGCTTCACACTCTCAATCCACTCCCCGTTGAACCGATCGACATAGTCGTCGCTGAACTCGTAAGCACTGGCCATCTCGCCCCAAACCAAGTATCCCAGTCTATCGGCCCAGTAGAGGAACATGGGATCTTCGACCTTTTGATGCTTGCGGCATCCATTGAACCCCATATCCATGGACATGTGTATGTCGGCTTTCAACGCATCTGGAGATGGGGGTGTCATGCCTGTATCTTTCCAATATCCCTGATCAAGGACCAGAGCTTGAAAATAGGGCTTTCCATTCAACCGGAAGGTTCCATCGCCAGTATTCCATGTTATCCTTCGCATTCCAGCCGTCGTTTGGACCTCATCTACCATCATACCAGAGTCATTGTACAGCCGCAGCGTCACGTCATATAAGGCGGGATGTTCGGGTTGCCACAGTGCGACTCCATTTGACCAACTGCCATCGACATTGAAAGGGGGTTTCTTTTGCAGCTCCGAAGCGTTTGGCACTTTCATCCCTAGGTCAAGAAGGACAAAATTCTTATCACTCGGAAGGTCGATCTTCGTGCTACCGACATGAATGCCTCCGAGACTAGCCTCGATTTCAGCCGCGCATTTTTGGCCTGCCCGGCGGCCGACAACTGCAACACGAGCATGCAATACACCGCTTTCAATATCATCCGACCGGAGAATCGTTCCGTCACTGCCACCGGCGAGACGCATGGCAGGTAGACTTTCAAGCCACACAGACTGCCAGATGCCGCTGGTAGGGGAGTAGAAGATACTTTCTGACACCGGACCCCAATACTGCTTCCCGCGGGGTTGTGTAAGATCGTAGGGCGAATCCCGAACTCGCACCGTCAGTCGAAGAGTCTTTGGGGGATCGCTCCCGATGAAAGCGTCTGTGACATCCACATCAAAAGGCACATGGCCTCCGCAGTGACCTCCGGCATACCGTCCATCCGCCCAGACCGAACATTCGTAGTCCACGGCTCCGAAACGGATCACAAGGCGATTATCTCTGGTTGTTTCGTTCTCACTACGGATATCGCTAATGGTGCGTTCATACCAGATCACTTCATGGGCTTCGTGAAGGCCGATACCTGAGGCCGGTGTCTGGAAGGCAAATGGCACCGTAATCGTGCGCTTCTTGTGTCCGTTGCTGTCGATCGGTAAACCCACTTGTGGCCACCGCTGCACCAGACCGCCGTCGGCATCGTCAAAGATGAAGTCCCAGGGTCCGTCCAGACTTGACCAGGTGAATGTGGTCCGTTGAAAGTCAGGCCTTGGGTATGTCACTGAGGCAGTCATCTCGCTGATGTTCGGGTTCTGGCAACCATGAGCCTCAAGCCGAGAAGATATGACACGCTTCACTTCCAAGGAAAGTGTGCGGCATCGATGGCAAGTGTTGGTGGAACGACATTGGGCCGGCTATATTTCAACCATAGTATTGTGGAACGCTTTGTTCAATCACGATCTCGGTACCAGATGGACCGATGATTGGACCTGTTGGCGCCGACTTGAGGCGGACGATATTGCGCTGATCCTTCGCTCATGACCCGAAGTGACACGCTAGGCAGTTACCTAATCCGTCTACACAGTGTGAGCGGCATCCTTGGAGTGAATGAACACAATCGATGCGATGCCGGTCGTTGGCATTTGTCAATTGCCAGGCTTGGAAACGCATTCGTCCTTTCGGAATGCAGTTGCACATCAAAAAGGTCCACCGTAGAATTCCCGCGGATCATTGAGACTCCTATGCATGCCTTCAATTTCCGTCCTTCAGTCGCTTCCGACGCTCGTTTTCGAGTCGTTTCCTTGATATTCAATGACTTCGACTGTGGGTGATTTGTTGCTACCCAAGATTTAGGGTTTCTTCCAAGGTCTTGAAGCCTCATGGGTGTCTTCTGGATTTTGAGCTTGCTCCTTTTCGTTCCCTTGTTTTTTTTCTTAGGTATACTTGATGCACCTATTGCTCGAAGCGTAAAAGCTGATGCGAACACAGTCTTCCTAGCGCTGTCTTCATGTCTAGGTGACGGATTCAGAGCGAGGATATCAGGTTTCAGCATCAACCCCCGGCATGGATCTTATGACCACACCTATTTCAGAACCATGACCAATTCTGGACCGAACTCTTCGGAACATATCGAATTGGAGAGCATGCTTAATGAACGACATATGGTTCATGTTGACGACAATGAGTGAATCAGGCGTCGAGATCTCAAAATTCGACCTCGGCCTTCTTACCCTTCTGCTCCGCTGTAGAGGGATGCTGAGCTTCTGTATCACCCTCGATCGGAGGGAGATTGAACGGCTTGATGGTGAATTTCCTCCTGCTTAGAGTGAACGTCCAGTCGTTCTCAGAAGGTACGCTACCACTGCCTCGATCATGTAGCATCGGTAATCGATGAACCTGCAACAACCCTTGGGGTGGCTCTTCTGCGGTCCCTGATGGGCCACGAGAAACGGGTGCGTCGGCATCAGCAGAGTGAGGAAAAGGAGAAAGCTCGAAGACGCCATCATTCAACAGCTCTATCCATCTTACCACTCCCGACGATCGAGGATAGAGGGATAAAGGGAGTGACATCATGGCAATCGTTCGATTTGGAAACTCAGCGAAGAGGGCACGAAGTCCGTGCAGAAAATGCAGGACATACTCGGGCTGACTGGAGTGTTGCGGGTATATCGCAGGAGAGAGCATTGAGGGAATAACGATACGGTGGACGGTATTAGCTGCAGAGCTTGTAATGGTATTGCTGAGCTGTTTCAACACCGGGGCAAAGGGCGACTGGGTTGGGTTAAGTCCTAGGTGCGGAAAGTCCAACTTCGAGGAAGCTGGGTGAATGAGTCTCTTTGTCAGATCGAAAGTGTGACAGAACGATAGAGGGGCAGGTTCATCTCCTTGACCTCTGGAAGTAGTCGATATTTGCGAGCGTTCTAGTAAAGAACAAGAAGTCAGCCAAAAGTCAAGAAGAAAAAGCGAAGTTTCATGCATGATATAGCATTGAATCTGGCTATTCTACGAGGAAGAGTTGGATGCCCACCTCTTGCATTTGTGCTGGCTCCGAACTGTCCCAAACTCTCATATCTCCATGCAATCTTCATCTTTTCCGCATTCTCAACTTGTTTCTCTTTCTTATCCGCTGTCTGCGAGACGGCCCCGGGGAGTTCTCGTCCCCAGCTCTCGGGCATGCCAACGACATGTACATGGTGGCCTTGGAGTAAGCCTTCTGCGGCAAAGAACCGTAGCAGTGCGCCGGCGTAGTCAGTGGTGCCATTCTCTTCGATGAGCACTGAGCTTCCCAGAGCCAAGGCAGAATGCCCGGCAAGAAGCGAGTCAAGGCTGGCAGTGCCAGTCGAAGTCGTCAATCGTCCATCAGCCGGTGAAGGGCGAGTCCCAGACAGTTGAGCCTTTTTCTCCGGAGATGACGGTGTACTTTCTAAGCGCGACGAGCCTGAGAGGCCAACATTGCGCTTGCGGAAGGACATCGACGTGTGACACGATTGCAATAGAGCAATGCACAGGGTTTGGACGGTAGTGAGTGTTTGGGCTGATTCAAGATCGGTCAATATGCCTTCTTTACCCGGAGAAATTTTGGCGCTCGGACTGATGTCGCGACTGCGCCCAAAAATTATTTCTGCACTCTATTATTCCACCACAACTTCAACAATTGACACACTACGACTGCGCCGTCTACAAATTCCTCTCTATCCCCGTTCTGAAGAGTCTCCCTCGTTACGCGCGTCAAGATGTCGGAAAACATCCTCTTCGAGAACAGCTTCAAGGTCACTGAGCTGAACAACGCGAAGTATGACAGGGTTTCTCGCATCAAAGCTTTCAGCGAGGGCGGAGGTGAAGTACTACTCACCCTTGATGTCAATACTGAACTGTACCCTCTGAATGTCGACGACCGCATGACCGTCGCGCTGGCTCTTTCTCTCAATTTGGACGGCAGTAAGGATGATGGAAAGGGCTGGAGGGACGTCGGAAGAGGAGAACAGACACTGGCAGATGAGTTTGACTACGTGTGTCACGGCAAAATCTACAGATTTGAGGAAGGCGAAAAGGACAATATGTGAGTTGGGCCTGAAAGTCTGGCTCTGGCATTTGCTGATCCTGTCATAACAGCAAGGTCTATGTATCTTTCGGTGGCCTCCTTCTCTACATGGACGGTCCGTACGCCTTGCTCAACGCGCTAAGAATCGACCATGTCTACCTGCTCATTAAGAAATAGAGCCACCGCCGAGCTCTCTGTGTTTCGGGTCCAGCCTTTTCCATACGAACGCAATGGTAGTTGCGCCAATTCCGGCCACAGAAATCATGGTGTCGGAAATTCTAGCTTCCTATGAGATCTGGACACGATCTCGATATAATCAGGCTCGTTCTCTGGAGTCAATATTCCGTGCCTCACAAAAAAATCCACCAGCACGTGGGCACAGTTTGGTTTGAACTTGCCCTGCGCGATCGCATCTTGAACCTCCTTTATTGTCAGAAGCTGGAAGTCGATGGCTTCATCGTCGCCAGGCTTCGGGATGACATTGGACGGAAGCTCGAGGTCATAGATGTATTGGATTTCAGGTTGACAAAGGCCTATTTCACCGCCAGCTCTTGAATCTCGGATGTGGAAATAAGTCAGGGTTCCACAAGATTTGGCGGGTTGGACGACATCTGGCGGCAACGAAGCTTCTTCTTCACATTCTCTTACCAGGCATTCGAAAGGGTCCTCTCCAGTGCTTAAACCTCCAGCAACTGTGTTATCCATCATGCCAGGATATGTCGGTTTGGTCAAAGCTCTGCGAGGTGCCCAGATCTTCATACCTTCTCCGGTCTGAACGTATCCCGTCATATGCACGCCATATGTAACGACGCCGAAAAGAGGGGTTGCAGAGCGTTCCATGCTGAGGATGAGCTCTTTGCTGGGTCCGTAGATTGGGTACAGCTCACTTCGCCAACCATCCAAAACGCGAAAGACTTTCTGTTCTCGCACGCCCTGCAAATACTGTGCCAGGATCAGGTTGCGACCTTCTAGTGCTTCCACAGGTTGACCCTCCTCATTCCGAGGTTGGAATGTCAGTATTCGGTTGATTTGATCAAGGCTCCAGTGTTTCGAGGAGGGCAGCTTGGCTGCGACATCGGCAGGCACATAGCCTAAGGTGACATGGCATCCTTCTAGTTTGAAATGATAATAGCTTTTGAACGCAGCATCGTACGCCTCGGGATTATCTGACTGGTATGGAAAGCTTCTCGATTAGTTTGTAATGCACCGAAATATTGACTCTTAACGCACTTGTCACACTCGTTTATGATGTCCAGATTCGATTTTCCGACCATTCTGAAGATGTGCAAAGGCTCTGCCCAAAGGTTTCGATGGGTACTTTCTCGTAATCGCGAGAATCATAGCACGGTGTGCGCAATGTGCGGTGTGCTATGTCGAGTCCTATCCCACCACGACTGAGAAGCACGTACGCTGTCCGGAGCACATACCTGCCAGTTAGGTACCTATAACTCTCGCCGACTTCCTCCTTATCCTTTGCTTGGCAGCTTATGTAACACGGCGAGAAAAAGCGCCGGGGAGCGCCAAGCAAATATCGACTCCGAATAATTCTGTCCATGGGGTGTTGCATACACGACTTGAATTCTCTTCTCCTCGACCTTGTCTGATGACTTCCGGCACAAAAGTCATGTAGTGTCTCGTCTTCTGCTTGAAGACCATTCTTCAAGCAAGAACACGTCCGCCCAATCTACCTCGGTCGCTATCCACAAAGCACCGACCGAGTCGCAGCACTCCCGATCGTGGGATCCTCCATTCATTAGAGCTTGTCAAGGTAAGTAGAAAAAGTATACCCTGTCTGAGGTGGCACAGTCTTTCTATTCGCATGATTATACCAATTTTTTTTAATCTGTCAATCCACTGAGAAAGCTCTCCGGAGCCATGTGATTGAAACGAAAAATCGTTGTTGAAATATGATCTCCCGACACAGTCCGTCTCTTTTTACTGCCCACCCTACACTTCTTCCGGCGTATGGCAGGGAACTAACGTGGTTTCTGGGTAAAAAAAAGGAAAAGAAACTCAGGTACCGAAATGGACATCCCAGCGGACGTCGGGTTCGACTACGAGCCAGAACTACCGATCGCGATCTCACAAGTCGGAGGGAGACATCTGCTGTTCGACATCAAGGTCGCCACCTTTCTCCGGAGAGAGCATCGAATATGCGGCACGCAGACCGGAACTCTACCCCTCGCGCCGTCGCAGAATCTCTTCCTGGGCCTGCCGATAGAGATCATGCCCGAGGAAGCTCAACTGCTCGTCGACAAGGGCGTGGCCGTCGTGGTCGACGACGCTCGAGCACACGACCAGGCCGTCCTGCGGTGTTCTTCCTCCGACGGTGCCAGACGCGCCGACTACCTCGCGAGCCTCGACAAGCAGGCGCGGCGCTTCGAGAAGCTCAGTATGCAGGAAAAGGAGCAGAGTCGGCAGCGGGCGTTGGAGAGGCGAGCCAAAGCGAGCACCCGTCAACCCTCCTCGGCTGAGTCTACGACCCCGCGTCGCCGCGGCGAAGCCGCTTCCAGCTTGTTAGATCTCGCCGACGCAGACGAAGAAGAACAACAACAAGAAGAAGAAGAAGCGGCAGCCTCGACAGCACCGACCCTCGGGGAGAACTCTGCGCGGCACGAGCCCGTTTCATCGCAGACGCCACCCGACTCCACGTCTGAGCAGCCCGTGAGTTCTGCAAGCAACTACCACATTACACCCGCTACGTCTCAGCCCCTGCTGCCTGATGTCGCGGATGCGCCCAGATCTACGGTCCAGGATCTGCCCGCTTCGTATCCCATGTACAAACATTTGCACGAAAGGGGCTATTTCATGACCCCGGGTCTCAGATTCGGGTGCCAGTACAACGTCTACCCGGGCGACCAGCTGCGGTTCCATTCTCACTTTCTGGCATCAGCCTTTGAATGGGACGAGCCGATTGACCCCATGGACGTCGTCGGCGGAGGCCGACTCGGCACCGGTGTTAAAAAAGGCTTTCTCCTCGGTGGCGCAGATCCCGCAGGTCAGGTCAGGACATTCAGTGTCGAATGGGCTGCCATGTGATCTTTGCAACTACTTACGTACCTAGATATGTAGTTGGGTCAGGTAGGTAGACAGGTAATGGCACTTGACTGCTGCTACACATCACAATCCTGTCAGCATGCAACAATATCGACACGAGAATGCTTGCCGCTACCACGATTGACTCGACCATTTGGTCGGTCCGCACTTTCTTCGCCTGGAAAATCATAAAGTCATCTCTCTGGTCATCTATCTGTATGCTTTTGTGGAACCTTGTGCCACGCCACGTCTATGATGCGTCTGCCCGTAGTGGATTCGTCACGAGTAAAATGTCAGACCTTGAAAATGGCGCTCTTGCTCCTGATTCCATCAAACACGCACGTTCCGTCGACAGGCACATATTGCCTCGTGAGCAATTTAATGGCTTCCTGCGCCGCCATGCCACCCAAGACGCTCGAGATGTTGTGTAACTCGCCGCCCTTGACCCGGTCAACCTCTTTTACCGCGTTCGCATAGCTCTCTTGCACTTCCTCATCTGACGACAGAGCGCTGGTGTCTACCATCGCGGAATTCAACGCCACAAAGACGGGAAGCATGCCCTCCCAGTCATTCTCGACCAGAGCAGGCAACCGCGCAAGAGTCTTTACATCGCCCAGGGCCAGTCGCAATGCGGGAACAGGGTCGTTGTTCGGATTCGTCAGAACACGGACGTGCGAGGCGTTCTTGCAGAATGCTTCGATTTCCGAGTCCTCAATAGGCCTTGTCCGAGACAGGTCCTTTTCCAACTGCCGCACAGCCTGGGTGACTTCCGCAACGTCAGCACGTGCTTTCGTCTTGTATAAGCTCTGAAGTTTGATGTACTCCGAGCTGGTCGCTTTCATGTCTGGTAGAGATCCCGGGAGAGGGAGGACGCCGTGCGTTTCATAGAACTGTTTGATGGCTTTGGCAACGACCCAGAAGTTTGCCGAGTCTTTAGTGATGTTTGTGCACGACGCCATGCTCATCATCTCTTTGCACCCGCTGCCAATCGGCGGCGATGTGATGCTTTTCAGAACAGCCGCACAAGCTTCATCGTAGTTTTCCTCGCCGCCCTCCGGGTTGTTTGTTCTTGCGCCGGAGCGGACTAGGTCTCTGAACTCGGTTTTGTCTTTGAATTTCGACGGGTAGGAATCGTTGTGTGACCTCTTCCAATCTCGCAAGTAGCGCAGCAGAAGTAGGATGTAGGGGATGTGACCGTGTTCATGGTCGGGGAGTGAAGTCAGGTCGCCTAGTGAGTCTACCGCGGCTTCAAGCTCTGGCCAGGGCGCCAGAAGCCGAAGATCTTGGGTGCTCTCTGGGTCGGGATGGGTGTCAACAATGGGAAACTCTTGAGGGAGCTGGATGGAAAAGGACGCGAAGAAGCCGGCTGACTGGATGTAGATCACGGGTATCGATCGTTCTGTTGCATAGGTGCATATCCTCTGCAAGTAATGCAAGGGTATCGGGGCGCATAGAAGGATGAGATTGTACGGTTGCAGGGAGTTGTCGGCGGGTAGCCATTCCGATAGAGGACTTGTGATGGCATGGCCTGTAACGTCGGGATTTAACTCGGAGAGAAGCCGTCTCGTCTCTTCTGCTCTTGGCTTATGTAGACTTTCTGTCTCGAGAAAGAAATTGACCCCTAAATCGGCATCTGTGACCGTCGCAGAGTCGGCAATGGTGAAATTACCAATGCTAGGAAGGATGAGGTTCTTGAGTGTCTCAGCACCAGCTACGCTGCTGTTGGACCCGTGGCTTTCGTCGCCAATGACGAGGAGGACATGTGACTCTTCAAGTGCTCTTTGACCCGAAGCTGCCCATAGTCGCAGCTGTCTATCGTATTTCTTCTCTTTGGCGGTGGGCGCTTGAAGCGGAGGCGGAGTGACTTCTCTGGGCGCTATTTCGGCCATGGTTGTGGATTGTAGTGCAGAGAACGAGTAGGGTAGAGGGAGACTTGAGCTTCACTGGAGGTATCTGTCGTGTCTTTCTGACGACTCCCTCATCTCCAGGCGGATCCTGAGTCGTATCGGCAAGCCAAAGGTAGCCAGAGGCCCAGGGAGTGCAGGCAATCGATGCACATACGATGAGGGTATCGCGTAAGAGACAAGTCAATGAAGATTTGTCAGATTGGGAAAGTCGAGCGGCGGGGAGCGAGCTACGTCACACTCACAGGTTCCTGGGTCATTGCTCTACTTGGAAAGTTCTCAGGTGCTGCCGTGGCCCACCAAGACCATAACGATGCCCGATAGGCATCTAACACTTGACTGACAGCAATGCGCCGTACGGGCAGGCGGAGTTCGTGTGCATATCCAGAGCTCTTGACTCGTGTCTAATCCGTACCATGCTTTGCGCCCTTTTGCAAGCTCGGCGGTCCTGACTGTCACGTCCTGCTTTTTGCGGTTATGGCACGCCCGGCTCAAATGCGTCTGCGCCCTCATATACAAAACAGGAGTGTATATTCAAGACTGATCCTTACAGAGGGCAGATTCCATAGTGTCAAATGAGGATGTAATTTAAGTATTCTGGACTAAGGTAAGGTGTTTTATCCTTCATTCCTCAAAGACGCCAGGGCTTGATATACACCATGTACTAAATCCCAATCCAACTGCGAATTTTCCAATACGGCATCTTCCAATGTGTGAGAGGTATTACAGGGCGAATATGGCGACGGCACCGGCCAGAACCATGCCTGCGCCATTTAGTGCGACCTGTGCCGCGGCGCCAGTGAACGTGGTAGCCGGTGCACTTCCTGTGGTGGTGGCTCCAGCGGTTGCAACTGTAGGTGCGGCCGTGACGATTGCCGTGCTCACAATGGAGCCGCTGCTGAAGGTAACGGTAACAAGGCTGGAGATGTCGGTGGCTGTGGTGGTTGGGATGGAGATGCCTGAACCCGTCCAGCTCGGGCCAGAGGCGGTCACGATGGTGCCGTTGGAGCCTGGGTGAGCCGACCCAGTTTGCTGGGTGGGTGGCAAGATGACTACAGAGCCAGCGCTGTTGGTAACGGTGCTACTTGGGCTTGTGCTGTTGTTGGAGGGTCCGGAGCCCGATGTCGAGCATGTCTTGCCCTCCAGGACAGAGAACTGGGTCGAGTACTGGAATTCTCCGGTGCCGTCGACAATGATCAGCATGCCGTAACCTGTCGAAGTGCTCTGGGTGCCGGGAGCCAGATCGCAAGGGACGTCCCAAGAGAAAGACTTTGAGCTGGCCGGGAGGCCCGACGCGATTGCGCTGTCTGACGGGACGCAGTTCGACGAGGGACCATGGCAGAGCACAAGAGAGACTGTCACGTTGTCGGTGGGGTGGTTCTCTGGGTCCCAGGTCACGTCGAAGGTCTCGCCTTGAGTAACGGGCTGGTGTGAATGTGTCAGTACTCGGAACAAATGAAGATTCCATTTGGAGGGTGATGCATACGTGAGTCAAGTCAGGCTCGAGCAATGGGCCCCATGTGCTTTCGGTGGGTTTCGTAAAGGCTTGCGCGAGGCTGGCGAAGCCCGCAACCATTAGGGGAGCAATGAGGGAATGCATCTCTGTGATTAGATGTACGGAAGCGTGTGTTTTTCTCTCGAAAGGGCTGCCTAAGGTTTCTGGAAACGTGATAATAGATTGCGGAAGTGACCGAGCTTTTTGTAATGAACGACTGGAGGGTCAAAAGAGTGACTACGAATGCGAACAGACCAGCTGAAAGATGCGAAGCTGCAAAGTAAAGATCAAGCACAAAAACGACCTGAACCAGAAGCTGAGCTTTGGAGACAGGGGGACTTTGGGCAGATTATAAAAACTCAAAATCGGTGAGTGCTGCTCGTACTCGGTACTCGACGTGGTGGCTGCTCCGCCTCCACCGCACGAACCCTTGACCCGTGTTTCAACATCTTGGGAAATTACACCCTTCCCGAGACGTTGCTCCAGCCTCTGAGTCGTCGGGATGACTTGGCTGAGATTCTGAGGACCAACGAGACGGCTAGAGCTGCGACTAGCCCCCACAAAAATAGATGTTGCTCATCCCGTCTGAGATCGCCCAGGGGGTCACCCAACGCTCCTGCATATTGTGAAAATGACACCGTAGGATACGGAGTTGCCAGGTCCCAGCCAGACTGCCAGACTGCCAGCCAGCCTTTTCTCGCGTACATGGACTGGTGACATTCGGTACTCTGGATACGGGGTCGAAAGAAGCTACGAGCTCGAGCTGAGACCAGGAGGCCTCTGTGGCTTGCTCGAGAGTCTCCTGGGGTGGTCAGACGCGGGAGAATTCCAGCCAGTAGAGACAATGTGTCGTATACGAGACGCAGCATCTAAGTTGGGATATTCGTATTCAGGTCGGAAGTTGTGAAGCCACAACAACCATGATCAACCCGACGGTTATCTCGTTGGAGTGATCGGAAAACCGATCTATAAATGATGAATCGGCAGTATGGAGTATTCGGTGGCTTCGCTTGCCCGTGGCCTTCAACGTCAGCGGCTTGGAAGTTATCAGCGGTGCTTCAGCTATTGTACAGAGCATATAGGGAGGCACAGTGGTCCCTATGTTATACCTACCCAAGGCAGTTAGTTGTATGTACAAGTACCCAGTATGGACCTGAAGTATTGTTGGTAGCTAAGCCACCGGGCCTGGAGCCACCTCCCAGAGGTTATGGGGGCGCCTAGAAAGCCACCTAACAGGTTCCCCAGTCCCTAGGGCGAAGCCAACGACGACCCTCCCAGTATCAGTTCAATGTCTGAAACTTCGTCTACTGATAACCTTGACCCTTCTCTGACCGGTGTGTCTCCCAGCGAGGGGATAAACCGCGAAGGGTTATATGCTGATTCCACAGAAGACAGACATACCCTGGGTTTGGTGATCGTCATTTGATGCTTTCGCAGGAATACACCAAATCTTGCGTCTAGAGCATCCTGACTCACCAAACCATATGAGATTCCATTGGACAACTTCGACGGTAAATACGGTATGAGTGCTTCTAATCCGGGTGGACTACCGTCTCAAACCCGCAGCTGCATCATTGCCAGGTTTGAACTGTAGAGACTGCTGAAGGCGTACATGATCGCCGATGGAGGAAGAGTGCTCAGATCGATCTCCATCGCAGCTTTCAAATTGCCCGAGCATCCAATGACTAAGTGTTGGGTGCCGTTCGTGGCGATATCATCAGATTCAGGCTGGGCAGATCCCCTGTATCTTGCTCAAACTTTCCGGCCGATACCGGGGGCAGAATGCTATGTAGGCTGCTACGACGTGGTTGAGTTCATCGTGGTTGTGTAGAACAATTTCGAGTTCGGGCGGTTAGGTCAACGTCTATTTATATTCCTCCATCCGCCAACGCTCATGGCCGCGGGCATCCTGCACAACTACCGGGCAAAGACAAGACACAGAAGAGAATCGCTCCATGCTATCAGTAAAGCAAGGTCTCTGTGATGCTGCACAGACTGGTGGTACATGCTTGTTGATCCCCAGCGGCACTTCGATCGAGTATCTGGGTTGGTCAAGTCGTCAAAAGAAGATGGAACGGACGGATGACCCGATATGACGGATATGGCCGATGCACCATGTCTGTTGTGCGGCAGATCCTCGAGACCCACGGTTACATGGCAGACCAGTGATGACCTTGGGTCAAAAACTGAGTCATTACTTGTCGTCTTTAGATGCTGGAGGGCACCGGAGTACAGCTCGTCGGCAACAAGAGCGAGGATCCCGCAAAGCGGAGACCGTCAGTGTTTCCCTCAATATCTCAATTGGTATCTTCGTAAGACTCCCTCAGGACCGCAACAACGTCTCCTGTCTCTTCTGTCGGAAGCTGAGTTTATCCTCAACTCACAAGTCAAAGTCGTTCAAAATGAGGCTCATCAGTATACTACAAACCCTGGCGTTGACCACGTCCTTCGCGCGAGGCATCGCCACTGATTTTGTCGACAAAGCAATCAAGCTAATGGAAGAAAGCCCGCTTTTGGACACACACATTGACCTGCCACAAATTATCCGAAGTCTACGTACTAGCTGTTGATACCTCTTGCTATGGGTAATATCTTGACCGTGTATTCTAGATCGAAAACCACTCGACGCCATTCCTCTTCTGAATGGGTCTTTCCCCGGCCATGTTGACATCCCGAGAATGAGGGAAGGGCGTCTGGGAGGAGCCTTCTGGACCGTTTGGGCTCCCTGTTACGACGTAGTTGGAGAAGATCCTGGTCTAGACTTCAACACCCCGACGAGCCACGTACGAGACGCTCTGGAGATGCTCGATATCATACAGAACATGATCGCACGGCATCCCGACGATTTCCAGTACGCCAGGTCATCTGCCGAAGTTTGGGATGCCTTCAACGCTGGCAAGATCGCCAGCCTCATCGGCATGGAAGGAACTCATGTGTTGGGCAACTCACTGGGTGCACTTCGTATCTTTGCACAACTGGGCGTCCGTTACTTGACTCTGACCCATACCTGCCACAGCGCTTTCGCTTCATCCTGTGGGCCTGGTACGCCGATAGACGTCGTACACGAAGGCGATGGCTTGTCGGAACTGGGCAAGGAACTCATCAAAGAGCTGAACCGCGTAGGTATCATGGTGGATCTAGCCCACACCACCGTTGCGACCATGAGGCAAGCGATCGAGCTCTCCGAGGCTCCTGTAGTCTGGACCCATGCAGGTGCTAGAGCACTCTGGGACCACCCACGGAACGTCCCCGATGAGATACTTCGAATGATCGGGGACGGCCCAGGACAGAAAGACGGCGTGATCCAATCTATATTCTTTCCGACTTTCCTTGGTCCACATCCAGGCGTCAATGTTTCACACGTTGCCAATCACATCGAGCATATTGCCGGTATTGTTGGCAAGAGTCGTGTTGGTATCGCGTCTGATTATGACGGCATGAACCTGGTGCCGGAAGGGCTAGAAGATGCAAGCAAATACCCTAATATTGTACGTCCTCCCGCCGAATAGAAGCAAGCGACCTTGGCTAACAAGAGGATAGGTTGCAGAGCTTCTGTCCAGAGGCTGGACGGACGACGAGGTGCGTGGCGCTCTTGGGGGCAATCTCATGAGAATCATGGACAAGGTGGACGAGGTTAGCGAGAAACTGAAAGATCGACTACCTTCATCTGCCATCTGGGAGAAGAGAACCGATCTGCCTTCGCTGAAATGGGGCGGTGGTGGTCAGCATACGTACTGGCCAGTTGATGTCAAAGCCAATGTGGAAAAGATGTATCTGCGCCATGATGAATTGTAGGAAAGCATCTGGCCTTCAGGGAAAGGGTTGGAATAGATGTGCTCGACAGTGGTCTCGAAGGTCGGGCGTGCAGCTGTGCATACAGGCTAGGTCGGCATGAGGTGATGATCTTATACTTAGCTGTATACTGGGACAAAGTTTTTTAATCTTGACCCGTGCGTATTTGGGTCATGGACACGAGGTCTCATTAAGTAGTAGCTTGTAGACATTGGCCTTAGTTGAGCTCTCAGAAAATGGAGTTTGATGGAATGATTGTTTCAACATGTGTCTCAGCTTGACTTGGAAGAGTGGTGTTAGGCGTCGCCTAACTAGCGACCTTCGCCAGCCTTAGTAGCCTAGCGGGCCATTCTCCGCAACTTTGTTAAGGCTTGACTAGACGGACTCCGGGGATTGACAACTTAATAAGCGCTCGTCCGCCTGGGCGACCATGGACCATATGGCCCGGAATCACGCTGCGATTGGCGGCCGTCTACCGACCTAGGTACGCACCTTGGTACCTACGAAGTCCGGATACACGTGCGGTTGTACTGCTCCGGACACTTCTGCGTAAGGCAGATCGTCGGACTCGCATCGCTCAAAATGTTTGTTCCTCTGTCAAGCTCACCGCGCTGAAGGCCAAACATGCTGGATCTCGATGCTCCGAGGTTGGCACGACAGCAGAGATAATATTTGGAACACAGCCGCGAAAAGCTGCATCGAGGTCGCGGCACGACCTGGGTCTCTCTCTGTTCGACATGTCAGCGCCGGCTTCTGCGTCAACTTCTACAGGAGAGGAACCCCCTCCACCCCCGATCCTCACACCACAATCCAGCATCGAAGACTCGCCCGTCGGTGCAACGAGAACGTCTCGCGGCACCCTTGGCGGAGACGCCGTGGAACTGCGAAGACTGCATCACTCTGTCGATGATCCCGCTCACTTTGATGAGAAGGGTGGCATAGGCGGAGGTGGAGGTGTAAGCGAGAGCGGGAGCGATAGCGAAGATGGCTACGAAAAAGACACCAGACCGACGAGACGTATCAGAAGAGTCGGAATGCTGTCGCAAGAGTACACAGATGAGGAAGAGAAGACTGTGCTGCGCAAACTCGATCGCAAGCTCGTCATCTTCCTGGGCTTTTTGTACATGTTGAGTTTCCTCGACCGGTCAAACATAGGCAAGTAAAATCCATTACCCGTCCCTGTTCCCCCTTCCCTTGACCGAATGTATATCTATGCCATGCATTGCCGAGACCGTAGAAGAGATGGTTGTTTTGTTGTTGCCCAACCGTCCTCCCACCCGAGGATAAACCAGCTGAGGTGACCGACTCATCATCGAGCGACCAACTAACTAACGTTTCTCTGTTCTTGCGCAGGCAATGCCCGCATCGCCGGCTTGGAAAAGGACCTCTCCCTCTCATCGGCGCAGTACGACTGGCTCCTCACGGCATTTTACATCACGTACATCGCATTCGAGTGGATGATCCTCCTCTACCGCCACGTGCCGGCGCACGTGTACATTGCGCTCTGCGTCCTCTCGTGGGGCGTGGTCGCCAGTCTCCAGAGCCTGACGACATCGTTCGGCCAGCTTCTGCTCCTGCGCGGCCTTCTGGGCATCACCGAAGCTGCTTTTGGACCGGGCGTGCCCTTTTTCATGACGCATTTCTTCAAGAGGTCCGAGCTGGCGTACCGGGTCGGGCTTCAGATCGCCGCGGCACCGTTGGCGACGAGCTTTGCGAGTTCGCTAGCCTACCTGATCGTTCTACTCAGTCAGAAGGGCCCGCTCGCGCCGTGGAGAGCCTTGTTCCTTGTCGAGGGTTTTCCGTCCGTTCTCGCGGCCGTTGCGGCATGGTACTACATCCCAGACTCGCCGGGTAAGGCTCGATACTTGACGCCCCGAGAGCGGAAGGTGGCGGTTCTCAGACTCCGGTCAGAGCAGCAGATGTCACTGTCGACACACTCTGATGATGATGACGACGCGGAATACGGGGCAGCGACATGGTCCCAACGGCTTAAGCTGAACGAGATCCGCTCGACCGTGCTGGATCCAAAGTCCTACCTCTCGGCGTTGATGTTCCTCAGTGTCAACGTGTCCTTCAGCTCCCTGCCCGTGTTTCTACCGACGATAATCAACAGCATGTCGTTTTCGCCGCTGGCGTCGCAGGCGTTGGCCGCGCCTCCTTATCTGTTCGCCTTCTTCTTCGTCCTCGTCGTAGGACGGTATAGCGACAAGGTCGCCGACTCGAGGTCGCTGTTCCTGATTGGTGTGGCGCTGCTCAGTGCCTTTTCGTACGCCGGTATAGCCGTTGCGGGATACCTGCACGAGTCGCTGGGCGAGGCTGGTAGCATCACGATCCGCTACGTCGCCATCTTTGGAGCAGCCATGGGATTGTTCTCTTCAGTCACCTTGATCATCACGTGGACGCTGAACAACCAGGCTACCGCTACTGGCAAAGGCACCGGCTTGACTATCCTCAACGTCGTGGGTCAGTGTGGTCCGCTCATCGGTGTGCATGTCTTTCCTGAGAGCCAGGGCCCTTTGTACGTGCAAGGTATGGCTGTCTGCGCTGGTTTCATGGCATTCGGCGTCGCTGGGCTAGCGCTCGTTCTGAGGATGGTTCTCAACAATGCTAATAGACGACGGGGCCTTGTCGGCCCCATCGAAGCTGGAGACTATGAGCTAGCAGAGGCCGTTGAACCCAAGCCCGACAGGAATGACGACTCGGATGTGGAAGACACGCTTATTGGAGGAGCCAAAAAGGTCGTCGGTGAAAAAGCCGCTTTTCGCTATATGCTTTGACATATTACCGAATGTACAAAATGCTATCAGATGTGCAATGTCGTCCGAATTTGGATCCTTGCAGTCTTGCTAGCCTATTATATACAAGGCGCACTCACGTTTGGCACCGCGGACGTTCTTTTGAGCTCCTGATTCCATTGACCGACGACATTATCATAACAGAACCGTTATATCGACCATCACGGAGCAGGAGACTCCTCCTTTTCATTTATACGCTTGAACCTTTGGAGCTGTCACTTCCAGCAGGGTTTTTGCCCTCTTCTGCTTTCTTCGAACCCAACTTTTGCATCTGCTCCATCGTCATGTTGTGTTTGTCTCCCCGAACTGCTTGTTCACTCTTGCTTCCTAGCTCAGGTTTCCACTCTCCTCGGCCAGTTTTGGCTTTCTCTACACTGTCGGACTTATGGCGTTCGATCTCCTTGTCTCGGTCGTCGCGGTCTACATATTTGATTCATGTCAGCATGGAAGTTGGTGTCAAGACTGGGAAATACCTCGGGAGTGGCGGTACCGCCAACGTAGAATGAATACACAGGGAGAGGCAGCTTCGTGAGACTCGACTTACGGATATCCTCCTCGTTCAGACCTCGACGGGCAGAAGAAGTGTGCAGTGTCGCCACGGAGCGAGGTACCAGTGATTTTCCAGAAGCCCTCAGAGACGTCAAGCTTCGGCTGAGGCAGGACATGGTGCAGGGAGTAGTTGTCAGAAACCAAGAATGTCTTGTACTTTAGTGAGGGTGAATTGCTCTGCAAGGGAGTGTTCCTGGATGATGTTGTAAGGTATAGTAGAAAAAAGAGGTATGAGGAGCTTTAACGAAGGGCCAGTGCCGGAGGACACGTTCCTGGCTCCTGCCATTCCTCGTTTCTCTTACCTACAAGACACAATACCGAGCCTCTGATGCTGCTCATGACGTCGTGAACAAACGTGACCTGCCGTCATTGTCGGTGCCCCACGTCCCAAAACGGCCAGGGCGAGTAACACGATCTCGCCGGGGTTCGTTTCCGCGTGGCTACGAATTCGGGATGCCGCCATTGGTGGAAGGGCACAGTCACGTGACATTCGTCTCGACCAGAAGTGCGCCACTGTTTTCTGCTCCGTCGCGTCTTTAGGCCTCGAGACGCGCTTTTCTTGTACTCCCACCGGCACCTCAGCATGTGGACGGCGGGCGACAACAGTCACCCATTCCACACACAATGTTCGAAGCGCCTGCAAAGAGGCGGAGGCTATCCGCCGACGAACGGGCTCCTGACACCATCGTAACCAACACCGGCCCAAAAATACCAAGTCCACGCCGGCCGTCATACTTGTCTCCAACGAAAAGCTCCCTCTCACGATCATATCCACATCTCGTCGAACGATCGAGTCGTCGCTCGCTGACAGGCGACAGAGGGAGAAGTTTACGGGACGAAGTTCTGCAAAAAAAGCCAGCTCATACCGAGGCGCCTGAACCCGATAAGATCTCTCAACCCATCAACGCAGCAGAAAACCCGCTGGAAGAGACGGTGCAAGACCCGGTTGAAGAGCCTGCCGGAAAAGAAGCACCGAGTGCACCTACGAGTACAAGGCCCAGTGCCAGGCCGCCGTCGCCACAGAAAAGTCCTCAATCGCGGTCAACACAGCCACGGCCGTCAAGAGTGCATGGATCGCAGAGAGCAAGTCACTTCGCCCAGGATGCTCTCTCCCCGCCTATCATAATGCCTTCTCTTGTCCGCCGAACAAGTTCGAATTCTCACTCGGCCACTCGTTCCTCCAGCAATGAGCCAGAGCTACCCCCGACACCTGTTCAGTTAGGACTAGACCCTGCACCCGACAAACCTCGAGGCCTTGCCTCCAGCAGTCCGAGAAGTTCAAGGTCCGGCAGTGGAAGATTCAGGAGGAGAACACAGTCCCAGCAACCGTCCACCAGCAGTCCGTTGAAACCCAAAGCCCGCGCACACGCTCCAAAAGGTATGGAGCCTTTGGCGAGCTCCAGGGAGGAGGGCGATGAGGCTCCGGAAAGCGAGCTTGAGCCCTCAGAAGATGAAGTCACCGAAGATCTGCCACCAGAGCTGCAAGAGAAGAAGTCATCTCTTCGCTCCTTGCAAGAGGAGCTGAGCAGATTGAAGAAAGATGTTGAAAAACTGGACAATTCTGTTGAACATGACCAAGCTGGCGATAAAGTCCTGGCGCTTTTGCAAAGCCTCACTTCTGACAATCAAATTCTCCCCGCAGACGTTGAGGCTCTGCCGACACACCGTCATTTTAATTTGTTCGCCCCGGGAAACTTGTTGCTCAAGCATACTACCCAACTACTGAGCCGTGATGGCCAACCGAAGCTGCTTCACAACGTTACTGCCGCGGCACCGCCTCCTTGGCTCCCAAACACTTTCGCCTGCACATTTAATGTGGTTGTGGATACTGAGACGGGCCACGTCGAGAATACTCGAATGCAAGATTCCTTGAGAGAACATCAACCTGCAAAAGCACCCAGACGTGGATTCTTCAAGTGGGCAGAGCAACGCTTGCAATCTCAACCTGGTCGTCTCGACATACACCGTCTTGATGTCGCAGGCGTAATCTGGGGTATGGGGAAATGGTTCTCTGCCACAATTGAACGTGCAAAAGTTTTTCGTCACTTGGACCTGCAATACGTCAAGCTTGCGACGGCCAAATACGATGATAACCTTTCAATGAGAAAAGAGTCCTTGACTCAGGAAATGACAGTTGAGCTTTCCCCGTACCTTGAAATGACGCAGCTTGAGGTGTCTGCTCAGATATCAAGGTCCAAGAAGAGCGATGTGCCGACGAGCGCCAAAATCATGTTGGTCTGGGACCTCGACCTCGACTGGACTGGAGAAGCCGTGTCCAATGTCTCGCTGGGGTTGAGCGGTATGTCGACCAAGGCGGAGACGGGTTTCAAGGAGGTCTTTGCTACGTTATATCCATCCAACGGAGTCCTGAATGCTTTTGAAAGTGTCTGGGAAATGATTCATGCAGATGGAGATGACGAAGGAAACGCCGAGGGCCAACTCAATGGCAAGCGGAAACGAGTGTGATTTTATAGACCTGCGATTCAGATTGTGTTATGAGGTACGAGTGATGACTATCATGGATCCAGCTACGACGAGTTGTAGGCAAGAGTTCGGTGTACATAAGAATCACGATGCAGAGCTATAGCTGCCACGTATCATACCTTAAACTAGAAGGAATACAAAGGCGAGAGGTGCTTGAGCCCCTGAAGGTTGCTTGGAAGTGGCCTTGTTGTTGGGCTTGGAAAATACAGCTGAATAAGAAATTTCGTTGTTTTTTCATTGGTATTTCCTTTCTGGATTCATGCTATGTCGCCCTCGAAATGAAAAGACGACAAGGAAGGAGAATGGATACACACACCCTCATCCTCGCAACCCTTCGTGTGATGATCTTTTCTTGTTTGGTTCCTCAACGTGCGCGTGTCATGACCCAATCGGAAAAATAAAAGAGCATCCCCAGGCAGGCAACAGACAATACAGAGCCCCTTGTTTCCTGCTTTCGACGTGTTGAGGGCTTTCCGTTCCCGCTTCCCCTTCCGTGGAGAGAAGAAGAGAAAAAACAACACACCATGCAAGTCGTCCTCTCTCTTTTTTTTCGTTTCCCTACCATGTTGCTTTGCTTTTCTGGTCCACGGCCCGCCCTGCAACCCTCTTCTCTACCTCTCTGACAAACACGCACACCACGACGACGACAACAACAACAATACGACGAAGACGCCGACGAGGCACCCCCTCCGGTTGTGTTGTCCTTTTGTCGTCACGGATGGTGTGGGCGCATCGTCTATTTCTTCTTCGCGTCCTCGGCCTCGGCCTTGGCCTTGGCTCTCTTCTCCCGGGCGCCTTGGTTCCTGGCGTCGGCTCTGGCGATTCTGAGTTTGCGGAAGGCGTTCTCCTCGCCCTTGGGCAGGTCGGACTTGCTGATCTCGGTGAAGGCGTGCTTGAGGCCGACGCCGCTGTCGATGGGGATCGCGGTCGCGACGTTCCTGGTGATCTTGCCCTCGTCCTCGGCCACCTTGACGTCCTCGGCCGAGCTGTCAAGCTTCTTGTGCTGGCCGGACTTGCGCGGGAACAGGATCAGTCGGGCCTTGTAGGCCTTGAGGCGGGCGACGTTGGTCGAGAGCGTTTCTTGGTTGGTGGTCTGGCGGCGCGCGTCGACCGAGATACCGATCGTCGGGGCGAGTTTGCGGGGGATGCCTGCTTCCTATAATGCAAGAAAAAGTGTGCGTTAGTCATGAACGTATGTACGCATGCATGCATTCTTCCAAAGATTTGTGATGTGTCGGTGTGTTTTGTGCTCTATCCCCCCAGACGTTCAATGCGAAGTAAAGTGCTTGTTTGGGAGAATCATAAAAAAGGAGACCGCGAAAACACCCAAGACTAATTTTTATTTTCCCCTGCTCTTGACGTTGTCGTGATGATGTCCCTCCTCCTTGAGGATGTATCTTGGTTTCCCTCCTCTTTCGGTGTACAGAGGGAAAATTTGCAAAAGTCGTACCTTCAATTCAACAAGGGTGAATCCTCGACCGGCTCTCGCGCGGCGGTTGTACTTGATCGTAGGGCATCGGACCACAGGCTTCAGCTTGTCGACGGGTCGGGGAGCGACGGCGGCAGCCTTGGACAGACGAGCTGCCCGTCTCGAAGACTTGCGGCCCGGCTGGTCAAAGTGCACGCGGACTCGGCGTTGCCAGTCCTTGTGGAAGTGGTTGTTGGGCAGTTGCTGGTTGTGCTTGATCGCCATTGTGCTCGACGATGCTGGGTGCTAAATAAAAAAAGGACACACAACCTTGAACCGGGAAAATTGAGATGCTGGAAGACGGATTCCAAAGAGTGTGAGTAGGTGAGATCTTGAATTTCTGCCGCCCACACACAGATTGGCCCTGGTTTGTGAGTGCAGTGAAAGTGGCTCCAAAACTGGGTGATTTTTCTTGGCACAGATTTGTGCGCCAAGGAAGAAGGGGAACGGGTTGGCCGGTCATGTGATTTTATTTGTACTACTGTAGATCAGAGGTCGTAGTGCCGCTAGACGAGCGAGAGACAGCCAATTCTCCGTCTGACAGATGTACGCACTACGGCCACGTCGAGAGCACACATGATTCTTTTTGAAATGACAGAATGCTGCCTACTCACACGACTCTGTAAATCTGCTGGGCTACTCCGTACTTCCTTAGTACATAGCAGGACCCTCTACCTTCTTTGGTTCTCGAGGAACCGTTGAGGAATCTTCGGGCTACTACTGGTCCTATGAGACATAGAAACAATTCGTAGTCATGGCTCGATGCACGCTAATTCTCTGCATGCTATCCCAGACACATCACAAACAAAATCCCCGGAACTGTCCAAACTAAAGCGGTTCGGCGAGGAAAAGATATAGATACAATTCTGGTAAGATTGAGCATGAGCTGTTACTATGTATGGTCTCAGTCACCTTTCGTCTCGTCGTAAACAACACTGGGATTGATTGAGTGGGTATCCTGAAAATCGAAACTCAAAGACTCCCTCCAAAGATGGCACTGAGTTGCCTCTAGATCACTGACTCCAAGATTCAATACCGAGACCGACACCATGAGATATTCTCGCCTTCTTTGCTTTCATATCTGACTCCCCAAAACTACCTGCTCTCCTCTTCGCGTGAGCAGTCTTTTGAACTGGCCCAAATAGCTTTCTCTGCAATGCATTGCTGGATTTCTCTGCACCTTGCGACAGCCGCAAGCTCTCTTGGGGTCCAGGGTTGCGGCGCAACATGTCGCTGGCCAGAGAACTAGCCTGTGACTGTGGGATGTCGTCATTGCTGCCATCTTCAGCATCGGATATCGAGATGGTGCTGTCTCGATCGTGACGGTCTTGATCGTGACGGCCTCTCTCGGCAGACTCAATCACCAATTGAGAAGCTGGCGCAGAGAGGGGAACCATAGATTCTGGGTAGTTGTCATTCTGCGAGGGACCATGCTGCGCAAGCGTGGTATGTAGCGACGACATTGAGCGCGCGCCTCGAGTATGACCGTGCTTGAACTTTGACGTATGCGTCTTGGTGGGAGTCGACGGGACACTGAGACTTTCTCGACTCAAGACCTGATCTGCTGCTAGAAGGGCGGCGATGGTGCCGTGGCTAGGTGCCGATTCTGGAAACTTGGGGATCGCTCTGCGCTGTGGCGTTGCGTATGCATCACGAGGTGTTGTGTATGAGGGCGACAGGCTCTTGAGCCTGCTGAAATGTTCTCTGTTGTCGCGAATACGTTTCTTCAGTCGATCGTTTTGCTCCACCAGCAGATCAACCTTGTCCTTCTCTGCTTCGAGGTGTTTGCGGGCACGGAGGAGTTCATGTTCTGCATCATCACGCTCATCCTCGAGCATTCTGCATGTCCTGATCAACGCTTCGATTTGTGGCTGTGCTGGAGGCTGTGAGCTTCGCATAGACGCCGAAGCACGATTCTTATGTTCGACAGTTTGGAGCACCTCCATTTCTCGTCGAGACATCTGCCGCTCAACTTCAGCCCTTTGCGCGGCCTCTTCTGACTCCATCGCAAGCAAACTGTGCTGCAATTTGAAGTGCGCCGCAGACGTTCTGGCTTCTTGGACCGCGGCTACCAACTCTCGAGCCATGTCTCGCAGTTCTTCGATGCCTGCCTGAGCTATCGCATCCGCCGTGGGAAGAGCGCGCAGAACATTAGACTTGAGTGTGTTGGGAGGAGACGCAAGTGGAGGATCGCTGGGTCCGACGCTTGCGCGGTTGACCGGTGAATGAAAGCGAGGAGGCTGTGTTGATGGAGGAGGGGTCAAGCTTGCAGACATTGCTGGTGGTGAAGCGTAGGCCGACTTGCTCATGCTGTCTGCTGAGCGAGAACGTGGAGCTGGCGGAGGTGTTGATGGGACCAGGGTTTCGATTGATTGCATTTCGACGTTGGCCATGTTGGGAGTTGCGTGAGAAGGACTGCGGGTGTTTGCACAAGACCTCAAGTGAGGGTTGTGCGATGGCTTTCAGGAGATCGAGCCGAGAATGCGCTGTCAGTCTGGCCTTGCTGCTATCGATAGGGGTGGAGTCGCAGGTGTAGAAGTGGTGAGATGACACGAGTAGAGCTACGGAAGTAGTGCGCACCGCTTTCTTATGATCGGGCCGCAAGGTGGTACATCGGGACAGCTGCGCTGAGAATGCGAAGCGTGGCAGACAGCGGGAGGAGGTTAGTTGAAAGGTTGAAGACGGATCGCATGAGGATGAAGCGACGATGAGTATTTGACAGGTTGGGATCCTGACCATAGAGGAAGAGGCTGGGAGGGCGGGAACTGGGAGCGTGGTGGAAGCGGTGGAGCGGAGCTCGAGGTTAGTTAAAAGAGCCCCGAAGAAAAACCACCATTAGCGGGTCTAGCGACGCCTAGTGAGCATCACGCCAGCGCGACGTTTCCATTAAAGCACGCGTCGCGACTCAACCGAGCAGCGACACGAGGATGACCTGTTATGCGCTCATCCTCATGGTGGCGTTTTTCGCTAGTTCCGTTTCTCAGGACCCGGAGGCGCTGTGCAAGCCACTAGGCTCAATTTCAATTAGGCCTGTGGTTTAGGCTCAGTTGGGCCTGGTGAGCCCAGTCGCACCCATCCGGGCCCCGATTACCACAACAACCAGGTCGATCGTTGTTTCCACGGCCCCCTTTTTCCTGTCAACACACACCAGATCGGTTTCCTGAGGAGCTTGGACTTTACGTCTTCCTGCTCCGTAAACCCAATATCCCGGTCTGTCTGATATTTGGTTCTTCAATATATTGAATGTCCACGAGAATAATGCAGGAAGATTCTTTCTAACGGATATCGTTCTCCCGTACTGCAGCATGGACCAAGACTACGGGTCCAACGTCCCGCTTCGTGGTGGCATTCCACGCCTGTCCAGGCTACCCATGCCACGTGCAAGCGCGTCCATGGACAACCTGAAACTCAGTACCAGGACTTCCGGCCTTGCTGGAGGTCATCAGGACGACTTGCGTAAGACGTCCGGCTTACCTCGCCCGTCGGGCCTGGCAGGGCCATTGGGAGAAAATCTGAATCAGTCAATCCGTTCTCGCTTTGCATGGACTGCGAAGCCCAGAAACCCAAGAAGCGCGTCACCAGTGAGGGATGCTCTCCGCGACGCGTACACCGGCACATTAGAAACAACACCCCCGAATCCGAAAGCCGATCCAGCAGTATTTGAAGATGGTTCCGAAAATCCAACCACCGCCAGAACTGGAGTTCTTGAGAAACGCAAACCTCGACCGTCGTTGTCAGAACGAACGACTGAGACATTATCTCAAGTATCACCGTGTCCGTCGCCAATGCCTAGGAGGACAAGCTTAGTCAACAACGATAGCTCTATGCTACCCCCGTTGCGACCGACATCGAGAGCGTCGCGTCCTACAACTCCGGCAACTCCTCGCGCAGAATCGCCATCGAAGCGGGCTTTTCGACCACCAGGAAGAGCGTCACCCACAAAGGATGCTGCCCAACTGCCTCTGGTCGTGTCGCCTGGTGATATCTATACACCACCTAGAGCTTTTGTTAGAGGCCAGCGCTCGAGAATTGCGAAACCCCTACGAGACCCACGACGGTCAGTGAGCTCTGCTTTGGAAAGCCCTGCCACCACTGAAGATTCATTATCCTCAGTGATGACCTCGTCCCAGACGATGAAGGGAAAACCAGTATACAGCAGCAAAACCATTGCCTCTCATACTTCAGCGCAGAAACCCTCGCTCTCATCGACCTTCCAGGATTCACCCATCTCGTATCGAGAGTCCAAACCCCTGTCGTCTGTTAGCGGTTCAAAGCCACTTGTCTCGAAGGTAAAGTCGAAGACAATGAGCGAGACCAACTCCGGGAAAGAACGGGAGCGCCATCCCGGGAGTGCGCAGGAAACATCCGCAATGAGCTCGCCCAAATCATCTGCTGCGCTGCGTGAGACAATCGCCAAGGCAAAAGCTGCCAGGAGAGACATGTTGAGAAAATCGGGAGAAGCTGCACGACAATCCAACGACTTTTCGACTGGCTTCGGGCTGCCTGATGACCTGCCCAGTACTGGAGATAACAGCGGGTTATTGAAAAAGCGCATCCAACAAGCAGTAACTACCGGGCAATTGAACATTGCCGGAATGAATTTGAAACGAATACCCACAGAGATAATGAAAATGTACGACCCAGAAGACAACAAAATCGACTGGTCAGAAATGATAGACCTCACGAAAATGAATGCAGCAGATAATGAAATTGAGGAGCTTTTGGATGAAATGTTTCCCGACTATTCCGAGTCCGAGCTTCAGAATGACGACGAGAAGAGCAATCAATTTGGAGGTATAGAGTCTATCGACTTCCACCGAAACAAGATTCAAAGACTGCCCATTGGGTTTCGAAGTCTGACTAGACTACAATCGTTGAATCTAACCGGGAACAAACTTGGAATGGATGCTTTTGATATCCTACGCGAACTGCCACAGCTAAAAGAACTCTTCCTGGGCGAGAACCTTTTCAACGGAAGTTTACTGCTCGATCAGTGCGACTTCCAGGATTTGCAAGTGCTCGATCTGCATGGTAACAACATTGAGAACATCGAAGAACAAAGTCTGTTGCATATGAAGGGTCTCAAAAGACTGGATCTCAGTGCCAACAAGCTCTCGCGGTTGCCGTGGAAGACTCTTGCAAGTCTTGCGCTGACTGAGCTGAACGTTTCTAAGAACCGTCTGTCGGGGATGCTCATCTGCTCGGCCTCTTGCCTGCCTGAACTACGCAGCTTGAATGCTTCATACAATGATTTGGAAGGCGTCTGTAAAGATGACCTTGACCTGCCTAATCTGCGAACTCTGATCTTGAATGGCAATCGGATGGCTAAGCTGCCTTCCCTGGCCAAATGTAAGCAACTGCAAACGCTCACGGTTGCCGAAAATCAGCTGGATGAATTACCCACTCAATTTGCGCATCTAGAAGGACTGGCGTCTGCCGACTTTGCGCACAATAATATCAGACTGGTTGACCCGGAGATCTCCAGAATGACGAAGCTCTCGGGCTTGAATCTTGCTGGCAACCCGCTACGGGAGAAGAAGTATCTCACTATGAGTACGGCCGAGTTAAAACTGGCCTTGGAAAAGAAACTAGAAGATACGAGTCCTGCACCAGGACTACTTGACGACTCCTCGAAGCCCACACGAGAATATCGGTTCAAAGCTTCTAATGGTATTCTCGACATGTCTTCACAATCTTTATCAGCTGTAGACTTGTCTGAAATCCATCTCGACGATTCAAATGGACCGATTCGCGCTCTCAAGCTCTCAAATAACGACCTCACCACTTTTCCTGTCGACCTGCTTAATCAGCCGGTGCTGAAGTACTCTTTGCAGGTGTTGGACCTCAGCCACAACCCGTCTCTCCATTCAACGGAATACCTCACTTCGGAGCTTTTCTTGCCGAATTTGAAGTCGTTGTATATCGTCAGTACTGGCCTAACATCTCTTGACGCATTGACAACGTACCTCAAAGCACCATGCTTGGTTGAATTGAACATTTCCTGCCACCGCTTGACCGGTCGCGTGCCATGGGTACGAGCTTGGTGGCCAACTTGCACAACATTGCTCGCCACTGACAACTGGTTCTCAAGTGTCGACGTCGAAGGCGTGCGTGGATTGGAAGTACTCGACATCCGTAACAACGAGATCGAGACCCTTCCGCCCAAAATTGGCCTTCTGGGCAAGAAACCAGGCAGTGTGAGAGAAGCTGGAAAGCTGCATTCACTCGAAGTCAGTGGTAACAAATTCCGTGTTCCAAGATTGGGTATAGTCGAAAAGGGCACCGAGGCTATTTTGAAAGATTTGAGACGCATGATCGCCTTGGACGAGATTCCTGAAGAGTGGCAGGAGTTTGCCTGATTTTGCATTTCCACGATTCCCTTCTTACCCAGCAGTTCATCGAGCTTCGTTGATGTGATGATTTCTTCCAGGTCTGGAGGACTCACTTAGCGAGCGGTATTCTTCGCACCACATCGTTCTTAACGCGGTGTCCGTGTTTGAAGCTGCCTTAACTGGCAGCTTTAGCACAACATTGTGAGACTGGCTGGAGACAGCCTTTTTGTATTTGGACAGCGCTTTGTGACTGTATAGATCTGTCATGCGCAATTACTGTAGCATGATTAATGCACGAAGTAATATCCGCTTGTAGATGTTTAAAGGCATTAGATATCAAGCGTTCAGTATGAAGTATCTTAAAGGAAGACGTTCCGTTCCCCTAGCACTGTCCGGTGCATTCATGACCTAAAGCATCAATTCGATCTGAGCTACCTGTTGCTGCTGCGAGGCTGACCTAGGATTACCCGCAAGGCTATCCAAAGGCGGTGACGCACGGCAGAATCTTTTGTATTGTTGTCGCTCTCCCACACGACCGCTAATGATGCTTGTGTGAATGCGCCGCGCATAATCAACGGAACCCTCACGAAAGCCTGCGTCATCACTTCAAAATGTCGAGTTAGTTTTTCTTCATATGCGCGTCGCGGACTCTACTGACAGCCTCGATAGACCAATTTGCTGTCCCGGAGCCTCCTGCGGACGCCATCTCAGCCCTGAGATTTTCACCGCAGCCAGACTCGTTCCGCTTTGCCGTGGCCTCTTGGGACAAGAACGTGTACATCTACGAGCTGTCGGACGGCAAGTCGTGCAAACAGACGGCCAAGTTCGAGCACAGGGCCCCGGTACTCGACGTCTGCTTTGGCAAGGACGACAATGAAATATACACGGCGTGTTTGGACTGGGATGTGAGAAGGTCGGTGGTTGACGACGAGATATTTGATGATTCTCTCTCTCTCTCTCTCTCTCACACTCTCACACACACACACACCCCCCCCCTTTGCGGGTTTGAAAAGGAGGTGTGGCTGACTGATCTACGTTAGGATCGATTTGAAGTCGGGCACGCAGACGGTTCTCAGCACCCACGACAACAGTGTCCGCTCCGTGGTGTACAGCAAGGAACACTCTCTCGTGATCTCGGCGGCGTGGGACTCGACGCTCCACGTCCACCCTGGCGACGGCGACGCTTCTTGGAGCACTGCCACGATCAACCTGCCCTCGAAGCCGTTCTCGCTGGCCGTCTCGGCGTCGAAGCTGGTCGTGGCCATGGCCAACCGGGCGCTGCACATCTACGAGTTGAAGGCGCTCGCGGACGAATGCAAGAGCAGCTCGGCGAACTCGTTGCAGAACCGCCTGGACATCGAGCCGTGGCAGCGACGGGAGAGCAGTTTGAAGTTCATGACCCGGGCCGTGGACTGCATGCCCAACGACGAGGGGTACGCTTCGTCGAGCATCGAGGGCCGCGTCGCTGTCGAGTGGTTTGATCCGTCCAACGAGTCGCAGGCGAGAAAGTACGCCTTCAAATGCCACCGCCAGCCGGTCGACGACGTCGACGTCGTCTATCCCGTCAATGCGATTGCTTTCCATCCCGTCCACGGGACGTTTGCGACTGGTGGCGGCGACGGCGTCGTGGCGATTTGGGATGCTATCGCAAAGCGCCGAATCCGTATCTACCCCAAGCTCGCGTCGAGCGTTGCAGCCCTATCATTCAGTTCGAACGGAAAGTACCTTGCGACAGCCATCAGCCCCGGATTTGAGGATGGTAAGGACGAAATCGCTGAAGGTTCAATTGGCATCTACATCAGAGAACTTGGCGAGAACGAGGTCAAGAGAAAGGCGAAGTGAGCACGACTTTCTCTGTTCTTTTGCTACTTGAAACTCCCCTTCTGGACACACACTTGAGCCACGGAAAGTGTCTATTTGCGGGAATCTACGACTAATCTTCGGTTGCACGGACGGGTATCAATGGGGGATATTTGGCGATAATGGACGGCCGCTTCTCCCGAGCTCGACGCAGGGAAACAGTGCCATCGGCCATGCCAAAGTAGCAGGCGACGGGTCTCTGACCTCCTATGACCTGAGCCGCCAAGGCCTCGGGGCCAGTCGGACCACAGAAGAGACCGACGGCCAGCACACCGTTGATTTCCTTGATGGCTTTGGCGAGTTGCTCGACCTCCCAATAGCCGTGCTCGCCATTGCCCAGCTTCTCTGGTGTGCAGTCGGAAGAAATCATAAGAGGGTGAGGAAATGGTGCGTCGACGATGAAGAAATCCTGATCGGTCTTGATGGGACCGGCCTTGGCCATGTGGCCTTCTCGGATCATGGGGGCGGCACCGCTCGGGCTTCGACTCCCCAGCATGCGCAAACGTTGAATGACTTGTCTGGCTGCCTTTGGTTCCACCTCGATGGGAATGGTGGGCCACTTGGTCACCAAACGGCTTTGAAGTTTGCGATAGTCTGCGGTGGAGGTCAGCGAGAAGGTGACACAAGTGCAGAAACCGGGGGCTCCTCTCAGCTTACGTACCTGCAACACAAATGAAGGATTTTGCACGCATCGCAACGAGCTTCTCCTGATATAGACATGCGCCTCCTCCCTTGATGCAGTTGAGGTCTTCGTCCACTTCATCAGCGCCGTCGAATGCCACGTCAATCATGACACTGTCGGGTAAAGCGTCGAACTCGATCGGGACCAGCCCGGCGTTTATAATGAGTTGCTTGGATTGGTACCCCGTCGGCACGAAGCCTACTCTTGAAACGTCGGCCCCGCTGTTCTTGATAGCTTCCACCACGTAGACAATCGTCGTGCCTGAACCGATGCCGACGAATCGCGGGTTCTCGGGGAAGTGGTTGCGCACTGCCTCTATGGCCGCCGCTTTCTTCGCTGCTTCTATGTCTGCGGCCATGTTGTGGCCGGCGAAGCGTCGGGGGTTATGGAAACGGTTACGGAGGAGGAGCTCTTTGAGGCCGCGGGAAGGTAAGGACAATATTCTAGCTGCCAGATTGCATAAACAAAGAAAGGTGTTTGGGAGGAGGTGTTTGGGAGGAGGTGCTCGGCGAGGGCCTCGTCTCTCAGACTCTCTAGAAATGGGCTGGCTGGACGCACACTGTAAGAGGAGGGGAGAGAGGTGGTGTTCTTGTCGGGTGACTTTTGTTACAGATGCAGCCACGGATTACACAACAAAGTCGCATTTGCATTTGCATTTCTGGGTGAGGGCGCGCGGGGCTCTCGATCTAATCTAATCTCCAATCTGCACTCGGTCACGGGAATCGCACGTGACTGCCTCTGTCTCTTATCCTACTGAACTCTCTCCTTCAACCTCACTCATATCTGAGAAGAACAAGATTCCATGATGACACCAATGACCACCCCCGGGAGATCTTTCGCCTTGCTCACTATGTTGTCACAACAACAACTCATTCATCTGCGCGACGGCTTGTACGAGTCGACCTCTCTCCTGTACGGGTGAGTCCTCTCTCTGCTCCAGTGTCTGTCCCACGGCGGAGTTTCGGGTCGTCGCCAGTATCCGTCCTCGTCGCTGCGCTCGCGGTGATAGCGATCACGATCACGATCACGACCACACTCGTACTCACGGTCTTTACCACGGCTTGCATCCCGGGTATGGTCCTTGCGTCTGCGACTGCGAGATCTGTCCCTGTCCCTGTCTCCATGACCGCGTCCACTGTGTGCATATAGGCGTCGATTTCGGCGTTGTCTCTCTCTGTTTCTTCCTCTCTCCGACTCGCCAGCGTACGAGGAGTATCTTGCACCAGCACCGTACTCGCTGTCCGAGCTCTTGGAATAGTGATGGTCATGATGATGATGCTGATCCTTACCCTCGCTCCTCTCCCTCTTGCTGTTGACGTCGTCCTCACGAGCGTCGAGGGGACGGCGACGGTACGCCTGTGCCTGTTCTGCTGCGGGATTTGGAGTTGCCTCGAATGTTTCGGGTCCGTAGGAAACGGTCGGAGTTTCAGCAACATCTGCCTCGGGTCCACGAGGTGCATGCTCCAGCTTGTCGACGACGTCGAACTTGCGCTTGCGGCCACCGGTCAACGACACGACGTTCGCTTTTGCCATGTTGCAGGTGGACTGCAATTCCGCCATTGCTTCCGGATCGACGTCCTTGTCCGCCAGGTATTGGATCGCGTTCTCGGCGGTGTCGCGAAGAAATTTGGCTGCGTCGATAATCTCTTGGCCTTCTCTGTTGGGCACGGCATTGAAATCCGCTTTGGCCTGCTCGTAGACCTGCCAGAGACGTGTGACTTGCGTATCGACCACTTGCATATGAGTTTGGCCTCCCTCGATTACCGCAGGGTGTTCTGGCTCGGGATCGGGGCTTCGCTGGTAGGAATCCGCGTGATCGGGGGCATCTATAAGGCAACATCCCAAAGGAAAGGGAACACGTCAGCTGAAGTACCTATTCTTCCCAGAAAAAGAAAACACTATAGGTGAGGCCGGGGGGCTTTCGTTGATTGAAAGGTGAGTGAGCAAATAAACAAAACAGAATGGGCAGTCGGGAGTCAGGTAAGTAGGTACCTCTGATCAAAGTGTTTCGAAGGTCCATGGCGCGACCAAGTGCAGTTGTGACATCTGAAGCCCTTCCTTTCACCGCGATGCTGATCCCAAGGTACTCTTCGCAAAAGACGACAATGGCTGCGGGTTGGTCCAGGTCGCGGCCGCTGCGGGTGATGTTCAGGAGCGCCTTGTCGTACACGGTGATTCGATTGTGCTTCAGGACCGGCGAGCGAGTCTTGATCAGGTTGACCTGGCGCTCCAAGAGCTCGAGGAACTCCTGCTTGTGGTACTCGAGGTAGTAGTGGATGCTGCGGTTGGCGGCGTAGGTGTCGCTCGCCTTGTCAATGACATCGAGCACCTCGTCGTCCCACGCGTCGGTGTCGAACGGGGATCCTCCATCGCCACCTCCCTCTCCCGCGCGACGTGTGTCGGGGAAGAAGAGAGCGTCGTCGGGGTCCCCCATCAAGGTGTCGCCTGACATCGTGGCTGCTGTCGACTGTTCAAGACGACGACGAACCGGTGTGACTACGGATTCACAACGCCGCGAGAGTGTGTGTTCGCGCCCAAAAAATTCCCAAGTCACAAAGGTAGTGAACGTGAGAGGTGAGAGACAATGAGAAAGAGAGAGAGAGAGGAGTTTGAGATTTCCAGCACTTCACAAGGCCAAAATCAAATGAAAGACGCGTCGCGAATTGTTTCTGCCAGACCGATCCCAGGCGGGCGCTGTCTTTATTATTTACGGTCCCTCCCTGACCACTGACTGGGGTCAATGAATCATGATTGTGAAAAGAAACAAAACAAAAAAAAAGGGCGTTGGGCGGTCGGTAGGGCCGCCGCTTGTGTCGCGACGGCACTCAGGAGGACGTCTTCGGCAGTGGAGGAACGGACGACACACACATTCACTGAATGAACGAACGCAATGAGTCCTTGTGCCCGAACAATGCTTGCATCGCGGACCATTGTGTATGCACAACGAGGATCTCGTCTCTTGAGATTCAGGATGGAGTATCGTTTGTTGGCTCTCCGTTCGACCACTGTCTACAACCCGTCAGACCAAGGAAAGCAGCTGCAGACAGCCTTTGAACATTGCAGATGTTCTTTTGAGTGTATAGGCCAAGGCAACTAGGCTTGTTGTTTGGGTGCTATGCCATCACATATACGTATCTATGTATATTATCAAAGCACAGCACGTAACAAAGTCGCATTACAGAGACGAGACCCTTTCTTTGTAGGGGAACGCAGTAGATCGGTACAGATCCATCTAGATAAAGCGACACGGATTGAATTGACATGTTTGCATTAAGGTGAATCTGTCTACTGCAGTCAGGGCACAGTCAGTGCAAGATGCAAACCTATCTCGAGTTTCATAGCTGAAATCTCGGATGACAAGGCAGCTAGCTACAACCCTGCAGGAGCTGGCTATTTGCTTGCTTTGATATCAAAGCTCACAGCCATATCACCAGTCTATCATACACACAACAAAGGAAATAACTTGATCGTCACCCAGCCACCGCAGAATAATGAATGAGCTTTGAGCTCAACAGAGAGGGACGCCGTTCGCCTGCCAACACCGGCTCAGTCCCGCCCAGCCTTGTGTGAATCGAATCCCACTTGCAAAGTACTCGAGTCGATAAGAAAACTTTTGGGTAATGGCATACTTGCCTAACATGAAAACAGTGGATCATGCAGTCTGAGAGAATGCTTTGTTGAGACAAGTGAGATCCGACGCGGGAAACGGACAATTTAGGCGGTGGTTTCTGCACCCTCGGCCTTGGGCGCGTCTTCCTCTTTTGTGCCATTGGGGCCGGCTTCACCGCCACGGCTCTTCATGTAATCGTCGTAGACGCTGAGAGCCTCATCGACTTTGGAGTGAAGAGCGGCTTCATCATCGACCCTGTCAAATGTATTAGTTCGAGTGCTCTATTCGAGGCTTCAGTTTGACTTACAAAGCAAGAAGTTCAGAGTTGTCCATCTCGAGAAGCATACCAGTGATCTTGCCAGCAAGCTCTGGTTGCATTTGTTGAATCTTTGGGTAGATAGCTTCACCAAGCATCTGCTTCTGCTGACTTGGGGGGAGAGACGCAAGGTTGCTGAGCGTGCTCGGGGCACCGATTTCTTCGCGGTTAGGCATGATTTGTCCACGACCCTGTGGAGGCAGACGGCCGGCGCCTTGACCGCCAGGTAGATTCTGCATACCACCTCGGCCACCGCCTTGCGGGAAGTTGGGTCCACCACGGACACCGCCCATACCCGGTATGTTAGGAGGGACGCCCTGCATGCCCTGCATCTGGCCGCGACCTCCAGCACCACGACCCATCTGAGCTTGCATCTGGGCGAGAGCTTGTGGGTTGTTGTACATGCCGTTCACAAGAGCAGGGTTTTGGATGAATGGCATCTGGCCAGGCATACCGAAGTTGGGTGGGAGTTGTTGACCTTGAGGGATTCCACGACCTTGTTGAGGAAATCCTCCTGGGAACTGTCCACGACCGCCTTGCATTCCAGGAATGACCATACCAGGCTGGCCAGCGAATGGGATCCCTCTCTGGGCACCCGGTGGCAAAAATTGCTGGCCAGGACCATAGAAGACGGAAGGCTGGATATAGCCCTGAGGCATACCGGCAGCGGCGGCCTGTTGCTGTTGGCGAAGGGTGTTGCGTGCCTGGATACTAGCCTCAAGCTGACTCTTGCGAACATCCTTGCGCTGTGCGAGAGCAACATACAAAGGCTTGCCGTTGACCATCTTCTGGTTCATTTCCGACACCGCCTTGGAAGCCTCGTCTGGGTTGCTGAAGCAAACGAATCCGAAGCCCTTACTCTTGCCGAAGGTCTTCGAGCCGGACTTCTTCTGCTCCTTTCCGTCTTCCTTGCCGTCCTCCTTGCCTTCGTCCTTGGACTCATCGGCTTTTGCGCCCTCCTCGGGCTTGGGCTCTTCCTTGACCTCGGCAGTCTCTTCCTTCTTGTTCTCCTTGTCCTTGTCAGCGGAAGGCGAGGCGCTACGGTCAGAGGTATCCCGCATAACTTTGGCGGAGGTAATGGTGCCGAAGGTGCTGAACAATTCGCGAAGCTTCTCGTCATCGACATCATCGGTCAGGTTCTTGACGTAGAGGTTGACACCTTGATACTTGGAAGCCTTCTCCATGCGAGCGGCCTCGTATTGCCGACGAAGCTCTTCCTCACGCTCATGCTTCTTTTGTGCACGGCCCACGTAGAGATTCTTGCCGTGGAACTCCTTGTCGTTGAGTTCCTCCACGGCTTTGGCAGCCGACTCGTGAGTGACAAAGTTGACAAAGCCGAAGCCGCGGCTCTTGCCATTCTCGTCACGAGTGATACTTGCGGACACAACCTCGCCATAGGTCTCGAAAAGCTTGGTGAACTCCTCGTCGGTGACGGATTCGTCAATGTTTTTGATGTAGACATTGGTGAAGTTGGCCTTCATCTCCTCAAACTTGCTCTGACGGTCTCTCTTGGCAATGTGATGACCGACAAAGACCTTCTTATCGTTCAACAACATGCCGTTGACGGACTTGATGGCGGAGTTGGCAGCCTCGGCAGTCTCATAATGAACGAAACCGTAGCCCTTGGAGTTACCCATCTCGTCTTGAGCAACCTTACAGCTAAGGATGTTGCCGAATTGGGTAAAGGTATCATGGAGGGCTTTGTTGTCGATGGCCGCGTCCAAGTTCTTGATGAAGACGTTGCCTTGACCAGTGCGGCGAAGGGCGGGATCACGTTGAGACCACATGATACGGCAAGGACGACCCTTGATACTCGTGTAGTTCAAATCTTCCAAGGCACGTTCTCCATCAGCAGTGTTATTGTAGTTGACATAAGCGTAGCCCAGGGAGCGGCGAGTGACGGCATCGCGACAGACTCGAATGGATGCAACTTGGCCGATGGAGGAGAACAACTCGAAGAGCATGGCTTCGGTGACCGAGGGGTCCAACTCGCCAACGTAGAGTGAGGCAGAGTGTTGAGCCGCGTTGGGGTTAGCCGAGTAAGGGGTCTGGTCGTCATTGCCACCCTCAGAAGGCGCAACGTTGGTGTTGATCGCAGATGTGCCATTCTGGGCCTCGGAGGTCCCATTTTGGCCAGCGGCCGGAGAGGTGTTGGAAACTTCGGCGGCAGACATGATTGCTACGAGTTTGTTAGTCTCAGTTCATACGATGAGATCATGCTGCGACTTGGACGGTCGTGCTTTCTTTGTCCGGTCCTCGAGCGCAACCGCCCCAGTACAAAGGAAGCGCTCACCGTTTGCGGATTTTTCTAGGTGTTATCGAGATTGATAGAATTGAGAGGGAATGTGAATGGTCAGGTAGAGGTAATGGTAGATTGGTATGGAGATAAACGTCGAACACTGTTGGTCGGTCAGCTGGATGTCTTTTTTGGGGAGGCTCTCACATTGACATGAAAAAGGGTGCGCAGGGAAAAACTTACAGGGACGACTGGTAGTTTTTCAAGGGGGGTTTTCACGTTTTTTTGGGCCACGAGTAGTTTTCGAGAGGGAAGGGGCAGGACGACAAGCGACTGCAAGGGAAAACAGGCAGACGATGCTCTGAAAAGTTGAAGTGAGGTTTGTAGGATGCGGTGGTGGTGAAAGAGGTTAAAAAGGCTGTGCCAAAACCAAAAAGTGTCATGCAATCAAAAGAATTTCGAATCCGGCGCTATGCCGGAAGTGGTAAGCGCGACTGGCTGTTGTAAGCTGCGGCAGCTGCGGCCACTTTGAGCGCGGCCAGCAACACGCGTCTCTATCTATTGTACCATATGCCGCCATCAAGGAAACGCTTCATCTTCCAGCAGCAATACAGGCATGCGTGGATCTCAGCCTTGTGGCACGCTCTCTTGCCTCTTCCAAATTGTGAGGAAACCCACACAAAGAGCAAATTCAAGTAGACATTTGCCACACTTGCCACAAATTCAGATTACTGCACTGTCTGTTCATCGGAGTCGAGATTTGCCAACGGCGGCGAGATATGAGAACGAGGACCGAAATGTCTTCTTCCAACTTCCAAAACACTCCCACAAAACAGGATCTCACCACGGGTACTCCTGTTAATTTGTCAGCCACAGCATACTCGATGCCCAGAGATCGATGAACGAAGGAGGGCTACAAGACGTACCCTTCCATCCCAGCACCAGAATGTCCCACTATCAGACTTGTCCTTCTCGCCAATGACTTTCAGCATCTTTGAAACGCTCTCGTCTGCATCGATTATTCCTTCCACTTCCCAGTCGACCTCGATGTTTGCCATGTCACTGCGAGTACTAAGTATCTTCATGGTGCCATGTTATGATGATCAAGACCCAGCTTACGTCTTTACTTCTCCCGGATGAAGCGCTAGCACGCAAACTTCGTCCCACTTGCCCCCTTTCCTCTTCAGTTCGGCAGCCATGTGTCTCAGCATCTGGTTCAACGCCGCCTTGCTGGCACCGTAAGCTCCAAATCCATCCTCGTGTGCTCGAAATTCTGCCGTAGATCCTGAGTCTGAGGAAATGAAGATCACCTTAGAAGGCGGGGCTTCGTCGTTGATCTTGAGCAGTCTTTGAGCCGCAATGATGGGACCTATTGTGTTTGTATGTAAATGCAGCGCAAAGTCGCTGAATGATCTGTCGACGGATTCAATCAGCAACTCATTTACCGGAACTTTGGGAGAAAGACGCGACTCGCGCTTACATTTCCGTTGCCCTCTTCCGATCGTGTCAGTACTGTCATAGCATAGTGAGGGTTGGAGGCTTACGTTGGGATACTTCAGAACTCCTGCATTCAAGACAATGTTGTCGATCTTCGATCCTTTGGCAATAAACGCCGACATGCGTTTGGCAAACTCCTAACCGAAGGTTCAGTCTGTGCTATTCTCAAGCTTGCGTTCGTGTAGTGAGACTTGCATCGATACTCGCTTCATCTGTGACATCACATTGCTCGATCACGCAGGCCCCTGGACGCTGCTGTTTGGCAGCAAGCTGCCAAAGATGACTGGCAGTCTCCGGGTTCCGAACTGCAGCAATCACTTGATTGCCCTCGTCGAGCAACTGACGAACAAATTCGAGGCCGATCCCACGGCTAGCTCCAACAACGACCCAAGTAGACGGTGACATGGTTCAAAATCGAGTTGAGTGGAATGCGAGCCTGAGGCCTTCACTGGAAAGTGGTTGGCGCAATATTTCCCCAGTACGGTTATATATACTTCAGATCAACATTGTGCGGCTCATCAATTTGGAAAGATGTAATGGTGTCCAAGAAGACCGAGATGATAGCAACGCTCTCAAATTTAATCGTCACCACGCCTGTCAACCTACCTGGGTTAATTGGGGCCTTAACTCTAGTCATGTCTGAACCCTCGGAGGGACCTGACAGAACCAGAAGCCGGGATAGCTTAGGAGGAGTGGGGATGGATAGTGGACAGTTGTGCTCTAGTACGCGGACGCCTTCTTGTCTTGAATGGATCGTAAAGACTATCCAGGTTCAGATAGCTAGACGAGGGAAAGTCCAGGCGAGCGTTTCATCTAAGCTCATCGCCCCGAAGCCAACCCAGGCGGTGCACACTCTCATCAACCTAGACCCCAATGGGGGGACTCGAGGCTTCAATCCAAAAACAAGAACAGAGTATTAGTGAGGATGATCTTTCAATACTTGTACGTTCATCGTCTTGTTTTTTTTTCTTCTTAAATCTATATACGGCAAATTCTCGTACAATGCCTGCCTATTCAGCTTCTCTACTCTGGCGCCGTCGATCGCATAGATAAGTTGCCATGAGCCCATGACCTCTAGATGAGTTGTTGGAAAGCACGGTTGATTGGTGACCTAGGCTTCAAGCCCTTGTAGAAATCAACGGTTGCGGAGGCGCGCTTGGCAATTCCTTCTGGGGTGAATTCGAATTTCTGGAACAATGTTAACAAATGCATCACTTTAGGGAAGAAATAAAGAAAAATACCTTATACACCTCCTTGTACGGTCCTGAAGCACCAAATCGGTTGAGGCCAAATTGTTCGTGTGAGTATTTCTCCCAACCAAGGGTAGACATGACCTCAACGGACATGGTGGGGATGCCGTCTGGCAGAACTTTGAGTTGATACTCCTTTGGCTGCGCGTCAAACACCTCGGTACAGGGCATGGAGACGACACGGCAAGTGAGATTGTACTGATCCTTGAGCACCTTGATGGCTTCAATGCAGATGGACACTTCAGAGCCCGTGGAGACTAGTGTGACATCGGCGTTTTCTGCTTCAACGGCGACATAGCCACCCTTGATACCGTTCTCGATGGTCGAATTCTCGAGCTGAGGCAGGTTCTGTCTCGTCAAGGCAAGGATAGACGGGGTCCCAGTGGAGGTGAGAGCCATGTAGTAGGCGGCAGAGGTCTCATTGCCATCGGCTGGTCTCCACACCATCATGTTGGGGAGAGCTCGGAAGTGAACCAGAGTCTCAATAGGCTGATGGGTTGGTCCGTCTTCACCAAGGCCGATAGAGTCGTGAGTTGCGACCCAAATGACCCGTTGGTGTGACAGAGAAGACAGGCGAACAGCACCAGCGGCGTACGAAACAAAGTTCAAGAATGTACCTCCTGCAGGGATCAAGGTACCGTAGGCAGAGATACCGTTCATGATCGCTCCCATACCGTGCTCTCGTACACCATATCGAAGATATCTGCCAGTCCAGTCACCAATGCCGAGGGACGGGGGTTGGAAATCAACAGCGTTCTTCCATCGGGTGTTGTTGCTACCAGTCAAATCGGCCGAGCCGGAGAGGAGCTCGGGCACAGCACTGTGGATATGCTCCAAGACAGCCTCTGAGGTCTTACGGGTGGCATTAGCAGCGTCTGTTGGCTTCCAGACTGGCAGGCTCTTAGCCCATCCTTCAGGGAGTTTCTTGGTGAGACGGCGGCTGAAGTCATCTGCCAGCTCCTTGTATTCAGTAGCGTACTTCTTGAACAGTTCATTCCAGGCTTGTTCGGCAGCTGCACCTTCGGCGGCGTGCTTTTTGTACAGGTCGTATACCTCTTGAGGCACGACGAATGATTCTTCGGGGTTGAAACCAAACTTGGCCTTGACTTGTTTGGCATCATCGGTCTTGAGGGGGTTGCCGTGGACGCCACCAGTGCCTTGGAGCTTCGAACCAAAACCAATGGTGGTTGTCAGCTTGATCATAGAAGGCTTGTCCTTGACCTCCTGTGCCTTCTTGATGGCCGCTTCAATGCCTTCGAGATCGTGATCAGCATCGGGAACGTGCTGTACATGCCAGCCGTAGGCCTCGAATCGCTTGTCAACGTCCTCAGTGAAAGCGACTTTGGTGTCGCCATCTAGGCTTGTCAGTTTTCCTCCCATCTCCCGGCCGCAGCAAGAACTTACCGATGGAAATGTGGTTATCGTCGTAAAGGCAGATCAAGTTTCCGAGTTGAAGATGACCAGCCGTTGAGGCGGCTTCACTGGCAACACCTTCCATTGCACAGCCATCGCCGAAAAAGCAGTAGGTGTAGTTGTTGATCAGTTCGTAACCGGGCTTGTTGAACACAGCACCCGTGTGTGCTTGAGCAATGGCCAAACCCACTGCGTTGGAGATACCCTGGCCAAGAGGGCCTGTTGTCACCTCAATTCCAGGAGTGTCATGGGCTTCGGGATGGCCCGGAGTGATGCTGTCGATTTGCTAGAAGACGGTTAGACTTATCAGAATGCTGGAACACGCCATATGCATACTCGGAAGTTCTTGAGATCGTCCAGGGACACTGCGTAGCCAAACAGATGGAGAAGAGCATAGTGCAACATGCAACCGTGTCCGTTCCTGCATCACCCATCAGTTCTGTGCCTTTTGTAAACTGTACAACAATGCGTCGGTGTTCATGCCCAACGCAAGACGAGATCAGGCAGGGAAGCCAGGTAGTCTCTCGCGAACACCTCAGAAGGTCCCGTGTTCTTATAGGTGTGTAATAGGCCCAGGCATGGAGGGGGGGACTCACGAGAGAACGAATCGATCGCGGTTGATGAAATCAGGGTTCTTCGGGTTGAAGGTCATGAACTTGTTGAACAAGACATGGGCGGCAGGGGCCAGGCCTACGAAAAGAGGTATTGATCAGTACCTTGGGCTTCACAAGTATTGTCTATGGAGTAGCTTACCCATAGGCGCACCCGGGTGGCCGCTGTTCGCCTTGATGGTGGCATCGACCTGAAGAACGTCGGTCAGTTGTTTTTGGACACCGCATTTGGTTGAGATGGTGGGGTATAAACGTACCGCAAGCAGCCGGATGGTGTTGATGGCCTTCCAGTCGAGGTCTGAGTATCCCATTTTCGCTGATTTCAGTGATAGCACAGGGTTGAAAACAAGAGGACAGGGGAAGAGTGAAGCGTTTGGGATAAATCGAAACGCTGTCTGAGAAAATTTCCAGTTGAGCCCGGGCGAGCCTGGGAAGCTGTTGAACCACCGGGATCGCTCGATTGAGGCTAATTCCGCGCAGATACAGCAATCCGATGGCGGGGCAGTCGAGGCAGATAATGCTCAATAATATGGAGCTCTGAAGTCAAAATGACCAAGTGGCCGCCTCCGCAGGTGGGATGGTTGCTGCTTCTACCAATGATCCCGCCTCGAAACCGTTGCTGGGCCCTTGGTGTCTCAACAAATGGTTTCAGGGAGATGAGCAGAGTCTTCCAGCGAGCGTACGGACGCGATGCTTGTCGTGTGTAAGATCCTTGTAAAAGCAGGTCCAAATAGATTCGTATTCAGGGTCAAGATCGATGCTACTCAATATATACTCAGTGATGGTCCTCTGAAGCCCCGGCCCAAGCTTCATGCGCATCGCTTACGGAAGCAAATCTGCAGACGCTATGCTGACTACGATCTTGCATATCCAGTCAGGAGAGCATCGTCTGCTTTCCGTTTAGGTTGCATTCTGAAGTTTGCCAACTGTCTCATGGTTTCATGATACTGTCTCTGCCGTGGCGAGAGATCCATCATGCTTCTGACGATAGCAGTCGGCTTTGATAGTAGACCCCCACTTCTGCAGCGTCCAGCTTCTCCGTGTCAGATGCTCATCAGGTGGTCCAGAAGGGTGACTGCATACCTATTGCTTGTGAGAACTTCTAGATGACCAAATGCAGAAACCCTGCGCAGAATAAAGTGTGAGCCTCCCCAAGCAGACCAAATGGCCCTCCGATGCCGCCAGACCGCTTTAGCCCCATCAGCCCAATTCCGCATCGCGCGGTGCCACTTTTGTAAAATGCCAGATCCCGCTCACCAGAGAGCCTTGTGCGCCTCGCTATGCAACAAATAATGGGCATTGCACCATTTAATATGATCCGTATCCCCCATAAGAACCTGCGCCGTACGGCGTCGTCCCTCCTTGTACGCCATAAGCTCCGTAGACTCCGTTTGCTGGTGCAGGTTCGTAGCCATCGGGGCTCTGAATGCCATTCATCCCGTTGGCCTCATCATCCGCACCTCCCAATACCTTCAGTGTCTCTGCAAGCTTTTTTTGGAGTACGTCGATTCCTTCTGCAACTATGTCATCCGGTTCAAGCGTCCCGATGCCCTCGACATCGAGGAAAAATGCGCTTGGAACAGCGTCAGGATCAAAGGCAGCATCGGCAGCCGTGTCATCGCCTTCCCAAGTAGCATTGCGTTCGTCCACGGGCCATTCTTCTTTTGCGTCGGTTTCATACCAGTAATCCACGTGTCGCAGCTTGTTGTTTGGGTCGTATTCGAACCCTAGGGCCGATGTTGGAGCCCACTTTGCGTGTTCTTTGGCAATGCCCTTCTTCGCAATGCATTTAAGATCGATCTCTTGACCTTGTCTCAGTTTGGCGATCAGCGGGCCAGTGCCGTTCGTATCTCGAATCACAGGAGAGCCGACTCCGGCCTGAACAAGTGGAGGGGCTACGCCTGTCGGACCAACGATGACGGTAAGGTCGCGGGCGTAAACCATCATCGTCCCCGGCCTGGTGCACTTGACGTGTAATCTGAGCTCAACGGAGCAATATTCGCAATGATCATCACAGTCGCAGTCCCTCGTGTACTTCATTGAGGAAACGCCTTTGCTGTAAAGGGGAATCAGACCGAGTCTGTGCGCGAGGTACTCGTCTGGTAGGACTGAAGAATTCGTGGTGATGTCGACAAGATCGATGGCGATGGTGGGTATCTCGGCGAGCATAGCGCGGCGTAAGGAATTAGCTAATGATAACGAACATGACTGTAGAACAAAGTCGCATCGGTCTTGCTCGACCTGCACTTGTTAGATCGACATAAAAACGAGGGAAGAAAACCGGATGGCTAACCTCTCTGACGGTGACTTTGGGGCCCGAAGTCTCGATTCCATCCATATCTTGAGCGTAGCCATTATAAGCCATCGCTGCTGGCAGTCCACTCGCAACCGGACCAGTTCCTCGTTCAAGGCAGGCGAGAGAAGCCTGATAAATGAGAGCCAACGGGTGTGGACGTGGCAGTGAGAGGCCAGCGAGGTTGAAGAGGCGCGACGGTGATTCTTTTGCCTGCGCCTGAGAACTAGTTTGGTATGTACCGTACAGCCTTGTCGACGCTTGGCATGTATATCACATGCGAGGCTGTGTATTAGTCAGCGAGTCCTGTCCTAAGGTATTCGCCAGGAACAGCCAGTCATTGTCACTCCCCAAGAACCTCAGCTGGTGCACTACGCTGTTGAGTCAGCGCTGGACCAGAAGCCTTCAATGTGGTATTATGCTATTGAGGTCGACCTCGGAGGCTGCGAATCGAGGTCTACCAAAGCGCATGGCCTTAAAAAGACAATGGCTCAACTGTATCTTTGTTGGCCTATATTTTCTCTTCCCGACATCGCTTTCGCAGTATCCTCCACCTTTAAATGAGTCTCTGACAACTATCCATTCCCCAATCAATCCGAACATTACCATTAAATTCAAAGCCCCATCTGTGGGGACATGCACGACGGTATTTGCTACCCAGAAGCAGGTTACTGGGTACATTACTCTGCCCCCAAATGTACTGGATCCTAGCCCTGGAAATTACACCATCAACACTTTTTTCTGGTTCATCGAAGCAAGGCAGGTCCCAGAAGCAGCTCCATTGACTATCTATATCAATGGCGGCCCTGGTTCAAGCAGCATGGTTGGCCTTTTCCAGGAGGTTGGCCCTTGTCGAGTTGTTGAGATTGCAGAAGGACAACTAGGTACCGTAGCCCGGGATTGGGGTTGGGATCGAAGCAGCAATATTCTCTTCATCGATCAGCCTGTGCAGGTTGGCTTCTCTTTTGACACTCTGACAAACCTATCTCTAAATCTACTGGATGAGGTATTTGTCAATCCTCCTGCACCCGTACCCTTGACACAACCAGGATATACGTTTCTTAACGGCACCTTTGGCTCTGGAAGTCCGTCGTCCACAGCAAACACTTCACAAATTGCCGCTCAGTCTCTGTGGTATTTCCTTCAGACATTTTTGACCTCGTTCCCAGAGTATAATACAGGCGTCCGCTCGAAGAAGAATACATCCAGCGCAGAGATCCATTTGTTCACAGAGTCATTTGGTGGCAGGTATGGGCCTGCTTTTGGACACTTTATCCGGGCGCAGAATACTCGCAGATCGACGGATGCTGAATTTGCGAACAGCACAACCGATATCAACCTTGTTTCTCTGGGCATCATCAATGGTTGGATTGATTTGCTTGTTCAGACCCCGTTTCACCCCAAGTATGCTTACGAGAATACATACGGCATTGAGGCGATAAACCAACTAGAAGAACTTAACGCTTTGAGTGCCTACAACAGTGCAAATGGATGCCAGCAACGCACTTTAGCGTGCAGAGCTCAAGAAGCCGCGCTTGATCCTTCGAATCAAGGGAACGTTGTTTCGGTCAATCAGGCGTGTTCAGAGGCACAACTGTACTGTCAGACCTACGTCGTAGGCGCATATATCTCTTCAAACAGATCAGTCTACGATATCTCCCAAAATAGGCTGGACCCATTCCCGGACTCGTTCTACCTTGAGTATCTCAACCAACTGTCCTTCCAACAGGCTATCAATGTCCCGGTCAACTATACCCAGGACTCGCTCGCCGTATTCTCGGCATTCGCTTCTACAGGAGATTATGCGCGCGATGGCATCGTGCAGGATCTGGTCAGTCTGCTTGGATCTGGCGTCAGAGTTGCTTTGATGTACGGCGACAGAGACTACATTTGCAACTGGCTTGGTGGTGAGGCTGCCTCCTTTGCTATCGCCGGCGCTGCTGGATCATCTTACCTGCCCTGGTTCGCAGCTGGCTATGCCCCTATTGTCACGAACAGCTCTTATGTCGGCGGTGTAGTCCGACAGTATGGTAACCTGAGCTTCAGCCGAATTTACGACGCTGGACACTTGGTGCCAGCCTATCAACCCGAGACAGCCTTTACCGTCTTTTCAAGAATTATTAATGGCGATGATATCAGTACGGGCAACCCAGCTAATCTGTCAAAATATCGCTCGATGGGAGACCGCAACGCGACTTTTCAGAATTCACCACCACCTATGGCCGCTCCGACATGCTTCAGACGCGCCGTCAATGAAACATGTGATACTGATCAGAAAAATATGCTGGCCAACGGAGCAGGTGTGCTCATTAACGGCGTTCTCTATGACCAAAAATCAGATTGGCAATCACCAGCCCCTGATGTAGCCAGTATAGCTGGAGCCCCGGGAACCGCCCGAATCAGCATGGCCACGGGTGCGCCGTCTTCCAGTTCCTCCTCTAAGTCCACGTCGTCCAAAGCATCTGTGTCGACTTTTAGTGCTTCTCAGACGTCAAAAGGAAAAACAACTACTACTCTGCCGACAGGAGTGTACACTGCTACTGATATCCCACCAACGTCCAGCGCGGCAAAAAGCAGTGCCACCGCATCCAGCGCTGCATCGACGCGCATGCGGAGGGCTGCGGCTACCGGGTTCTCATTCCTGAGCACGCATCCATTAGGAACAGCTCTAGTTTATGTTTCAGTACTTTGTGTCTTCAGCGATGGGATTTTACATTGATTCTACTACGCGAAGCTTTATTGCAACTCGCTTTGGGAGTTTGAGTGTAATAAGACTTGGTCTCGGGCGTCAGCGTGTGAGGAGGGCATGCGACTATGAGGTCTGGATACAATCCAGCGACAGAAAAGTTTACAAAAAGTTTACAAAAAGTGAAACAATAAACTTCTCTCACTTGAGAATTCAAGTGCGTAGCTACATGAGTTTTGTGTGAGGGCTAGTAGGCCAAGTGATGCGTCTCAGTACTTACTCGTAGTTTGACAAGGCTTCGGTAGAAATGTTCACCATTGTACAAAGTTGAGGATTATCCGTACTTTCTCCGCAGTGAACGAAATAAATTAGCCTCGCGCATTTGACACGACTGCGACATCACCTCCCTTCAGTCAACTCCCTGAGCTACTCGTGTCGAATAACATTGTCGACTGAGACTTTGAGAGAGAAGCGCGCCGGCGCATCTCTAGAATGCAGTTGTCGTCATGACAATAACATCAATATCTCGCATCACGACTGAACGTCGCCTGCCTACACCTCCCGAGAACGGACAGTCAGATTCGCAACCAAGAATCTATCCTGCTCCCGACTTTCCCTTCAGAGGCTGGCAGCCTCCCCAGGCAGACGGCTATCGTCAGAGTGCAGCGAATCCATCCGAGAACGCCATAGTCATCGACAATGGTAAGTGCCTCACCCCTCTCTGAGGCCTAGCAGACACTAATCAGCTGTAGGCGCAAGCACCATCAAGGCTGGCTTCTCTTTTGACAAAAGCCCCCGGTTCCTCGTGCCACCTCTCGTTGCGAAGTACAAGGACAGGAAATATAACAAATATTGCATGTTCGTTGGCCATGATGCCTACGCCGACGCGACGACTAGGGGACAGATCAGAACCGCCTTCGAACAGAACACTAGTATCCCGACCAATTGGGACATAATGGAGAACATATATGACTACATCTTTCTGAAGTTGGGAGTCGATAACGAAGGAAGTGTGGGCAGGCCCCTTGTTGTGACAGAACCAGTCGGCAACCTGGGCCACAGCAGAAGGATGATGAATGAGATGCTGTTTGAATGCTATGGCGCTCCGAGCGTTACCTACGGTATTGATAGCCTGTTTTCATTCCGACAAAACAAAGGATCCTCGGGCCTGATCGTATCGTCGTCACACACGTCTACACACATCATTCCGGTCCTCGATCGCAAACCACAGATGCAGTCCTGCGCACGGTTGAACTGGGGAGGTTCACAGGCACAGGAGTTCCTTTTCAAGCTCATCCGTCTGAAATATCCCAATTTCACCGGGAAAATGACCACCGAGCAGATGGAGACGTACATCAAAGAATACTGCTACCTGTCCAATGACTACTCTTCCGAACTCTCTACATACCTCGACTGGAGCGGATTGGAAGAAGAGCGAGATATCATCATTCAATATCCTTTCACTGAGCAGGTTGTGGTTGAGAAATCGGCCGAAGAATTGGCGAGAATCGCAGAACGAAAGAAAGAATCTGGCCGACGACTACAGGAGCAGGCTGCGAAGATGCGGCTCGAAAAGCTCATTAGGAAGGAGCAACAATTGGAGTACTACCAGCAGTTACACGAGTCTTATGTCAATGCGCCTACCAAGAAGGAACAAAGAAGAATCCTGGATGACGAGGAGCTCAAGGACGAAGCAGCCTTGGAGAGGGTCATCAGAGATCTTGATAAATCCATCAAAAAATCGAGGAATAAAGACTTGGGCGGAGCGGAAGAAGAAGAAACACTCGAAGAACAACTGAATAAGTTTCCTCTTCTAGATGTGCCAGATGACCAACTGGATGAAGATGGTATCAAGGAAAAGAGACATCAGAGACTAATGAAGTCCGGAGTCGAGGCAAGGATCAGAGCCAAAGCGGAGAAGGAACGGGAACGGGCGAGAATCGCGGAAGAGGAGAGGCTCGACGTTGAGATGCGTGAGAACAAATTCGATCAATGGCTCGCAGGCCGTCGCGAGCAGCGCGAGTCGCTCTTGGCTAAGATCAAAGAGCAGGCACGACTCAAAGCAGATTCGGGAAATCGAAAGGGCATTGCTTCCCAGATGCGCATGAAAACTCTGGCGAATCTCGCTGCGGATGGGCCCAAGCGGAAACGTCGAGGCGGTGGCGAATACGATGACGATTTTGGAGCCAACGACGAGGACTGGGGCGTCTACCGCACAGTGGCTACTGAGCCTGCCAGTGACGACGATGAGCCTGAGGAAGACCCTGTGGCAGCATTGAAAGCGATCGAAAGTGAACTTCTGCAGTTCGACCCCGACTTTCAAGAGAAAGATACTCTGGAGGCCCAAAATGACTGGACCAAAAGCATCATGCATGCTTTTCTTCGAGGAGCGAGACCAGCAGACCCCGAGAGTCAGCGCGAGGCCAACCAGATCCATCTCAATGTCGAAAGAATTCGCGTCCCTGAAGTTGTCTTTCAGCCAGGCATTGCCGGAGTTGATCAAGCAGGTCTAGTAGAGATCATTGAGGGCATTGTAACGGGTCGCTTTTCCGATCCCACACAGCAACAGGCGCTCCTGAGAGACGTTTTCCTAACGGGCGGAAATACCATGTTCGCCTCGTTCGAGGATCGACTTAAGCGCGAGCTCGTTGCCAGCTTGCCAGACACCCTGACAATCGGTGTACGTAAGGCCAAAGACCCTATTCTTGATGCCTGGAAAGGGGCAGCGGGTTGGTGGAGTACTGGGGCAAGAGCTGAGAGGGAAGCGGCCACTATCACACGCGCAGAGTACTTAGAAAAGGGAAGCGAGTACATCAAGGTAATCCCAGCCTCCAGCTAATGTTTTCCAAGCATTAACTGACCATTTTTAGGAGCATGATTTGGGGAATTTTGTGTCGCCAGCTTACACTACCTTTGGTTGATCTCTCCGGCAGATTGGAAATTGGGATAAATCAGCAAGACTGCACCTACTGAGACTTCCAGGGCTCAAGGGCTCTTTGAGGAAATATCCCGCCAAATGCTGCGGGCACGATTGCTTGAATCTGCGTGGATCCCACCCAATTACTCTGCTATGTCAGCTAAACAAGGTCGGGCAAGTCGAAAAATGGCCGTGCCATTTGTTGAGGACACAGGCCTACCACCAGCATGTTGGTAGGGGTGGACTGTTTGATATTGGCTCTCTCTGGCCCAGGTCAAGAGCTGCTCTTGACTGCTGATGCGAAGGTACCATCTCGGCAGATGCTGGCTGTCGTATTCGAATGCCCGCAACTAGCATTAGCTACTGCCGCCATCTCAATCAGATGACGCTCGTTGGCTTCACACGCCGCGTCAGTCTGTCCTGATCTAGACGCTCCCGCGGCGGGTGATCAGATCCTCAAGCACATCTCACCAATTAATTAACTCACGGTCCAGGCCAAGACATTTTCACACAAGATAGCGCGAGGGACAGGACGAAGGATGAAGGAGGTGAAAAGTTTTGTACACATACAGTAGAACGAGTTATGCAGTTTTGGGGTACCCAACCTGGGACTGACTAAGATTTTAGTCCATGGTGGTCTCGACCGTGTGGTCTCTCTGTACTTCTCTGCATGTGGAAAAGCCTAGCATCTGCCATACATACGTAGGTCATATCTCAACACGCGTTACGGGCGAGAAGATGCTTCTGTGGCGCGGTATGTGTCAGCATCCGGAGACATTGCGCGACGCCGCTCCGACCAAAGGATGGAGCGTCGCTTTAGAGTGTGAAGGCTTGTTTGTAATCAAGACCCCAGTCGGCAACGGAACATTGTTGTTGTCGGTCTAGTGGACTCCGTTTCCTCGCCGTCAGCAGATCCGTGGACATTCGCCAAATGTTCTCGCCGAAGTACAGTACATACAATACGGTACAAGAAGCTACAACAGTCGAACCCGGCAGGGATTGCGATGACTCAGTCCTTGGGTAAGCGAGCAGGTTTCACGCCATCGACTCCGACTGAAACGAGCCCCAAAGCTTCGGCAACTCTTCCACATTATTCACTCGTCCGGGGCGCAATTTCATGAAGAGATAGCCAGATGACCGATATGCCAGAAGGGGGAAAGCCTCCATGGCGTATCCTTGAGGTTTCGCTCATCTCGCCGTCGCCACCGCTCACAGGCTCACTAGGCTCGCCTCTTACACCTCTCCGAGTGGCAATTCGGCAGGCCCAACTCACAACAAGGCTCCGCGAAAAGACCGAAGCGTACGGATCCAAGGGACTCGTACTGTCGTCTACATGGCATTCGCGGTAATACAAGTCAGACCGTCGAAAGTCGCTTACCACTGTGTGTACTCTTTAGGCCATCGTTTGTTACATCCGCTTTCGGTTTGCTGCTGTTTCCTACACCATTAGCCGGAACATAGGGGTCCCATGAGCGATCGATATTACGACAACACGAGACATTTGTCCTCATTTTCCCTTTTCGGTTCGGCTCAACCAGACGAGCTCCAGGCGCTACCTGTTATAGTAGCCGTAGAGATACGATTCGAATCGATACACTACTGCACCAGGATGGATCGCGTCAGAGGCACAGCTTTCTAGACACATTCAGACTCTGACACTCGAATGAATTGCAAAGATCCGCTCGAATGCAAGAATGCAATCGTTCCTGGCGGACAGATGGGCGGGCACCAAGTCGTACTGTCCCGTACTATGAAGATGGCATTGAATCCATCGACTAGCTCCCCGACGGCTGGCCGTCCCTAGCCCCTGGCGAAGTAGGGGAATCATGGGGGCTACTCATGGTGTCCAGGAGTATCAACGTAACTGCGGCGGCCGTGGTTCTAGAACGTCTTGGACGGCTAGTCCGGTATCCCATGTGTCATCGTTGACGATAGAGCCACATGGCAACAAGGTCAGACGCAACATCATTATTGTTGGACTTTGGTCCTGACTTGATCAACTTGGTGGCATACCTCTGTACCTGCGCGAACCCAAACCGTTGGACAATGCAGCGCATGCACGCCGACTAATTTCACCGATGCAAACCCCGTGTGGCTAGAGAAATTTCTGGTTTGAGTATGGGTCATGCATCAGTGCCCTCGTTCGGCTGCAACGACGATGGCCACAATCAGTAATCAGTGAATCAGGTCTTGTGCTCCATTAACCACTATTGGCCTCTCGAGACTTCCCTAACCGGATTGTGGACCAGCTGATAAGTGGAAGATTTCTCTCTGTGGCCAACCAAGACGAGTCTTTTACTCGGACTTCAGTACAAGGTACAAGTGCTGCCTCTGCTCTGTCTCGTCCAAGTACAGATAGATGATCCTGGTCAGCAGGCTCCTTTGAATGACGACGGGGCCCTGTCTCCAAGTCTTGGATAATCCTGTTCCAAACATGTTTACCGCCGTCGCCTCGGTCGCAAACCTCAATTGCCAATTCTACCTTTTCTAGCAAATGGTCCGCTTGGGGTTGCTCTTGTCTGCTGACACTATGTTTCGGGTCCCGTAACGCACTCCACATCATCGAGCCTGATACGGGGGTGTGTGATCGGGGTCGCCGGAGTGTTGTCGGCGGGGGGAGATTACTCATTACTCACCTTCAGCCCAATTCTGATAAAAAGAAAATCGAAGCACGGATACAGAGTATGAAATTCATGATTGGAAATCAGTCTAGGACAGTCAGAGCCCGACCCATGTTCTCAGTCTCTACCTAGTGGTGGACGAGGATTGGGGACCGCATTGGGATCATCCCACGGTCCAATGATGAGGAGGAAGTCAACTTCGTCGAATGCAGCCCAGGCCGGTCTCTGACCCTCTAGCCCTTCTTATGAAAGCATGGACCATTAAAAGGCTCTGCTTACGCAAAGAAAACGAGACAAAGAAGCCATACAGTGGGGAGTCTTTGGACAGGGACTCACTACTTGTTACTACTGCTGCTGCTATTGACTCGGGCAGGAAGGCTGGGCTTAGGTACGCAGGGAATGGGCAACTTTGCGTCCGGCGGAACTGAACCGACAACGTCTTTGGTCCTATGTACAGCTGCCATCAACAAGTCTTCCAGGGCCGAGACCTTCTGAATACCCTATCATCTACAATAAGCTATTGTACGTAAACGGTGAGATACTGACGTGATTGATTACATGCATACCTAGCCCAACCACTGATTCCCCGGATCAGCCTCGATGGCCCCCCTAGTCTTGATCAAAATGCGGCTACTGTACAGTATCAGCTTCGGCAAAAAGATTGACCAAGGGGGTTCGCAAATTGCCCTTCCTTTCTTGGAAGTCAGCAGCCCAATCACAACCAGGACAAGGCCGATGAGGAGGAGGCCTCGACCTTATAAGTTATAGTCACAAGTTCGACGCCCGTCTCTCAGGGTATCGCAGAACGATAGGGGACCCCTCACGCCACCAAAAGTCAACAAAGTCCCTGCATTTGCCCGCGTGTCCCTGCATGTCCCTCGATCTACAGTAAGGACCGTGCCATCGGTGGTGGAAGTCAGGTTGGTGGACACTCCGTTAGGAATTGCCGGAGAGCTGTTTTGTTTTTATCTGTACGGCTTCCTGATGGGGCAGACGTGGCAACGAGAGGGAGAGAAGCTTGACGAGTCTGCTCGTACCGCAGCTTTTGAAAACGCCGTCTGGCCACGGGTGGCATGATCGAAAGGAAGGAGCCAAAGGGGAAAACACAAGCTTAGATCATCTCCTCCTTCCTGCAGAGAACTGCAGGACAGGTAACCGAGCACGGTTTTCGAGAATGCCTGGTCTAGGGTCAGGGACGAGGTACCTAGGTATGTAGTATTGTCGTATGTATACTGTGTGACTTTGTTGTCCGTACAGGTGCACCGTACCCCGTCCTCGACTTTTCAAGCTCGTCCACAAGGTACTCGGGGGGCTTGAGACGTCGAATACTCAGATCTGCATGCGCCAAGTCGGGTATGTAGGTAAATAGGTGCATGTTGTAGATTACTTTGGTTAGTTACTCAATTACTTGCAACCTATTGGTGGATTCCATCAGAGTAGTATAAATCATGAACGTGTCTGTGTCTACCTTACCTAGGTACCCGGGCGTAACGGGGTCAGTCACGGGGGGGTGAGTTCTCTTTGGCGCGTGTGAGATATTTTTTCTCATCTCTATAACTGGTCTGTATGTACCCGTTAAACATCGCCCGGGGGAGAGGGGGGGGGGGGGGGTGTACAGTAGTCTTATGCTGTAATCGGATACTATTCCGTTGGTCGCGATTGGTTCGACTTGATCGTCGCCTACTACTGTATCAATGAAAGTTTAACTAAACCAACCTAACCTCCCTTATCCCCCCCGAATTCCCGTAGAGGAAGCCGTCCGTCTACTCTGGACCAGACAGATGCCACACAGATACCGACAGACGTAGCTAAGGATTGCAGCTACAGGCCACAGATACGGTATACACTCACTTCACCTCGCCTCGCTTTTTTCCCGGAGAGGGAGATGCGACTCGTGACTGGTTTGGTTGGTTGGTTGGTTGGTTGATGGACGGATGAATGAATGAACCATCGGCGGTCGAATCGAGGTGGTCGTCTCCAAGTGGTGGTGGGTTACCTACGGCGCATACCCACCTTACATACCTACACACCAACGTACCTACACACCAACGTACCTACACACCTACGATACACACCTACGATACACACCTAATGATATTAATGATACTTAGGATCAAGGCATGTCCTAACTGTAGGAATTGTACTAGTACTGGTCCACCGCGGCGGTAGGTGACAGGTACAGTCTCATCGTACGAGTACCTACCTTGGTTAGCCAGCAACCCCCCCCCGGTACGCCGTAGCACCCGATGGAGACCCGACCATTGTGTTAAAGGGTAGGTCGTTAACTAGGGCGCGCGATGGCTAAACTTTTTGTCGAGGCATACATGAAGTACCCAAGGTAAGTACATACTACTGGTTTAGGTAGTAACTTGTAAGGTAGGTAGGTAGGTCGGTAGGTCGGTAGGTAGGTATTGTACGATACTGGGCTGGTATTTTTTTTTTGTCCCCAAATTCTCGCTGACTGCCCTCGTCACAGATTACTAATACGGAGTATCCACGGGATTACCGCACATTACATACTCCGTACTGTAAATACAGTCGACGTGCGCCGAAAGAGAAACGACTACTTACTAACTTTAGGTAATTCCCTAGGTACTCACGTAACGTTACGTTGTATTCCCGTCTGACAGCGCCACCACCACCACCGCCACCCACCTCCAGACCAAATGCGGGATTCGCGGGCCCTAGTTACTGTACATATTGCACCTAAACACAAAATATATGCATGTTTGTACCTAACAATCGGCGCCAGTTCAAAAAAAGACAAAGGATTAAGTAACCCCCCCTTTCGCCACGTGAATTAGACCGGACATTCTCACTCATGTACTCCGTACATTTTGCTAGATACGGTCATGTAACTAAGTGGTACCTCTAGACTTCTCGAACGCCAGCTGTAAGCCGAGAAAAGACATTCTTCTGGGCTGATGGTCTAAGAATGCCATAGCTACTACACACCCTCTCACTCAACTCACACAGCGACCTGAACCTGAGGTCGTCCGGCTCGTCCCGGGTCGCCCTGCCCTCCCAGAAAACCACAACCGCCCCTGCTCATTGACTTGAGCAACGCTCCAGACGCCATGAAAACATTGCTTAGGTATTCAATCCTACAACACCCAAACTCGAAAAACAAAGCCCGAAAAGAGGTGCTCCCATGACACCGTCATCATAATGCCGAACCAACGCCACAGTTGTCGTAGATTTTGAACAGCAGCACGTGGAAAGTGCAAAAACGAAACATAACCCAGTGTTTGTATTAACATTACCGAGCGCCTGTTGACGACTGCGCCAGAATTGACGGGCCTTGCAAAGCAGCCTGAGACGAAGTCATTTCAGCTGAATTTGTCCGAGCACGCTTGATGTCCTGAGATTCTGAGTACGTTGGGTCTGGGTAGCGATGAGCCTCGTGATGAAGCTGAGCGATGCCATCTTGTGGTTGACCGACAACGGCATTCAATTCAGAAAGTCGCGGCAACGTGCCTGGCTGTTGGGGAGGGCCAGCCTTGCCAGGCTGAAGTCCATCGACATTACTTGGTGGAGGCGGCACTTCACCTTGAGACTCCAGGAGACGTGACTGGAGATTGATGATGTAGTCTCGAAGTTGGTAGTTCTCTGCCTGGACGGCTTTGAAGTTTTCGCTGAGAGCCTGGTAGTCTCGAACCTGCTCCTCGAGCTTCTTGATGTATCCTTCTTTGCGCTGGCGGAATGCTCTCTGCCGAAAGAACGTTAACGAGATCCTTGCAAAGGCGGGGAGCCAAAACGTTACGTACCTGGGCAGCCCGGTTCTGAGCAGCTCTCTTGCTGGTGCTCAACTCTCGCTTTCCATAGCCCTTTCGGCCGTCGCCAGTATTTTCGCCCTGGTCGCTCTCCGCACTTCCGGTCACGTTGTCGTTATGGGCCAGATCCATCGGCGGTGAGGGCTGATGTTGCTGCATGACATCGAGCGACTCTGGCAGCATCGACGGTGGTGGAGGGTAGTGTGGTTGATCACGAAGAACTATTGAATGCTTAGACACAGGCCAGGGAGAAAGCAGTTGAGTGATCGAAGTCATGATGATGGCGATGGTGGTAGGGCAAGGTGTGAGCGACAGCAGGGCCGACTAAAAAGTAAAGTCTTGCTCCAGTGACACCGAGTCACTTGAGGGGGAACAGGTACGGAGTAAACGACAGAAAGTAGACGAGAGAAGACAAGACAAGCTTCGAAGGAGACGAGGCTGGGGGGGCGGGAAGAAGATGACGGGGAGGTATATGTATGCCACGAGAGACAAATGGACCCTGGGGGATGGAAATGCAGTGTCCTCGTACAGAGGTACAAGGTGTTTGCAGGTGGTGGAAATAGAAGAAACCAGGCCCGAGTAATGCAAGCCGCATTACAGCAAGTGTGCCGCCGTCCACCGATCGGCGATAGCGTAATGCAGGCCCACAAGGAGCACAGGTGAAATGACAAAAGAGCAGAAAAGAGACAAGAGGGAGGGTCGGAGAGAGAGCAGGGCCAGGGTATCGATCAGGCCCGGGGGGATGAGTAGGAGAGAGTGGGGCGGGGATTACTATACTGTAATGTACGTACGTGGATCGGCTTTCACTTGGTCCTGCAGCTTGATCGGGTCAGAAAGGCATTCGGGAGCAGTGCTCGTGAGAAGGAGAAGGAGATGCGACCGGCGGATGATTGGTGAAGGGAAAAGCAAGATGGTGAAGTCAGTCATGCGAAGGGATGAGGTGTGGATGTGAAGGGCATTTGTGGGCGAAGGGCCTGACTCCCGGGCACGAGATGCGCCGTACAGAGGAAACGCTGGCTAAGGTCGTGTCAGGCCAGTGTGGAATAGACTTGCTTACCTGAGGCATGGCTGAAGGAGAACTAGCCGTGCGAGGCGCGAGGGCCGGCTGCATAATGGGCGAGACTCCGAGCTGCGCTTCGAAAGAGGTTAAAGGTGGGAGAGCAGGGCACAGGAGTGAATGAGCTCAGCAGAAAAGAGAGAGAGAGAAGATAAGGCGATGCGCAACGAAGAAACGCGAGCGTCGGGGGGGCAGAGCAAAGAGCGACGACGACGACGACGACGCTGAGTAATAACAACAACGGCGGCGGACGAGATGGAAGGGAGAAAAGGGAAGGAAGAAGGCAGGAAGAGATTAGCAATTCCTTACCTAATTAACCTGCGGCCGCGGTGAAGCGTCAAATTTACACGCCCTGAACGGACCAACAGCGCGGAGCCGCCATTCGCTGGCTCTGCCCCACTCCCCGCGTCACTCGCTTTCTTGGCAGCCATTCCCGATCCAGACGTCACGGCCACCCAGTTTCGGAGCATCTGGCCACTAGAGGCTGGCCGAGGTGCATATCCGAAACCAGCTACGTAGTACGGCGTATCATGAAGGGGGGAAAGCGTACGCAGCGACAACCCAACACAGGCAGTGAGACAGAAAGATCGTCGCATCGCATCCATCGTGAGGCAAAAAAGACTGTGTGGCGGTCCTGCTCGTACGCGTACGGTACGGTCTGTGGGCGAAAAATACGTCAGGCGTCTGCGGCGGCCAATGACGCTTCCACCGAGTTTAGTGCTGGCTGCTTACCACATATTCCCCTTTGAGCATTTTCGTCTCCAATCCAATCCCACGCGCTGCCGACCATTCCGCCCTGGCTGCGTCTTTGCCGGTTTTAGAAGCTTGTGCAAGGATACTTGCTGACTGTTCTCTGACTGTTCCGAGCTTCTGGTTTGAAGCCTTCGATATCCGTGGACAGTGTCCGTTTTGCTGTCCTTTTTCTGCAAAACCTCGATTCGGACACAAATACAAAGACAAGATCACTTTCTCGGCGACCACGACCACTGCCGCCACCGCCACCGGCGACCATCCCTTTATCGTGCAGCTGCGGATATTGTACAGGACTTGTCCATGGCTTTACAGGCCTTTTTCGCCCACGGAACGAGCAAGACCTGGGTACGCTACTTCAGCAACGGATACAATAGTCTGTCTCTGTAGACTTGGACTGTTTCCGTCTGGTTCCGCGCGCTGACCGGCGCCATGGTTCCTCCGTTCGTATGGGATGAATCTAAATCACCTGCTTCCTCGGACCCAGTTGGACGTGCTACGCGAGCAGACTATGGATAAATGAGCCTTCAGGCGCCCTTCGCTCTCCGAACAATCCCCATTCCGTAGGCCATGTAAAGTGTCGCGAGCAAAAGGCAAAGCTTGGGCGCTGAGACGGATTATGGCATCCTCCCCTCTGAATTTCGGCAGGCGACACAGTTGCACGCGACTTGATTAAAAAACCTGTGAGATCTCAGCCCCCCATCTACTCGTACAAGCTCTCGATTCAATCCATGACACAAGCGAGAATGCACGTGCGGATGCTGCCCGTGCAATGCGTCGCGGCGAATCGCCGTGCTTTTCTTGAGAAAGAAAGGTCGGGCTCTTCCGACGGATCATCCTGGTCAATCTACCTGGGATGGATCGCAGCCGTTCCACCTCCCACAGAACCGCTATCCGGCAGCCTCACAGCCCAGACATGTTTGATATCGATTCGATGCGGAGCCCCGCTCGTGTTCACTTGATCTTCTCAAGGATCAGTCTTGAATTGTAATCCATCTGCCCGGACCCCAAGTCTACTCGACAGCGCCAAGAAGGCTGGAAGAGGCATGATACGAATGCATTGTCACGGTAGTAAGCTTCCGGTACCGCACGGATGAGATGACCAATTCGTGTGGACAATACTTGAGTATTGACGCCGGCGTCGTTGAGGGAGAGTCTTGATCCTCCCAACAGTGCTCCGTCAAAACCCAATTCGTCGTCTGGACGAAGGCGCGAGGAGGCCAAAGAAGCAGAGACCCTGATGAGTATCGCTGACATAGACATAGATAGACAATTGACACCAGTGACTCTCAGGCTGGCCAAAGTCGGACATGGCGACCTTCGGTACTTGTTGCCATGTAAGAAAATAGGTCCGCGTCGAACGTCGAACCAAGAGGGCAGTGGCACTACCAATGGTGCCGGAGATGATTGTGCACTAGGTACGGATACCTACATCTTCATTCTTATCGAGCATCGGCCTCTGCTTAATAAACACCCCTGGCTTTCGGCAGAATGGGCAGTCGCACCAAGAATCCGACACTCTGCTGAAGGCGCCAGCAGAATTCTACAGATCCGCATGACCCTTGCCCAACGTCTCTCGAGTCGCCAGTCAAGTGTGATGGACAGCCGGGCCGGCCTACCCAGGTATGCAGCCATCCTGGGAGGGATTTGCAGTGGTCGCTGAATGGTCCTTTTGCGCAAGCCACGCAGTCAGACACCCATACATCGCATGGCTCGGGACAGTCCCCGCGTCAGGAGCAAACATCGGTAGACCCCTTGATTCCAGCCGACTGATTACTCCTTTCCTCGTTAATGGCCCAATCCAAAACCTCCCAATCTCTGTGCGGTGTTCGACCGGCTAACGGAGACGCTTGTGCTGGGATACCAAAACACCTCGTGCAGCCCTACACAAGCACGTCCTCGTGAGTCAGGCGCGTCTAATCGGTGTACACTGCAAGCGAGTTATACACCTGCTTGCTTGAGACCAGGAATTCGCTACCTGGCCGTTCCCGGTAGCTAGATGTACCATGCCGTATGCCGTCCGGTGGTCATGACATCCTCATCAACACCTTATTTGCCGCCCGATAGACTTGTTGAGCCTTTTCAACTTATTGGGTGTGCAGCAGCAGACTGGCCACACCCCGCCTGTGCAGGCCTTTCCTCCGAGTGTCATTGACCACCGCTACTAAACGTCGCGTTGATCATCCGACAATGCAACTAGGCAAAGTAAACGGGCGGTGGGACCACGAATCGCGACAAGCCAACGTCTGCCCAGGATGGTCGCCAGCTAAAGATAACCACAATACACCGTCTCTGTATCATCGGTGCATCTGTATTCCTCCTAGCATCATACGACTTTATCTTTTGCCCCGCCGCCTCTGCTGCCTGGTATGATATTCTGCTGTCGTATAGTACAAGTCGGCCGCGGATTCCGGTTGTGAGGTGTTGCTGCGGATGTGTTCGGCGTGTCTGCGGATTCCGGCTCAGATAGGGTGCATCAATACAACAAGACCAAAAAATGCTCTCAATGATACATTTTCGTGAAGCGGGTCTGCAAAGTCACAACAGAGCATAGGACAAAAAGTATCGAGTATTGAGGGACGTATGTGCTGGTTCTTCTGATGGAGCAATCCATGGTCCGTGAGGTTGAAATCAATCGCACAGTCAAATGGGATCCTTTAGGTTCTCCGTTGCTGATGCACGGTGTTAGCGGTGGCTGCACGATACACACCATCGGAGAAACATTCACTTACCCTCCAGATGAAACAGCACATTAGATTGGTAGTTTTTGAACATCTGCGCAACGAGCTCAATGTTCATGTTCTGCACATTGACTTCCTGACGAAATACTCAGCATGCGCCTCCAATGTCCAGCCTTTCCGAAGATATTCATACCTGCAAGTTCCGATTCATCATTGCAATAGCCTCATTCAATTTCTCCTGGAGTTTCGTTAGCCTCTAATGACCTTTCCGCAGGGCATGAGGACAAACAATATTCGTGATGATTCGCGAAAGAAGGAGGCTTTGCTGTTGCTCGTGAGGACTCTCCTGTGGCGACATGTTAGCAAGCGTGCCTTCACAAGATACACACGGACTCACCATAGCGGCAAAGCTTTCTGTGGTAGGTGATATGTACGCGGGAACCTTCGAGGTGAGTTGTTGCTGAGTTCGGTGACTGTCAGATATGACCGCGCGTGCTGCTGCTTTGACAAACGAAGCCACATATTTACAAACCAACAATTTAGGTTAGTGCCCGGCAGAAACGAGCTCCCACTATACTATTTTGAGGATGAGATTGACGCCGCCCTGAATGCCCCGTTCGACCTGGGATTCATCAAGCGACCACACTTTCAGCGTCTTGCTTCATCCTTACAAACTCAACATATCCATGCTGCCTTCTCCGGACCTGCATGACACTTTCCTCTCAAGACATCTTTACATGCTATGCAGGGAGCTCCTCGTCTAGATCCTCGTATTCAGGTCTCAGCTGCCTTGGCGGACCCCGTATTTCCAACAAATACCTCGAATGAGAATCCAGGACTGTTCAAACACGGGAAACTGATCTCATAGAGTCAATCTGGCGATATTAAGCGATCCCCTCCTGTGCACTTGTGGGATGACTGGTGCTTGATGTTACCGGCTCTTCAGAGCGTGTACCGTTCTGCGGGAAGGCATCTCCCCCAGAAACACCAAACCCGGTCAAGTAACACGAGGTTCTCGGTTCTTAATTTGAGGCTGAGGCCGTGTTCAGATTCTGCCCTGTCACAAGACGTACCCCAGAACCAAAAATCATAAATACCAATCGAATGAAACTGTTGCGAGAGGTCCAGGGCTCCTTGAGGAGCTGTGGTAGGTGTGGTAGTTCCGGGCGATGCATTCACCTCTACAAAAGGTAGGTTGTCCCCCTTTGGATTTTTGGCCCTTTGCCGATGTCAGTGAGAGTCTTTCCATTCCTCAATCACGTCGTCAGTCATCGAGATTTCCTCAAGGACAGCTCCAAGCAACTGTGCTGTACACAACCACTGCTCAAAATGCCAGGAGTCAACCGACGATGGGTCGAGCTTCTGTGCCTTCCACTCCTCCTCATCACCTTGATTCTGCCCGTAGAAGCAAGGTACGCAGCACGAGGCTGGAATGACTGGCACTTTGGCCCTGTGCATGTAACCTCCGGGCAGTCCATACAAGCTGCCATTGACTCCGCACAGCCCGGACAAGCAGTTATCGTGGAAGCTGGCACGTACGCAGAGCAGGTTACCATCACAACGAGCGGACTCAAGCTCATTGGCAAGGGCGCTAGCATTGTGCCACCAGAGTCGCCCGTCGAGAACACATGCTCTGGCCTAGCAGGCCCAGGCACCGAAGCTGGCATCTGCATCCAAGGACAAGATGTTGTTCTGGCAGACTATGTGCAGGAACACAGAAAAGTGCTCTCAGTGGGCCAAGCTGTGCGCGGAGTCCTGGTCTCCGGCTTCGAGATCAGTGGCTTCTCCGGCTTGGACGTAGCCGTGGTCGGAGGACAAGACTGCAAGGTTGCAAACAACATCCTCTACGATGGTGCTCAATACGGCTGTCTTACCGTCGGCTCAGAGAACACTGTGGTGGATACCAACACTGTCGCCGCAACAGCCGATATGCTCTTCATTGGTATCTGCATGGATGACCTGTCCAACGTACAAGTGACAAACAACGACATCAGTAACTACGCCATCGGTTTCTGTGTCCAGACTAATGGTGCTCTCATCCAGGGCAATACTGTCACCAACAGCTGCATCGGAGCCTATGTCGACCCCGGCGTGAGCGGCGTCCACATCATCGAGAATCATATCAGTGATGCAAATCCCATCTGTCCCTCGATTCCTGATCTAGGTAGTCTCGGAGTAGCCATGATCGGGGCGTCGGACACAGTCGTCAAGCAGAACACAATCGAAGGATTGACTGCTAACGGTGTCAATGGCGCAATCGCAGTGGGGGTGATTATCATCGATGACCCAGCCACGGGAACCCCAGCGTCCGGGAACCTGGTCGTTGGGAACGTTTTACAGAACAACGATTTCGACATCTTTGTCAATACGACTGGTACAGGCAACGTGGTCGAGGGTAATCAGTGCTCGACACCGGCCGAATTGTGCAGCAGCTGAGCAACATTCGAAATCTGACAAGTAGTCGGGTCACGGTTCGAAAGCCGATGCTTATGATTTTTTCTTTTTTGCCAGACCATACTTCTCCCGACGTTTTTGTGCACGCTGAGCTGAATTAAGAACGCAATTATTAATTGACAATTTAGAAATCTATCCTCAGACTTCGTCCGAGCGGTGTATGAATTTCCCACTGCCATTGTGTGTCTTGCCGTGAATAAGCGCATCGAAATAAGGGTCGATGGCCACTCTCGATAGTATCTCCAAGAAAATGTTTCGAAAAGCTCACCAAGCAGCTAATACGCCATTTATGGAGGAGATCTATCTGCCATCCCGTTTCTGCGCGTTTCAAGCCGGTCCCAGCCTCGGCTACGCATGCGGACGTAGGATATAAGTTTAACCTTTGCCCAGAGCCCGTTGGAGTTGCTTACAAACTCGTCCCTACCGGTAGGAAGGGTGCATCAACTCACCAGCGACCGGATCGACTTTTTTATCTTCGCATCCTTGTCGACGTCAGGGAGAATACTTTAGGATAGGTAGCTGTGAATCGTCATAAGTAGAGTGTCTTGCGAGGTACATGAGGTAAACATATAAATTCCCTCGAGCCCCCGAATTGGAGAAGAGGGGCCCGTCTGTGGTCGTCACGTAATATCTGACTACCTGTACGACATCGAGTTGCTTGACCGGCACTTCTACGTACAATTTGACATACCGGGCAAGAAGCAAGAGAACGTCCAGCAACATGACTTCGGAAAGTCCAGCTGCTCCCAAAAGGCTGTTGATTTTTGGAGCAACGGGTTTGATAGGGACGTATATCGTGAATGCGATCGTCCAGAACAAAGCCCACTTCGATCGCATCGCCATCTTCACCTCCCCATCGACCGTGGAGTCCAAGGCAGATCAGATTGAGTCTCTGAAGAAAGAGGGAGTCGAGGTCGTCGTCGGTGATATTACCAACGCAGACGATGTAGTCAAGGCGTATCAAGGTACGTCTTCACATGTAATGCTTGTCACGCGTATATTCTGACGTGGGGACAGGCATCGACACTGTCATTTCAGCTGTCGGTAGAAATGTGATTGGGAATCAGGTCGAACTTGTCAAGCTCGCAGACCAGAGTCCATCGGTTCGAAGGTTCTTCCCGTCCGAATATGGGACAGACATCGAGTATGGACCACAATCGGCCACCGAGAAGCCACATCAGCTCAAGTTGAAGGTCCGAGCTGCATTACGAGAATGCAAGAACCTCGACCATACCTACGTCGTGACAGGGCCGTACGCGGAGTTCTTCCTTTCTCATAACCCCAGCTTCACGGAGGCGGGAACATTCGACGTCAAGAACAGGACGGCCAAACTGATTGGGGATGAAAACGTCAAGATCAGCTTCACGACCATGCGCGAGTAAGTAGATACCTTGAGACCGACCTCCACTGGCGTTTATTGACGATCGTAGTGTTGGTAAGCTGGTGGTACATGCTCTGCTGAAACCAGAAGCCAGCCGCAACAAGGCACTGAGGGTGAATTCGTTCACCGCGACGAATTCACAGATACTGCACGAGTTTGAGAAGCAGACAGGTGGTGAACCTTGGAAGGTTTCGTACATTAGCTTGGACGACTTGAAGAAAAAGGAACAGGAAGCATGGGAAGCGGGAGCCCCGTTTGCGACAGCCTTTACGCTGAAGAGGATTTGGGGTGAGGGAGGCACCTTGTATGAGAAGCGTGATAACCATCTCATTGATGCCGAGGACGATATGGACTCGCTGGAGACAGCCGTAGCCAACGCTATCAAGGCGCAGACGGGCCAAAGTAAGGCGTAGAAAATCCGGTGTCTGGTCATTGAGAAGAAGGACGCACGTTGCGCCAAAAAGAAGGTTTTTAGTTTACTGGACTTGAGCGATACATGAGTATCAAGATGTGTCTGCAAGCGTGTTTTATGTCAATGTTGTCACGAAGACGAATATCAGAAGTCGTTCGTTGCTGAGGTTCCCTCAAGTCGTAACCTTCGTGGCCACGGCTTCAACCGTGCGGAGGCGCGCCTTTGATTTCGCGGTCGCTTCCCATGTTCATTCGACCCTTTGATCTCCCTACAAATTTGCTCGAGATTTGTACAATTGGCGACCTCATTCAGCGTAACCGAACCCTCCGTCCGTGACCTTCAGATTGTGCTCCCTCTTCGCCGTCACAATGGCTCCCTCCACACCGCAACCAGCAGACGACTCTCACCAACAACTCCTCGATCAGATGGACATATACTACGCTGCGAAGCCATTTCGGAATCACGACTGGAAGCCTAGTGGCCGCAGAAACAAGAACACAAAACAGATGATTTCTGAGTCACAACGAAGAGAGGCTTCTGTCCTCGCAACCCAGAACAACTCCGGCGCATCGACGCCTGCTCTCGCCACGGGTGCAATCTCGGATGGTGCGGCTACACCTTCATATTCTGGTGCTCCCTCCCGGCCGGTCAACATGGCACAAGCAGCACAAAGTCTAAGCACGTTGGTATTGGAGAGGAATCTACAACAGGCTACGAATGGGTTCGGCGGAGGAATGGGACCGCCGGCCGTGACATACACCAATATTGAAAGCGCACCCAGTTTACATCCCGCGAACCACAAGCACTACTGCGATATCACAGGCCTCCCTGCGAAGTACGTCGACCCTAAAACGAAGCTGAGATACTACGATCAAGAGATATTTGCTGTGGTGAGGAGTCTGCCACAGGGTGCACCAGACCAGTATCTAGCTGCAAGAGGTGCCAATGTGGTCTTGAAGTGAAGCAAAAGATTACGAGAAAGACCAGAAAACAAGAGCTACACTGTCATCTATGAAATGCAGAAGAAGATGTCAGACCAGCTAAGTCAAGCCCATTCCACCCGCTGGTGTCTTTCAACGACCAGTTCAAGGAAGCGCTCCGGCTTAATTGTGGACTTCGAGATGTTGTTCTTCGCCAAGTTGACGACATTACCGAATCTTCATGAGCAAGGAGAATCAGTTACAGCTAAATGAAAGAGCTGTGGTCAAGGCGGGTGCTGGTTGAGGACTATTTTTTCTAATGAAAAGAGTCGTTGCGAAAAGAAGTTTTGACAAAGACAGAGTTTAGCATCGGGTCAGGCCACAGCGACGTAGAATGAGAAGTTTGCGCCAATATTTTGCCAAACGATATTGCGCAAGGGCACCTTGGTTTATAGATGGTTGTGAATTATGCTGGTGCTTCAGCGAACCAGTTGAACAACCGCTCGAAGCAATTCTCGATTTTATGGCTGTCAGCTGGTGTCGTAACAGGCTCCAGTCCATATCCAAAGAAACTTCATGATCAGGTCTCAAAGAACATAATGCAATCCGTAGTCGGACTGATGCTAAAGTAGTAGATAATTGTACACAGAAAGAGAAAGCGAAGACATAACAAGGAGAGCAAAAGTTGCTGGATTTTCCGACGCCAAATCTTCTTCCGCTGCGGCTCCAAAAAGTGTCACCGACAGCACAGCGTCCATTGCGGAGAAAACACACCTTTTCCTGAACGCGTTGCGACGACACTTCTAGGTGCCTCTTGACGACGCTGCAGGGCTGGACATAGCCCATCTACCGCAAAGCTGGAGATGTTTCAGGTAGGATAATCCTATCCGGATGGTTGTCATGTGTCTAATACTTGTTCCCAGCGCCTTAAGGGCGCCATAGACAGAGGAATCGCCGAAGAACAGGCTCGTCAGCGCCAGGCCGCGACCAGCGCCCAGCCGGCAAGAACCCCCCAGAGACGACGACCGCAAGCCCAGAACGGCGTCTCTCAAAGATCTGGCTCGAGACAAAGGACCTCTATCGATGCCCCTATCGAAAAGGGCCCAGACCCTTCGCAATTCGAAGCCGACTTCGCGATTGGAGATGACGAGAGTACGGAGCCTCCTAGTAGGGTAGATACCCCGAAGGCGGAGGCCAGGAAAGAGGAGGTCCAACAAACAGAGGGAGGCGCAGAGCCAGCGACGCCTGACGATGGACAGCAGGAAAAGAAACAGACTGGAGAGCTGGCGACCCAGAAGAGTGAGCGACCGCAACCAGATTCGAATGGCAGCATACCCAGCCCCTTGCGTCCTCACGAACTTCCCACTGAGGTCCGTGTCAAGCTGCGGAAGCTGGATCGCATGGAGTCAAAGTACGCAGAGTTGTTGAAAGCTTATAAGATTGCGCACTCAAGGATTCAAGCGGTCGACTCTTTCGAATCCTCTTTACGAGAGAATACACCTCTGACGAGTATCAACGATCCAGACGCGCTGGTGGAATATCTGAACCAGATCAACCTTAAAAGTGACATGGTTCTGGACGAGTTGAAAAGGGTCACCACGGACAGAGACGAATATAAGAAGAAGTTCCATGCCGCAGAAGAGGAGACCGCCAAGTTGCGTACAGAGATCACCGAATTGAAGACCAACACCGCTGCCGAGTCACACAAACAAGAGGATTCCAAAGAGTCGGAGAAGCCGGTATCAAATGTGACCCTCGCGACCGGTGATGCTGTATCATCCTCAAAAGCAAACACAGACTTGGATCCCGACGCAAAATCACCTGGATCATCTTCATCCAGGATTGCAAGCTTCTCTCTCTTCTCACCACGCTCCAAAGCTGCATCGCCACCGGCGAGAGATACGTCGGAAGACATATTTTCGTACGAGTCGGAGCACTTCAAATTAGAGTCTGAGTTGCAAGAGCGCCATGGCGAGGTAGAAGATCTTCAAAAGCAAGTTAGCAACCTGCGGAACGATTTGAAAGTTGCACGTGAATCAACCGAAAGCATGGTGCAAAGTCTGGAAACCGCCACCAGAGAATTGCACTCTCTCAGGGAAGCGAAAGACAAGTTTGATGAGACCAAATCTAAATTGCAGAAGAAGCTTGAAGAACTCGAGTCTAAGGCCACATCTGAAGCCGGCACAACAGAAAATCTTCAGAACGAGATCAACGAACTTCAGGCTCAGAGGACTGAAGCGTCCAAGCGGATCGAACTACTTGAAGCTCAGATTGGCGACCTAGAAGCAAGAAATACGACGCTCAAAGAACAGATCGAATCGAGCAAGACGGACGTCAACTCCTTGAACGAGAAGCTGGCACAAAAGGATGCTGTCGTGAAGGACCTTGAAGACGCTTTAGCAGCTCATAAGTCAGCAGAACGGCAAGAAGCATCGCAACAGAAGAACGACAAAACAACTGAGAAGAAACTAGCCACCATGCAGGGTATAATGGAATCACTGCGAAGTCAGTTGGGCAGTGCCGAGACTACGATCACTGAAATGAAGTCCGAGCTTCAGAAGAATCAAGAAGAGTTCTCCAAACGACCTTCGACCAAAGTGTTTGGTTTCCTAGATGACAGTCAAAACTCGAAGTTGGATACGCTGCATACACGAGAAGATGTGGTTAACTATCTCGCCGAAAATTTCGGCCTTCATAAGTCTCCTTCCAAAACGCTTCCTCCAGAGGTGGCTGTGCCCTCGCCTGCTCCTTCGGAACCAGCAACAAGTGCATCGAAGAAGAAGAACAAGAAAAAGAAGAAGGGCAAAGGCCAAGCAGCAGTAGGCGAAGACGCGGAGCCTGATGTACCTGTGAAGGTCTCAGAGAATCTGGCAGAGGTGGAGGATAACACTGTTGAAAGCCGCAGCGTGCCGCAAGTTGATATCTCTAGGCTCGAAGAAGAGATTACGGCTTTGAAGGGCGAGCTGTCTGTGAAAACGCAAACCATAGAGCGCCTTTCCAAGCAGTTGAAAGATCAAGAAGCTCTACAAGAAGAAATCGAAACCTTGCGCGATGACCTGCTGCATCAAGGGGAAGAGCACGTTGAGGCTCGCGATTCCTTGAAAGAAGCGCAAAAACAGAAGCAAGAGCTTCAAGAAGCTATGGACAAGCTTGAAAAGGAACTCCTGGAGGCTCGTAAAGCGGCCTCACGTGGTGTGGACTCAGAGAAGGCACACAAGGAAGTTGCACAGCAGTTTGATGAGCTGAAGGATCGATGTTCGAATTTGGAAAAGGACCTTGCCGCCTCTGAACAGCTTGCAGCGGCTAGATTCAAAGACATAAGCGATCTCAAAGAACTGCTTGCCAAGGCACAGCCGGAGTTGCGGAGTCTCAGAACCGAAGTAGCTGAACTGCGATCAGCCAAAGACGATCTCAAGAACAAGACTGGCGAACTCAAGAGGCTTGAAGCCCGCCATGAAGATATCAAGGCTGAGCTTAAAGGCCTCAGCAAGAGGCTTGGCGATAAAGACTCCGAGATCAAGGAACTGCAACGAAAAGTCGAACAGGAGACGAATGGCAGGATCAAGCTTGAGAAGGAGATGGAAAAGACAGAGGCAGATCTTCGTTCGGCCGAGTATAAACGCCAAGAAGCAGCGACTTTGTCTGATGGCTTGAACAAAGACTTGAGCAAAGCAAAGGAGGAATCCACATCTCTCAGAGCGAAGCTCCGCGATCTAGAAGAACAATTATCAACCCAGAGCCGGGAGGCGACAGGACTGAAGGAAGAGCTCTCTCTGAAAACAGCTCTACACTCCTCTGCACAGTCTCTTGTCCAGTCACTGCGAGACCAAACGCATGAGCTGAACATGCAGGCACGTGAGGCTGCTACGCGGGCAGATAACTTGGAGGAGGAGCTCGCAGAGGCGCAGCGGATGCTGTCAGAGCGCACGAGAGAGGGTCAAACCATGCGTATGCTCCTAGACCAAGCAGAAAGCGGCACCGAGTCCAGAATTCGCGAGATGAAGGAACGCATGGACGCGGCCATTGAAGAACGGGACCGTGTTGAAGACGAGGCGAGCGTCAGCAGTCGACGCATGATGCGCGAGGTCGAAGACGCTCGAAGCAAAGTCCGCGATGCTCAGCGAGCCCTAAAAGTGCTGGAGAACGAGAAAGAAGAGCTCGAAGTCCGCCAGCGGGAGTGGAAGAGGAGAACAGACGAGCTTGAACAAACTTCCAGTCGTGCATCCAAGGAGGTCGAAGAAGTCCGAAGTGCTATGACTGGTCTGCGTGAAGCCCTGGACGAGAGCGAGAGGCAGGTCCGTGAGCTCGACAGGCAAAGGTTCGACCTCCGCAAATCGGTCGACGAATTCCGGGAGCGCGTCGAGAAGCTCACGAAGGCCAACAAGAATCTCACCGAAGAGCTCAAGGTGGCACAACAACCTGGGCCAAAGGGCCTTCGAGCCTCCAATCGCGCTGGGACAGGCCTCGAATCAGGGGCCCAGAGCTCCAGAACCTCGATCGATTCTTCGAGCGCGAGATCGCCGGCTCCCAAGGAGAGAATTCTCTCCAGGAGCACGAGTCGAAGCGAAACACCAAGTGGTGGCGTTGGTGTTGGCGGTGGTGGAATGAGCCAGGGAACCGTGGATTATGTGTATTTGAAGAATGTACTATTACAGTTTTTGGAGCAAAAGGACAAGGGCCATCAGCGACAATTGATTCCAGTTTTGGGCATGTTGTTGCATTTTGACCGGTAAGTGTTTCCTTTTCACCCCTCCCATGTTTTTGATCCTACGTTTATACTATACTTTTCTTCGCGCACAACACCTTTCGCGTTTTTGATCCTGCTGTTCTGGCTGGGAGTGGATGGATGGATGGCTGACTTTTGATTCCGTGAACAGAAAGGACGAACAGAAATGGGCTGCTGCGATCGCGGCACGATAAACCTACGTAGGCCCGCACGATATGCAATGGAGGGACAAAGCAGCTTTCTTCACGCGCCGACGTGTGCTCGTCGCTTATCGGTCAGCTTGGGCGTCGGATTGATCTAATCTACTGGGAAATCCGATTATAGGGGACTAGGAATGCGGTATCGAGCAGAGGAAAAAGACAATTACGAAAATTTTATGTCGTTGAAATGAAGAATCCAAGGTGTATGATTTGACTTACTAGACTCCAGATTCCTCTACCATCAATCCGAAGTCTGGCCTTTTGCGTTTTTGCATGGCGAAATTCGAAACTCACCGATGTTCTACAAGATCACGATACGATCAAGAAAAGAAAGGAAAAAAGGAAAACAAACCGATTGAAAACCTGCACAAGGACTCGTTGCAACCACAGGTGTGTTCGAGACAGTCGAACACGCGTCTGTTTGCCTTCCACCCAGTCGCAAAAGCCAGCAACAAAGTCACTTACCTTAGACTGTACCTGCGCTTCGAAAGCCCAAAGTCTCTAGGTGATGCGTCAACGCCTCTACGCTCTTGTCTTGTAAGGCACAAGCACCCCCAGCCACAATGTACAAGCCACTATGGTGCAGACGCTGGCACTTTGCTGCGCGAGCCCAAGCACGAGCATAGGGATCGATGCGGACGCGCTTAACGTGGCAGTCAGATATAGGACACGGTTGGTCTTCTCTCGGCGGTGTGGCGGCAGGTGTTGCGAGTTGAGCCTGATCCTGGACACAGTCTTGTTCCGGGGCCGACAGAGTCAAAGGCGACATTGCATCGGCCAAGTCGTCTGGACCGTCGACTGCTTCGAGGCGAGGAGTGCGGAGCTGTTGCTGTTGTTGGATCGCAATAATCTGCTTCGACTTACCTGGACGGTGGTCAGCGGTGCGGTTCGTGGTATTTACTCGTCGCCGCGGTGGCGGCGGACTTGTGCTCGTACGTGTCTGGGCGCGCGTGTCAAGAAGGACGTTTGCAGGGAGGAGATACGCAGCAGTCCCAGGACCGACGCGACCCCAGGGTGTTGTGATGGATTTCCCACCGGAGTTGGGTCTTCGGTTGTGGAGTGAACTGCCGCCGTCGCCGGACACGGTGGTAGTGGCGATGGTACCACCACCAGAGGCGGTATCCGAGATGTAGTCCTCTAGCCCCGACGACATGGAGAAAAACTCGGTGTCGAACGTTGACGACCCTTCGACTCCAAGCTCAACGGGTGGATCTGCTTCAGAATCACTCGTGGAATCGCCGCCGATGCTCGCCAGATCACGGCTTCCCCACGCGGTGACCCAGAAGGTACACAAAGCGTACAGTTTGATCATGCTGTGGAAATACGCAAAGGCGACACAGCCCGGCAGGTACACGAGGTCCCGGGGGTGTCGACGGAAGTAACTCACCAACTTGACCATCTTGGTCATGAAGATCCAAGCGCCCAGCATCACGTAGGAGGCGTTACCGTCGTGTCTGGCGAGCAGCAGCTCGCTGCGCGACAGCGTCCAGAACAGCGCGGCGTCATAGAACAGGGCAAAGTTGACAAAGCTCGTCAGGTACACTGCATACACGCACCACGGCTGGGTCCGCCAGACAGTCCAACTGCGCAGGCTGGCCGGGTTGCTGCGCCAGGTGGTGCGAGCCCATCTCAAACACTGCGAGAGGAACTTGGGGTACGTGCCGACCGTGGTCTCGATCATGGCGTCGGCGCTGTACTGGATCTTGACCTTCCACCCGCGCTCCACAACGGCGCGCGTGATGTAGTTGTCGTCGTCGGCGTTGAGGGGCCCGAAACGGCCGAAGAAGAAGGTCTCGTGCAGGTAGCCGCGGAGGAACTCGGGCGATTGCAGGATCTGGGTGCGGTACGCGCACGTGCGACCCGAGATGACGAACACGCCGCCGTCGATGGCGTTGGTCGCGCGGATCTCGAAGTTGTGTCGCTCGAGGTACAGCGCGCCGAGCACGTTGAAGAACGACGTCAGCCCGAACGGGTGGTTGTGTCGGCGGACGCGTTTGTTGGTGCCTACGCCCCCGACGGCCGGGTCCTCGAACGCAGCGACCGCCGTGGAGAGGAACCGCCCCGACGGCCAGAAGACGTGGTCGTCGACGAGCACCGTCAGCGGAGTCGTGACACGTGGGAGCACGTGTGCTATCTGTTTGCGCTTGTCAGCTTGCGTGGTGCACGAGACTCTGATGGCGGTGCTGGGGTACTTGGGCACGAAGGGGGCCACGATCTCACACGTCTGACGACGAAGTTGGGCGCCGACGGTGACAATGTGCACCGTCGACGGCCCGTTCACGAGCACCGAGGCGAGACATTCGAGGAAGTCGTGGTTCGTCGGCTCGACTGTCGGGATGATGACGGTCACGTCGCGCTCGGTGATGGTACTGATCGCGGGGATCGGAGAGTCCTTGTAATACCAGAACGACACCATGTGGACGATCAATCGGAGGTACCGGAAGATGAATAGAGCAGTGAAGGGAGTGTTGGGATGGGAGATGAATGCCGCAAAGGAGCAGCGAAGCAGAGAAGTCACGTGTTGATGATCCATGTTGACAGGACAGCGGTAGTGAGCAGGGGACAGGATCGATTGGTCTTATTCTCCCGAGGTCGACAGGCAGTTTGTTGTGTTTGCAACTTCAAGTATTGTCGAACATCTGTAGTTACTTGGGATTTAAAAAGGGTCGGTATGTTCGCGGACGGTGCAACAAAGCGGACAATGCGTGACAATGGCATTGCCATGATTGCCGTCGACGAGCAAAGGACACGGTCAATGAACGGGGGCAGAGGTTTCTTTTTGACACGTACCGGGTCTTTGTTCTTCTAGGATCTGGTCAAAGAGATCAACGTCCGAAGATCGAGCAAGGAGGGGCCAGCAACAACACGCTTTGCCCTCGAGGGGGGGCAGGCCTTGCATACGAACCTTGACGGACTGAACATCGAAGGGTCTGGGAGATTGTAGGAGAACAAGGATGTGCATGATGGACGGGGTGGGAACACAGTGGCAGCAACCCTCCGGTATCATCTGGCCAGGAACGAAATCTTGGAATTGGCTGGATTGGTATACAATATGGACAAGGATCCATCGTTTGGAAAGAATAATATTAATATGGTGGGATCTACCAAAACGCCTCGCTATGCAGCTCAATAACCCATGGGTAAAAATCATTCGAAAGTCATGCTGATCCCCCCGGATGGTTCCCTGTCGTCGGCCCAAGCATTTCGCTCCAGACCCAGATCGATTGTGGGCGAGGTCAACCCGTCTGCCGAGGACGTGGAAAAACGATTCAACTCGGGTGCAGAACGCCCAGTTGCATGCTGGTACATATCTGGCTGCGCAGCTGACGGTGTATCGTGGCTGTGCCTGTTCAAGCTGGGGGGAAGCGACAATGTCGGCATAGTGCTGACCAATTCTCTGGGCTCCGAGTACGCGAAAGACGACCTCCCATCCAGACCCGGAGAGGGTTGGGGAGAGCTGTGGGGAGATCGCTGAAGAGAGCGCCGGGGGCTGGTCCATGGAGACCCTTGAGGGCTCGACTGGGCCGACGGGCGAAGTGATGAGACCCGACCCGGTCTTACTGCCAAAGGCTGAGGAAAATGAACATCGACTTCGTCTGGACGGGGCGGCAGGTTCATGCGGGCAATTTCTTCCGGTTTCATGTTTGGAGGTAGCCGTAGATACTCGACATGTTTCTCCCCGTTCTGGATGGTCGTAATCTGCATCGGAGGCAACGTGCTGTCTAGCTCGCGGACTTCGATCATTTCGCTCTCCAACTCTTTTCGGATAGCGTCAATGTCGAAGAGAACATTTATGTCACCTTCATTGCGAGGCTGCGGTGACACACTTGTGCTGCGTTTGTGCTGAGTCGCTTTGGCGTCGTACGTCTCCCAGCCTTTCTTTTCAGCCAATTTACCGCGCTTGAAGAAGCCAAATCTTGTCTTGTCTGGCTTCTCTTCGGCCTTCCTACGTGCTTCATCGATTTCTTGAATGAGCTCCCGCTGTCGCTGTGCGTGGTTCTCTGGATCAGGGTCCTCAATCTCGGTGAATTCGTCGCTCTCCACTTCCCAGCCTACCTCGCGCATCAGACGAGGCATCGCAGTACGGTAAGCCATATGGCCATTAACCATACTGCTAACATCGAGGTTTTCAACACCTGGGACGCCTTCGACAGGAGCGAGGCCCGCGACGCGCATGATTCCACCTGCGGTGGCACGAAACAGGTAACCCAGAATCCAATCATTGGACGCATAGCCATTGAGGAATCTGCCTGAAACCACAGATCGAGCTCTGAGATACTCTTCCTTCTTGACCACGATGGGTGAACCGAATAGATACACATTTTGGACCAGGCCGTAAGCTCCCCGTCTGGACAATTCTTTCAAGCAGGAAAAGATGACTCGAGAACCCAGAGAGAATCCCACCAGCGTAATTGGCCTCTTCCCCAAGTGCCGGTCCCTGAGAGAGTCTGCAAGAATGAGACCTGCTGCATTCGCCCTATCCAAAGAGACACTCCAAGGGTTGTCGATCAGGTAGGCTAATTTAGAAAGTATAACTGGTAGTTGTATCGAGGCCATGAGAGCGATCAAAATGGTGCTCCCGAGGACTTGTTGAATCGTTTGTGTCAGCGCCTCAGTCGCAAGGATGTTGATAGTCTGTCCCATGGACTGTAGCATCTCGGGTTCCCACAGCAGGGAGTAGATATCGCCCATTATTGGGTCAATGGTGCTGTACGGAAGTCGGACATCATCGACCTTGCCATTCATCCACCCGGCCACCGTCAAAATCAGGTTCAGCCGCTTGTTATTGTGCAGAGGTCGATACTCAAAGGTTTTGACGTGGCCTGTGCGTCGATCTGATGCTCTCACAGCGATCGTCCCGCCAGCCGCAGTGGCTGCAGAAGTGATCAAAGCCGCACCACCAACGCCTCCCAAAAAACCTGCGGTCCCCGTCACGCCAATTGTCGTAAAGCCAGCAGCAAGACCAGCGCCGATCACAGGAGCGAGTAGTCCTGCGGACAAACCTATGACAAGCCCGCCTCCTACAGTAGCAAGACCCATGTAAATGTACTTTCGTTTGAGGCCTAACTTACGCCTTCTTTCAAGGTTTGCGGACTCATCCCAATTCTCCCTCTGTTCCTCTTCTTGCATTTCCAAAGCATCAATAACTCTTTTCTCGAATCGACAGATTTGTACCCATGTAATCTGCATGACTGAACCGACTCGCTCTAGAAGACGCCGTGATCGAGCATCATAATCACTGCCCGATATAAGGACTAGGAAGAGATCGCAAAGGACAGTCCAGCGCAAATCAAGCTCTATTTGTTTCGAGTCGGGCATGCTCTCAGGCCCATGGACTTCTGGCACTTCTTCACTTATTGAAGCTTCTTCTGTTTGTTCGCTGTCGCTCGTAATTGACGTCCTGGAAGTCGTCGAATTTCTAGGTCGTATCGAATCTGGCTTCGAATCTCCGGACTTCTGATCGTTTGCCATAGGATTGGCTACTTTGGCATTGAGCATTAAAGGGGGAACGAGGTCAGACGGCTGGACGCCATGTTCCGCGAGTTGCTCAATCATGATCTGCTCCGCTGGGTCAATGTCCATGTGAGCGTACAACCGAAGCATTATGGTCTGACCCCACATATCCATGCTTTCGACAGACTTCATTATTTCCCTCCTTATGTTTCTCGTTTTCTCGAGATTCCCCAGGGCGTTGAACATCTTGTGAATGGTCAGACGAACGACGCCGACGTAAGCTATCCGTTGACCTTCAGTCAAGAGGTCTTTGGTGGCTTGCAACTGTGCAAGTGCATCTCGTTGCTCATCTTCGGCCTCGTCCTCGTCATTAATCTGCTTGGGTTTCTCTCCGTTTCGAAACAAATAATTGGTATCTTCATCCAAGCTCGTGGCAGATTGTGCGTCTTCGTCGAGCTGTAGCTTCGTATATCCTTTGCCTGCGCCCCCTATTCCACTATAGGCATTGCTTTCTTCCTCGGTCTGTTTGTTGCCTTTTGCAACGAGCCTTCCGTTATCGTCGTAGACATCGAATTCATCAAGCGCTGGCATGTCCTGCCACTCTTCCTCCTCTTCTCCCTCATCCTCATCGTGTGGAGATGTGGCCACCGCCATCTGCCTTTGGTGGGACCACGACGATACTACTTGCTCTTCCAGTTTAATTTCTCGCTTAGGTACAGGCATTGACGCAGCGGGATCTGACTTTTGAGGGGATACTGCAGCATCTCTCTCGTTTGCAGTATTCTCTGAGCTTGTACCAAGCCCGGCAGTCACAACTTTGGGTGCCGGTGGAAGTGAATCTTTACCATCCGCAGTAGACCTGTCCTCCGCGCTCGTCACTTGTGTAGAGGCTGCCTCTTCCGCTCTTGATGCCACGTCAGCCTCGGATGTAGAGCTAGCTGCCTTGGTCGTATCACCCTCGACGACCCCCGCCTGTTCTCCCTCACCCATGTCGCTATCCGCCTTTCGGAGGTTCCTCTCTTTCATGACAGGGCTTTGGTGTTCGGTGCTGGCTTCCGCATCGTGAAAGGCATCGTTGTCATCATCGCTGCTGTCCGTATTAGGACGCGGTGCTGCGCTTACGGGTCTTTTAGGCAGTCCGAAGTCGTCGAGCTCAGGTTCTCCCGATGTCGTGGATCGTTGATCAGTTCGAGGCGGCTCTTTCTGAGAGTCTTCAGTGGTCAAATCCCGCTGTAGAGTAGTATCCCCGTTCATTGTGCCATCGAGACATTGGTCTCAAGGATCAATTCCGAGAAAGCACAACACGTTGCAGTGGCGATGCTGCACTGAACAAAGAACAAGGCAACAGAAATAACTGATCCGGATACGCGAAAACGTGCTTTGTTGTGTCAAGGGGTTCTGGCTTCGAGTTGTCCACGTCGACTAAACCTCGCGGGCGCGAGTCCGTATCAGCGTCGCCAAAGTGGAGCGCAGGATCGCTTCAATTTCCCAATCGAGGTGACCGCCACTCTACGATGAACCAAGAAGGTGACCAAGTGACCATGCACTCGTAGAGATCTACATGCTCCATTCATAGACAATGCCTTGTGTCCGTCGCTCTTATCGAGGAACGACTCGCGCGAACCTGCAACGAATTTGCACGGAAATCCCGGGAGAGAAGAGTCATAGTATTTTCCGATATTTACACAGGTCGCCGCCTCGCTGCGTGCCTGGGAGGAGACTTTTCGAGTCCGCAATCGACATTAAACATCAGTATATGTTATTGTACATGTGCAGGGACGACTCTTCCCTGTTGTTGCGAATACACGCTGTCGTTTGCTTATTTGCGTTTCGTAAATGCCTCCAGCGCAGAATAGTCTCCTTCGTCCATCTTTTCCCAAATCGCCTCTATTCTCTTCCTTCGCTCCAGGGCGGACTCTCTGTTCTTGCTACTGTTCTTCGTCCTTTCGCCAGACAAGCATCTGTTCACTTCTCGTTTGATGTCGTTGCATCCACCTATCGCTTTGTAGAGGAAACCGCGAGCGTGACACTCGTCGAGGGCGGTCATGATTTCTTCGCAATCTATCTTCTGGTCAATAAATGTCTGAGAGTCCGTTTAATTGACGATTTAAACACCATGATATGCCGCTGCACCCACCAAGAGGCATACACTGCCCACGGGGGGTCGTCCGTTGTTCGATATACAGGATCATGAGACCGGAAGCTGGGGTTACCACATACCGACATTGCTTTTTGTATGGAGATGGGAATGCATTTTCGTAGAGACTCGTCTCCAATATTGATCGTGCGGCTCGAGCCACGCCCACATAGGTCAAGAAGAGTCCGGCGTCGCAAGGTGTTGGTAGTTGCTGGGGGACGTAGCGGATGCATCTTCAGCATTGAAAGCCGCATGCTGTGGAACCAATGGATGAGGCCAAGATGCAGCCTTGCGTCGATCATGTTCAGCCTTGCATGTGCCCCTCACCGCCCAAGCCATAAAATAAATTCTGCCGCATTTTTTTGGAGGCCGTCTGAGATAGAGCCTTGCCTCGCTGTTTGCTGGCTTATTGCATTCAAATACCAATCCACGAAAATGTCGATGACATTGGCCACTACTTGGGTCCGCAGAGGAGTCGCGGCTCAATTCCCTACAAAATACCAGGTGGACGAGGCGGAACTGGATCGCATCTCCCGGCTGGCCCGCCTGCAACTTGAAGATGCGCAAGAAGATCTAGAGAGGGCCCAAAATCCAAAAGAGGATGCTGATGAGTCCCAAGACACAGATTCAGACAATGGCGTATCCACAATGGAAGCCTCAAAGGCTAGCGAGACCAAGGCAGACGAGGACGACGACCTAAAAGAGTACAACCTCGACGACTATGACGACGACGAACCGGATGAACAGACCCAGAAGTTTGCCATGTTTGGAAATGTCGGCTCGTTGGCGTATCATGCGCCGGAAGAGGAAGACCCGTATTTGGTCCTGCCAGAAGGCGAGCAGGAATCAGAAGACGAAAGGGAGGAGCTGCAGATACTACCAACAGACAATCTCATTCTGGCCGCCAAAGTCGAAGATGAAGTGGCCCACCTCGAAGTGTCTGTGTATGAAGACGATGCAGACAATCTGTATGTACACCATGATATCATGCTCCCTGCCATTCCCCTATGCGTGGAATGGATCAACGTACCAGTCGGGAAGGACGCCGAGAAGCGGAAAGATGGAAACTTTGTGGCTGTCGGCACCATGAGCCCAGAGATAGAGGTGTGGGACCTAGATGTCGTAGACAGTATGTATCCCAACGCTATTCTTGGCCAGGAACCGGAGACAGCAGCCGAGGGAGAGCAAGAAATGGATTCGAAGCAACAGAAGAAGAAAAAGTCGACCAAGAAAAAGAAGAAGCCGAAAGCCAATGATGAATACCATGTGGACGCAGTTCTTGCACTCGCAGCAAATAGACAACACCGAAATCTACTTGCCTCGGCATCTGCAGACAAGACGGTCAAACTCTGGGACTTGAATACAGGAAAATGTGCCAAGTCATATACGATGCACAACGACAAGGTTTGTGCTTTGGATTGGCACCCAACAGAGTCTACAGTGCTCTTGAGTGGCAGCTATGACCGCACCGTCGTTGCTACTGACATGCGAGCCCCCGACGCTGTCGCACCCAGGTGGGTGGTTGAGGCCGATGTTGAGAAGGTCAGATGGGATGTCCATGATCCCAACTTCTTCTTCGTTACCACCGAAGCCGGGACAGTGCACTACTTTGACGCTCGGGAAGCCCCAACGGCACATGACAAGCCAAGCAAGGCGAAGTGGACATTGCAAGCGCATGATGGGGCAGTGAGTGCGTTCGACTTGAATCCCGCTGTGCCTGGCTTGATAGCGACTGGATCAGAGGACAAGAGAGTCAAGTTATGGAATATCGAAAACAACATTCCTAGTATGATTGTCGCAAGAAATCTCGATGTTGGCCGAATATTTTCTGTACAATTCGCCCCCGATCCGGAAGTTGCCTTCAGACTCTCCGTGGCTGGCAGTAGGGGCCAGTTGCAGGTATGGGATGTTAGCACGAATCCAGGTGTGCGAAAAGCTCTCTCAGGAAAGGTCAAATTGCCCGAAACGGAGGGTAAGGAGAGAGTGGTTGCCATCAATGATAGTAGCGATGAGAGCGATGACGATGACGGAGGCGAGATGGACGCTGAGGGACGAGACGGCTGGGAGTCTATGGACGAAGACTGAGAGTCATCAGACTCCGTCACGGTCAATAAGGTACAATGGTGCTTCCATTTCCCGTCATGAGCGCTTCCCATAGACAACATCAGACAATATTGCCAGGAGTGATCGCACAGCATAGCATTAATTGAAAGTCAAAGGGATTTGGACTTTTCAAATCTGATTGCCCAATTGATCACAATGTTCAAGGTATCCAGGGAAAGAACAAAAGAGTAGCGTATATCAGACCAAGAGGTACACAGACACTGTGAGGTGGCCACGACTCCTTTCTAGATACTAGCATGTTGCACAGGCCATTGTTCATGAGGCATGGGTTGTGCATGAATTGGATAGTTGGCCGAGACATTTTGTGACCGCTGGTAGCATTGCCTCAGAATGGTTGTTCACCTTTCCCAGTAATCCATCACAAGCGAGGTCGTACTCATGGGCAAGCGTTCAGTGATTGTCAGACTCAACCAGCTAACATAGCTCAAGTAGACGCTCTTGTTTGTGACTCGTGAGGCCGAACAGTGATACAAGGGACGATTCGGTGTATAGTTCTTCCGGAGGCTCTTCGGCGAACTTGCCTCTTCAAGCTCGCATATTGTTGTCGCCGGACATCTCTTCCTCAAATCGACCTTCGTCGCGAGGTGATCAACGTGTCGAGACGTTGTCACAGTTGGGGGATGGCATGATGCTTGATTCGGTGTCTGTCAGCGCCATTTTATCTATGTTCTGTAGCCCTGGCCTTCAAGAGACAATAGGCCACCCTGACAGATGGATATGCTGACCCGCTGAGCTCAACTTCATCATTGATTGGTTCGGGGCACACTGGTTCATTTTGCTGGTGGAAGATAGTCGGGAAAGCGATCCGCTACCAGTTAGCCGCAGCCACGCCATATTGTATCACAGCTGGATAGCTTCCGGTAACGTTGCTGAAGAGAATGTCTGACTGATGAGGGAAGCTGACCTCGCCTATACCCTTGTTGAAGAAGGTCAAGAGTTGAAGCAACCAACCTGGCAAGAGGATCCGAAAGAGATTGGCTACATCAAAGAATGACCGATTCAGGTATCACTGCGCCATGCTCCCTGATCCTTACTCTTCCTGTTGAGATTCGTGTTGAGATATACCGATTCGTGTTTGATTCTGTCGAGCTTCGAATTGACAACAACACCACAAAATGCCCGCAGTGTGCGTCTTCCGTGTGCTCCTGTGCTTTTTCATGTCATGTACTGCACATCTGTCGACAGATTCGATCTGAAGCCATGCCTCACTTGTTCTCTGCGGCCACGCTGCGAATATCGGGCACAGGTGCTCGAACAGGCCATCTGCCCCAGCAGTACATGGCGAAAATTCCACGAGCTATCGTACAGGACCCAGGATCGTTCTCGAAAACTATGATTGATATCGACCAGCTGTACAGCTTGAAAGTTTTGGAACTCCGTAATGTAGCGATCTGGTGTACATACCATGATGAAGCATTTCTGGAGAGTCCCGCTCCCGACGAGTCCATGGTAGGGCTTGCATTGTTCAATCTGACCCGCATCAGTGGCCAGCTTATGGGACTATGCTCTGAAAAGGGAAAGGTCTTCCAAATACTTCTGTACTGCGAGTATGTGGTTTCATCTTCGGCCGGCTGGACCGTTGTATGTGTGAGGCCCATCTTCTTGTGGATTAAGCAGCTGACACATTCTCAGCTCGCCATCATTGATTTCAATAAGGGAACCGTGCTGCACAAGACGAAGGGTCCAGCTATCCAAGATCGAAATCCATGGGCAGGCTTGTACTGATAGCCTCTCCTGGCTGGAGATGGCCACCCTCCGGGATCTCCCCTAGCTGTTGTGCTCGCCTTATTTCCCTCTCCTACTTCAGCCTCTGCCGGCCATGGATTGAGATAATTATATGTGGGATCCCAGTTGATGGGGCGTCTAAGGTCACTCCATGCGGACCTAGAGAAGCAATGTCAGCCAGTAGCATCACACCAGGGGAATAGGTTATGAATCTGTTTGGGATCCTTTTCATTGCACGAACACGCTGCTCGTCAAGTACATGGTGGCCGAAGAGAGAAATGCCTTTCCTCTGTTGTCAATGATGAACAAAACAACATGTCGACTCAGGCAGCCAAAAACATCATGCAGAAGCAGACAGTAGCAAAGCATTTCGAAGAAGTGATTTGACCTGCGTATGTGGTGGTGCGGGCGAGTTACCCTTTTCTGGACTCACTTTTCTCACCGGCATTTCTTTCACTGTTGCTCATCTCCTCTCACTTTGCACTCTTCAGACCACAACGCACATTCTTGCCCTTGTTTCCCTGTTGCAGGAGAATCTTGTTGAGTCCACTCTCTAGAGTGTGGAACGGCCCTACGTCCATCAAACGCTCTACTTCTGTCGTTCTACCTCTGCAAGTGCAGCAAACTCGCCTTCGCAGTGAGGTCAACTCTCAAAATGGCACACAACATGGATCAACCCAGCCCTTTCAGATACCATGCCTTCTTTTCTCAGCCCAGGCCTGATCAAGGAGCTCTCAGTGCTACTGACGACGAAGATGTCCACATGAACGACATGCCGCAAACCATCAACCCTTACCAGATGGATCTGACACCACCAGTCGTTTGGACTGACGAAATTCCTCACTCGATCCTATCCATTGCTCAAGGTCCGCTTGTCCAACCGAATGCCATCAATACTCAGCATAGCCTTCTTCCTCATCCTATCTATTACCAGAACATGATCACCACTCCGGGCATGCCTGAAATGCAATTCTATCCTCACAGCCCCATTCAACATCCAATTCTCAACGGGAACTTTGCAGGCACACAAGCAATAAGGACTCCGACTATGGAACACCTGTTGCCTCTTCAACCTCCTGCATCGCTTATGCATCCCTCTCAAAACGCTCTTGCTCGAAGAACTATTATGCCTATGCCTCCCGCACAACAATTGCAGGCCCAAGGTCAGCAACAACAAACCGCGGCGCCTGGTCACCGTCTTGACAATTTGCCAGCTGAGATCAGATTGGAGATCTATGGGTATCTATTCCAGGGAGCAGAGATTGAAGTCATTCCAAGAAACATGACGAGATGTCGGCCTGACGTCCCGGCGTCGCCGTGTAAGGTTATTGAAGGCGCGCACACAAACATCATTCGCACCTCGAAGTTTTTCTTTCTTGACGCTCTTCCAACCCTTGCAAAAGCAACACATCTCAACATCCCACAACCATACCATCCTCAGGAAGCCACTGAAGACCCTCTCCGTCAATTCCCCGAATCTTTCCTGAAAAGGATTGAGACAATCACGGGCGACTTCAATGCATTCGGCCGCATCAATGGCCAGCGCCTTCGGAGGTTGAAGCACGCCAATTTATTCCATGAGGTCGATTCTGCTGGTGGGTTTGTCGACACTGTACATATCATCAACTGTGAGAACTGTGGAGGAGTCGATGCAGTTATCAATGCAGCATTCGAAGGGGTTGTCAACAACTGGCGTTGGCTCCAGAAGCAAATTGCCCGCAATGCCCGCCGCGAGGGCTTCACAGTCGATATGACTGTCACTTGGGAGGTGTACTGTGAGGCGCCAGGAATGGCAAAATTTGTACCCGCACCCTCCCCGATCGCATATCAATGTGTACTAACGGAGACTTCTAGGAATTCAAGATGAACTGTGCCACCAATAAGGTGGTCAGGACCAAGGCTTTCATCGGAGGCCAGGAGGTCGGCACCAACAGCGAGACCCAGGCGGCCGCAGACTGGGATGCCCTTAGTGGCATGTGAATGCCCGGGCTCGTTGGAAGTGCCGATCTCCTGGTGGAAGATGTGTAAGAGTGCATGTTGTTTTTCGGTCGCTCACCATAGACAATGAGAATGTTAGAACATGGATCTCTTTGAGACTTCAAAACGTTCAGGGTGATATTTGCAACCATGTCCTCTCTCATGATGACTGCTGCCCTGATGTCCCTGGCCCTGGTGCCTTCTCGACGCTGCGACGCAGAGGTACGTCATGTTGGCTCACATGTTCCACACTGTGATATGATGGCCACCGCAACGCATTTCTGCCCCCAATGCTTTCGTCCATCGCCCATTGTAGTAAGCACCAATGTCTACGGTGACACCCTTGCTGCCATCGCGCCCCTTTTCCCTGAGCATAGTATCAGCTTGATGAGTGGCCAATCAGATCAGGTCTTGGCGGTTTCGACGCGCCGCGATTCACGTGATCAGAGCGCGACTTCGACGTCTTCCTTCAATCCACTTGCATCTCTACCGACGAGTAAACAGTTTCAGCTTGCTTGTTTCTGCCTTGTGAGCGTTCGTCGTTGCTAGTTCCAAATGATGCCACTTTGCACCCTGTGATGGTGTAGCCGACATCTATTCGACTTCATTTGCATCTCGAAAATTGACCTCGCGCTTGATCCCGGTCCCGCCAGCCTTGTGAACCGCACACCGTTCAAGATGGAGCAGCAAGTTCTCGAATTACTACAAGCGACAACACGGCCAGACACTGTCGTCATTAGGGATGCTGAGCAGGGGCTCTTACGTCTCCACAGCCAGCCGGAATTTCCTTTCGCGCTTCTCACTATCGCGTCACACAATGACATCGACTCTGGATCTCGAAAGGCCGCACTCACGGCGCTGAAGGGTTATGTCCAAGCCACTTGGTCTCCACAATTCGACGAAACATTCAAGGGAACTACGTTTCTTGATGATGCCGGCAAAAGTCGAGTGCGCGATCAAATCTTTGCCATTTGTACCGTTGAAGGCGACCAGGTCCCCAAAGACTCCGCGATCCAAGCACTGGCTGCTGGTGTCGCTAGCAGAATTGCCAGCGTTGACTTTCCAGATGCCTGGCCGACATTGTTCCCTTCCCTTTTGACGATATTGAACACATCCACCAGCGATGCCCCAGTCCACGGTGCTCTGCGGGTTCTCGCAGAATTGATCGACTCGGGTTTGACCGAAGAACAGTTCTTCATGGTCGCTCGTGACTTGGTGAATGGTTTACAACATGTGGCCACAGACAACAACCGAGGGCTCGTTGTCCGAGCCATGACACTGAACGTATTTCGCTCGTGTTTCGAAATGCTGGAGATGGTTATGGGAGACCACGGAGCCGCTGTGAAAGCATTCTTGGACGAATCAATGAAATCTTGGATGCCATTTTTCATGGAGATTCTGAAAGCACCTCTACCAATCTCCGACTCCTCGGCTGTGGCTATTGACCAATCCGAGACCAATCTCCGTGGGCTTGTGGCCTTGAAGGTGCAGGTTGTAAAGGTATGCTTATTCGTAAACTGTAGATGTGGCATGAATTGACCAATCGCTAGACTCTTGACAAGTTGAGATCAGTCTATGTCCACGCCATCTCCCCCCACGCCGTCAGTCTATTCCTAATTGTCTGGGAGGAGTTGTCGAGGATAGCGTCCCCATACGCAGAACTCTTCATCGAAGGCACTGCTGAAGGAAAACTGGTGGATAGCGACAACCTACCGTGCAGCTTGGATGCACTGGTGCTCGAAGAAATTGATTTCTTGCAAGTCACAATGAAGGCACCACCTGTTCGAGCAGAGTTGTCATCACAGATGAAACAATTAGGTGACGCTCAACACACTGTTCAATGGCTACAAGAGCTCATTAGAGTCTTGGTGCTCTACGCAAGGATACCTGCCGAAGAAGAAGGCCTGTGGGAGTACGACTCAAACTTGTACCTCTCTGAAGCCACGTCACTCACAGCGAACTACACTCCCCGAGCCGCTTGTGGCGAACTCGTTGTCCGAAGCCTTGGAGAATGGCTGAAGCAAATGCCAATTGTTGCCATGCTTCATTTCAACCAGCATGCCTTCTCCAATCCTTCGACAAGCTGGAAAGAACGGGAAGCCTTACTGTACCTTCTCAATCAATGTGTAATAGACGTCAGTGAGGTGTCCGGAAACCTTGACTCAGCCATTGCATCCGCGCTTCTGGAGCAGGTCTCTGTCTTTCTGCAAGATTCTCATGCTTTCATGCGTTCAGCCGCGCAGCTTCTACTGGGCGCTTTCTTCAAAGTCGCCGGAAACGACTATGCAGCGGCCGGCGCTGCGTCATTCACCAATGCCGTCAATGCAGCTGTGAGCGATCCTTCTGAAGTCGTGAAGGTCGCCTGCTTGAATGCCATTCCGATGTACCTAGAAGCGCTCCCCTCGAATGTCACGCTGCCAATGCAGGGTGCAATCGTCAATGCAGTTGCCGAGTACGTCTCTTCGCATGATCTGAAGGACGAACTTGAAGATGCAGACGACGTCAAGGCTACTTTGATACAAGCACTTCGCGATGCCATCATGCTTGATACGACGAACATCACAGAGACAAATGCAATTGACCTTTTCTTCACGCTCGCTTCCGACAGCGCTGGAAACTTCCAATTGTTCACACTCCTTACGGAGGCATTCGAGGGCATTGTATCCTCGGTATCCTCTCACGGTCAGGAGAACTACGTCCGTCTATGCTCCAAGACCATTCCCTCCTTGACTGGCGCGTTCGAAGTAGCTAGCATGACCCAGATGTCTGAATTGACCAATCTCGCTGCCGAACTCGTCTCTGCTCTCGCTGAGTTCGGATCCGAACCACTTCCCGCGGGCTTTGTATCGGCTGTCATGCCCAAACTGCAGCGCGTTCTCATGGAAGCGACCGATGCTGAGCTCGTCCGCCCTGCCACACTCGCAGTCGAACACATGCTTGAGAAAGGTTCGGCGCAGTTCCTCACCTGGACTGATTCACAAGGTAAATCAGCCATTGAAGTCCTCCTGACCATTGTCAACCGTCTACTCAACTCGCCCGACGTGGACGAGAACGCGGGTCAAGAAGTCGGCGGGCTCGCCAGTACCCTCGTGAACAAATTCGGTGCCGACAAGCTAGGCCCCTACCTGATGGAGTTACTGCGAGCTGTGGCTATCCGTCTCGCCACCGCAGACCGTATTCAATTCATCCAGAATCTGTGCATGGTCTTCGTGGGTCTCAGTCTAGCCGCACCCAAAGAGGTTGTCGATTTTCTTTCGGAGGTGAACATCAACGGCGTCAATGGTTTGGCTGTCGTTTTGACCAAGTGGTTGGAAAACTCGGTCCATTTTGCTGGATTCGACGAGGTCCGCCAGAACGTGGTGGCACTGTCCAAGATCTTCAGCCTGCAGGATGAACGTGTCAAGAGTGTCAGTGTCAAAGGAGACTTAATCATCGACGCGAATCCCGGTGGAAGGATCAAGACACGTTCCCAGGCCAGACTGAACCCGGACCAGTGGACAAGTGTCTCCGCGGATTTGAAGATTCTCAAAATCATGGTCGATGAGCTCGCGAGTGCGGCGACGAGTCACTTTCCTAACCTTGCGGCGGCACAGGCTGCGGCCGAGGCGCTGGACGAGGAGGACGCAGAGGACGATGACGGCGAATGGGAAGACGTTGGAGCCGGCGGAGCAATCGACCTGGCCAGTGCGAGTGTCAGGAACGACTTGATGGCCCTGGTCGGTGAGGATGGCGCCGCGAGTCCGACGGGCAGCAGGGCTCGAGATGAAGAGACGGCCGAGTACCTGTTGAGCTGGTTCAAGGCCGAGGCCGGCAAGCCTGGCTTCGAGCCTCTTTTTGAACAGTTGAACGAAGAAGAGAAGGGAAAGTTGAGGCAATTGGCAGCTTAGGCGGAGGTGGTTCAAGGATTAATTCAGGATGCCAAGCAGGGAACGGCGATGGGACTGTTTCAAACATGTCTAGAGAGTATACACCTCCTAAGAAGAATGAACGATTTGACATGCATCTTCTTTCTGCCGTGATTGGGATCTTGTGCCTGGCGGGCCTGACACAACGTACGTAACCGGGACAGCACATCAATATATCGTTGTTGCCCCCTTGTCCCACGTCTTATTTCTTCGTGACAGCGTTTCTCTGCGCGCCAAATTTCTCGTGCCATTTCCTTTTCTTCTGCGCTCTTACGTCGGCCACAGCAGTAGTAGGAGGAGCAAGGGCCGGACCGACCGCAATTTTGTTGGTGCCGGCTATTCGTCCTGACCCGTCAAGTGCTGTGGTCGTCGGGAACTTGAAGACTTCCTCGCCCTGATCGTCCGTCACGATCTCGACGCCAGGAGTCGACTTGATCAGCGAGACTACGTTGCACTCTTTCGCCCAGGAGTCCGGTAACATCTGCTCCCATTCCTGCTTGAACGCTTCCACCGACACTGCCTGCGCCGCCTTTGGCCTGTTTCCCCTTTGGAGACTCTTGAGGAGCCATTGTCCCACGACGGCGCAGCCTCCGCTACCGTCCCAGCCTACGATCTCCGGCATCGTAATAAACGTCTCCGCGGGCTGAGAGTCCGCATCCACTTGCAGGACGGCAAGTCGTCGTACACAGGCCATGGCAACCGCGGTGAGGAGAGCGCTATCATTTTCGTCGTCACTGTCGCGTCTCATGTCATCCAGAACCGGACCGAGCCAAGTTCCGACGTCGTCCCATTCCGCTTTGTGGGCCGAAAGAGTGTATGCCTGCATGAGCGACTTCCACGCCCGAAGCAGCAGTGATGAGGTAGGCATGTAGAGCGCCGGTTCGTCGTCCCCGCCCTTCGCCAGAGCAAATACAAACAACCTCCGCGCGGCGTCTAGAATGGCCTTGTCCGGCGCGGGAATGCCATGGAGCATGTCTTCCACCCTGACATTTGTGTCGCTATCCGTGTTTCTCCCGATCTCTTCATCGTCATCATCGGCATCGGCATCTTGGTACGGAGGCAGCATATTCCTGACCATGGACTCGACCTGACCGGCGTCCGTGTCGACATCGACCAACTCGAGAATATTCTTCACTTGGGCTACTGCTGTCATCTCTCCGGTCTCGTCTTTTTGTCTCCGTCTTTGTTCGTGGTCCACATCCATCTGCTCAGCCTCATCCTCGTCCTGCTCAATCTTCCTCCTCTTGCTGCGTTGTTCGCCGGCCGTGCCCGTGCTCGTGCTCTCCGTGACATAGACGCTGTTGCTGGTACTGACTTGCTTGACGGCCCACATTTTCTCCTTGGTGCAGAGGTGTAGATATCCTTGGCTCGTAGACGCTGACTTGAGTTGCATCCTGACCAGAAAGTCCAAGTTAGTGCGGATTTATATTTTAATCGATCCTTGACAGCCATGTCCGGACAACGTGACCAAGGTAGGCAGTTTAGACGCACCTCGTGGCGGCGCCGGTTTTCCTCCCCTCTTCGATCATAGCGACCAGCTCATGCGGCAACTCGAGCAGCCTCAGGCTCTTCTGGGGATATTTTGCAGAGAAGGAGACGGGTGGGAAGTCGGTGCGCTGAGAAGACATTGTGGGCGTGGTTGACTGGAATAGTTCTAGATGACCAAGACGCAAGAAGTAACTCTGATTTCTTAAGTCTTCAAGGGAACGCAGTCCACTCTGTACATGGTGTGGCCTTGTTCGATCAAGGCTTTCCCCGCGGAGAACTTCGACAGCCTCGTCGTCGATTATCGCGAGATTCCGCGACGCGTCTGGCGCGCTTTGCGCTCACACGCGTAAAGCACCAGCCTCGCGAGCATCACGTCATGGCCCGTGGAGGAGAGTTTCGAACGACAACAACCATCAGCGTCCAAGAATGCTGGCGGTCCCTTCGGTCGGTCGGCAATCCAGGCGCCAGTGCTTCTACCTTAAGGTGACGGATAACCCTGTCTGATGGTGAGAACCCGAACCAGTTCGACATCCTCGTTCTTCAGCCATCACTGGCGGCGAAGCGACTTCGCAAACTACGACAAGAACCGTTTTGATTCCTGTGTCCAGCTTTCGACCGACCAGCACATTACGAGTGGAATTCAGATGCTGAAAACACGCTGTCTATTTGTATTGTATCAATCGTGGCAACAACATCTTCCCCTATTAGTATGGAAATGACGCTTTACTGCCCAAAAACATCACAGTTGTCCCGACTCAAGCGCAGTCAGCCATGAGCGTAGTTCTCTGTTCACCTTCACGGGGTCTTCTCGCCAGAGCCAGTGACCAGCATTCGGAAGTGTAACCACGCGAACAGACTGATCAAACCACTTGTAGAAGCCATCCAACATCTTTTCTGAGAAATATGGCTCTTGCATACCCCAGACGACAATCGATGGCATTCTGTAATGCATCTTCGAAGTGTCGACATCCTGCCCGTAAGGAGGACCAGGAAAGTTCTTTCGGAAAAAGTAGAACATCCCAGCCTCTGGCGATTCTTGCAGGTATTGTTTGATCTTTGCGCGATAGCCTGGGTCTGGGATTGTTCGCACAACAAAGTCGAGATCGTAAGAGTCGCCGGGATTGTGTGCAATGTACTTGAGCGAGTACTGGGAGAGACGTTGCTGGTCTCTGTCATGGTGAATCAGGTGCATCATGGTTCCCAGAATGGGCGTGTTGAAGATGACCAGCCCGTTGAATCTCTCAGGATGAAGGAAGGCCAATTTTTGAACCAGAATCCCTCCAACGTCTCCTCCAGCAAATATTGCCTTCTCGAAGCCAAGATGGTCGATCAGCGCAAGGAGGTCTCCGGCCATTACATCTCCGTCGTAGGCATTTTCGTCCAGTGGTACGTCGCTTGGGGGATACCCTCGAACCGTAGGCAAAATGACGGTGTGGTCCTTTGCGAATTCGTCGATTTGATACTCAAACGTCATCTCGTTGTCAGGATGCCCGTGGACAAACACCAGAGCAGGGCCGCTGCCGTAAATACGGTAGTGAATTCGGACGCCGTAGTTGGTGAAAAACCGAGATTCCTTTCCTAGAGGCATTCTGGCGGAGACGCGTGTGTGAATATGTTTTTCCGTCCACTACAATTGCACTTGAAGGAGACGCATTCTCTCTACCAGTCCCAGCTGTCAGTTGCTCTCGTGCCAGATATTGCAGCCGTCAATGCCTTTGACGAGGCTGTGAAGGGAGTTGACGGTGTAGGTGCAGCCTGGGGTTTGACGGCCTATATGGGACAGGACTGACCTTTTGGTAGATCATCCACACTGCCTCACCTTTTGTTCTGAACGCCCGGGATTTTGAAGAAGATTTATTTCGTCCTGCTATCAACGGGACACTGTCGGTTCTTCAAGCGGCACAAAGGAACAATCCCAGTGTCGCGCGTGTGGTCATCACCTCCTCATTTGCTGCTCACCTCGATCCAAGCAAAGGTTCTCGCCCAGGACACACTTATACCGATGCCGACTGGAATCCGGTCACTAGGAAAGACGCAGCCAGCGGCGATGGTGTCGTCGCCTACCTTGCTTCAAAGACTTTTGCCGAGCAAGCTGCGTGGGAGTATGTTACGAACGAAAAGGTAACAACCAGTTTTCCCTCCTGCTGTCCTGGATATTCACACTGAGACTTTTGCGAACTAGCCGGAATTCACAATCGCCACACTCTCTCCTCCTATGGTCTACGGTCCATTGATCCATAACGTCGAAAACATGGACAACTTAAACACTTCTGCTGGCGATATCTACCGCTTTATCAACGGCTCTCAGCAGGAGGTTCCCGAAACCAATTTCTGGGCTTTCGCAGATGTTCGTGATGGTAAGAGAGTTCTTACCCCTTGCTCAGTAATATTATGGCATTCTTTTTGCTAAGGACCGGCCGTTCTCAGTTGCCCTTGCTCACGTCCTCGCTTTCGAAAAGCCCCAAGCCGCGAACCAGCGGTATCTCATCTGCTCTTCGGCATACAGTTACCAACAGATCTGTGATGTGATACGGGAGAAGTTTCCCGAATTGCGGAGTCTGACTCCAGAAGGGAAGGCTGGAGAACCATTGCCTTCCGTCTACAAGTTGGACACTTCCAAGGCTGTCGAGCAACTGGGGATAACTTTCACGCCTCTCGAAAAGACCATCGTCGGCATGGTCAACAGCCTGTTAAAGCTACAGAAGAAGCTTAGCGTGGAGTAGATTGCTAGAACTCCCGCTCTAGAATTGTTGATGTTTCATATGACATTCGTTTTGTTGATCTGTCGAGTTCCATGTTGACGTTAGGAAATATGTGGCTGATGACTTACCCTCAGGCCTTTTCAACAAGGAAATTGTAGCTAAGCATCATGTTACTATGGCAATCTTGGAAGCCCTTTTTTGCAAGTCCTCCTTTTTGCACGTCATTGTCGATCTCCGCCAAATTCCATGCAGCTCCAGGTCGGAATGAGAAGCGATAGCATGACGAGTTCGGCCGCTAACCATATGCTCTAAACTTGAGAAGGTCGAAAATCCTGAGACTGCATGCCGAGGTCCGCTGAATGACAATCCAGCAAGCGTGGTCGGGTCACAACAGTGTCCTTCGTTTACGACATGACTTCTGCGGACATCGTTGATGGACTTTGCGGCGTGGGTCGAATTATACAAGGTTCCCCGGAATGGTGTGGAACGCAGAGTTCGGGGGCCCACTCGTTGTTGCAGATCTGCCCATAAAGCCGAGGCCTTGCTTTTTTTCTCTTTTGGACCAATTCGAAGCGAGCCGCCCCTTGTGATGAGAGACACTGGCTGACTCGTATCGAGACAACCTGGGATCCTATAAGTGGTTTGTTTCAACAACAAAGACGGCCGCAAGATCCCTTCATCGGTCTCCTTGTCCTTCGGCACCCTCCATAATTCAACCTGCATAGCATCTCGAAAATGGTATGAAGTCGTTGCGAAATTGAACACGTACAGTCCTGGGTCTGGAGACTGATTTCAGTTTGATCTCGAATATCTAGTCAACCTCACAAGCGAAAGTCGAATGCGAAAATCGATCATCTCTTCTGGTCGCCCTCAGAGCACTTGAAAGAGATCCTTCTGGCGAGGGGTTTTCACATCTCGGCACGGATGGTGTGTGGAGGAATTTCGGCAAGGACGGCAAGGTCTTCAGCTACAGAGCGTTGAGTCCGGAAGAGATCAAAGAGGTAGTCGGTCTCTTTGGGGGAGACACACGAAGCGACCTCGAATCCAAGCTCGACGGCGTTGACGGGCGGGATGTCAAGGATGCGGATCAACTGCTCCACCCCGGTGCAGAAATCGCGCCACCATCGCTCTTTGCGACGCCTATCAAACCCCCCTCCCCCGGGGGCGGGGCCAACGAGGCCAGGTGAAGAGCTCTCCAGGAGTGTGTGATGAGTTTAAAATGTACGTACGGAAGCGTCACATGAGATGGATCTTCTCGTTACTCAGTGTGGACCTGGATCCAGGTTCGCAGAGGACGGAATATGCCACTTCAACAAGGCTGCGACCGATTCAGCACCGGAGCATGATAAGATAGGTATTCGAGAATCCCACTCACACGTGGTATCCTTGACTTTGTTCCAGTGTGACGCGGATAATCAACTCGCGCAATCCTCGTAGCATTGGCTGCGGCGATATCCTTCCAATGTTTTGCTCCGTGTGCATCCATTTGCAGCCCAAAACAAGCATCTCAATGGACTCAAAAACAAGATTCGGCGCCTCTCTCTGTGGCATCCTCTCACGACTCGCGCTGAGATCCACACCTGGATCGGATGGGGTGATCCAGCGCCTCAGTGAGCAAAGGACGAGACAGTCTAGTGCTCCAACAGCATTCAAGTCATCGCCGGTTCTGGGAGATGTCCTCCATTGATCGATGGCTTATGGCTTACGCCCTACGTCCCATATCTCTTCTATGGCCGAGGACACCGTAGCCAAACCTGTTCCAAAACACACATATTGAGTCAAGTGTCATGTCTACGTTGAATAGTTCTTAGACGTGAAAAGCGGGTACCACAGATATAGGATCGTCGTCGTGATTCCACGTTCGAGATCGGGCGACACTCGTGACCCAGGAAGATGCTAAACAGCAAGGCGACGGCAAGGTCACCATGACACGTTTCGCGTGCAAACCAGCGGGCCAAAGCACATATGTTGAGGTTGTAGCCTCGATAGTTTTCATATTCAGATATTTCATAGTTGGCGTTCTCGGGGATGTACAGTCGACAGGATCCCAAGGATAGACGTAAGCAACATATGCCCTATCTTAAAGCATATAGAATGAGGAATCTCTGTCTCCCACCTTTCTGTGCAGGCTTGCAAGGTGTCCAAGATGGTTTGCTGCGGTGGAATTGATGACCCTGTGGCTAGAGGCATGTCGTTGCGGAGGAGATAGAGACATACCGTCAGCATTGCCGAGAAAAAGTCAAGCTTGAAGAAGCGACCGAGAAGATCCATACTTTCCCAGCTTTTCTCTTTATGCTCCCACAGGTTTTGGTGGTACACTAAGATAGCTAGGCCGCATTCCAACGACGACCAACAAGAGACTGGGTAGTCAACCGGGGCGCGAGGATGCAAGGCGTGTACACGGTGTATGCTAAGGAGGATCTGCCGGAAGAAGATATCTAGTGTAATAAATAGTGACGGCCTGCCGTGATAATAAATAGTGACGGCCTGCCGTGAATGGTGTCCAGCAAGGCCATCAGATGTCGTACCTGGTCGTCGTAGTGTTGAACTTCATCATAGGATGGCCTATTTGTTTCACTGTTAATCTTGGAGATGATGTGGCATATTGTTGGGTAGATTTCCAGTAATGTTATCCATGGATCGGTGGTCTCCTGGCTCAATGGAGATGATGCTTGTTTCATTCCAAGATCGTCAACTGATATGAGCGGCAGTCTCCCCGTTATCGTAGCAGCATGTATACAAAAGTATAATATTACAGACCACAGGATTTGTCCAGATTGCCATTCACGAATGGAATTAGTCGATTGATTTTCTGGGCTTGGCGGCCTGTTCAGATTAATGCTGATGGCGGTGCGTGTAACAAGACCAAGGAATGTCCAGCACGAGTCGAAACTGCGGCAAGTTGCGTTGGTAGTTTGTTTGGCAATAACCATAAGGCATAAAGTCCTTACGGTTGAGAGATCTGGCTGAACCATGAAGGGCGTCTTACTTAGACAGGCCTCAGCAGCCATGCAGAACTCAGACGTTGAATCTTGATCCCTGGACACAGCAAAACAGCCCAGTGCCAAAACCATCAAAAAGGTGGATAGCGAGGATATGCTAACCGATTCTCTGACATCCCAGAAGTTCTCTGCCATGCTGGAAAATTGCGGAATGTCGATTATGGGATAAATAGGCTGGTAGAGGCTTAAATAGCCATTTATATATGATTGACATTTTTCGTGATGGCTCTGCAGCAAGTGGTGCACTCGTTCAAGCGAGGTATATTTGGCAGCTGCTGGACTGTTGAATGGGAAATTGCTGGGGAGCACAGAATCGCCTGCGTTGGTCTGCTTCTTCTGGCGAATTACCTCTGAGATTTTGCTGCAGCCTGGAAAGTCCCTACTGCGAGCCTCCGATTTAAGCTGCAATTACCTTTAGCTGCTGCATTGTGTCCGTCGGACTAGTTGGGATAGATTGCTCACCGTCGATAAGATCTGTTCCCAGTGGGATGGACCACGGCGCTGGGAATGCCAAGCAGCGGCAACATAGTCGTCGGCTTCTTCCCCTTCATGGGAGTGCTCAATCGAAGGGAGAATGCCATTATTGACCCTGTGATTGTATGAACAGTCGCTACTCCAGCCAGCACCACGGCACCGTGAGCATGGTAGCTCCCTGTCGCACTTGACCTTTAGTCGGTAGCATCGGATGCAAGATAGATGAGCCCGACGCCTCTTCTTGACAACTCTGGGTGCCTTTGCCGCACTGAGATCACTGTCCCCCTCAGTGCACACTTGGTGCTTATCAGACAGATTCGGCAAGGAACATTCTGTACCAGATCGTGTCGTTGTTTCGCTGGTCGTCTCGGTGCCTGGCGACAGCTCATCACCCGAAGTTGCCGTTGGCAACAGATGACCATATGAGCAGCCGACGTTCGCCTCCCTGCATCGCTGACAGGCCGGTTTGGTTTTGTCACAGCGCAATTTTATCTGGCGACAACGGCTGCAGGTCTTGATCTCCCTCATATTTGGTATTTACGGCATGAGGCCAGTGTATCGGGCGATACAAGGTACAGCTTGAAATCGTGTTTTTGAACGAGACAGAACAGACGTTAAAACAGAGCGAGGCCCGCCAAGAATACAACACCGGCAGATTGCCGGGACACTTCATCAGTGCTCCGAACTACTTTTGCGCGGTGAGATTACACGTATAACAGAGGAATATGGCTTTTGTTCTGCAAAGACGAAGTTTTACTACCGCTGCTAAGCAAATCCATAGAGTGGTCAGTATGAAACCCTTTGGAGAAAGAGAGTGTGGACCAGCAAAGGAGAGATGCGGTCCCCCGTTCCGCCCGTGGGACTTGGATTTGAGGCGCTTATTGCATCGGGTCACGGACATTTAAAAAGATACTTTCGGCTCCCCTGACTTGTTGTCAATAAAGCTTCCCTAGATCTGTAGCAAAAAAGCGGCCGTTGGTTTCAACTTGTTCTATCGATCATTGCCCTTGTGCCCGAGAAACATCGCAGATCGCAGTTGGGCGTTGTAAACTAAAAACGCTCGGGGTCTGAATTGTCACAGTTCTCAGATGGGATGGATCTTCCGTGATGCCATTTCATTAGAGCCCAAGGAAGAAAACGGGTATCGTGACAGTAAAACGGATTGGTCAAAGATCATTGATCAGAGCATGATACCAGAGGCCGTCTTGCGCAGGCACCTTCCTTTCCGATATAGTCATGGACGGAAATCCGGTACCTCCCAGGTGCTCTCGACCCTGCGCGGTGCCAGGACGCGGGAGTATGACTTATCGGGAGAAGGACAACCTCACGAATCTCGCTGTACTGCCTCGAAGCACTGACTTGCAGCGGGCTTTGCAATACCATCCATTTCGAGCCAAGTTCCAAATACTTTTGCCTGTTTTCTACCGTTCAAGTCGTCGTCAGTGGTTTTATCTGGCTCCTCGTCCTCCTCATCTTCTCCGCCGAGGGTCAGCCAAGACCCAATAGCGAGATTAATGGCGGCAAAGCAGAAGTATACCGCCATCCTAACATCGTTGTCTCCAAGACCGACGGATGCCCTCACTGTCCGGGCAAATGTGAAGGTGGCAAGAATCCATGGACACTGAGTAAGTAGGAATATGAAGTTCTGCAGCATGGAATGTTAACAAATTTATTTATGTTGCTATGGATACTAGCACCACTTTCTCAGATGGAGTGAAAGGAAGAGTATGCATTTACGTACCAGGAGGATGAGCATGACGATCGATAGAAGTGCAATTGGAGAAGGTATCATGATTCTTAAATGTCAAAACGGTAAAGGGATTGGCTCATTTATGTCTCGTTGCCGTCTTTGCTCAACCGTGGGTATGGGAATGAACTTTGGAGAAACCAGGTAGGGGACATGTCAAGGTTAGGTATATATATCTCCCACATCGTGCTTCATGAAGACTTCTTGAATGCTGCAGCCTGCCAAATAATGCTCTCCTCCTCAGAGCCTTTTGCTCGGACGAAATCCACAAACCGGAGCCGAGTCAAGACGCATATCTGCCCAATACATTGCGTGGATATTGCTTGGCGATGAAGGGCTGTGCTGAGTTTGCAGGACCTGAAACTCGAGGCTCGAGACAGTTATTCGATGTATGTGCTGTTGATCGGAAATATTGACAAAGCGAGAGCGTGGAGGATGAGAGAAGTCGGTCATAAGCGGGCATTCAGAGAGGCACTCGTGATCGCTCTGGGTATGCTTCCACTTCTGGCCAACCAGGTGGAACCCAGCCTCGTGGGAGGAGAAAATGGCGTCCCTCGGCCGAGCTTAAAACCCGTTAACAACCGACTTAGCACGGGACCTCCGTTCTTCTGAAACAATTTTGGTTTGTCTCGTGAAATCAAGACGACAGCGTAATCTCATGCTCTGAGATATATTTTGGCCGCATGGAATTGCGGTAAGAGATTGGGTCATAAGTGACACGCGTTCCATAGGGTGGCGAAGTAAATGGCAGGACTTTAGCAAAATATGAGATGAAGAAGTACTCCCTGGCTGCACGCACATATATCCCCCATGTCCAGGCAAGTTTATATTTGGTATTCAGTTTCTATAAGCATCTTCGAAAATGATGGCTCAACTTTACGTTCTTGTTCTCATGGTACAGTGTTTTCCCGCAGCTCTTGCAAACTCGCACTCGAGCTGGATATCACCGCCATACAACTACTTTTTCCAATTTCCTCTGCCCATTCCTCCAAATATCAATGCCCTAACGTAGGTAACCATGTTCACTACCTTTTTAAAGGACCGTGCTAGAGTATCCTATCGGAAAATTGGCGAGCAAGCTAATTGTTCTGAATAGCTCGTTCACGGATCCCAACACAAACACGACTATCGACTTCTTTCAACTCAACGTCACTTCCTTCCAGGCACCGATATACCCAGACCTTGGGAAAGCTCACCTTGTGGGGTACAATGGAATTTCTCCGGGTCCGACATTTAGAATACATCGGGAGCGACAAAGTGTCGTGCGCGTTGTCAATCAAAATGGTACTATGCTCGTCAATGTCCCGATCCAAACTAACACTTCCGACAACCACAGCTCAACCGACTGTACTGCATCTTCACGGCTCGTATACCCGTGCCGTCTGGGATGGCTGGGCGGAGGATTTGATTCAGCCTGGGGAATATAAAGATTATTATTTCCCAAACTCGAATACCGCCAGAACCTTGTGGTACCACGGTACGTACATAACCGTATTGTTTCAAGACGAATTTTTGACATGAATAGATCATGCGGTTATGATCACTTCAGTAAATTTGTATGCTGGTCTTGCAGGTTTCTACATCATCGAAGATCCCGAACTGGAGGCTCGGCTCGGTCTTCCCCAGGGCAAATACGACGTGCCCCTTGCCATCGGTGCCAAGCAGTATACGTCCACCGGAGATCTCACCCAGGTAGCGGACGAAGTAGAGAGCGTATACGGTGACGTGGTTGAGGTAAATGGGCAACCATGGCCATTTCTATTCGTCGAGCCACGAAAATATCGGTTTAGGATATTGAACACAGCTCTCAGCCGAAGCTTCATTCTAGGGGTTTCGGACAGCGATTCTGGAGCAGCAGTGCCCTTCCAGATTGTGGCCTCTGACTCTGGATTCTTGAGCGCCCCAGTGACATCTACCGAATTAACTGTGGCCATGGCGGAACGATGGGAAGTGATCATTGACTTTTCAGATTACAAGAACCGGAACTTGACACTAACAAACCAACGAAACGTCTTCGACGCTCCTGATTATGCAGGAACAGATCGTGTGATGCAATTTAATGTCGGTTCTGTTGCCTCTTCCACTTCCAACAACGGCCCGACGCCTTCATCCTTGATCGCGATAAAAGTTCCATCCGCCACAGCTACGGTCGATCGGACGTTCAAATTCGATAAAGAGTTCGTTCACGTAACAAGCAAAATGGATCTGATTTACATTTTCTGACTGCTCCAAACAGGCATGACACTTGGGTAATAAATGGCGTTTCGTTTAACGACGTCAAGAATCGAGTTCTCGCAAATCCCTCGCGAGGCGGGACTGAGATGTGGCTCCTCGAGAACCAGAACGGCTTTTGGAGCCACCCGGTACGTTGCTTATATATAGGCCGTCCAGTTCGGACCATCTGTCTTTCTCTCTACTGACACTGAGAAAGATTCACATGCACATGGTCGATTTTCAGATTATCTCCCGGGAAAACGGCCGGAACATTGTCGAGCCTTACGAAAAGGTCGCGCTTAAGGATGTAGTACTCCTTGGTCCAAAGGAAAAAGTTACAGTCGCTGTCACATTTGCCCCGTTCGCTGGGTTGTATATGTTTCACTGCCATAATGCCATACACGAAGATCATGCGATGATGGATGCCTTCAATGTTACAGAAAGGCTAGGATTAGGTCACAGTGCATCTGACTCGAACTTTACGGATCCATTGGACGCCCGATGGAAGGCGAGGAACTCTACGAATGTCGACTCTCAATCAGCTTTGAAAGACACCCTGTTGCAATTTCTTGCTACCGGTGCGTATCAGAACTCATCGAACCAAGAGACTCAGGCACCGGTTCTAACATCACGGGGCGTATCTACTCGGCCTCAATGGTTGTCATTATTATTAGCTCCGTTTGCGGGCACTCTCATCTAGCCACCTAGGAAGTATCATACCAAGTATCTAACAAATCACTGCACTTTTTGAGCTAGGCAATTGAGTACACATTACAATATGCTATGCTGCACTTCCAGCTTTCTCAATTGAGAATCGAGGTTGTCACACTGATTATGGTTCAGAAAGGCGTGACCTTTGAAGAAAGTAAACACCGCGGAGGGGGTCGCACAGTGCAGGAATGTGCCGAGTCGCCTTTTACCGCCACAGCAAAGCGAGGTCGCCCTGAATCGGTTCAGGCCCCCCATTACTAATACTACATCGAGTAACACCACCGATGCAATCTACAGTACACTCGGTGAGCAGGAAAACATGTCGTCACGTCCTTTCAACCTCGACTTCTAGGTTTCTCTAAACAACAGTCATCTTGAGTCGTTTGTTTGCACTCAGTTCACAACGATTCCTGAACGAGCGAGCCACCATGTCTCCTCAATGGGCGGACCAACCCTACGGTCTTCTCTCGACCGAGCCATTCTCCAAAGACGTAGGTTTCCTATACCGCTTCTGAGCCCTGCGGCACACTCACCAAAGCTCCCAGTCTTCGAATGGTGCGTACTATACCGCAACACAAATGGCTCTAGCACACAACGGCATCCTCAGAGGGTTGAACTCGATCTACCTTCAGGCAATTCATATACCGACGGGGGACCTGGCCACGGTCAAGGACTTCCTGACATATTGTCAGTGCTGGTGTGAATCCATGCACCACCACCACGATGCCGAAGAGAATACTTTCTTCCCGAGTATCGAACGACTCACAGGTGTCCCTGGACTCATGGAGCGGAACAGGGAACAGCACAGGGCATTCACACCCGGCTTCGACCACTTCAATGAATACGTCCGCACGTGTCTTCCCAAAGACTACGATGGAAAGACTATCAAGACTCTTATCGAAGAGTTCGCGGGGCCGTTGACTCAACATCTTCATGACGAGGTAGAAACTCTGCGGGCGCTCGACAAATACGACGGCGAGCAAGTCCGACAGGCGTATCGGCGTCTGGAGAAGATCTTGATGGACACCGACAATGTGAGTAGGGGACTTAAATCCAATCTTCCTCCAGTGACGGAGGTAAAGATCATCCTTCTGCAGAGCCGGGTTCTAACTTTGTGCGACAGTATCGTATTGCGCCTTTGGTATTTGGGACCGCAGATCGCAGTTTTGAAGGTGGAAGACATGACTTTCCAGCCGTGCCGTTCTTTGTGCCATACATCATTCAGTACGTGTTTGCCAGGCGGAACCGGGGTGTCTGGCGCTTCAATCCGTGTACAATCTGGAGAGACCCGCGAGAATTAGCCTATACGGGCGCAAGGGCAGGTACTTGATCCAGTGGGTGCCATCCTGAGTAGGCCCATCCAATGCATCGGAATTCAAGTTCCAGACTTTGCAAATTCATACTCCATATCAGCTGCTCGGCAGAGAACTCAAACTCTATGAAGAGAGCCTCAGGAAATATCGGATGACGCCCTTGCAAATCTTGGAAACCCAACATGCAAGGGAGACACAGAGGCTGAATGTTTGCATTGCACACACAACGTAACATTAACGGAGTTGATTATGATAGCAGTATCGATGAAAATCAATCATGCATGTTCATCCATCCATAAGATGCCTCTGTGCTCTTGAGATTTGAGGCCCTTCTGAGGATTGCAAGTTTTCATTCGTCTTAGCCCGACGACGTCTTTTGACAACCAACGTGTCTTGGAGATTTTCCTGCAATCTGGACGCCTATCAGGTTATCGACCTCATTCCAGAGGGTTGTTACGGAGGCCGAGTCGAATGCGATAACTCTGCTTCCCACGTCTGAAACCGACGGAGGACGAAGTTTTGCACGGTTGATTCGAACCAATTCGCACCGTCGGGTTGATCCCAATCTGCAAATGCGAACGACTTCAAGAGGGGTTTCAGCTCCGCCCATGTGGATATACCGGCCAAGAGAGCTGCGTCTACCAGTTTGTTCTGGAACCAGCCTTCGCTGCTGGAATGTTCTTCGTTAGTCCGTTGCTCCCAGAAAGCTCCCATAAACAATATCCAGATGTGGGCGTCCCGATATTGACCAAGCTCACTTTCGGTATCAGTATCGCATTCGTGGATTTCAGTAATGATGCTTCGCAATTCCGCCATGATTGCCGGGGAATAATCTCGGAGGTCGTGTCCATTGATCTTGGTCCCGTAAGCCATACTTCGTAACTGGAAAACCAGAGTCAGTGCCAATGCCGCTTGTATCATTCTTTGAACCTGCGTAAAGACTTCGTGTAGGTACACATCGTCTCTTAAGTCGAAGTAAAGTCTCATGCTCGTACCCAAAGCCCAAACACTCTCTGTTCCCAGGAGCAAGAAGAAAAATTGTTTCTGTTCTTGGCTTCTTTCTTGCGCAATTTCGTGCACCTTTCCCTCCGCATATGCGTTCATGAGACGCGAGACGACAAAGGCCTGACGTAGCTCCTCGCAAAGAACCTGTTTGTGGAGGCCGTCGTGAACACCTCCAGGCAGCGTAGCCAGGCCAGGCTTAGCCCCAATCCACATTTTGTTGCACGAGCGAGCGAACCAGGTATATTCAAGAGATGGTCGATGCATGTATTTTGCGGCAGCATCAACATCATTCAAGCCGGCTTGAAACAACAGCGTGTAACTGACTGCCCCTTCCAGCACGCCCCTGACCAGCAGCCGGTTGAGCAAAGCACCATACACAGCCGATGATTGTTTCCCTCCGACTGTGGTGCACGCTCGGTGCAAAAAATATACGTGAATAATCGCTGCTGGAGGCAGCCTCGCCGCCGGAGACGCGGATATGTCTCTCAATAAATCTTTGACTAGTCGCGTACTCTCTACCATGAAGGTCTGCGCAAGCTGGATCGAGCGACGGTTATTAGACCAGGACATCATGGTGGTCATGTTACCAAGAAAGCTTGCAAGACACGCGAGCGCAATTCCTGTGTTGGAGAGCTGGGTCACTGCAAACTTCCAGGCGCCATTACCGACACCTGCTGTCGAGAGGCCTTTTGCGTCAATCTTCATCTGGAGCTTCTGGTTGTCGTACAACATGGGGAAGTAGCCATCTCTCATGAAAGTAAGTACTTGGTTCACTTCTGGAGTTATCTTGATTGGAAAAGTGAAGAAAGGGTCAGAATTACCCCTGTACATGAGATGGCTCTTTGATAGTGAGACTGTCGCGTCGACTCCGGCGGAAGAATCTGTGTTGGTTGTATCGTTTGGCTTCAAGGGGTCGTCACACTTTACACGGAGAGGCCTTATCGTTCTCTTCTGAGCGCGCGGATGTTTCCAGGCAACTTGGAGAGATATCATCTCATCCCTTCGCTCTTGCCGCCTCCTAGCGTGGGCCGCACGTGCTGCATGAGCTCTGTTCGCTGAATCAACGGCCTGATCTTTCCTGGCGGTTCCATGGCTCTGGGAGGGAACGAATCTCAACAGTGGCGGTGCCATTGTCCCGCTGGTTTTGGAAAGACAACCTCAATGTATTGTAGATAAATGAGCCTCGGCATCCTACCAATCTGCTAATCGGCGGTCTACAGAGGGTCGTCTTCTCAATCCTGAGGGAGCAAGTAGACGTAATCAGAAAGCATCATTGTGACGACCAACTACCAGCAACGACGGCAGACGCAGGTACCTAGGCAGGGCTGACGACTCAAGGCCGTACTGGGAGAGCTTTTACCCTTTGCTCTTCATTTGCATGTCCTACTCGTGCATAGTGCAGCTGTGTGTCATTGACAGAATGGTGGATCCACCGCAGGACCCAGACCCAGCGTACGTACGTTCCAGAGGCTCCCGAAGGCCGAGCTCTGACATGATTGGCTTAGAAATTCCCTTTCTGGGAGAAGTACGAGCCACTACGGCCGATGTCGACAAAAGCGATAGCTTACTACCGTAGTCGCCCTAGGACGGTATGAACCTTGTCTTGTGATTACCTAAGGAAGAGTAAACACCAGTATTATTCACGACAAGCTCAGAGATCAGTAATCTGTGCTTCGACGCCGGATGAGGCAGTCTACCTGAAGTGTGACAACACCACATCCTGCATGGCATCGTTGGAGGACCGCTCGTCATGGTGCAGATGCCTGATTCACTACGAGAAACTTCTATTTTGAAATCGTGAGCTGTGATTAATAACTTCATTCTTTCTACCACAAACAGATAAAACCCACGGCCAGCCCTCCGGAAAGCATCACTGCCTCCTAAGTACCAAATATTTGAAGACACACTTGCAAAGATTACCTTACAATCTCGCCCACGCTTGATTGAGAATGTCTACAAACACAGTCTACCTAATCACCGGCGCTGCTCGTGGTAAGTTGCCTTGAAGAAGGCGTGCTTGGAGATATGGCTTCTAAATAGTCCTCAGGCATAGGACGAGGTCTCACCGAGACATACCTAAGTCGGCCAAATCACACAGTGATTGCAGCAGTTCGAGACGTCGGGACTGCAAAGGCGAAAGAGCTGCTCGCGCTACCCGCCGGACAAGGAAGCAAAATCGTTCTTGTGAAGATTGAGAGCAGCTCCGAAACCGACCCAAAGGACGTTGCGGCCTCCCTGCCCACTGAACACGGCATCACCAAGATTGATGTGATAGTCGCCAACGCCGGAATCGCCAACTACTACGGCCCAGTGATCAGCACGCCGGTCGCAGAACTCCGGGACCATCTTCAAGTGAACACGATCGGGCCAATCATTCTCTTTCAGGCGCTGCTTCCATTGCTGAAAGCCTCCGCGGCGCCAAAATTCGTCGTCATCTCATCTATCATTGGCAGCATTGCCAGTTTGAAAGAGCTTCCCGTCCCGGCAGCAGCCTACGGAGTTTCCAAGGCTGCCGTCAACTACCTCGTCCGCAAGATCCATTTTGAACATCCAGAGGTGGTGGCCTTCCCGATCCATCCAGGGTTAGTCTCAAACTATATTGTGAGCTTCGTCGCTACGTACAGAAGCTGACATCAGCGGCAGATTGGTCCAAACCGATATGGGCAATGATGGTGCCAAGAAGTTCGGCTTTGAGGGAGCTCCAGTGACTGTTGCGGACAGTGTCGCCGCGGTCTCTTCCAAGGTAAGCAAAGGAAACCCTCCATCGCCGTCTGCCATGGAGACTGATTGTGTTTGTGCAGATCGATTCAGCTGATCGCGAGGTATCGGGCACTTTCGTGTCTTATGACGGAACGAACCCACCATGGTAGGAGGAGATGATTTGACCGTCGAAGATGGATAAGGAGAGGAAAAGCAACATTGCGCGACTTGCGCGGCATTCCACCGTGGCGGTGTTGTCCAGGCTATTTCAAGTTCGATGGCTTTGACTCAGATTCTCATACCTTGAATTGAATGCTTCACGAGCGGAATCTCGGCGACCGTCCGTCCAACTATGGTTGTAGCCGCGTGAAGAGAATGATTTGCCTAATAACTAGCAGCAAAAGAGCGACCTGCCGCTATATCTACGTGAGAGCACATAAGCCAATGTAGCACTTGGGAAAAAGTATTACCGAGCCCGGCGCAAGATCACAAACCCTCTGGCCCACGTGACCTCGCGCCGCTTTTGCTCAGGATGGCTCAAGTCCCGCTCAGCGTTGTCTCTTAGCAGCCACCTGATGCTGGCTAAACCTTCTGAAAACACTTCCGTACAGACTTAAAGCCCCTCCGCACATCTAGATGGCTTTACGAACAGAGACCTTCCAACTCGGTCGGGCTCACATTTCGACATTTCCTCCTGTCTGCCTAGTGCAGCCTTAATTCGAGCAATGGCTGGAAACCGAGGCTCTCTCGCACCTCTGAGTCAGCACAACGTGAAGCACGAGGCCTGACCAATCGGCCTTGGTGCTTAAGCACCAGCCCGGCCACTCTCCGTGGTTTCGTTTTCCCTTCGTGGCTCCCGCAGCAAGGTGTTGCCCAGTTGCTCGGCGTGCGCAGGAACATGTTGCAGTCTTTGCATCGCTGGTCTGCCATGGAGATGGCAGGTTTCACTTGCCGACTTATGCGGTGCTGTGCCAATGACACGAAGGGCGACTCATGATGAACGACGTCGCCTGTACACATGATTACAGTGGCGCATCAGTCCCTTGAGATCTCTCACTCCAATATAGAAAGCCAGGCTCACAAGAAGGAGATCAGAAATGACTGACCAACCCTACAAGGGAGCGTTGCAGTGGATCAATCTAGATGCGGATAACTTGGATCCTCTGGCACACAAACACAAAATTCTGAGTCATGTTCAGCAGCGATACCGGCCTTGGAGGCGGCGAGCTAGATCTGAAGCTCTCTTTGCCTCTATCAAGTCGACTCTATCTACAACGCGCATCGGAACCAGACAAGATGAAAAGGCTCAATCCCGAACGCCAATTAGAACGCCATTGCCCTCGAAGCTGATAGCCAAGGGTAACTCAGATCCGTTCGCAGCCTATCCCGTACGCATTGGCCCGGAAGAAAATGACTTGATGATCCTATATCGAGACTACATGATCCCTTCGCTATACTCCACAGAGTTGGGGCAGAAGCACCTGATCGACCTTGCTACTCAAGATTGGAAAGACGCTGTTGGGCTTCTTGAAGACAAGGGAGCCGCGTTTGGTGCCTTAGCGCGCTACGGTTCGATAGCAGGTAAATTCAACCCTAGATTGCAATACCTGGCATACAAATATCATGTCAAAAGCCTCGAGAATCTCAGAGCAAAAATCTCCCAAGGCCATGACTTACAGAACAGCGCGGACTGCATGCACGTCAGCATGCTCTTCGCAGCAGAAACCGTATCGGGGAATTTATCTGAGGCCGCCACCCATGGCAGAATTCTCCTGAAAATCCTGCAGAAGCAGTGGCGGGAGCAGAGGCACGACTACAAGCTGTTGATCTACCAACTCATAGTCGATTTTCATCTCAGCTCTATGTCTGTAAAGCGGATGATCTTCGACGATGAGGAATGGTTAGCAGAAATATCGCAACAAGTATCGGATGCGGCAGCACTATATGCTCCGGTGTATCCCAAGAAAGACTGGGATCCATGCATACCCGACGAATGGCTCCGCACTTCCTTCGAAGCCGAGCAACAGCGCTTCAACTTCATAGCCTCTCCGCCCAAGATCACCGACGCTACTTCGCATTTGGAGCTTGTTTTCCTGTCCCAAATGCTTCAAGCCGTGCTCTTTCACAGCCGCATGATCCATCACTACCTGAAGGTTGCAGAACAACTGAGAAACTCCAGGTTGAGTGATGCGAAAGCGGAGCAACTCACAACGCAGCAATACCTTGCACTTGCAGCAGCCCAACTGCGTCGACATGTCGGCATGACCCCGAAAATCTTTGGTGTTTACATCTATGACAGCAGTGCTCTGATCATGGCTCTGAAGCATGCTCTGCAAGCTAGTGACGCTGTCTCTCGACGGATGTCCTCCACAAAATATAGGAATGCGAAATTATGGGCATTATACGTGGGTGCCCTAGCAGAGACAGCTACTAGTTCAACCAACGAGTGTTCTTCGGAACATTGGTTCAACAAAATGCTCGCGGATACGGCTATCGCGATGAACATCCGCTCGTGGGACAAATTGCAGGCTGTCTTGGAAGGATTTCTATACTACGACCGACCATTCTACATAACGAGGCCTGCCTGTTTCGAACAAGGACATCTTGGATCATGAGTCAAGCAGTGGCCACCTCAATCAACACCTCGCCGCTTCTTATTCCTTTCCTTCAGGTTCAAAAACCAAAGAGTCTGAGTGAGAACAACAGCATAGGCGGGTGCCGGGGATGGGACTCTCTAGCCCAAATTATGGGCGCGAGTGATCTATTGCTCAGACCGACTGCCACCGTGCACAGTCACATGCAGGAGCATCCTAGAGTGAAGCAGCGAGGCTCTGGGCCACGCTCAGAACGAGAAATGGAAATTGCATGTCCTCGTATCGAGATTCCGAATCTCGAAATCTTTGTTCCTGGCTACTTCCCAATCTGATGCACAACCACACCGGATTCAAGTGCTGGGCTTGGACAGAATTAAGCACAACGATATTGGTCATTTAAATCGCGTGACAAATGGCATGTCGCCACGTTTGTTCTCCATGATAGTCCAAAAGATCATCTCCTCCAGTCCCAGGGCGCTCTTAAGCGCACAGCATCTGCTGTTTGTAGCCGAATTGTCATGGCAGAACCCCTGGAGCACTCCGCATTCGAGATTCGGCCCAAAAACCCACGGCTTCTTTATTGAGCACAAAATCTAACCACAGAAAAGAAGTCAGTTGTGTCTCCAACTGTTGCCATGACCCGATCCCAATGTCGGAAGCTACCCGACGGTATTGATCCTGGAACCATGAGCGGTCAACATCGCTGCCATCACTGATGCCGCCAAGAACCACTGCCCACAACAACAATTTGAGCTCGGTTGTGTCTCTCGCAAAGACATGCGTTTGACTTTCTTCAATGAGTAGAGCCTTGAGAGCCATCGCGAGTTGGGTCCCCACACCGCTGGATGGCGGGAGTGGAAACAAGACCATGTTGCTGTAGATTAAAAGGCAAAATCGGCATAACTTGTACAGGTACATGTCCGCTGGTGACATGCCTTCTGGATCCTGTGGGAGTGAGAGGAGCTTGTGTTGAATTCCTGTCCGGGCTTGAATGATGTTGGCAAAATCCGGAGCATCTCTCGCGCCACGATGGAAGTGTTCGAGCGCGAGGCTGATGTGTTTCATCAAGACAATGACGTCCATCATGGAAGGCCCAGACCGGAGAAAAGAGAGCTCCAATAGTGACTTTAGCCACTCTGATGGAAGTGCCATGGACAGCTTCAGGCGCAGATCTTTCGCGGCGTCGCCAGTATCATAGTGTCCCGAGAAAAATGCATGCCGGGACCGATCAATGGCAGGGAATTCTGGTTTCTCCCCAGCTATCGAGGCATGGATGATACACAAACTAGATTTCGTGGGTCAGCCTGGAAGATTTCGGCTCTGGATCCCCTTTGCCGTCGACACATGGAGGACTCACAGTTCACAGATCTCGGCTAGTCCAAAATCATGATAATCTTCCCAAGCCGCACCTTTAAGACGGATCAGTCGCCAGAGAGCAAGGTAGTGTGCAGAGACGAGTGGTTCATGTCCGATGATATGTAGAACCTGCGCCTTTGCGAGAGGGGATTGAAACCTGGAGTGTCGGGAGTTGGAATCGGCCTGCTTGAGGAAATGGTCTGGATCTGCAGCCGCCATCACGACCACGGCCCCGATCAATTCTTCCGACGGGAGACCCTGCATGTTGGCGAGCTCGGCGTTGACCAGGCACAACGTCGCCACTCGGTGTGTGAGGAGGAGTTCTTTGTGGGCCTGTGTGACTCCTCCTGGGCCAAGAAGCAGCCAATAGTTGCCCACCATCGCCATCGTGTATGCAAAGTAGGCAAGTTTCGAGCTGTACATTGCCTGGAGCTTCACACGATTGATGGGATTCAAAGTACTATCTCCTGGCTTCGGAGTCAATCCGTGCCAGAAATGGCGAAACCCTTCGTAGTTGGCCGTCAGCCTCATGATCCACAGACAGGACATCGAATGCGGTGAGAAGCGTGGTCGCCGAATGTAAACTTTCCGACGGCCAGTGTTCCCAAAGCAAAGAGGCATCACAAAAGCATACCATGATCGATCACCTCATGTACGATGGGTGCTATGGCCCCGATCCTAACCGGCAGTGTTATGAAGGGATCTCTCCGTCCTTGTCCAAGAATCGTCTTCAGACTATTTGGTAGTCGATCTTCGTCTAAAGAGCGTTCTTTCGCTGGATCTGACTTCTGTACCGCCTGTGCTGAGATTTGATCAACGACTTGGATACGAATCGGATAGTCCTGTCGGATGACAGCCTTGTCCGATCGTGCATTTCGATTAGATCGGGCCTGTCGGCTATGACGTGAGGATACCGGGCCTCGATCAGAAGACATGTGAAATAAGCCGAACGAGTCCTGGTGGTTGTTGCAGTCCACACGGGTAGATCTCGACGAGGAGGGCCACAGATCCATTCCCAGCGCGTGCTGAGGTAAGTCGCTTCCAGATTGTTAGACGAGCATCTCGATCATCGATCGTGGCGTGGAGGAATGCAGAGGCTTTATCAGGGCTTTCAAGGCGGCGGTCGACCACAAGAGCTCCAAAACAGACTCCAGTGCGAATCCAGTAATTAGTACACATCAGCCAGTGAAATTTGTGAAGTCAAAGTCCGCATCGGCCCCTGAGGTACAACCTAGCCTAGAATTCACAAGCTTTGCCGTGACGGACAACGAACTTGACTAATGGGCAAGCCACCATCAGCACAAGCCGTGTGAGTGTTGTCGCCGGATCGTCTCCAAGTCCCTGACCCCTTACCTAAGGGTGCGTTAGTCTCTAGCTTGCCAGTGGACCCTGCAGTTTGTGCACGAGATCGATACGTACGAGATCCATTTGATGACTTAGCACTGTGGTAGCAAAAGAATGATTCGTCAAAAAATTCCCATATCTGGAACGGAAGAAACCTTTTTCTTGAGCCGGGCGCGGGGGTTGCTGTTCGATCGTTCTATCCCACTTCCACACGTTCGGTCCACACCGTCAATCATCTCAGCAGTCGAACAGCGGCACCAACTAGACTAATCCGACATTTTTGATGTCTCAACTGGGGTGAGAAACGAAATTATCAATGAACAAGATAAAGGGTGGTGGTGTTCGTAGCCGACACCCAAACCCAACGGGAGAATCCCGACGACAGATGTTGGTGTAATTCTCACTGGCAAGACAGCAAGCCATGAGCCAGAACTAGTCTTCGTCTCCATCGAACCACAGCCTATCGCGTATCCATCCCCGTCAAATCCGGCCGACGATCAAGAAGCATATCGCACTCCAAAGGCTGGGAATGGCAAACCGGGCTAAACCGCTTCAGAACGACATAGCGCAACGTCTCGGTCGATTCAGACTCGAGAAAAGCTATCACAAGGCCCGGAGGATAAGGCCATTGGCGTCCAGTAAGTATCCAGGTGACTTCCTCCCCCGGCCTTTCCATGCTCACGGTTACGTGACAGAATCCAGCAATCACTCTACGGGGGCCCTGGAATCCGATGGTGCCTCCATTCTTTGGTCAGAAGGACAGTCACAGCCCAATCACTCTCTTCGTGATGCCTTAAGTACATACCGGCGAGATCACTTCACGACTCTCCCCGTACACGACGATGATTCGGTCCAGTCATTATTCGCATTTTGTGGGTATCCCAAAGCTATGGACTCCCTGGCCGTGCTAAAGAAACACAGATTTGAACGACCTGAACAACAAAACCGCTGCACAGAATCCGAATAGAGATTTCATTCCCATTGCACTAGGTAGCGCAGCGTGTTTCCATGTCCTCATGGCCACTGTATTGCAAGTACAGAGACTTCAGGGCCGGCCTGGAGGTGACTGCTTTTGGTACCACAGAGGAGGAGCAATCGCCGCGTTGAACAAGGATCTATCAGATTCAAAACCCCAAGTTACGGATGCAATGTTCTGTGCGGTAGGGATGCTGGCGTACATCGAGGTAGGTTCCGTGGTGACGGATCGGATGGATACCATGAGACACAGTTGACGAGTCCCTCCAGAGTCGAGTGCCTGACCTTCGAACCCATTCCGCAAGTATGCACATCGCTGCGCTGGACAGGTTTCTCGAGATGAGACACGGTATGCTCAGCGTAGAACTATACGGCATGCTTCTCAGATTGTCACTATGGTGAAACCGGCCCCGCGCTCGTGGCAGAATGAGAAGCTTTCAGCTGACTGAGCCCTTGCAGGTGCGACATCAATCCCCCTCTGACAGTTCCGCCTGTATCAAATCCAAAGGCGTCGGTTGATGCCACTTCAAACGTCAAACTACCTATCTTCTCTAGACATTCGGACCCCACCCTGTCCCCATCGGACGTGTTCGATGATATTCGCCGACTGGTGGCCTTGAGAGAAGAGTATGGATGCGATCCGTTACCGCATGGCAGGGACCGAGAGAGAAGTTTGGCATATCTTGAGCTCGTCTCCCACCGCTTGCACCGAACAGCAAGATCTCTACCGCACTCCCTGCTTGTTAGCACGGCAGAAACAATCGTGCTGCGGTGCATTCGCCTGGGCCAGATACTCTTTATGTACACCGTATCTCCGGCCATGTCAGTATCGGGAGTCTACAGCCGATCCATTGCTGACGCACTGCGGTTGTGCTTGGAGCAGACCAACCCAGAGAACGGCGATGCAGTGTACTGGTCACCGGAGGTGCTATGCTGGCTCCTTTTCAACGGGGCTATAACTAATCAAGCCAAGGTGACTCAGAAGTGGTATTTCAGTCGCCTGAGAGAATTCCTGCACTCTCAAAGCATCTCGCACTTTGACCAGGTGGAAGTCCTGCTGCGGAAGGTGTGCTGGTTAGAGGACCAATTCGGTGTAGCCTGTCGCACTCTGTACAGAGATCTGGTACTTGCAGTCGATGGCTAGGATCAATGTATCAATTTTATGACATTTGTCGCTCTTCAAAAACAGGGAGGGATGTTCGTGCGGAGCTGGATGCGAAATCGCTTTGGCTGTGTGAGTGTCCACCGATCTGTGCACAGTACTGGCAATTATCAGTCACAACACCAGTACCACTTGACTCGGATCTCTACGTCGCTGCTTCTCAAGGACTCCTTTCCACTTGAGCGCACTTAAGCGCTTTCTCGAACAAGCCACGTATCGGCGGAACCCAGGCCGACACGAGTTTGATATTTATGGCATGGCAGACAGCCTCGTTACCTCAAGGAAACTTGTAGTGTTTATTGAGGGTCATCGCCAAAGACGGAGCGTGGAATTCTGTAGCCAGGGGAACGAAGTACGAGTGGACATTGATCTGTTTCATTGTCGGAACCCCGGACGCCCATCGCCCTCCCATCCCATCTGACCTTGTCTAGACTGGAACTTAGCACACATTGCATATACGAAAGTTACTTAAGTCTTTGCAAAAACGTAGGCAGTGCCGGTCCAGTGGCAAGAAGGCCTTATCAGTGCTCCATAGCTATGTCTCAGACATGAAGTTTTCCCCGATCTCAAACGCGTAACGGTCCTCGTCTCCCACAAAGCTCCCATCCTGGAAATTCGTCCAATCCGCCGACCAGGGGAAAGTGGGATCTGGAAGAGATACTGATGAAGCCTCTTGATCATCTAAATATGGCCATGGTCCCTCAGGAGCCGCGGTCGATACTCCTGTGGCACCGAGCGCATGGCCATCCAAGATCTCATGGAGCAGTCCTTCTTGTGTCTGAACGGGAACTGGTTCTGATAATGTAACCTGGTTGCCAAACAGCGAGACAGTTGGTGCAGAGTCGGGGACTTCTTCCTGTTCATTCACAAGGTTCGTGACGCTGGTTCCATTTGCGCCACCAGCAGCATATGCAAAAGACGTCGATGGATTGACATTGTCGGTCCATTCACAGGAGCGTTTCAACAGGCGCCAAGTGGCGAGATGGCCCTCGCGGTAAGAAAAGTCCAGCGCCCGGCGGTACTGCCCTTCAGGATCATATTCGTCGATTTCAGCGCCAGAGTTTAAAAGTAACTGCACCATGTCGATGCGGCCGTGCTCAGCTGCGCCCTCCAGAGCCGTTCGCCCATCAGTTGGTGCGCGAGGGGCGTCAACTTGAGCACCAAGCTCGATAAGCAATCGCGCAACGTTGACATGGCCTCCGATGGCAGCAGCCTGCAGCGCCGTGACTCCACCGCTGCTTGCTCCTTCATTGTTTACACGAGCACCCGCTTCAATCAAGGCTCGGACTATCGACAGCAGCCCGGCACCCGCAGCTTCTTGGAGAGGTGTCCGAGCACGCTCATCTGTTAGTAAACACCAGTTGACATCGGCACCAGCAGCAACAAGCATCTTGACAAGCTCCTCGTTCCGGGTTGCGATGGCCGCGACCAATACAGTTTGCCTTGTACCATCGTCGTAAACTCTCGTCCCTACAACGAATGAGTTGGGATTAGCGCCATGCTGAAGTAACAAAGAGACAGCTGCAGTGTGCCCTAGAAACGACCGAACCGCCGTACCGAGAGGACTTTCACCGTCACGAATTTCATATCTTTCTTCAAAAGTAGAACAATCCCAGTTGCGCACAATAGCACGTCGACCATCACTTCTTCTGACAACCGCATTGACATCTATGCCTGCGTCTATGAGTTGCTTCATTAGAGTCAAGTCTCCGTGGGCAATTGTGTATTGTAAGGCTAGACCTCCAAAATGCTTGCGAAGGCCATGATAGCGTATTGAATGAGCAGTGAGCAGCGCCCCAGCGACATCTTGACCACGACGTGTTCGTACCGCTGCCAGCAATGCTTCCGGGTCGTCAGTCTCCGCACCAGCACGTAGCAGCCTGAACACCAAGCCCAAGTTTGCCTGTGATGCCGCAGCCTCTAGCGCTGTTGTGCTGTATGAAAGTCCGGAGAGGTCGTTCGCATTTGCACCCTTCGAAAGTAGAAGGTCGACGATTCCCGGTCTATTTTGCTTGATTGCGAGAACCAAAGGCGTATGCCACTTTTTAGGCCTGTCATTGTAATAATCAAAGTTTTCATCCACCCCTACGTGCCCTTCCGCAGCATTAACGTCACCGCCTGCGCTGATGAGGGACTGGATCAAATCATCAAAGCCATCTGCACTGCGAATTATTGCTGCCTGTATGGCAGAAGGGTGGTTACCACCAGTAACATCAGCTTTAGCTCCGTGCGACAGGAGCCACTCAACGGTTTGCCGGGAGCTTAAAAGCGTCGCAGTATTCAGTGGATTCGGATAAGTTCCCATGGATGCATTAATGTCAGCTCCAGCCTCCAATATCAATCCCAAACTTTCTCTATCATCGCTCCTCGCGGCAGCGCTCAAGGCTAGTGGTGATGCCGGTTGGCCCACTTTAGCCCCAGCTTCAAGGAGCCGCCGCACAATTCCAGTATGTCCTTCGTATGCAGCTGCCGAAAGTGCTGTAAATGACTCTGCGAGGGCCGGGTTGTCAAAGTTTTGCACGCCTGCATCGGCATGGATATCAGCTTGGTGCCTCAAAAGCAGCTCGACTTCAAGAATGTTTCCAGCGTAACTTGCAGCTTGAAGAGGTGTCCAGATTGGAGGTGATTGGTTCATGAGAGGTCTTTCAGGGTTGACATTCGCCCCTGAGTCAACCAGCAGCCTCAGTATGGATTTGTGTGAAGGCGAATCTGAGGAAGCAGCAACGAGAAGTGCACAATCCCCTGAAGGAAACTGTTCGTTTGGATTGACGCCTTTTCCAAGAAGGAACTTTACCAATGCTTCGTTTCCATTCCCTGCTGCGTAATAGAGAGTAAATCTTGTTATTCGGGCCCCTGCTTCGTGTAATAGCAGAAAAGTGTTTGTATCGCCAAGATCGGCTGCCCTCTCCAAAATTGATAACGGGGTTGGAAAGCAAAGAAGCTCACCGTCGTCGTCAAGCATAGAGGCCTCTATGCTTACTGGTTCTGCAGCTGCTTTCACCCCTGCTTGAAGTAGGTGATGGATCGTTTCTTGCCAGGACACGTCATTTGTATCCAGAGAGTAAGGAAGGGCTAGAGCGAGTATCTTAGCACATTGATGCCCGTCCAATCCCATAGAGACACCATTGTCGAGTAGCGCTTTTATGAGGCAAGGGTCGGGGGCCCTGTAGTCTCGAAAGGCGCATTCAAGCATACTTGCGCCTGTCCTTGATCGGTAAGATCCATCAACTTTTGCGCCATGATTCAGTAAAAGCTGAGCTGTTGCCCAAGCTCCGCATTCAACGGCTTTTTCTATGGGCCTCCCACCATCTTTTATGAAAGAATGTGTGCCATTGACGTCAGCACCTTCGGAGATCAGTACTTTGACAGCCTCTTTTTTGGCAAAGTTTGCGGCATATGCAAGTGGCGTCGTCAGAGCCCCTAGCCAGGAGACTACTTGCTCATTTGGATCGATACCTAGTCCAAGAAGCATGGACAGCATTTGCGTATCGCAAAGAATTGCATATTCAAAAAGTCTCTCCGTCACCCCTTCAGTGGCAGCACCTTTGTGAGAGACCAAATCTCTCAACAAAGACAATCGGCTCGGAGGCGGGACCAATTTTAGTAACAGGTCAATATCATAATTCGTCAATAGATTGTTAGACAGAGAAAAGGTTAATAACATCAGAAGCTGTATATTCGCATTGTGTATCGTGAGGCTGCAAAAGTCTTGACCCTGAGGTGTATCCAGGCTGGCAGTAATGGGCAGAAGAGCCGAGATCATGTTGATCTGCTGAGATGTATCAACGCCAGAGCAGAAAGGGAACAGAGATCGGAAAAAAGTTGAATATAGGTAGCTTGTCGACGCGAATGGCAGACTTTGGTTCGTCATTTGATCATGATGGCCTCCAGCGCTCGATGATTGATGTTGTGGATTGAGCAGAGCGTCGTACGCTAGAAGTAACATCAACACTCGATACAGGATATCTCCGAAACGTGACCTACATTGTGCCTCCAGTGAAGCGCTGAAGAGTGCCCATGGAAGCTGTTCAATAGGGGGTGCTAACAGCTGGCATGGCTGAGGTGTCAAGATAGAAACTCGATTTGGGAGTTCCGGCGAGTGAGCTATTCACTGTCAGTGTGTGAGAGATGTGAGATGGAAAAACACACGTTCTTGCTGGAACGTTGTCACAGCGCTGGTGTCGTTTCTTCTGGCCTTTTTCCTCAGTTTTTTCGGTGGAATGAGGATCCCGTCAATGTAGACATCACTGTCGACTCCCAAGCGCTTTCTCCTTTGGACATAACAGTCGATGTCTATCCAATCTCGGTGCTTGACCTTCTTGCGCAGACCCCAGTCATTGAAACGCATCTCGTATTGGCTTTTGCTGTGAAAATTCAGCAAAGTCAAGATGTGAGAGATCCAGAAGACAAACGTTGCCGAAAAGTGATGCTCAGCAAGCATGATAGCCTGCACCGTTTTGAGGCTTTTGCCCTCAGAGATATAGAGCCGTTCAATAATATTGCGTTTGGCCTCCCAGTCATCATGCTGTGGGCCACTAGGTGGCCGACCTCGACCCATTGTGCTGATGATCTCCGAAGGAATACTTTTGACTGCCGTCATGTTGCTCTAAAGGTCGTTCTGACAGTGGTTATAAGGCTGAGATTTATCGGAAAAGATTTCCTGGGATCCCTGAGCAACGATCCGAAATCTGCATATTGTGGAGTTTAGCGAGGCATTGACCCCGGCCTAGATGGCACGGATCACGAGCCAATGGCATCTGAATAATTGCGCATGTCGCGGCCCAAATGTTTCAGCTGATCATGCCCTAGTGAAATCTCTAATAGTGCGCGCCTACGCCATTGGCAGGGTGCGGACAATAGTTGGACCCCCTCGTTTGCCTTAGCAGTTTCACCAATGAAAGTTACCTAGCAGTGAGGCTTTGAGATTCATTCGACGAGATTACTGCAAGATAATCCCCAACCAACCTTTACGTGGCAATACATAATCGTGCCAGGAGGCGCATGGGGTATCTAGGAGCGCTGGTGCTCACCGGGTTCTTAGGAGCAATTTACGAATGCATTTAATTGTCGACCCAATTGTTCACCTTCAGAATCAGCCACATGACGTGATGGGGACCGACACTGGTGCATACTTTGCAGATTTGAATATGTGAACATTAGGCCCTCGGAGCCTGTCGAGAATGTCTTCGGCACCACCCAAGGCAGATCGACCTCGATGCAATGACAACACTCAAGACAAAGGCCAGGATATAGGCATATGACGAGATAACACACGTCTTGGTTGCTTTCTCATATGATTCTTACGTCAAAGGGAGTACAAGCGAGGGTGTCCAACTCAGGAACTGTTTCGAAAGAATAAAACTCTACGCCAGTCGCCGAGAGCCTAAGCTTTGCGTCTTGGAACGGCAACGTTTTACCATGCCACAGTAAACTTGAGTCTGAAAGTGAGCACCAAGACAAGAGCAAGTCAACCCACAGTGAGCTGTGTGTGCGATGGTGAACAAGTTTAACTACAGAGCGAAGCTATGAAATGTACATCCTTATGTACGCCTTGTACTCTAAGAATAGACTGTCTTGGACTATACCATAACACTGGTCCTTCAAGAGCTACATTGGAAGGGAATACTCTCTCGATTTCGAGCAAATGTTGTGCTAATGGGCTAATGCAGTGCTAACTAGTCAGTGTCGGGACGGTCCTTGCGTGCCGTCCACCAAACTCTTCCGAAGCCCTGGAATGGTGTGTTTCACCAATTATTTCGCGAGGTCAACATGATCCCTCAGCCCGACTGGTTGCATGGCCCGTTGTCATCTCGCTCAGTTTGTTATCTACCTTGTCGTCCAATTTGTCATTTACCCTGTCGTCTCGGCCTTCTGATCTTGCGGTGCGGTTGAGCCATCCGGGTCACTTTCCTGTTTTGTGCTTGGCGCACCTTCCCTGTTAAGGGATAGCGTAGTTACCATGGAACTCTTCTTGCGTTGCGTGCACTTGCATTCTTTACAACACCTCACGTACAGCAATACAACGCTTTACAAGACTCGCCTTTTCATTCCCGGCCCCATAGGCCTCACAGTGCGCTAGACACGGAAACTCTAAGCATATGGAATGATAATAACCTCCGCAGTGATGCCGCTTGCGCAGTGTTTTGGGATGTGCCGATAGGGTTTGCGGGTTGCTCAGATTTGGCAATCGCGCCTACCGCTCAGCGATTCCGGCTGACATTATCCATTCCGCCCTTTCCGCCCGCCAGGTTGTCTTCTGGTTTGTGACATCGGAAGGCAATCTCTTTCACCTCTGTTAACCTCGAACTCCAGTTTTCGCTTGCGAGTATATTGAATATTGCCCGACTTTTCTTATCAATGGAGCCGCTGCCCCGGCTTAGCTGTGAGCGCTGCAAGAGGCGGAAAATTCGATGCGATAAACAAAACCCATGCTCATCGTGCAAAAATTCTAATACACCTTGTGATTTTGTTCAACGTGCACGTCTACCTCGAGGGCGAAGCGCTAGGACTAAGAATAATATGATGGAAGAGCGTGTTGCTCGCCTCGAGAACTTGTTGAGCCAGGTCTGGCCCGCATCCAGAGCATGAGTGCTTCATATACCACGCTTACAATCTACTCAGGTTCAAAATCCGACTTACCAATGGTCAGGTGCTACTGATTCAATTGATACAGTGCAGTCACGATCTCCGACTCAGCGTATTGGTCGGACGCGCGAGTTTGTGGCGCCAGAATTTTGGGCGACTCTTGCAAAGGAGGTATCATAATTGGATCCACAGATTTTGTCGCAGAGACTTTGTGCTGATGAAACTGTCAGGTGGCAGGTCTTCGTGAAACATTTGACAACTCAGACGAAGAGGAACTCCAGTTAGAGCCAGCAGCCACTAGAAATGCATTTGCGTCCTCAACCAGTCAAGCACTTTTGTTCGGGTCGGCTTCATCTTGCTTCTGCGGATGCACTCCTGCTGCATGGCCAACAATGTCAGAGGAGAAACGGAATGTTCTCCTGTATTTGTATCGTCAAAGCGTGGACTGCTTGTACAAGATCCTCCACTGGCCAAGAGTGCTGGCGCAAATTGCGCGCTTACAGAGGGATGCGCGGGACGCGTATAAGCCTCCTCCCATCGGAGCGCTCGAGCTGTCGATATATTTCACCTCGCTGTGCAGTATCACAAACGAAGAAGCCAGGAATTTGGGTCTGGGCGACAGGGTGGTCCTGATAGAGCAGTATCGTAAAGCCACAGAAAAAGCTCTTTCAGAAGCAGGTTTGCTCGAACAACCCAATGTGACTGTGCTCCAGGCATTTGTGATATACCTGGTGGGATCTCCCAATTTCCTCCCTTACATGATGTGGATGTTGAGCTGACCTGAAAACCGAAGGTGGGTCATCGAACATTTTACAACTCAGCAACATGGTGGGCTCTGTTAGCAGTGGCCGTTAGAGCTGGCACTGCACTGCGTCTTGGGCAGGAGAACCAAGACGAAATTGACAGAGTGGAACTGGAACTTCGCCGCAGATTATGGTACTGCATTGCACTTATGGATACCCATGGGTCTTATGACAGGGGCACGCCTCCTATACTTCGTTGGGACGACTTAGGTCCAGCTCCTCTTCTTCTGAACGATGAAGAACTATCAGGGGCTGTCGTACCAATATCTTCATCGCCAGGTTTTAACGACATGTCCTTTTTTGCTTTGATGTTCCGGGCCATGTGTTGCCAGAAAAAGATCACAAGCATATCAGACAGCACAGAAGAGGGATGGGCTGCCAGGTTACAGCTGGTATCGTCATTTGAAATGTGCATAAGACAAGAATATCTCAACGTTAGGGAAGATGCACAGCCATTTGAGAGGTTTACTGAACAGGTGGCGAAGGGGATCATCGCTAATATTCATCTCGATCTTCGAAGGCCGCCCTACAAGCAGCATCCCGGACTCGTTCCTTCGTCAGATGACTTCAACGTGTTGGAACATTCGACACAACTTCTACAGCAGGAGTTTGTAATCAAATCGACAGAGTTCGCTCCATGGGCATGGAAGTCTTGGGTCCGATGGAATGCTCTGGCTATCGTACTGGTGGAGCTGTTGAGTCAACCTCCTGGGGAAAGTTATGACACAGCTTATTCGATTGCTGTTCAAAGCTACAATCACTATTCAAGTTTAATTGCTGACACCGAGAAGGGAATGCTCTGGAAACCCATCACAAAGCTCATGCGTCGACTTCAGCAACAGAAGCATTCCAATCACATATCAAAGCAGGCTTCGAACCTACCTAGTAGGACCCATGGTGACACGCCGATGTGTTCAACTACTTCGGATTTCTCCATGCCGAACCCTGGGTTGAATATTGATAGCCATGCCGGAAATATCTATAATCCCCACGGGGGTCAACCCATCGCGACAAGCGAAGATGCCCAAATCGACTGGTTTACATTCATAGATAGTTTCAGCATGGACTACTCGGCCGATTGGGAACATGGTTTCATTTAAAGCATATCTAGCCATTGGCAGTGACAGGACCAGGATACGTGAAAAACTATATCACTCAACGAAACCTGCTGTTTCGGGTGATATTCTCTTGATTCTCACCATCAACTCTCGCCAGAGTCTTTTTCGCACCTCGACGCCTTTTTCACTGCGCAAGAACTCAGACTCAGGCTTCGGTCGGCATTCTGACAGATAGCAGCCGTGCGTCTGCTTCCCAGCAAGCACCGCATGTACTAGCGTTCGGCTGCCCTGCTCCGCCGTCCTCCCCATTACAGCAAACATTACACGTTGTATCAGAGGTGGCGCCTGCTTGTGACGGTCCAGCTCACTCGCACACCACCCCGGGTTTACCCAGTTGACAACGACTTGCTCGTGCTTTGCTGGCCTCGGTGCCGCCGTCGCCAGGTGCAACGACACTGCGTGGATCAAAGTCTTGCTGAGCGAGTACCGTGGACCCATGTCCGCAGTTGCAGGATCACTCAACAAGTCAAACGTGTCGATTCCCTTGCCCTCTGGCGGCGGAGGCGCCATGCTCTCTGGTGGGCCGAAGATGTGCATCATGGAGCCAACGATCGTGAGTGTGGTGGTAACGCCATGTTTTGCCGACGTTTCGCGGAGCTTAGGGAGTACTCCGAGGTTGAGCAGCATGTTCGAAACCACGTTCACGGTGATTGTCGTCTCGATACCCTGGGCCAGCGTGAACTCCATCAGCCTCACTCCGGCGTTGGCAATCAGTGCGTCGAGGCGCGGAAGCGTCGTCCGGACGCGCTCAGCGAATGAGAGTACCGATCGATAGTCGGCGAGGTCAAGCTCCCAAACCTCGATTGCCGTTGTCTTACGATCCACAACAGAACGGGCAATGAGATCTTTGGCCATGTTGCCTTTCTGGAGGCTGCGACATCCGAGGATAAGTGTAGCGACATTAAGACGAGCTCTGTGGCGCCACGAGCACGAGTGGTTAACGAGTTTATCTCTCTTGGGACACACTCAAATAGGAGGAAAATTAGACATACAGGTGCTTCGCACATTCGAATCCAATTCCTGCGTTGGCGCCTGTTATTACGACAGTCTTGCCAGAGAAGTCTGCGCCTCTGGGGATATATGTCGATCCAAAAAGTTGTCCCCCTAGAAACTGTCTCTTGTCGCTGAAAGTAGCCATTACCAATGAAGTATGACAAGTATTGGTATCGTGCCTGTCGCTTAGGGACGCAGGAATGACATTGATATAAGAATGGAAGTTTTGCGCGGGATATGATATAATATTGTTACGCATTGTGAATTTACGGTCCGTCCAAAGACCTAAATCCTCTTCCCAGAAGCCGCAAAACCCGCATTGTGACCAGTGATTTTGGCGGAAAAGCAGCTGAAGTCTTCTTTCTCGGTGAGAGCTCCAAAACCCGCAAAACCCGTCCCTACGCGGATGGAAAATGCATCGCTGTCCCCACACCATGACGGTTCTCCGGTACTCGAGCAGGGTCGCCGACGAGGCTACTTTGGCCCACATTCAACGAGTTCACCAGTATTGTTCGTACGCAGAAACGGTTATTCTCGAAATCCTCTCTACCGGTCAATAAATCCTTTAATGTACTCTTCTAGCTCGAGGGCCGCCATCTTGTTCAAGAGTCTATAGAGTGATTATATCTGTCATGAGACGCCTTGATCTCGTCGAGAACGGCTACATCTAGCGACTCAGTGAGCAAAGGACAAGATAAGGAAGCGTACCACCTGGCATAACTAGAAGTACACTTCTGAGGAGGAGAGAAAGTACAAGGGGCGTTTCCCCTCCTGAATTTCATAGGGACAACTTCTTCGCTTTTTAAACGAAGAGTCATTATTACAGAGAACTGTTTAAGAGATTACATTGCATCGACTATTTCATCACAGGGCTATTTACGGTGAAGTTCCTGACAATATCCCTTAATCTTGAGTTAAAGAGCTAGGATTTATTTAATATAATTAGGAGAGACAATCACCTCTAAGTGAATTCAAAGAGCTTTAATTAGTATGGTAATATTATAGATATAGTAGTATATATATTGTAGTGAGTCGGGAGGTGTGTGTCCCTCTCTAGGGAGGTGGTTAGGATACAGTGGGCCCTGGGCCAAGCAAGCGTGCATCTAGGTCAAGGGGCCCAGGCAAGTGTTTCTTTTCATCTTTTTTCTTCATGCAAGAGGCGCACAGAGAATAGGCATGAGTAGCCATGAACACGAGCAAACAAGTACACGCACGCAAGTAGCACGTACGCATTGAATCGATTGAGAACAAGCAACTACAGAGTGCACACAGAAAGGTGTGCATAGTCAACGTACTTCAGGTGCAGCGCGCGCTTCGGCGCACCGTCAAGCGTGGCCTGGAGCAGACAATCAAGCGTTGCGAAGAAAGAAGGAGTGTTCCACGAGCGTCTCTCAGTTCCCGACTCATGTTGCAAGATTGACTACAGCCCTGAGCACCTGGTACTTCCCCCTCTACTCCTGTTATAATATCGATACACTAAAGTCGAGATATTTTACAACAAGACTCATCTTTAAACTCTAAAGCGTATATCGATCTCTATATTATAGTGGGTTAGGCTGTGTGCGCCTCTCCTTGGGGGAGGTAGTCTCTGTCATGACGGGCCTAGAGTTAAGCAAGTGGTGGAAAGCTAAGTTGAAAAGGTCTAGACATTATTTTTCTTTTCATTATGTATACATGTGCACAGTCTCGTGTGTATAGTCAGTATCGAAGTCCTCGAGTCACATACAGGGCGGTTCAATGAGATAGCCAATTCCAGTCCAGTTTTCAGTATTCTCTACAGATTTTCAGCTCAGCGCGCATCAAATTGCATAGCACTGAGTGCCCTAGACGTGTAGGCAAGGTGTCTCGGAGGAGTCTTGCATCTCGCGTGGCCCCTTGACCAACAGCATGTCCTGAGAGACGTTCCACAAGGTTGACGAAGTAAAGAGAGCGCTGCGAGAAAAGAAGGATACTATGTGCATGATTCTCTACTCCTGCCTCATGACGCCAGATTGATCACAGGCTTGTAAGCCTGGTGCTTCCCAATCTACTTCTGTTATAATATAGGTTGAAAGAAGAGATTCACTCGCAGGATATTATTTCTTTTCTTTTTTTTTTGCAACGCTCGCTTATCTCACAATCCTGGTGCAATATCTCTCAAGATATACTGATGATCGAGAGTAGCGCAGGATTCAGGGCTTCTTCAGATTATCTTGTCTATACGCCAAGGGCACGCTACACTGTACAACATGGTGCGTGTTAAACCTTGAGAATTTTAAAGAATACTAAAAAACTTTACTAAACTTAACTGTCTTATTAAATCGCTTTATATATACTAGAGAATCTCAATACTAATTATACACTATCGACTATTAAAGCCTTGAACCTTAACCATTCGCCCATTATTTCAAGCCTCTAGCGCAGTATAATTGTCACGGTCTCCGGGCAGATAGGAAGAAAGATATCGACCAGGCAGTGTATTTTCTACATATAACTATTGGGTTGGTCTCTCTTGCAGCGCGCTTTGGCGGCTACGCATTGTGGGCATGGCGTCTGGGGTCCGCATCGGATGTGATACAGGCGACAGCGTTCGCAAGCGAAACTCAACTTCCTACGCCGCGTGCCAGACGAAGGCTGCTGAGAGGAGACATTACCATGCGCATCGGACCGAGCTGGCGCGAATGTATAGAACATTTTGTGTATGCTCTTGTCCCTAGAAAGCTTGATTGTGCGTTTCAGACGAGTTTCCACGCGCTGTATGCCACGGACTATGGCTGACCTGGCCACAGTGATGCAGCGCTCACTTGACTCAAGGTGCCACCCAGGCTGAGGTCTGTAAAGTCGATGTGGTTGGTGTTCAGGGACAGGAATTTGTCGCGACTACAAGCTGTGCTCTCGTTCTCCCTCTCATGTAGACGTTAAGTTCGTGGTTTCCACAGCGTAGAATCGGTCGTCCATTCTTTTAGCTAGTCACTTCGCTGCTCGCACACCCAAACGCTAAGCGCCGCCTAATAGCCAGTTTTCTCGTCAATTTGGCCCTGGATCCACGGGCAAACACGGCGACCGAACCTCGAGGCTAGATGACAAATAGTGGCACGTAGGTGTAGCGATTTGTCAGACATCCGGCATAACGCCGCTTCTTCCAGCTATGGTTGGGCTGTTGACACAAGCCTTGTCGTCTGCGCGTTATTCGCAGGTGGACAAGGGTATATCGATTCGCATCATTACTGAAACGCGGTAACCATAGGCGATTGGGCGAAAGTTGTCTTTCGACCTCTAGACTGTACATATATAGTTTTTGAGCATATAGCGCGGACAGCCGAGTCGTTTCCCTTTCGACCTCACACCTCTCGACCGTCAAGATTCGCGACCAAAAGTAACCACTGACGACTCGGTTCACCGCAGTGAACTTTTTGTTACCCCTCTCTAATCTCTCTGCAACCAAAGCCCAAGCAATCCCTATGGCGAACAAAGCTGTCTGGCTCCAAGGGCCTGGCAAAGAGCCACAGGTTATATCGGCACCTCTGCCGAAGCCTGGATCTGGTGAACTACTTCTGAAAGTAAGCTTTCACTGTCTATCCTGTTAGGAGTCACCTGACCAGTCGGCGTACTTTCCCTTTCGGGAACATGTCTGACTGAGTCTTCTTGGTCAGGTCCTCCATCACTCTCTTTGTTGCTAGTCAGAGATAGCCCACCCCAACAATAAAGCCATTTCGGCATAACTTGAGTCATTGTGATTCGCTTCTTGGCCATTGCGGCCTTCTATGTCTCCCTCGATCCTCACATATCCCTTGTCTTTTTCTTAAGGCTAAAAAATCAACCAGGTCAAAGGCATAGCCGTTCAACCCGGCGAGTGGAAAATCCAGGCAGGGCTCATCCCAGTTCCTCTGTCGTATCCAACCATCATCGGACGTAAGTTACTGTGCTACATATCTCTAAGGCTATAATTCTAATCGACTCGCCTTCTTTAGTCTCGTGTTCAGGCGTTGTGGAAAAGGTCGGTCCCGGGGTTACTAGATTTGCTCCTGGAGACCGCGTCGCAACCAACACCACCGGCGTATTGAGAAATGACTCTCGTTTTGGTGCCTACCAACGATTCGCTCTTACACCGCAAGCCCTGACATCTAAGGTAAATAATCAATTCAAGAGACCCTTAATACTAGACAGCCAAGAACACTCTACTGATCAGACGGCACTTTCAACAGATTGGCGAAACTCCCTTCGACGTAGCGGCTTCTTTATCCACGACATATTCGTCAATGAGCGCGCTCTTCATCCATCTTAACTTGGAAAGACCGCTCAGTATAGGTCGAGCTGTGCCTAAGGGGGAAAAGGTTCTAATCTGGGGCATTTCCTCCTCATTTGGTGCCATTGCAGCTCAACTCGCCCAACAGGCTGGCTACGAGATCATTGGCGTGGCCGCCGGGCGTCACTCCGAATTAGCCAAGTCATTGGGCTTAGATCGCTTCATCGACCGCAACTCGTCAACCGTTGTGCAGGATCTAACCTCTCTTGGGCCCTACAAGGGAGTTTTCGCAGCACAAGATTCAGCTGAAGATCAAATCAAGATGGGTCAAGTCCTTGCTGCTCATGGCGGAGGTCGCATTCTATCTGCCGCAGGTATCCAGCCTGGCGTGGAGTTACCAGCCGGTGTCTCGGGATTCTTCCACCAGTATTTAGACGACTTCCTAGACCCTAAGAACAAAGAATTCGTTGAATGGGTCTGGTGGGACTATCTTGAAGCCGCTTTCGCCGATGGGCGACTCAGATCGGTTCCGCTGGAGGTCAAAGAGGGTCTGTCATACACCTCCGAAGCCTGGGACCTTCTCCGCCACCACAAAGTCGGGGGCAAGAGGATTATCATTGTACCAGAGTCGGAATGAGTTCAGGCCGAGAGAGCAGTGTCCCAGGGGGGACATTGCCAATTCCGAGCATAACTATCGAGGTAGGAATGACAATAGCTTGTAAAGTCTGTAAATCGCAGAACTCCAAGTCCCTACTTCGTACAGCGTTTTGTGGCCTCTATCATCGACCCTATTACGCAGCGGCTTCCAGGACCTAACACGGGGGCATTGATGAATCTGATGACCAGAACCCGACCAGATATCGTCTCTAGGCTGGCACCTTAGGAGGATTCTTGGTTAGCCCTCAATCGCATCAATGAGAGATGCTCTAACGCGTCGTTCGGTACCTCCACAGCACCCTCGCACTTCAGAGGAACTATTACCAAGGAACATCCCACATTCACTGATACCGACTTCGGCAGCACAGTGGCCATCAAGGGAGTCGAAAAAACAAACCCATCCGAATGCCCAAGGTTATGAAAATTCTCCAGTAGCTCAAATTGCGCCATCGTGCGCAGATAATGATGGTACAAGAGAAGGAGAGAGAAAGAGAAAAAGAGAAGATGAGAAAATCAGCATAATCCAAAAGCATGATTGAAACGTCACTGGATCGTCTTGTACTTCGTCACGTTCATTTTTTTGGTTGGATCCAGAGCTAGAAGTCACTGTTTTGCGTTCCCACCAGGTTGCTGTCGGACCTCTATTACAGCCTTATAGTTCCTAGTGGCTCCCGGTTGACTTCACAAGAGAACAAGAACGCGTCGCTGAAGTACTGTAGGTTAAGCATTGAGCTAGAAAATTGTCTGCGTTGTATCAATGTCTTTTTCACTTACAAGACAACAATTTATTCACGAAGTCCCATCCAGGCTGGTACCTCTAGACTTGACGTTTTCCGGCCCGAAAGGATTCCCCAGCAATTTCTCACCGTCTCCCACTCTCTCACTTATTTCCACCTTGCTTAATTGGCCATCAGCGACCTTGAATCACGAATTCTTTGGTCCTACCGCACAAACTCCATGGCTCTGTCCGCCGTCTTTTCCCTGCACTTCCGCCGTGATGATCCACCGTATTTTATGCGTTCAGTTGTTGATTCTGTGTCGGGATGAATGGATCGTATTTGTGGTTGAGCGCTACTGAACAGTGCCCATACGCTTCGCAGATGTTCTTGAGGAGCTTCTTCTTCGTCTTTTTCTTCTTCTCTTTGATTCAAGGGATTCACAAAACCCGCCGACTGCCCGTTGCTGTCCGGCCCCAAGTTCGTAGCAATAAGTAGGGAAAATTAGGAAGGCGAAACTTTCCTTCGATTGACAATGCAATACTTTACAGTAATATATCTTTTATCATAGATACCTGAATGCCACACCTCTGTATCGTCCCTTGAACACCCAAGATAGTTTCACTTGCTAAGGAGCGGACGATAAATTGAGATCAGTCCGACAAAACCTTCGCCTGACTGCGTGTCCCCTCAGTAGGATTACCGTGAAACATTGGATGGACAGCGAGCTCTAGAGAATTGACGATTGTAGATCATTGGATCATTCTGCAAGGTTATGCAAGGCTGACGACCAACTACTGTACAGTGTACTCTGCGGTCTACTCCTTACTCCTGGGCGTCCAGGAGTAAGAGTGGGAATAATAGGGAGTGTACTGGTGCCAGCACTGAGCCTGGCTCGTAAGAAGATTGGCCAGGTGTTGAGGTCGTCTCTCTGGTTGTACTTCCTCTCGACGCTACTCATCACCGACACTTGGATACGTCTGTTACTCGTCTTGCTCACCGCTTTCCTTCTTCGCCTCTGCCAGAAGCTCTCTTTCCATCCGACTTGGTCCTTGGCTCTGCCTCCAGTATGGTGTCTCTCTTGACATCTCCGAAGCGCGAGTCGTCACTTTCATTGTACAACGTACGTCGATCTATCCCCTAAAGTTCCCTGCTCTTTCGAACAGCACGGAGTTACGTACACGGAGATGGTGATGCAAAATCTTCTCAGGAAGAGCCTCGCCGTCATCACACTGTGGGGATGACCTTACAGGAGTTGCAGGAATGAACAAGCACTCACTAGCCAGTAGAGAGTATGGGATGATGTGCCTGAAGATTGACAACCAGCGGGGGGTGATCATGCACGGTCTCAGTGGACCTCCGCTGAGACAAGGTGATTATCAACACCAACATCCCAAGTACTCGTGTAGTCTACATAAGCCTTCCTCAGGCTTTCACATGGTCACGATGTAATGATAAAAGTGAGTTCCAGCTGCGACCACATAGTCTTGTCGAATTCTTAAAGTTTGACATGCACACTGTAGACCCATGTGCCAAAGGGCAGGAACTTGCGTTGTACAGCTGACCATGCATTTGAGTTGAAATGAATTAAATCTCCCCCAACGTAGATTATAGCCTCTTTTACATTGTGGTCCTTCCGTCGACGACCACTAAAATGATATGTTGAGTTCCTTTCTTCTGGGGGTGTTATATATATTCATGATCGGCCTATGTGTATATCTCTCTCTTCGCCCTCTTTCATCAGGCCACCTCATATCATTCTGCGATAGTCTTTCTACAACATGGCTCAGTTCTTCGGCAACCTACACGGTCCACCCTCTGGCTTGTCATTGTTGTTGACGTCACTTGCGGGTTGCTGGGTGCGAGCATCACTTCGACGGCGGCCGCCAAGGCCGGGGCAGCCACCGCCTCTTCCTTTGGTTTCCCACTGGCATTTCCTCCTAGTCAGGCACCAAAGTTAACCCGGCTAATGTGCTTCCAGAAGCTCTTGCCTTGGGCAGTGGCAAGCTCAAGCTCCTTTGTGGTTGGCTGGCGGCTGCCGTCACCAGAGGTAAAGGTGCCTGCGCCCCAAGGAGAGCCGCCGCGAACCTCATCCAGGTTGCTCAGAAGCTGAAAGGTCGTCGCGTATCCGAGCGGAACGTAAATCAAACCCAGGTGTATCCAGGATGATAGAGCGTTCATACATGTGGCTTCTTGGCCGCCGCCGGGGGTTGCGGTGCTGACGAAAAGCCCAAAGTACTTGCCGTGAAGAGCGCCGGAAATCCATAGCTGGCCGAGCCCGTCGATGAAGGTTTTCCACTGGGCGGAGTAGTTGCCGAAGCGGGTGGGGATGCCGAATAGAAAGGCATCATAGGTCTTGAGGATATCCGGGGTGATGAAGGGGATCGAAGCGTCTTGAGTAGGTGCATGCATCTTGGTTAGAACTTCTCGAGGGAGAGTCTCTTCAATTCTGTAAATTGAAAAGGAAACAAGTCAAAAGTTAGTCATTTTGTCTGTTCCCAAAGACGTAAACTGAACATATCGCAAAGCTGTCGCAAGAGAGACGTCTGCGAGCGACTATTAGAAGAGGGAGCGATTTAGGCATACTGGTAAAGGTCGACGGTGCCTCCTGATGCTTCAATGCCCTTCTTCTCTGCCTGGGCCAGCTTGCCGAGATGGCCGTACATAGAATACTAGTGTTACCCAGTTAGTCGAAGTGGTTTAGAAGACAAGGCTAGCGCTGCTGTCGCGGAGGAACAGCTTACGTAGATAATGGCAACCTTGGGAGCCATGGCGAGTGCAAGGTGTCGAGATGGCGGTAACAGTGACCACAAAGTGTTTACGATGAGCTTGACGGTAAGTGAATGAGAGAGGACGAGTATGATCGGCAGAGAAAGCGGAAATGCTTAGATTCAGATGCGGACGCGGATATATTAAAAATTGAAGAATGCTCTACAAGGGGCTTTCATGGTCAGCTGCACACTACCTATCCACCTTACTATATAATACTGTTATAAATTGCATTAGTGCGAGCCTTAGTACAATTAGAAGAAGTCTTTTTACTACTCGTGACGTCTAACCCGCCTACTGTATCCTGTCTTTGGAATCCGTACCTCGAATTATGGTGTTATATCCTCGCTACGGAACCCACGTATAATGCAGCCACAGAAGGTGCCCCACTCGGGGAAATAAGTGTGATACCTAGTTTAGTATCTCCGGTACCTAATCCGGCGTAACTATAACGCTATTAGTTCATGACTTAAATTCAGGTCGCAGTTACGGCGAAGTTTCTGTAAGCACTAATACTCTTATTATTTACACTGAGTAAAGGTTTTAACGTAAATTGGCTTTAAACCCTCGTTAGAATAGCTACGATAAGGACGTTGCAAATACCGCGGATCCCTGTCGGGTCTGATTAGTAGGCGAAGAGCGATAGCAACGTCCGCGCAGCTTATGAAATCCTGACAGAGAATCGACAAATCATTAAAATTGCCTAATCGCCACAGACAGCGGCTTACTGTGTGCAAAATTGAGTCGAGTCCTGGGTAATGTCGATATACTCTGACTGATCTTACCGGGACCAGCATTTTAGCCTCGCTATTAAGAAAGTAGAAGCCAACAGAAACCCTCATGACAACGTGCCATGTCGTGAATATTGCTTTAGTATATATCGATTCACTCTCACTCAAAATCAAAGGCAATCAAAAATTTGGAGTCGACTATATCGGAGAGACACCAGTCTAATGGGATAATATACTCGGCATTATTAAATAGCACTTCTTGAAGGAAGTAGAGAAAGATATCTTCCCTCTTGAAGGATCCATAAAGTCTGTCCAACTGGCTTTCGACGTAAGTAAGACTGATAAGACCTTTAGCACCAAATTCAAGAGCTTCGGAGACAAAATTGTCGATATTGCAGGCTATTTTGCTGCGCTGGAGGCTTGAAATGATGGGCGAACGGTCAAGGTTCAAGGCTCTTGTTGTGCAACACTCAGTTCTAGGCGATGTCGAGGGGCTAAATGGGATGTATTGACGAGTCTGACCTCCAGGACTAGGAGGTCGCTGTTCTATCTATTTATATGGCAAAGGAGTGAAAATTCTCTCGTTCTGGTGGAGAGGCTTTTCTCCCGGGCATCGGCGGCGACCGATGAGTTCCTCGTCGGGGGCCGGCGTCCTTATATCGGGAAGGTCCGGTTCCTCCAGCCTGAGGACTATAATATAGCGAAAAAGTGACTAAAGTGAGTGAATTTATGATGTTACAAGGTTTACAAAAGAAGTGTTCTAGGCGGCGGAGTTCCGTGAAGGCGTTCGGCGCAAGTATAGAGATTGTAATAACCCCGTCACAACTTAGCCTTATTTAACACATCCCCTTAGGAAATAATGCCGTCATCATTAGTGTAAAAACATTAGAATAGCATTTCCTGGATATTAGTGAGGTTGAGTTGCTTGATGAAAGCCTCATGTTTTTACCTCGATAAGGTCTTTGTGAGGTCATCAGTAATTATATTATTTGTTGGCGTCTAATCGAGATTAATTTATCTTTATTGAATCTCTTATCTGAGCTAATGCCAATAAATATTAACATGATAGAGTCTTATAAATAGCTTTTCATTCTTAGTTAGTAGTCAAATAGTCTATAAGTTATTAAAGAGAAGTGGTGAAGTCTTCTTCAGGTCTAGGTTGATATTAGTAAATATTCTTCTTCACTAGATTATTTCGCTCGCCACATTAGATAGAGCAAGAAGTTCTGTCTTAATGGAGAATGTTGTGACTATCTTTTGCTTCCTTGATCTTTAGTTAATAAGCCCTTTAAATAGTGTTAAAATATATCTATTGAAGCTTCTTCTAGTCTTAGAATTATCAGCGAAGAAGGCGTTCAATATACAGAGAAAGTATTAGTTAGATTAATTATTATATATAAGAGAGAAGTGTTTTATATAGTAGAGATATATAATCACTCTATTCGCGGCCTTAGTGTATACACTTAATAAGTTAACTAGGAATTATACTAGTTTAGAGTGAGTAAAGATAATGTTTAGTCTAGTTATATAGAAGATAATATAACAGAAGTAAAGGGGGAAGCATTAGGTGCACAGGGCTATAGTCAATCTTGTAACATGAGTCAGAAACTAAGAGACGCTCGTGGAACACTTCTTCTTTCTTTCGCAGCACTTGATTATTTACTCCAGATCACACTTGACAGTGCGCCAAAGCGCGCGCTGTATCTAGAGTCTGTAGAGAACACTATAAACTTGGTTGAGACTTCGCTGTCGCCGCGTATCACTCTGTACACAGTCTTTATTCTCAATCGATTCTATATGTATATATTATATATATATATATACTTGCTTACTGATATTCATGGCTATTTATATCTATTCTCTGTCTGGTCTATATATCTGCCTCAAGAAAAAAGAGAAAAAGAAACACTTATCTAGGCTCCTTAATCTAGATATATATTTACTTGGCTTAGGGCTCACTATATTCTAGTTATCTCTCTAGAGAGGGATATATATCTCTTAACTCACTATATCTCTCTTCTCTTTAGAAACTTATCGACCTTGATAATCAGAAACTCTCACTTCAGAATATAAGATAAGCTCTTTAGCGTGATCTATCACGACTTTATGTCTTTTGCTAAATGATTAACTAAACCCTTTATATAGTTTATCCTTGCGCGATAACAATAATTCACTTTTACTAAAGCTTTGTCTTTAAATATAAATATCAAAAAGTTCTTAACTATTAAAATCTCTAAGTCTTTAACTGTTCACTCTAGAATTAATATATATTGCAGAGTTTACTATTATAGTTATCTATTAAAGATCTTAATAAGGCGTTATAAATAGATAAGAGCTTTACTGTTATCGTTAAAAAGGTTCGAGAAAGTTAATATTAGAAGCTTAGTGACGTGCGAAAAGATTATAATTAAGGTCTACTAATTATCTTTAATATTATATAGTATAATCACTATTTATATTTAAGTATTATAAAGATTATCGAATCTCAAGAGCAAGATATCGCTCTTCTTTTCTTGAAAGGCCTTCTAGGTTTTAAGCGAAACAAGAATATAGCTTAATATATTAGGATTAAAGCTTATAAGAATATCGATATATATAAAATTAATTATTAGTATATCTTGTTTATATATCTTGATAGAAAGTTTATTATAAATATTTAAGAAGATAATCTTAACTCTTTCTAGTAAATCGATATTATTCTATATCTTGATAACGTTATAATAACACTTATATAGCTTATTATAGTATTGATAGATCTTTTATAGAGACTTAGATTAATAACGCTCTCTTTATAGACATTTCTATATTACTATTATTTCCTTAAGAATCTCTTCTATACTAGGTGTATAGTATAGAACTAGCTCTTAATACTCCTTAATATTTCGATAGATATTCATAATAGTGGATACTAATTTACGCATTAAAAAGAGATTTAGTAACTCGTGAAGTTCTCTTTTAACTTTTATTTAATTTATAGCCTAAATTTTTAAGAGTATCTATATAATCTTTTTAGTATCGCTAGATTTTGAGAATGAGAAGAAGAGCTAATTTAATGTTAGGTAATCAATATAATTATTACTTATTACTAAGTATCGCTAGTAATTCTTTAAGTGTAATATATAGAGCTCTATATACTTTATAAAGAACTATAGATTTTAGTTATATTCTAGGTTTATTAGATTTTATATATTTAAAGTTCTCTTAATTTTCTTCTTCTCGACAAACTTAGTAGGGGCGTTAGAATTATTCGCGTTAGAATCGCTATTAACGAAGTCGACATTATTCACTTTGTTATCATTAGGAGTAGTATTATCTGAAATATCATTAAAGCCCTTAAACTTAGAAGCACTAACTTCACTGTAATTATCTAAACTCTCTTGATGATTATCTTATTCCTTAGGTGCGGCTTTAGCTAGAGATATCGCGATCAAGACTAATTCTAAAATAGATATAGATACAGAGATAGCTATAGATAATATAGGCGATATAAAGTTGATTATAGCATTATAAGTAGAGATAGCCTAAAGAAGAAAGACTTTTATCTTAGAGAGAGTTAGCGAAAGAAGCGATAATAAGGTTAATATAGATTTAGTAGTAGTTGTCTTAGTGTTTATAAACTTAATAGCTTATAAGGTATTAACAGTCCTAGTTATATTAATATTAGTTATTTTTATATCTTGATTTATAGCAACTTTAGAAGATTCATCTTAAAGAAGTAATTACTTAGGCTAAGGAGTTAGTATAGAAAATATAATAGTGTCTTCATTATTATTATTGCTATCTAGAGTAAACTTAAACTTATCGCTAGCTATTTATCTCTTAAAGTCTTGAAGATCAATATATATCTATAATAAGAACTATATCTTGTTTATTTTTTACACTTTATAAGTAGCTATAGTAGCCAGAAACTTAGGATCTTGCTTTAAACGCTCTTAGTTATATTTATTATTATTATAGAAATTATCAATATTTACAATATTCTTTAGAATTATTTATATAGTCTTAATAAATTACTCTAGCGCCTTATTAAATAGAGAAATAGTTAGTCTTAATATTATAAAGAAGAAAGCCTTTCTTAGGACCTTCATAATATTTTATCTCTTGTTCTTATTTACTTTTTTAATATTATATAACTAGTCTAGAAAAGAGCGACCCTTACTAGCTATATAAATAATAAAGTTATTATAATAGTCCTAAGATATCTATATAGTTAATTAAACTTATTGACCTTTAATTTTATTAATAGTCTCTTAATATAATCTTTTTAAACT